CCTATCCGTAGCACTGGATAGAGATAGACACAGGGTAGGGTGTACCGCGTAGGTCTTGTTGAGAAAGAGAATGGTAGTAAATAGAAAAAATAAAGGAGGGGAAAGGAAGGGAAAATGGTGTTTGAAAAGGTGTTGAGGTTGAATGGGAATAAGAATCTGGGCTAGGAAAAGAACACGATTATTGTAGTTGTTGCTGGTTTAAAAACGATGAAGGTGGAGTTAGGCGAATAACGACATATGTCTCGGGGGAGATCAGATCCGAGGAAAAAAAGAAAAAAAATAAGTTGAACGATTGACAGCCCGTTTTCCTTTCAAATAAAGAAAGTATATGCCGGTTGAGGTAGGACACTGAAAAAGAAGGAAAGAGCACAGAGAGAATGAAATGGCTCGACCGTGGGTAGGATGATCGCTGGTGGGATGAAGAGCAAGTGAAAAATATAGAACACTTCCTTGGATTGGGAGTCGAGATAAGCTATCGTGTCTCTGTGGAGATATGTGCAAAAGTGAAAGGAGATGGAGGTGTGGCGCATGGACGATTTTTTATTCTCTCACACAATTAGCTTTATGCCAATGCCCTCAATGTCCCCAATGCCGATGCCCAATGCAAGGCGCGAGATTTGACTCGTATCCATTCCTTCTTTTTTTTTCTTCCTACCACCCCGTGCTTCCGTTTCCTTCCTTTTCTTTCTCTTTCTTTTTCTCTTTCTTTTTCTCTTTCATTTTCTCATCTCTTCTTTCTTCTTCTCAACTTCTTATCTCTTTTGACGATTATCAATTTTGCCGCCTTGCTTTCCAAGTCACCAATCGATATTGTCACTTTTTTTCTCTCAAGAGTCAATACCCTTTCCCCTTCGCTCTCGTTAACTCTATGTCCTCGCAAGACCCGATAATCAACCACTAGCGTCAGTCTTTCAACGAGCCAGCCAGTCAGTTCGACAGCGTCAATCATCGTCCATCTCATACACTCATACAGTTGTACAGTATTTTGGTGTCTGCGTGTTTTTTTTAATGGGCTTGTCGAAATATCTCCGCCTCGCATTGCCCATTCCCCGCACTTTTTATATCTTTTGCCTGTACTTGTCCTTTTTGATCTCCTTTTCTTTTTATTCTCTCTCCTTACTTGTCTCTTGCATCTTTTTTTTTTTTTTTTTTTTTTCCCTCACTGCAGGTCGCATGTGCCCAGGAGTATTTTTTGTTATTTTACTCAGCAAAGATCAACACTCTTTTATAATCTCTCTGACAGACGAAGGACATCTTTTTGCAGGTAAGCGATGTAAAAATAAGGAAAGAAAGAAGATGAAAGAAAAATGATGAGGTATGACGGTGTTGATGGAAGGAAAAAAAAAAAAAAAAAGGGAAGAGAAGAGAAGAGAAGAGAGCAGGTGGTGCTGAGAATAAAAATAAAAAAAAAAAAAAAAAAAGGGAGAGGGAGAGAGAAGGACGCAAGTGCCTCCTGTGCTCGATCTTCAAAAAAAAACATCATACCTTGTAAAAAGAGAGAGAGAGGAACCAACAGCCACCACGATTGACAACACAACGGCGGATTGACAGCAAAAAAAAAAGAAAAGAAAGAAGAAAAGGAAGGTCATTACAAATTTATAAGCGTACGCATTTTGAGTTGTGGGTATTTGCAGCTGCAGGGCGATGTCATCACCAGAGTGACGGGAGACAACAAACAAAAGCGATTCAATTCGTGTATTCAATAACGAGACTTAGTCAGTCAAATTCATCAGATATCAAAAAAAAAGTCGATAGCTGCTGCCATTTTCTCCTTTTTCTCCCTTCCACTTGACTGGCGATGTTTCCCCCCTTTTGTCATCCATGTATGTCCTCTTATTTTCTGTTCTTTTCCAACCAATATATATTATTTTCTCACTCTTCTTTTCCGCTTTATTCTTTATCACCCTCTTTTCTCCTCTCTCTCTAATCTCATTCAACCATCACTCACGCTACTCTTTCCACTCATTCTCTCATTCATTTAATACTCTCCTCTTCTCCTCTCCTCTTCCTTTGATCATCGACACCTTTACTCACTCTGCGGCATCCTCCTTCACCTTCACTCCCATACGCACATTCACATTCACACTCACATAATCTCTTCCTTTCTCTCATTCTCTCATTCTCTCATTCTCTCTCCACTCTGCTCCACTCTGCTCCACTCTGCACTCGGACAGCAACTTACAGCAACACAGCAACCACTGCAACTGCAACAGCAATCACTTCCACTCCCGCCTTCTTTCGACCCCACTTCCTTCCCTCCCTCTTTCCTACTCGCCAACCTCTCGTTCGATTGGTTCTCTCTCTCCCTTTACAACTCTTTTCTCTCGGTAAGCACTCAAACCAGCAACATCCAGCAGCAACAGCTACAACAAATAATTTTGGCTGACCCAGAAACTCCACTCCACACACCCTCTGTGATAAATACACTGCATCACAGCACATCCACACTTCATCCACCCAAGCTCATACATCATACTCGTTTACATAACACTCAAACACACGCACAACATTCAAGACAGCAGCACATATCATATATTGCTACACTGCCACATTTGCACTTTCCGAACAGTGCTCTTCCTTCCTTCTCCAAACACTTCTCCACTGTCCACCTCGGTCTCGCTCATCACACTCATGCACGCACATCATTATTTTGTGTCTCTTCTTTTCATTTTCCTTCCTTCCCAGGAATACCCGATTTTCATTTTCATTCGTGCCATATCACTCTCACACAACATGCCCACCAAACACATTAGCAACACGCATTACATGTACATATATTCAATTCAGTCCAACAACACATCAAAACAAGAGGGGCAATGTATCGTCATTTCGCTCTAATAGAGAGTGAGAGACAGGAGGGATACGTGTGAGGCGGCTATTATTAATACAAATGGATTGATGATCGTGCATCAAAACATCCAATTTGCTCTCAGCCCTTATTCCTTTTTTACTTCCCTCTTGTTCTTCGATAATGTGTGCTTCCCTCTTCCCTCCTCGGGCGAGGAATAAGGGTATAATTCACACACTCACACTCACACGCCCACACACCCACAACAACAACAACAACAACAACAACAACAACAACAGCTACTACTCCACAACACCCAACAACCAGCCAACCCGTCTACTCTTTCTCTCCCATTCACATCCATCCATCCATACGATGATGATGAATAGTTTCACCCCTTTATTTTGGGCTACTTTTTTTCTTTTTCAATTGGAGGGAAAGCAAACTGTCTGGAAGTCTTTTAAGAGAAACATGCAACAACCCGCAGGTTAACAACAGCATCAAGAGACGGCAACAAGAGGACAGGAAGAGAAGAGAGAGAGAGAGCAAAGAGGATTCCGAGGCATTGGATGATATCAAGTCTGTATTATCCACGTCAGCAGAGCAAACGACAACGAAGAGTAAATAGAACAGATAAAAAAAAGGCTAGGACGACGGACAATGGCTTCTTTGGACTTGTCTTATCTTTTCGCATGTGCACCTCTCCCGCATTGACTTTTCTGTGGGTGTTTTCCCACTTTCTGGTTGTGGATGGTATGGTGGGTGGTGAGAAACCTCTTGAGAAGATAGTCAATTGCACCTGCGCCTTTCTGCTTGCCAATATACAATTCCTTTGTCAATTGGGCAACAACGTGGATAAGGAGAGAACAAAGCAACCTCTTTCATTACACACTTACACACCCACACACCATGCACGTATCCCTAGGATATGCATACACATTCATTAAAGAGATACACACATACCGATCACATTCGATCCAATCCACGTCCTTATTTCCTCTTGCTCTCTTCTCCTCCCCCTTCTTTCCCTTCCCTACACATCCATCCCCCTTTCATTCTTCTCTAACATTGAACAACAATCCGTCAATCCTATTTATCTATCTACCCATCTCTCCCTGACAAAGAAAAATTAGTTTGGCTAATCCATACCCCCACTTTTAGCCATTATTGCCCTTATTATTATTAGGTCGGGGTAACGACATCCTTTCCTTCTCTCTTTGATCTCGACAATACCCTCGTTTTCACACTCTTCTTCTTTCCTTCTCTCCCTTTCCTCCCCGCCTTGTACAAGCAATAAAGGGCAAACCAGCAACACCTGCTCCCTTTGGACATGGATCCGGACTCAGTCCTCACCGCCTCCTCCTCCTCGATCGACCCTGTTTCGCCTGATATGGCCCCAGCAACGACCACATCAACCACAACAGCAACCAGTGCAGCCATGGCCACACAGTCAACAAGCACAACCACAACCTGTCTAGAACCAGGCGACGACGCAGAACCTCATTTTACACCTTCTGACAACAACAACAAAAACAACAAAAACAACAAGAACGATTCCATCGTCGCCGCCACCACCACCTCACTAACCTTGTCCGAGAGCCCAATGGATTCTACTACCAACACGACAACAGCAAAGGAGTCGGCTACTGTCGCTCCGTCAATAGCGAATCCCACTACTGCTTCGCCAAGGACCTCCACCTCGTCTTGCTCCTCATCATCATCATCGGCCTTCTTTTCCAATTCGTCTCCATCCTCTACTATCACCCAACGATCGGTGTCTCCCCCAGGTAAGCAATTACACACACAGCTCAGCAGCTGCACTGCACACGCCTGTTCTCCCTTCCCCTGTACCACCTTTTTTGAACGCTCTTCCATTCGATCGACCGACGCACATACACCATCCACAAACAACGCTCTGCGGAAATACAGTTGGAAAAAAAAAAAGAATGAGAGCCATGCCATGTCATCCCTAAACGGCATTGAAATAATGAACTTATCTTATTTTTTCTAAACCCTCTCCAATCTCTTCATGCTGACGAGTTGTGTGCACCATTTCTCTCATTCACCTAAAAAACAAACTAACGCAACGCATATTTTCCCTTTCTTTCTTTCCTCCCTTGTTGCTTGCCCTTGACAAGGTTCCAAGCCATCCTTGGCCTCTAAAAGGCCCGCCGCTCGCACAATGTCGCTCTCCTCTTCCTCACCCTCCAGTATGTCGGATTTGTTGCGCCGCCAAAGCAGCTCTTCTAGTACCACATTCACAACGTCAAGAGCCAACTCTTCATCCTACGTTTCGTCCAAGAGCAGCGATCCAATGCAGAGACCTCATCATGTCAGCTTCTCTTCCTTTTTGCTCTGGCTCAAGGAGCATCCCGCCTCTTCCAAGGTCGGTTCTGAAAATCTGGCCCGGTTCCTCTTGGTCAAGAGCGTTTCACTTATCGCCGCCTGCCTCGGTTGTGTCTATGGTCTCGTCTTTGACCGACAGCCCTCCATCTCCGCCTGCTCCTTGCTCCTGTTTTTCTTGCCGGCAGTCCAAGGGTTTACTGGTGCGACTCGTCTCTGTGGTCTCATCCTCTCGTTTGCCCTCGCGTCAGTCTTTCTCAACCTTCAGACCCGATCAATGCCCTTGGTCGGCCCCAGTCTTGAGACGACACTCCTCTTTGGCCTGCCTATGGTGACAGGAATGCTTGTCGGTCGCAAGGTCGGTTTGGCTACTTGCATTGCCGTTATCTGTTACTCTATCGAGGAGTACCGCTCCAAGACCCTGGTATGTTGACTCCGTGTCTTTTTTTTTCTTTCTCGGCTCCCTTTGTCCTCCACAAATGAACGAACAAAAGAAAACATTCACAACGCCTTGCCCTCGCCCTGAATATCTATTCTTGTTTAAACATCAACAGCATACTACTCCTCGATTCTCCTTAAACTAACGACCAAGCTATCTGTTCTTTTTTTTATGATATTTACTAGAATACCAACCTTTCGGAGGACGAGGCTTCCCGTATTTGGGCTGGCTTTGGTGCCTACTGGATCTCTCTCCTGTTTATGGGTGCCTTGACATGCCTCTATCAGTGGTGTGTCGAGGTTTGTGTGCGAGATGCCAACCTTTTCAAGGACATTGCAGTTGCCAATGCAAAGTCCAAGGACGGTGTCGTCTCATCGGTATCGCACGAATTGAGGTAATAATTGCTCTACTCCTTGCCGACCCGACTGTTTGGCTTTGTTTGCTTTCTTTTTTTTGTTCTGTTTTGAAACGTTTCAGCTTAGCCGTCCGCTTTTTGTATTTCATTTGCGCTAATGCTGATGCTACTTTTTCTCTCAATAGGACTCCCCTCGCTGCTTTGATTGGCTGGACTGAGCTCTTAATGAGCGACCAGACCCTCAGCTCAGGCGCGCAGTCAACCGTCTCGATGTTGCACTCCTCGACCCTCTCGCTCCTGACCATCCTCAACGCCTTGCTGGATGTCTCCAAGGTCTCTGCTGCAAAGATGACCAACTGTAGCCAAAACTTCAACCTGCACGATCTCGTTCTCGACACAGCCAGGATGATGACTGGCCTGTCTGGCACCCGCACCGTCGAGCTCTTGGTTGATTTCAGCGCACAAGTGCCTGAGCTTGTCCGTGCCGACCCTGGAATCATCAAGCAAGTCCTTGGCAACCTCATTTCCAACGCCATCAAGGTAACCCCCGTCGCCGCTATACCAATTGTTATTGTCTTCGTGTGTTTTTAGCCTTTTATCCCTTCGAACTAACACTCCTTCGTTTCTCGATCTCTTCTTGATCCACGTTAGTTCACCAATGTCGGTTATGTCAATGTCGGAGTTTCCCTCAAGGACGAGGACGACGACACGGTAACGGTGGAGTTTGTAGTTCAGGACACCGGCAAGGGAATCGCAGACGAACAAAAGGATAAACTTTTCTGCGAGTTCAGTCAGGTCGAGGGCGGCAACTGCAAGAACCACGAGGCAGGAACTGGTCTTGGCCTCTTTTTGGTCAAGAGCCTAGTCGAGGTCATGAACGGCACTGTCTTTGTCGACAGCAAGCTCGGCGTCGGATCGACCTTTGGATTCGAGATCAAGATGGAGAAGCAGTATCTGGCCTTCAGAACTCCTGGTTACGACCATGTCGTGACCGTCTCCTCCGCCTTTCCTGCCGGCCAGGACATGAACCTCTTCTCGCCCATAATTCCCGTCACTCCTGGTCTTGCCCGGAGCACCACCCCCATGGCCAATTGCCGCGTAACTCCCGCTTCGACTCCCTCTGCTGCCCAGAGCGAGGCCAGGGATTACTTTGCTCTCCAGCCTGCCGAGGTCACTCGAGCCAACGCCAACAACATTACCCTCCGTACTCGCGACAACAACTTTCTCTCCAACCGACAGTACTACCTCCACTCTCAGTGCGGCTTCTTTGAAGAGTTCTTGTGGAGCACATCGACCGAACGCTGGAAGGCCCAGGCCGTCCGCAAGCTGTCCTTCAACGAGTGCACCCAGGGCTGGCAGACGGATTTTAATCAGGAGGACAGCATGACTCTGTTTGGCGATGTCTTTTTGATCGATCTCAGCCCAACGACCAATCGAGAGACCACCGCTGTGTTGACCGACCAGGATCATGCGCGCCTCTTTTTAGCCAAGCTTTCGCAGCTGCTCGTGGACCGTGCCAAGGGACGTATAGGTACCGCCCGCCAGGCCTCGATTGTCTTGTTCTATCCCTTCGGTCACCCACCTTCACTTGCGCAGGAGCCATTGTTATCCTTGGGACAGTACTACCAGATTTCTCTTTGCCGCAAGCCCGTCACGGAGAGAGCTTTGGGAGCTATTATCAAGAAGCAGGTTGTGACCCTCCAGGCTGCCGTCGCAGAGTGCGTTCAGACCCCTAAGACTCCTGCTTGCCCGTTTTCTCTCTCCGGCAACGACTCAATTTGCCGTCACCTTGTCTCAGAGACGATCGATAGCTCGATCTCTCAGTCATCGTCGTCTGACGAGGGATCGTCGGTGACTCGCCAGTCTGCAGGCATCTCTGCCACAACGGGAGCTCTTCAAAAGGATAAGCCTGCTCGCGAGGCGTCTTTGACCTCTAAGACTCCTTTCTCCACTGCCACTCAGGCCTCGCACGTCCGATTTGCCAAGAGGAACGGCTCTGTTCCTCGTCTTGCCTTGAGTAGTGACGGCGTGGCCCCACCGGCGTCGTCATCCTCCCCCTCGCCTTCGATCGACAAAGCGCAGGCCAAGAAGGGCTTGTTCAAACGCCCTCTGAACAGTGCTCAGCAGACTCGACCCAGTTTGGCCTCCCAACAGAGCATTCAGGGCTTGAATGCAGCTGGCAAGCGCGTCTTGATTGTAGACGACAACTCGTTCAACCGCAACCTTCTCTTTCACCAATTGACCAAGCTGGGTGTCTCCAAGATTGACCAGGCTGGCTCTGGTCAAGAAGCTGTTGACATCTTCATCCCTGGCACTCACGCGTTGGTGTTGATGGACCTTAAGATGCCGACCATGGGTGGTTTTGAGGCAACGTCTTTGATCCGCAAGAAGGAGGTGGCTCACTGGAGCCCTATCGCTATCCAGCGACCGACCAAGAATTGGACAGATGCCTCTAAGCCCGAAACGGACCCTTGGTCGCCTGAGCGATTTGTCGCCGCTCCAGAGATTTCGGAGCGACGCAGCAACGGCAGCGGCAGCGGCGAAGGCGAAAAGAGGAGCGCTGACAGGAAGGCTCAGTCTGAAGTGAGCAAGTCGGCGACCGTCATTGCTGTTACCGCCGACTGGACGGCTGAGATTGGCGAGGACCGTGAGAAGGCAGTGACCGGCGGCTTTGACGATGTTATGGTTGTAAGTATCCTGCTCATGCATGCGTGCCTTGTTGTTCAACGTCATGACTGCCTTGTCGGCTGTATTGTAGATCATGATCACTAATTACATTGTTCTTTTCTAATCGTTGTCTGGTATTAGAAACCCATCTCGCTACCTTCTCTTTCGGTCCTTTTGGAGCGCTACATGGATTACCGCAACTAAACACGCGACCCTCTCGTTGGGCTGTGTACTGGACGATATTTTTTATGTCCATCTCTTTCTTCCCCACTTTCTTTCAATGCCTGTACACTATTATCTTTACCGCCATTTTATTTTTCGAGGCTACTGTACGACTATTTTTTTTTTCCGAATTTTTTTTAATGCCACATTGAGCGTTAAATAATCCTTCTTCCCTATCTTCTCTTTACATTTTTTTCCTCTCTTTTTTTTTCTCTCTCTCTTACGACTTGTCTCCTCGCGGCATGCTGAACCTTGTAATCTTACCATGTATCAACAACATCCACAAAAAGTCACTCTAAAGTGCTCTGAACTCGTTTACTTTTGTACATTAAAAAAAATCCGGCTCGAAAATAATTATCAAGTTCTCCTTTGTGCATTGTACATGGCTTAACTTGAAGGGGTAAGTGTTTTGGAAGGAGTGGGATGAATCGAATTGAGGATTGGTTTCTTTCCTTGAAGAGGCGCGATGGCCTTATGAGCGTAGATTCTTGTGAAAAAGATTTTAACTTGTTGCTGTCAAGTGTTCTCAGTGGGTGGAGATTGAGTAGAACGAAAGATGTTTAATAAAAGACATAAGAAAGAGAAAAAAAAAAAGTTGGTAACAATAAAAGAAAAAACTAATAGCTAATCTAAACAAAATAGACAATGGGGCGAAGGATAGTACAAAAGCTGAGGCGAAGAAGTGGAAACGAAGGGTTGAGGGGGATACAGAACTTTACAAGGCCGGAGGGCGGTAGAAAAAGCAAATCAACAAAACTAGCATTGACAAAAACGGGGCTAAACTAAAGGGAAGTGGGTAACTAACGGTTCTCCCAAAAGTCCTCGCCTTCATCCTCTTCCTCAATCATCCCTCCATACTGCCCATCCTCATTCACATTCGAACTCTCCTCTTCTCCCAGATCCAAGCCCGCTGCATCCTGGAAATCTCGCTGGTTCTCCAACCGCAAATGGACGTTGTGTGTATCAGCCTCCTGGGCCTCGGACATGAAGGCCGAGTCGCGTTCTGGGTCCAGGAATGGGTCGTCCTTGTCCTCCTCCACATCGCTGTTGTTGGTGGAGGGGGAGTTGGTGTGCGAGGGGGAAGTGGGTTGAGAGTTTCCGGTTTCGAGAAAGGAGGCGCGACGGTGGGAGCGGTCGCGGTCAAGCTTGCGTTGGCGCTTTTGGAGGGACGAGATAGTTTCTTGACGGGGAATATTTCCGGAGGTGAGGGATGCTGGGCTGGGTGTTGAGTCCGAGTCGAGGTCTTCTTCGTCTTCGAGTTCCTCTTGGTCCCAGTCGTGGATTGTTGGGTCTTCTTTTGGGAGGACTGTGTCCTCCTCCTCCTCCTCCTCCTCTGCCTGGTCTGGGGAATTGGACGCCCTGGCAGAAGCTGCTGTAAGAATTGCTGCGGTGGAAGAGGAGGAGGAAGAGGAGGGAGGATGTCGCTTGTCTTCACGGGCCTCACGCAACTGATCAATCGACGCGCGACGGGCCTCTTCGAGAATAGGTTTTGATTCCATTTCGTCGAGGAGTTGGATCTTGACTTCACGTTTGAGGCCCTTCTTGTCTGCTAGGTGGGTGCTGTGTGCACCGGGGGTGCCGAAGGTGCTGATGGAGCTGATAGAGAGGGAGCGTTTGCGTTCAGGGAGAGGTATTGTTTGATTCAGAGGGTGTGCTGAGGCAGAGGTGGGGGGTGCTGTGGTGAAGAGGCTCTCTGTGGCGGTGTGGTGGTGGGCTGGGTTTGCGCCTATGATGATGATACACGGGTTACGAGAAGAAGCAAAAGCATTGGGAAGTAATGATGAGCAGTTGTAACCTTAAAATGTGAATATCGGTCATCATCTGCACTAATGAACACGCACACATTCGCGCAACACAAATTAATCAACAAGGCAAGGCTGGATTTTTTTCTTCCGCTTTTTTGCACATAGAATTAAAGAGAACTTACCGGTGGCAAGACGCTTCGTGGGTTCCAAAAACGCAGCCGCAGAGGTAACACGCCCCTCAACTGGTCCATGACTCTGCGAATGTCTTCTCTCCTCCTCTGATGGCTCAACCTCCATAGCCAATCCACCAAGGGAACTGTCGACGGGGTCGCCCATGGCTTCTGAAGCGTCTTTGTCCATATCTAGAGGCGCCACGTCTGTAGTCGAGGGGAGCAGATCTGCGACAGATCGACCGCGGCTTACAGAATGCGGGTGGGTAGAATGGTGGTGGTGAGTGTGGTGACCGTGCTGTTGACCGCCCTGTTCGCGGCGGAGAGAGTTGTCGGGTTGGATAACGGGTTGGAGGACTGACAACTCTGCAGCCGTTGGATGGCCGTGACTACCGTCACCGTCAGTAAAAGTATACCGGACTCTTTTGGCTGCGTGGCCACTCCCTCCAGATTCACCGCCCACAACGGCTGTGGTGCTCGTAGCAGACGACGCTGGACTGGGGATGCCTACAGCACTTGCTCCTGCTCCTGCGACAGGAGACACCTCGCTAGACATATCCAAGTGCTCGCCAAGGTTCCCGTTTTCATCAATAATCAAGTAATCGGATTGGAGGACTGAGGATGACGGGGCGTGGGCGTCGAGGGTGTTGGAGTCGACGAATTCTGGCTCTATTGCTGCTAGAGACCGTTTGGAGTATCCGCGGGTGAGGAGGTTTTCAGGTGCTGCTTCTGGGTCCATGTTGGTTGGGTGAGGGTTCCAGGCGTTTGGTTGTATGTGTTTCTGGTTGTGTGTTGTTGGACAGGTGGTGTGATAGGTCGTGTGGAGTGGGGATGAATAGGGTGAGGAAAGAGAAAAAAGTGAAAGAGAAAAAATGTGAGAGGAGGGGGGAGGAGAGAGTAGAGAGAGGAGGTCCAAGCCCAGGCGAGGCAAGAAAAGGACCCAAAAAAGGCAATATGTTAAATCCTAGGGCCAGGAAGTAATTTGTCCAGGAAATAAATAGAATAAGACGTCACTGAGGCGGAAATCCCATTTTCTCCTCTCAAGTGCGCGCGTACTCTCTGACAGAGGAGAAAACGCGTCAGCGGGAAGACAGAAGAAAGTGAAAGAAGAGTCCCACCACAGCTTGCCACTCTTTTGTTGCAATTCACGCCCTTCTTTTCTTCTTCATTTCTTCAAACAACCTCAACAAACCACCTAAACAATTACACCTCAAGGAACAACCGGCACAAAAAAGTCAACACAACAAGGACAGTCGATCGCCACTTACAACCTACCACTCACACCTCACCCACACTTTATAAAACAGCCATGGTCCGCGACGGCATCAAGGGCTTCTACCGCGCAAAGATTGAAGAGGCCGAGGGCGAAATCCACGAAAAGACACAGAACTTGCGTCGTCTCGAAGCTCAGCGCAATGCCCTCAACGCCAAAGGTAACCTTCCCTCCTCTTTACATTCAGTCCCATGCAGCATTGCTGCTGCGTTACTTATATCAAAGTGTCACCAGAGTTGTCAAGAATCAAGGGCGCAAGGTTGTATGAGTAGAACACTGACCCTTATCATTCTACTTTCTGTGAATTCTAACAAATAGTCCGCCATTTGCGCGAGGAACTGCAGTTGCTTCAGGAGCCTGGCTCGTATGTCGCAGAGGTTGTCAAGCTGATGGGCAAGACAAAGGTCCTTGTCAAGGTAAACTATCTTGTCAGCAATTCAGGAATGTTGGCTTCCCTGGAAATGGACTTTTGAAAAGACTGGAAATAGCACTCAACACATGCTTTTCAAAAGATCGACTCTTTGACTTGGATCAGTCCAGGGGATAAACAGTACATACAGCTCACTGTGAACATGTCTCACAAAAAGGCAAGCACAACCAAGAAACTAACGAGTCTACTTCATCACACTACTGCCACAACCAACTAGGTCCACCCGGAGGGAAAGTACGTGGTGGATATTGGCGAGGGGATTGACAGGACAAAGCTGACGACCAACTTGCGAGTGGCGCTCAAGAACGACAACTATTCACTCCACAAGATCCTCCCTAACGCCATCGACCCCTTGGTCTCATTGATGATGGTCGAGAAGGTCCCCGATTCGACCTACGAGATGATTGGAGGTCTGGACAACCAGATCAAGGAAATCAAGGAGGTCATCGAGTTGCCCGTCAAGCACCCAGAACTCTTTGAGGCCCTCGGTATCGCTCAGCCTAAGGTTCGTATTATCTACTCTTTCCCTACTTTCGTGGCGTGGAAGTTTGGTGTAGGATGCTTTTGAAGGAACATTGGCTAACCAGAATCATTCTCGTATTTCCGATATGATAAATGGAAAAATGAAATAATAGGGAGTCTTGCTGTATGGACCACCAGGAACTGGAAAGACACTGTTGGCTCGTGCTGTCGCTCATCACACCGACTGCAAGTTCATTCGTGTCTCTGGATCAGAGTTGGTGCAAAAGTACATCGGAGAGGGAAGTCGCATGGTCCGTGAGCTCTTCGTCATGGCAAGGTACGTCTCCTTCTTAATCCTCTCTTTTTTTTGCGTGCTGGATGTACGTTGTTTCTTTCAAATCATAGGTTACCCTGTGCTAACCATGGCCATTTGATACTTTACTTCATCAATAGAGAGCACGCACCATCGATTATCTTTATGGATGAGATTGATAGTATTGGAAGCTCGCGTGGCGATGGCGGTGGAGGAGGAGGAGACAGCGAAGTCCAGCGTACGATGTTGGAGTTGCTGAATCAGCTGGACGGATTTGAGGCGACCAAGAACATCAAGGTGATCATGGCAACGAATCGTATTGATATTCTGGACTCTGCGCTGTTGCGTCCCGGTCGTATTGACCGCAAGATCGAGTTCCCCCCACCAAACGAGATTGCCCGTGCCGATATTCTCAAGATTCACTCGAGGCGGATGAACTTGACCCGCGGTATCAACCTGCGCAAGATTGCCGAGAAGATGACAGGATCCAGCGGTGCCGAGGTCAAGGGTGTCTGCACAGAAGCCGGCATGTATGCCCTTCGTGAGCGCAGAGGTAACCTTTGTTTCTTTCCTTGGTGGCACCTTGTTGAAAATTTTGTTTCGACAGCGCCTGACATAAGTGAGTTTTTGATATGCTGACATTAACGATACCTTGCGTCTACTTTTACTTCTAATAGTCCATGTGACGCACGAGGACTTTGAGTTGGCTGTGGCCAAGGTTATGAAGCGTGCCGAGGACCAGAGCATGAGTGTCCACAAGTTGTTCAAGTAAACAACACTTCACTTGTCAAGGAGTAGACACATACGGATGATTATGTTCTTTCTGGGATCGCAGGAAGACTGGATCAGACCCACGACTGAATGGCTAATAAACAACGATAAACACTCTGAAATGAACATATTGGGGACTATATGCGCTGGCGATTTATTATTCTTCTCAGGCAGAGCGGGCGGCATTTGCACAGGAAGACATAAACGTGTCAGGTGTGTTCTGTCGACAAAGGTCATCAGTGACAGGTTTCCTTCCGAGAATCATATATCTCTTCCTATGAATTAGCAATCGCTCCTTTTCCCCTTCATTCACTTTTCAGTTCTGCACCTCACCGCCTGCCCCTCAGATCATTACAAACTGTACAATTTTACAGCGCAAAGGCGCGCTTGCTGCTCCTTGACATTATCATTTGGTGTGTCTCTGTGTGCTTTTTCCTATGATCGCTCTTGTCTTTCTACTTCAAAACTTTAGTGTCGCAGCCGCAGCCGCAATAGCAACAGCAACAACAATAGCTAGCGAAACGAAAGCGAACGCGAAAGAGGAAGCAGAAGATCCAGCACCAGACACAGTCCCATATGCAGCCGAAGTTATAGCAGTGGCCATCGCCAGCATGACCACCGCTGTATCCTGTACTCGTATGGATGTTGCCCTAAAATATCGCTACATGGAGTGGGATTCCCTTGTTCTGCTCCGTTTCTGTCGTTGCGTTTTCTACAGTGCCTCGCAGGTGTAGTATTGCTCAAGGTTTCGATGTTAAGCTGTGAGGTTTTTCGCCGAAATAAAGAATGAGGCATCCCCTCCTTTATATGGAACAGGCAGTGCTTGTAAGAAACACTAACGAGCATATCTTTTTAATGATGCCATCTCGCTTGTGGTTAGGTCCTGTCGATTTTCTTGTTACTCCTGTTCGCCCTGGCCGTCTTGTTGTTTAGGGCAATTCTGAAAAGACCCAAAGTTGGTCACGAAAAGGGACGCTAGCACGGTTTGCTTTTCTTCCATAGGGCAATAAAAGGGTTTCTTAACTCTAGCATGGTGGCGAAACACATAGAGAAAGAACAACTCGTCCTTATTTCGCCATTAAACAAAATCATTCGCTCTCCTTCAACTTTTCTAATACTTTGTTGGCGTCCTTGGATCTCTGGCGGGCGGACATCAGAAACCACTCTGCGGCTTTGGCTTCGCTCTGTGGTACACCTTGGCCATTTTGGTAGAGAATGCCGATGTTGCGTTGGGACGTCTCATGTCCTTGACTGGCGGCCTTGAGGTACCAGTGCAATGCTTGTCCGTAGTCCTGAGGTACGCCTTGACCAAGCTCATAGTAATAGCCGATGGTACACTGGGCATCAATGTCCCCTTGATCGGCGGCCTTGCGGTACCAGGTCATCGCTTTTGTAAAGTTTCGAGAAACGCCACGGCCGTAGTGGTAGAGATCACCGACTTGGCAATGAGCAGATGCATTTCCTTGGTTGGCGGCCATGTGGAACCAGTCCATCGCCTGTGCATAGTCCTGGGGAACACCGTCACCATTGTAGTAGACAATACCAATGTTCTCTTGAGCAATGGCAAACCCTTGATTAGCGGCCTTGAGGAACCAGTCCATCGCCAGAGCATAATCCTGGAGCACACCGTGGCCGTTTTGGTAGAGAAGGCCGACGTTGCGCTGCGCGGGCGAGTAGCCCTGGTTGGCGGCTTTAAGCGTCCAGCTCATGGCGGCCGAATAGTCCCGAGGGACGCCATGGCCGTAGTAATGCAAACGCCCGACGTTACGTTGACCGGCAGGATCTCCTTGCTCAGTTGCCTTCAGGTACCAATCCATAGCTGCTTGGTAATCTTGTGGGACCCCTTTGCCTTTCATATACATGTCGCCCGCAGCAACCTGAGAGTACCGGTTTCCTAAACCAGCATCGAGCAATGTCCGGTAGACATATTTAAGGGTAGACGCGGCGATCTGCACCTCGTTGTTCATGTGGGGAGGCTGAACATCCGTTGCGTTGCTGTTGCGCCATTGGTTGTCGGCCGTGTTGTCGATAGGTGCATTAGGTGCCGCTGTCTTCGTAGCTGAGAGTTAAGATCATGGTAACAATAAATCGAGAATGCGGTCAGACTTTGTCGTTCACGTATAATATAGACTTATAATTATTAGCAGACAATGTGTATATTGCGTACAGTGTAAGGGTCTCAACCTTGCGTAGTGCATTCCTATCAGCCTGGAAGGCAGTCTTAAAATACCACCCCATGGCCACTGATGAATCCTTGGACACTCCTTGTCCCTCCGAAAAGAGGTCGCCGACAGAGACCTGGGCATGCGCATGACTCTGACGAACAGCTTTGAGGTAGCACTCCAGGGCCTTCCAAGGGCCCCACCTCCTTTTGCATGCAAGGCATTGAGATCCATTTGGGCCGCAAGCTTTGTCATGACTTCTTTGGCGTATTTGTGGGCGAGTGCTTTGTTGGTTCGAAGAGTCGACTCGTCAAGTTGTTATCTGCTGCTTTTGACTGTGCAGGTGTAATTATTTCCTGCAGGCGTAAACCGAGTGTCCTGCCCAGAAGACAAATGGGTCGACGAGATGGGTAGCATTTTGGAAATGAGTTGTGTTTCGGGGATGTGCCGACTGTTGCTCAATCTGCCTAAGAACCGATGGCTGCTGTTGCCGAGGGGAGGTGTCCTGTAGATTACCGACGATATTATCCAGGACCTCGCCAGGAATGACAACAATCCTCGCAGTCTAGTAGGTCGATAGCGATTAACTTAGTGTGCTAACGAACAGGACGCCTTCGCCAACCTTATCGAAGGAGTCGCTTATACGTACGTGTTGAAGTCGGTCCCTTTCATAAAAGGCAAGACCCTTGCTTTATGCCGGATATGGAGGGCATTGTGGAAGACTACACGGATATCCTCCCACAGTACGAACTTGTCCATGGTGATGGGATCTTGTAGAATTCCACATAGACGACCTCGTTGGGGTGCGGTGGGGTCGAGGTGGAGCTGTTGATATTGAGGGAGCGAATGGCCTGAATGTTCGGAGGAGCAACCGACATTGCTAAAGTAACTGGCGCTGAGTGTGGATGGGTAATGGTCAGAGAAAAAAGTCTGCCAGGTGCAATTCACAGCTGAAGGAGGTGTTGGTTGGGTCGAGAGGGTGATGGCGAGGATGGCGAGGGATGATGGCGAGCGAGATGAGGAAGAAAGGGGAAGGGTGAAGAAAGGGAGAAAAGGTAATCCTGCGCTCGCGGGTCATAGGTGGGGGTCGGCGGAAGTGGGAGAGATAGGGGTCAATGGAAGGGGTTCCAACAATGCATTGTACAACGTTTCCTTGATCATGCAAATGGTCAACAGCAACAATGGCATTGAGAGCATGAAGCAGAAGGATTCAGAACCACAGAGGCAATCATTTGTTCTTCAAAACGAAGAACAGGGTGCCAATGTTATGGTCGAATGTAGAAAGTAGGAAGATGGCAAAGTGTCAACTAGCGATTCGAAGGCAGCTTTCAAACGAAATTAGATTTATTTCCTGGGCTGCACCGATGGATGTACTAAGCGAAAGAAAAAAAGAAAACGGACCGCGTAACAAAAAAATAAAATGTATTGGCTGCTTAGTGCTCAGGGCGAAGAGACAAAGTGAGAAATGAACGCGAAAAGAGACAGCCAGTCAGAAGGCAATTCGGGAACGGAAACGAAGAGGGATCAGTTACTCCGCCCTGTCAAAGAAACTACTTCGATTTTGCACTCGTGACAAAATCGGCTACTGTACCGGTTGTTGCAACCTGCCCTCATGACTGTGCACAAAAACATGATATCATCTTCATCAACAACACAGAGGCCAAAAAAATAGTCGTAAAAGCCCGTAGCACGAGAGAACGATACGCTCTTTTGTGGACTAAAAGTTATGTGAAGGTGGTCTTTTGTCAGACTTAAAAAGAACGTGTGTGCATATGTGGCGAGTGTGGATGAAAAATCATTCTGAAAGAATTAGAGAAAAATCATTTTCATGCGTCATGGTGGACACTCATTCCTCTTTCCCTCGCACATCTTTTTTTCTGATTTCCGCACATGGAGCCCTCTCACTATTCCACTCTGGCTTTTCCCCCTCTCGCTCATCCATGCCTCTTTTTTTCTCTCCCTCTCATCACTTCCTCCGCCTTTCTCACTCACAATCACATCCATCCGCCCTCTTTCCCCTCTCTCGTCTATCATTCTCACACGTACACGCACCGCCTTCTTTCTTCAGTCACTCCTCAATAATGGATTCCCTTTCCTGTTTACCCTCCGAGATCCTACACCTCATTCTTCACCAGCTCGCTCGCGACAACAAAGTTGGCTCTCTGGCAGCTCTCCTCCAAACCAGCAAGTACCTCGCCTCTGCCACCCTGCCTGTCCTCTACAACAACCTTTTTCGACATAATTTTCATGGAGCTTTGACGGCAACAAAGTACAGAGCCCGACAGTCGTACGAGGTGCTCGTCCGAATGTTAGTATCTCAACTACCCCTTACCTCCTTCTCGCCAGTCATGTTGCATGCCCTCGGAGCCAACAAAACAGCCGCGCAGTCTACCACAGTATCTCCTTCCCTTGACTACTTTGCTCACATCCGCCACCTCAACCTCCGACCAGAGGCCATTGTGCCGGATCACTTTTGGCCACAAGGAGAGCCTCCACCAGATGCATTTGCGTGCATGCAGGGACCAGAGTTCTCGCAAATACACTGGACGTACAGCTTCTTGCAATCTCACATATGGCGTTTTGATCTCACCTGTGAGCCTATCCAAATGTACTACCGAGCTGTTCTTTATCGCGAGATCAATTGGCACCTCACCGTTGGGATCCTCGAGCAGCTCAAATCGATCTCCATTTCGTTGTCCGACCTCGATCGCTTCTACGGTATCATGAGTCGCCTGGGCAGTCTGGAGCATATGGAGTTCATCTTGGACGTGGCTATCGATTACAACTGGGACTATTTCGGTGGCGTGTCAAGGGAACTCATGAGCTCGCCAAAAGCATGGGAGGTGGACCTAATGCCAGCTATGATTCAGTTTGTCAAAGACCACACTCAACAATTCCCAGGCCGTCTCAGGACTGTGTCCTACTCCAACGGTGGTTTGTGGAATGATCTAGAGCAGAAGTGGCCCGAGGAGACCAAGCTTGAAATCCTTCGGTTGCTACCACCTCTCAGGAGCCCGACATCCCTACACAGAGACAATGTCCAGCATGTCACCCTTCACTTCGACTCGACAGACGTCAGCCACGTTCAAGAAATTTATTGCTCTCGGTCATTCTCGTCTAGACCTTGGTTTGCTGCTTTCCGCAACAATCTGCATCTCATTCAGCGCTGTCGGGCACTTAAAAGTCTGGATATGGATACGCACGGACCAGGGACGTTTAAATGGGCTGTCCAGGAAAAGAAGGCTTTGAGCAGTGGAAAAAAGGTCTCGTGGTTGGATAGGAGTCGATCTGCGTATTTGTATCTAGAGCACGGTCTAGTGTCACTGGAGGAAGTTCACCTCAAAGAAGGGGCAGGAGAACCTCTCACGGATGAGCTTGATGACATTGTCTTCGCATTCGATCAGACACTGAAGAGCATCAAGTTCTCATCCATGTACCTGTCATCGCTTCCTTCTCGACCGATTCACCTTGGACGAGGATGGGTGGAGATTGCTGCATTGGAGCACCTTTCATTCTACACCAGACGACTTGTATTGGACCGGCATTTTTTCAAGCTTTGTCCAAGTCTCAAAACTGCGCGCCTGTATGATGGTAGTGATCCAGACCGCTGCCAGGACGTCACAACATGTCTCCCAGCGGATCTCCCCAGTCTCGAGTCTTTGACTTTGATCGGATGGTGCGCTTTTCAACTCCACCCAGAGACGTTTCATTCAACACCGAATCTCCGAGAACTGACAGTGGGGTCGAGAAAAAAGGGAGATCTGAACTACTTTGCTCCAGCCACTGATGCACCACACGGGGGGTTTGACTTTCAGGACGAAGCTACTGAAACCATCATGTCGACCCGAGCAAGAGCAGCTGAGATTGTACGGACTCTTTGGACCTGGGACTGGCATCTACCCAGCCTGAACCACCTTGCCTTGACAGGCGAGTTTGCCTACCAGTTTCAATTCCGCATGCTCAATGAATGCCCTGCAGTGGAAAAGTTAGATCTGAACAATAAGACATATGACGGACGACTTGACCGGGTGCTATCATATGCTGACCTTTTATTGTCTGGCAACATCAAGTCCAATGATGACAGCCCTGTAGGCACCCTGCTACAGACCGTTGTTGCGCCAGCTCTACAGAGTCTACGTCTGATGGGCTCTTGGAGAATCGATGACTCTCTCCTCCCACAGTTCTTGACTGTCATGACGCCAAACCTCGACACTCTGGATGCATTTGGGTTAAAAGGGTTCACACTCAAGGCACTGGCGGATGTAGTCAAAATGCAGCCCAATACGATCAAGAAGGTGTATTTCCGCCGTCCTAACCCCTCTTCCAAGGACAGTGTTATTGATGCAGGACTTTTATATCACGTCAATGTAAATTCAATGAAGAGACAGGAGGAGGCTCGACTTGTGAGAGTCCATTTCGATGAGGCGACATATTTTGTCATGAAGGATCCTGCTGTTGTTAATGATGGATCAGAATAAAAAAAAGGAGATTTCTCTTTGTTCTTTGTTTTTGGTGTTCGGGCAGAAAGAGTAAAGACAAAAGACAAGTGAAAAGAGTTACGAATGAACCAGTATCCCGATCTGCCGTGATATATTTTATCTTCTCAAAGGAGAGGGAAAGCCGGAGTGGAAAAGTGAGAGGGCCCATTGTGTGGAAATCAGGTCTGTGAGGGGAGGAATAAAGAGTGTCCACCATGATGCATAAACATGATTTTTCTCTAAGTCTTTCACAATAATTTTTCATCCACACTCGCCACATATACACACACGTTCTTTTTATCATTGTCCATTGAAAGACCACCTTCAACACTTCCCATATAGCTTTTTGTCCACAAAAGAGCGTATCGTTCTCTCATGGTGCAGGCTTTTACGACGATTTTTCTGGTCTCTGTATTATTGGCGAAGATGATGTTACGTTTTCTGTGCAAAATCGAAGTGGTGATAAGATTTGATTTCATGCCACCAAAACCACCACTTGACAGGGCGGAGTAACTGATCTCTCTTCCCTGGCGAGGTCTTGGATAATATCGTCGGTAATCTACAGGACACCTCCCCTCGGCAACAGCAGCCATCGGTTCTTAGGCAGATTGAGCAACAGTCGGCACATCCCCCGAAACACAACCCATTTTCCACAATGCGACCCATCTCGCCAACCGATCCATCATCCTCCCCGCAGAATACTCGTTTTGCGCCGCCAGAAAATAATTACACCCGCAAAGTCAAAAGCAGCAGAAAAAAACTTGACGAGTCGGCTCTTCGAACCAACAAAGCACTCGCCCACAAATACGCCAAAGAAGTCATGACAAAGCTTGCGGCCCAAATGGATCTCAATGCCTTGCATGCAAAAGGAGGTGGGGCCCTTGGAAGGCCCTGGAGTGCTACCTCAAAGCTGTTCGTCAGAGTCATGCGCATGCCCAGGTCTCTGTCGGCGACCTCTTTTCGGAGGGACAAGGAGTGTCCAAGGATTCATCAGTGGCCATGGGGTGGTATTTTAAGACTGCCTTCCAGGCTGATAGGAATGCACTACGCAAGGTTGAGACCCTTACACTGTACGCAATATACACATTGTCTGCTAATAATTATAAGTCTATATTATACGAGAACGACAAAGTCTGACCGCATTCTCGATTTATTGTTACCATGATCTTAGCTCTCAGCTACGAAGACAGCGGCACCTAATGCACCTATCGACAACACGGCCGACAACCAATGGCGCAACAGCAACGCAACGGATGTTCAGCCTCCCCACATGAACAACGAGGTGCAGATCGCCGCTTCTACCCTTAAATATGTCGACCGGACATTGCTCGATGCTGGTTTAGGAAACCGGTACTCTCAGGTTGCTGCGGGCGACATGTATATGAAAGGCAAAGGGGTCCCACAAGATTACCAAGCAGCTATGGATTGGTACCTGAAGGCAACTGAGCAAGGAGATCCTGCCGGTCAACGTAACGTCGGGCGTTTGCATTACTACGGCCATGGCGTCCCTCGGGACTATTCGGCCGCCATGAGCTGGACTCTTAAAGCCGCCAACCAGGGTTACTCGCCCGCGCAGCGCAACGTCGGCCTTCTCAATAAGCTTGGCCAAGGTGTACCCCAAGATGATGAACGAGCAATGTTCTGGCATCTCAAGGCCGCCAATCAAGGATTAGCGATTTCTCAAGAAACAATTGGGGATTTCTATAGCAATGGCCTGGGTGTGCCCCGGGACTATACGAAAGCAGCCGAGTGGTATCGAAGAGCCGCTGACCAGGGACACGCCTACGCCGAGACATCATTGGCGTACATGAGGAAAAAGGGTCAATTTTTAGTTAGAACAAGATCGAACATGTGTGTGTGAGAAAATAAAAATAAAACACAAATCACGAAACGCGATTTTCAACGCGAAGAGAGTTTGACGGTACAATTGTTGAGATGAGTTTTGACTGCGAGAAGGAACGTAGGATCTTGATCAAGATAGAAAGCTATTCATCCCTCCTAATCCGTTTCAAAGTTTCTTGCGGTTGACCTGTAGAAAAAAAGGTGGGTCAGAGCTTTGTTGTTTTCGTGTAGAACTTTTTTCTTGGTGCGTTTGGTTCCCTCCCTCCTCCCATTGCTGTCCCGCACGTTGGTGCTACTTTTTCTCACTCGACTACGCTTCACATATCCGCTACTTCAATCTGCAGTCAGATGCGGAACTCTTTTGGCCGCAGGGAGATTCTTCACCTGAGACCTTCATGTGTATCATGGAGTCAGAGTTCACGCACTTATTGCTGACATATCTCCTTCTGCTACACGACAGCATGTCCCCTCGATTCTGTTTGAAGAACTTAACCGAGTGTACTATCGAGCCGTCCTCTATAGTGAGACCAACCGGGTCCCTTTTTGCAACCCAATTCTCGAAAAGCTTCACTCTCTTTCGACACTCTGGATGGAAACAGGGCTCCAAGGATTTCACGATCAGGGAGGGCTGGTGGATGTTGTGAAGGCGGTACTTAGCAGTATCGAAATGAGATGTCGAAGACAAGCCCGACCTTCGTCCTAGAGACAGCAAATGATGAGGGGCATTGGAGCGCCCTTTTTTGTGTGCTGGGGTGTTACGGAGATGGGTTGGATTTATTTTTTTTGTTTTGGTACAATCGTTCTTTCACAACCCAGGGCAACAACCACGGCACATTAACCCTTACGAGTATGTAATAAAGTGCTAACATTTATTGTAAATGAATTTCCCTCGCCACGCCATCTCCTGACAATCCCCAAAAAAAATGCTTTTCTAAATAAAAGGGTTGTAGGGTTGTATTTAGGCCATGTCGGCATCCGAGCCCGAATCATCATCATCTCCTGAAACCTCTGCGTTCTCCTTGTCAATTCTTGCCAACAGCTGGTCAAGCTCCATATCATCCGCCTCAGTAACAGCCTTGGGCTATTTGTTGTTGTTGTTTTTTTGATCAAAAGTAAAAGTAGTAACCAAGTTAATTTCAGGGACATCAAATGAAGACACCATTGGAAAATGGATACATCCAAACGCCTCAAAAAAGAAACAAAAAAAAACGACACGTACGCTCATCTTGGTGACCATGTTGCCTTTGTTCTTCTTGATGCTCTCCTCGAGGACAACAATAGCCTTCTCCATGGTATCAATTCCGAGCTGCTTATCCAGAGCATTGGTGATCATGACATAGAGTGGGGGAGCGACAAGCTTGACACGGATGGGCACCTCGGGCAAGGACTGGGCCTCGGCCTCCCTGAAGGCGATCTTGATGGCATCAATACCCTCATAGTCGAAGCATGTCACCTCGATATCAGCACGGATCTTGATAGGCTGTGGTGTCAAACGGCGCTTGATGTTGTTCAACAGCTCCTCCCTTGTGCTCTCATCAATCTCCAATCCCTCGAACACCTTCTCGGACTCGCTATTTAGTTCAATGGGGTGAAACGCAAAATAGCCGTTAGAAAGATGCTCATAATGAAAAAGACCTACATGTACAAAGAGTTGTTCTTTCCACGATGGCATTGCAATTCATCGACTCCAGATATTCCTGCTGGCAAAGACTTACTTGAGGGCGGCCTTGAAGGCATCGTATGCGTGGCCGTACTTGGCGTACAAGGGCCAAGCCAACTGCTCGTAGAGAGCCTCGAGGTCCTTGTTCTCCTTCTTGGCGACAGTCGACATGATCGAGTGCACGGCCTTGGACTTGTTGTAGCGCTCCTCGCACTTGACGATATCAGTCGCCGAAACACGACGCTTCGACAAATCAATGTAGCCTTTTGAGATATATTGGAGGTGAAAATTGGGGATGAGTTTCGTTGGACATGACTTGAGGTTGACAATAACGAGTAGTCTCCTTGGTATGTCGGTCTGGATCCAATTGTCATAAATGTGATCGCGCCGTTGAAATCGCGCCCAAAGCCTCGGTCGATCCTGATCCCTGCTTGATCTCGGGTCATTTTTTTCGCCTGCGCATCGAGTACAGGTTTCCTGGTATCAGAAGTGGCCCCTGACGGGATGATGAGAGGAGCGCTCCGCGTAAGGCGGGCTAAATTCTTCGCCGCAGTAAAAATCATCTCGCCTTCCCATTGAGTCATATTCGACGCATTTTCTCTCCCTTTTGCGCTTTGCTGGTCCAGTGTTACTGTTTAGTTGACTTTCGTAGTGTCGGTCCTTGAGGATATCCCGTACTCCCGTCATGGCTGTTGACTCCTTTAGCGCCCATATCCAACGACATGTACAAATCCACCACAATCACATCCAGAAAGCAACAGGAAATAATAAAAAAAAACACCATCAAAACTCCAACGAAAAGAAGACTCACCCTTCTCCTTATCAACACGGAGAACAACAACAACCTCGTTCTTGCCAACACGAATCAGCTTCTGGATGGACCGAATACGACGGCGGGAGAGCTCCGACAACAAGATCATGCCCTCGATGTTGTCGTATTCCAACAGCTGGACGTAGGCGCCCATCTCGGCGATTTGGCGGACGTTGACCATCACCAAGTCATCCACTATTTTTCATTGAGTGGTTTGCAAAGAGAGGAAGTGGGGTTTGAGGGAGGGGCGAGGGTTAGTTGGCGATTCGTGGGTGCTGCAAAACGTCGATCCGTTATTGTGAGCGAAAGAGGCGTTGGATGTTGAAAGCTGAGAGGTGCGAGAGAGTGTGTGTGAAGTGAAGAAGAGGGATGGGCTGCGGCGGACCTTCGGGGAACTTGTTGGCGTACATGCGGCATTGGAGTCTTCCGGACGACATGATGTATGCTGTTTTTTCTTGGTTGAGTAAGAAGGATAAAGAATGAAAAAAAGTATGCACAGACAAGTCTCTTGTGTAGTAAGTGTGGTGCCTTGTTTTTTTGTTTTCTCCTGGCCGTTGCAGTGAAGGGCTCTGAGAGCGTGTAAAAATGGGTAGAAATGTTTTGATTTGAGCAAAGCCACACTTCCTAGGAATGATTTGGCTGAAAGAATGAAGATCGACTGGGGCACAGAACATACACGCACACACGATAGATTTCATTCAAGAGAGGCACCGCGAGGTCACCATTTTATTTTTTCGTTCTTCATAGAAGGTTGGTAGCGATGGGGTAGTGGATTGCAGGACAAAACATTAGGGATATATATGCGGGCTGATGACGCCCAAGGAAAAGAGAAAAGAAAACAAAAAGCAACATAAATAAATCTAAATCACAGGCGAAAGCTATTGAAGAGCAACTGAAAAGTCGCGGATGGGTCGCGATTGCTCCAATTCAAGAGCATACCACAGGCACTCCTTGGCACGGACCAAACGGTCAGATGCCTCAAAGACCTTGCCCAAATAGAACCATGCCTCGGCAGAGTTCCAGCCCTGCGACTTGGTCGTCGTATCCAACACACTCTCAGCCATCTCCAAACTGCCGGCCTCCAAGTATGACTGGCCGACACGGGTCAGACATGCTGGGTGGTAGGGTGCCAATGCGAGTGCTTTTGAGAACGACACCGAAGCCGTCTCTTGATCTCCTTGAGCAGCGTACAACAAGCCCAACTAACACATGAAGGTAAAGAGATAATGTCAGAATATGTACTCAATGCCTCGATGACTAAATATGAACCTGTTAAGAACAAACTGGCGATGAGACTTACGTTGTACCAGACATCGGGATTGGAGGCATCGATGTGCTCAGCCTCTTCAATTGCACGGATGGACTCCTCCATCCTGTCAAGGCGACGGAAGGCAGAAGCAGACAAGAGCCAGAGAGTGGCCAGCACCTTGTTGGCTCTAGAGGTGCGTTGGACTGACTTTGTAGTAGGGCGCTGAACAGCAGCAGGTGCACTCAGCAATGACTTTGGCAAAGTCGAGCTCCCTGAAGAAGCAGCAGCAGCTGGAATCAACTTGCTTCTCTTCTTTGAGCCCGATGAGCCAATCGATGTAATTGATGATGCATAGTTGGCCTTAGGGATATCTGTATGGATATAATACAACAAGCCTTGACATTTAGTAAAATGTAATATTCACAACATTACTTGCCTTCGAAGAACGATGAGAAGAAAGACTTACCGAGGTTGCTACCGTTGCTGGGGCTGAGGCCTTGGCCAATGTCAGAGGCCCCGCTCTTACTGCGGACGCTCAGGATACTGCCAGCACGGGGACGACCAACAACGGTCGATCCAGTGTTGATCTCAATATCACTCTGGTCCCGACGGCGAATGTTCTGAATATCGTACAAGCTCTCGCCAAGGGAGCTAGGTTCGGGGGCAAAGACCTTGGTGTAGAGAACAAACAGAGCCTCCTGGGGTTCCAATGCTGCCTCGGCACCGTTGACCTGCTCAATAAGGGCAGCCTCTGTGATACGGAGTGCAAGGTAGTCCTCGCCATCCGACTGGGAGGCAGAGAATCCATCTGTCTGGGGAAGATCCCAGTCAGACTCCTTCAAGCCAACAGTGCAAATGCTCAAAGCACGCTCATAGTCCTTCTGAGCAGAGAGCAAGAGGACCAACAAGTGCCACGAAGGGATGTGAGCTGAGTTGACGCCCAAGCTCTGCTTGACAGACACAATGGCCTTGGGAACATCTCTCATCTCTGCCTGCTGGACAGCCAAGTAGTAGTGGGCCTCATAGGCACCAGGGGCAATCTCAATAGCCTTCTCAAACGACTCGATCGCCTTGGTATACAACGAAGGGCGTGCCTCAGGCTCCTGGGCTAATTAAAGTAACAATTGGTAACCAGGTAACATATGAGTAATTGTGTGGCAAATTAATAGCATGTCGAGCAATTCTGAATTGGAAAATGACATACCCTGGGCGGCCTGAAGGCCATAGGCGATGCCGCGGTAGGTGTTGGCGTAAAAGCTGAGTTCCTTGGCCTCCTCCTGGTCAAGATACTGCTGAATGTTGCTCAAAGCCTTCTCGGCGCAGGCAAGAGCCTCAGTGGCCTGGCCAAGTTCCTTGCCGTAAAGGCGAGATCCCTCAACCATGACGGAAGTAATGTCGTACTCTGATTCAATGTCCAGACGAATGCGCTGCTCATTAGTGAGAACCTCCTCAGCAACAGTCGACTTGACCTTGAGGTTGATCTCTGCCAAATCCAGATATGACTTCAAAGCCAAAACAGCCTCGTCGTATTGACCCATCTCAACCAAGGCAAAGAACAAGAAGCGAAGGATGCGGGGAGACTGGAAAGTCTTTTGCGAAGCCCTGTAAATCGTCTATGAAAATGAAAGAGAAGATTGGATATTAGGACTCGATGCTCGATACTCGTTGTTTGCACTTGCATCAGGCCATATAGTAATGGATATGATACGTACCTCTACGAGAACGCGCTTGTCGGCGTCGTTGCTGGGTCCAATCAGCTTCCTGTCTTCAACGATCTGCTCAACCATGCCCAGGACACGCCAGTTCTTCTCATCTGCCTTGGGGAAGGCGGTAACGGCGTACAGAGAGTCTTCCCAGTATGCATGAATCTGTGCGATCTCCAGGCTCAAAGCAGCGGGTACGAACTGTGATTGCTCACTATTTATGTGGTTGAAAATAGCATGCTGTTGTTAGAAACTGTCTCATTTCTCTCCATATAAACAACATTTTTTTCATTAGAAAGTGCTGTTTGACTTACTCGGTGGTGACATTGCCCTGAATATCGTGAGTCTTGAGCGAGCTCGACAATGCAGCGGCAAGGTGGCGATAGACAGTCGCGCGGCGAGCAAGGCGGAACTGGCCGGGCCAGAGCTGGGCCTGGTTGTGGTAAGCACGGAACGAACGGATAGCAGCGAGCTGGTCTCTATTTTTGTGAATATTGTCCATTCCGTGTAAGTGTGCAATTCACATCCTTGATGGGAGGTATTCGAAACATTATGAAGAGGCAACTTACCCTTGACGGAGCTTGAGCATACCGGCCCTGTAGAGGGCGTGTTCAGTCCAGGATACCAATTCGTCGCTGCGCTCGTTGGGGTTGGACTGGACGAGGAGGGAGACATTGTCGTAGGAGACGATGGCCTCTGTTATCCTGCCTTCTTCCTCTAGGGTCATTCCCTTGACGGTCAATCCACAGACGACGAGAGCAAAGTTGTAACCCATGGGAATCCTGGCAGGTGGGAGTTGGATGTTTTGAAGGTAGTGAGCCACACGCTGGAGGCGATCGGGTGCATCTGTTGCCAATGCAGATCTAGCCAGGACAATAGCAGCGTACTACAACAAAGCAATTTGAAAAGTGATCGAAATAAAGCAAGGATTGTTAGAACGTTAATATAACAATTAGTGAATCAGCCAATGGTACTCGGACATGGTGCCGTTTGCTTCAAAAAAGATTGAAAGGACGTACTTCCTGATGCTCCTCAGTTCCGCGAGTGAGAACACCCTCTAACTTCTCGATAGCTTCCTGGATGATGCCAGGGCTGACCAATGGACTACGGGCAATCGATTCTGGTGTATCGTCCAACGAAGCCGATTGAGTCCAGTTCTCAGCCTTGCGCGCCTTAGCTTCAGCCTCACCGACAGTCATCTCCAGCAACGCAGTGTTGGCAAGGACTATTCATTACATGGGAGTTTGTTATTTGTGGGGTTAGCCATCTGGCATTGCTGCGATGTATGTTTGCATGAGGTTGCAATTGCCCTTAGTCATCTCCCGAGAAAAGGCTGTTTGTTATTTTTGTCGATGGTGGTGGTGCTCCTCTTTTGTTGTTGTACTCCTTGTGCGCCTCTGCACAATGCCTTCTTTACTTTCTGGTCCTTGCAGCAAAAACTCTCAAGTTTCACTCTAAAGCGACAAACACGGCGCTTAAACCTCAACCAGCTTGTCCACAAGGTGCGCCTCTGGTTGCTTGTCATCCTGGCTGTTGATTGCCTGGCTTGCTGGTCCACCTTTGATGCCCAGTATCGTGTTCTACTCCTGTTCCTGAAAAGCCGAGTGTTGGCTGACGCGGTGCCTGGGAAGGTAATAAAAAAGAGGGCCAGTTGCAGTGCTTACCGACACCATCCTTGTTGTGCTTGACATAGCGACGAGCAAACTCGGGGAAAGTAGTGTAGTTTGCCTTTGCTCTTGCGTTCTGAAAGTCGCGCTCGATAACCTGTGCTTTGGGAGTGAGGTTCATCGTTGTAGTAGATGTAGGGTGAGGTTTTGTAAGTTGGTAGGTGTTGATGGGTAGGAAGGATGAAGTAGTTGGGAGTAATTGGCGACAGAGGGGATGAAAGAAAGTGAGAAGGAGAGATTGATGAAGGAAGGAGAAGGAGAAGGAAGGAGAGGGAAGGAAGGAGCTGATGTCGATCAGGGAAGGGGCAGTGAGGAGTTGATGATGGAGAAAGGAAAGAAAGTAAGAACAAGAATGACAACAAGGGAGATGAGATAAAAGGGTGTGGAGAAGTGAAGGGACGGAGGAGTGACTGACAGTTGGCAGTTTCGAAGGAAAGGAGGGAGGAGTGGGGTGGAGTAGGAGGCACTCGTTGGGTTTCTGTTGGCAGTTGGCGGTAAGAGAAAAGTAGGGTTTAGGTGGAGATAGGTGTTAACGGGTTCATACAATATAAAGTGAAGGGGAGCGTGTTAGCCCAATGCGATTTGTGCATGGATATGTTGTCCGTTGGGAGAACGAACGAGTCGCAAGTGCGTTTCTGTCCGAGAGCACTCCGCTAATTAATTTCTGCTTTCTCTCTCTCTCTCTCTCTCTCTCAAAATACACTTCACATATGAACTAGACCGCGATTTACATAGACATCGCCTTCGACATGGTTGGTTGCTGCTCCATCAGAGCAAATTCCTCTCTTTACCTCCACTTATTTCATATGTCAACCACAAACCTTACTCTCTCCTCCCCTTCATCCCTCGGCTGGCTGGCTGGCTGGGGCCACAAAACACACCTCACCCACAGACACCAACAAACAATTACTCCTAACACTTCCACCCAGCCAGCACACAAACCAGCCACCCGGTTGGCTCTCTCTCTCTCTCTTTCTTTCGCTTCGACCGCCTCGTTTCGTTTCGTTTCGTTTCGCTCCTTCCCCCGAAAACCTTGTCCTCGAACCAGGTCCCCTCATAGTTCTCCCCACTCCCACTACTCCTATCGCCTTCTCTGTTCATATTCTACTTCACGAAGAATTGTCCACTGTTCACTGCCCAGTTGTCACTTGCATGCAAAAAAACTTGCTCACATTATTCTTCATTTTTAGTTGCCTTATACATCTGGATGTTTACTTTGACATGCTACCAACCTGGCGACTCATTTTCTTTCACTTTATACTCGGGCTATCGTTTCTTCACTTGTTGACGTGGGCGTCAAGTCGCCTTATCGTAGCACATGTTATTGCATGGTCGTTGTTGGTTGCTTTTCTTTCGTAGAAAACCCAGTCCAGGTTGTCCCATGTCATATCACAGCTTGGGTATGCATGTGCTATCTATCTCTCATGATTATGAGGTAGTACAAGCACTGGTACGTACTCTCAGGAATGAAAAGAAAAGAAAAGATAGACTCAGCATGAGAGTGCGTGCGTGCATGGCTTGCGAGGAATGCTGGCGAGCCTTTCTACTTCAGAAAGACTTTTTTTTTCTTCTTTTGGTCCCTTTTCTGTCAGACGACTTCGGGAGGGGGGAGGAGGGGGGTTGCGTTTGTTCACACACTGTTTCTCGCATACCTAACTGAGAGTCTCGTGAGAAAAGCATGGAGAGAGTGTCTGACCTTCTGAAAGTTCATACCTCAGATTGGCCTTCCCGTTGGTCAATGCACCTGCGCATTAACTTTGTTTGTGGAGGTAAGCTATCTCACAGGCAATGGTTCTCACACTCGCTTTCATACAAGACCATTCACAGCAACCACGGACAGTAACAAGTTACATGCCATTGATAACCCCAAAACAAAAGGATAGACTTGAGAATGAAGAGTGAATGGACCTGCAGGGAAAGTTATCCTAGCTGGTTTGGATGCTAGGTTTGAGCATCGGCGCCAACACGGAGTCCATTACCACGTGAACCTTACGAGTTTGTTACTCTGTGGTGAGAAGAATAACATCAGCACGAATGAAGAGGAACAAACGACCCCTGAACATGGTGGGGACCAAGTTATTTGTGTTTCCACCCAACAACGCGCCCACCTACACATGACCGAAGGATGCCGAGTTCAATGGCATCGCCCATGGTATATGTAATAGTATTCTGATCTCAGGGGCGACTGGGGACAAATGACGGAATGTCCATCATTTCAGGAGGCGTTTATCTTCTCTTGACCTCTTTGTTTTCGTGCCGATAGGGCGCAAGAGAAGGAGGAAGGATGTAAACAAAGCATCATTGTTATCCTGACTGGCGGGTTACTGTTCCCGACAAGACAAGGGAGAATTGAAAAAGAGAGTGAGGTGGTGAGTGAGAGTCGAATTTTTTTTAGATTTATCTGTCTCCACAAGGCCCGAGCAAACCAGCTCATGAGGCGCCCCAAATGGTTCATGTGTCGGAGCTCGCCGCGGAGCGAGAGAGTGAGCGAGGCGCATGTTGTTTGACTAATGGTGCCATTGTAGCATGCCTGGGACATGGTTGCTGAGATGGACGGACAAGGCGGCGGCGCTATTCTTGACTCTTTTTGTGTGAAGGGAAGGAAGAAGGGATGCGCATGCATTGATGGACGGACACGGGCTGCATTTCATTCAAATTGCACAGGAATGGGCTCGATTGCTCGCGGGATGACAATGCCGCCTTGGAAAAGGGAAAGAAAGGAGAGGCATACTGCATTTTTCTCCTATTTTGTTGTCTTTGTTTGTTGGTGTCATGCAAAAATACAAAGGAAAGCGTAGCAGCAAAAGGCTCCTGTCCACTTGTGGTTGTTTGTGTCTGTCAAGGCTGGACTGGACCCATTTCGCCCTTTGCTTCGAAAAAAACAAGAAATGCGCTTCGGTAAGCATCTGCAGGAATGTCATCGAATATGTTGTGCGAGGGAAGGAAAGCGAGGAAGGAAGGGAAGGGAGTCCTGGCATCCCTCTTCCCTGCCTCTGTTCTTACTCAATTTTAATATTTGTTCGATCGTGTGTCTTGTAGGCATGGTGTTGGTATGCCCTCGGGTGTATCAAATGGGCTGGACCCGGTTCCCCCTTTCCAAAAGGACTGACTACGTACTTGTTGCAATACAATACGGCGTCCTTGAGGGAGTAATTTTTTTTTTGGACTGTGCTTGCATGTCTCTTTTGCATGGTCCTATTAGGCGGGGCCCCCTCCGTCACCCCTTTCTTTTCTTATTGTTGTCTCTCGAACATCCTTGAGAACCCGTCCTACCTTTCATCCTATTTTTTACTTTGTTGTTGACATTTTTTTTATTTTTCATTTTTTATTTTTTATTTTTTACTTTTTATTTCTTATCTTTTATCCCTCCGTCCCTCATCGTTCCTCCCTCCACTCGATCCTCTCCTCAGCCCAATATCCCACAAATCCATATCTCCTTACACCCTTTTTTCCTTGCTTGGCACCCCAGAACAACACAATAGCTGTGCCACCTCTTTTCCTGTAGTCAGGTAACAATAATGAGTTGTTGAATGAGCAATGGATGAAGAATTAGAAACCAAGACAAGAGTAGTTCACGCGGTGATATGATCAGAGTGATATTCAGGAACAGAACAGGTGGTGATTGATCACCAGTGGCGATCATCCATCACCCTCTATTCCAAAAACACGACCAGCCCTATTCGAGGGATGTCAAATTGAATGGACCCATTGGCCTGACCATTTGAGGCGATGCTTTGGATGACAACTTGGGTGGGACCATAAGAAAAAAGAAAAGAGGCATTGGGCATAACTTACACCCTCAGATTCTACTTTCTTCCATCATCATTGCATCCCCCCTTTTTTCCTTCTTTTTTCATCCCTCCTTGTTCTCGTCTCTCGTTCCTCGCCCTTGTCTCTTGTCCCTAGCATCCCAGTATACACCATTCATTCTGCATCCATCCCTCGATCCAGTCCATACTCCACCACTTTTCTTTTTTCTTACACCCCCCTTCCCCTCACTCTCTGTCTCTCCCTCCCTTCTCCCCAGCCCGCTCCCATTTCCTCTTGTTCTTTTTACTACGCTCCCACTACCTGTCCAGCCAGAGCGTGCCTCTCCGGCACATACATATCATTTACGAATACTTTTACTCCCCCAGAGCCAGCCTGGGATCGGACGCCCTTTTTCTTTTTCCTCTCCCCATTTTCCTTTCTTCTCCTTTCTTTCCTCTTCTTTCCTTTCCACCTCTTTCCTTCACTCTTCATCTTCCTCACACATACCCACCTCTCTCTTTCTCTCCTCCATACTTCGATCGCCCTTCAGGATTCGATACTCTTCCCTCGGTCCTCATTCTTTCTAATCCCTCCTTCTCGCGCGCGATAGTTGAGTTTCTACTCGCCTTATGTAATAACCACACACACCCTTCTCTCTCCCCCATTGACCGAACTTGATCACTTTGACTTCTGCCTCCCCCTTCCCCATACTCATTCCCTCATTCACCACACTCACACTCACTCTTTTCTCTCTTTGCTTTGCTTTGCTTTGTTTAGCCATATCCTCCAGTTGAACAACTCACTCCTTCCTCCTCGGACATTTTCATCCTTTATCTGTTCTCTCGAGGGACCAGATCCGAGCCTTTTCACTCTCTCCTTACCCCTTCCTTCAAACAAACACACACAGACGGGCACCAGATATGATGAAAGAGATGAGAGACCGCGACGCCAACCCCAACGGCAACAGCAACAACCCCAACAATGTTAACAACTCCAACAACTCACAGGATATCACCTCCATCACCGAGCTGCAGTCTATGCTCGCCCGCTTCTGGGAAGCACACTCCAGACAGTTCAAAGGTAACCATTCCAGCCCCACCCCAGTCCAACTCTCTTATAACACTCTGCCGCAGTTCTTTTCTGTCGCTTCTTTTTTCAACACCCTCCCGTGTCACAGACCTTCCAACATTCTTTTTATTGTTGGTCAGACTGTCATGAAAACAGTCTGGACTTTTTGTCCTTTCTTGGTTGGCTGTTTGTGTACTGCCTTTTGAGGGCGTCCAGGTCGCATCTGATTATTTTTATCCCTCCCATGCCCTTTGTGTATCCCACTGAGACGGTGCACGAGGACGCCGAGGGAGGGAAGGAAAGAGGGAGAAGAGGCGCCCTTTTTTTTTCTATCCCGCCAGCAGGCAGCAGGCAGCAGGCGACCCATTTGACCCGGTCACCCGCCTGCCCGCTTCTGGACCACGCACCCATCCAACGCTACGCTACGCACCACCACCATTGTTGCGCGAAAGGGGAAGGAGCACATGCATATCTATGTACAGGAGCAAACAACAGCTGCCAAAAAAAGGGGGGCGGGAAAATTCACCATGGTCACCTGTGAAAGTCAAAGAGATGGATGGGTTGGATGTATGATGATGAGGTGGATGGCGAAGAAGGAAAAGGGGAAGGAGGGAGCTTAGGAGGGGGCGAGGCCGAGGCAGAGACAAAAAATAGATGGAGGGTGAGGAGGACGAAGAGCATGGGGATATCCAAGTTGGTTTGGTTGCCGCGGTTCCCCCTTTTTTTTTGATATTTGTCTTGGCTCTGTCTCTCCTTGTACAGAAACATGCATTTTGGTTTTCGTTGATGCTGTTCAGCTCGCACCAATTCTCACAGACTTACACACACGCACACACACACACACACACACACACACACACACACACACACACACACATACACATGTACACAACTGTAACACAGAGCGCGTGGAAGGAACAGAAGTAAGAAGATCAAACCGACCCCAACAACGTAACTAATCACAAAAATCTCCGTTCCCTCCTCTTCATCCATGGCGCAATTATCCCCTCTACAACAGAGATCGAAGGCTCCCTAACAAGCCAACTATCAACCCTCATCCAAAAGAACGGCTTCCTCTGCCAAAAGATCGAAACCCTCCAACGCAACAACACCGACCTCGAATACAAGTTCTCCATCACAAACTCGGAACTCGAACGCGCCCGGCGGGAATTCAATGAACTCCATGCGAAATACGAGCTCCGGAGCGCAAACTACAAGGATTTGAAGGATGTCTGTTATCAGCTGGATGCTCAGTTGAACAAAAAGAATGGCGTCGCGCCTGAGGAGTCGTTCTTGGCGAGGATTGAGCTGAATTCGGACCGGAAGAAGCGCAGGATGTCGGTCGATATTGCGGATGATGATTCGGATTCGGGCGGAGGGGGTGGGAATGGATATGTGCCGTATGAGGAGGTGGCGCCGGCAGAGGGGTCGATGGTTGCACCTAATTCTCGGGCCATGATGCCTCTTCCTGTGGCAGCAACAGCAGCGGCGGCGACAGCAGCGGCACAGCGTGCGTTGTCTCCACCGACGAATGGGCCTACACAGAGCACTTGGACGTGTCTTTGGAAGAATTGTAACCAGGTCTTTACCGCGCTGGATTGGCTTGTGGGCCACGTGGAAGAATTTCATATCGGTCTCGGCAAAGTAAGATTCCCTTTCTCTCTTTGATTCCCTCGTGTCACTTCAGAAAACAAACACACAAACACACAAGCACACACACACACACACCAACATACTAGTACGCAATGGCCCTCTTTTTGCGACTCATCGTCAGTCATCACTAACCCTTTTACCTCCCCCCATTTTTCTATTATGATTAGTCACAATATACCTGCGAGTGGGAAAACTGCGTCGTCAAGCAAAAACCCTTCCACAAGCACCACCAGGTGATCCGCCACATGAGGACTCACACCGGCGAAAAACCCTTCGTCTGCAACATGGACGGCTGTGGCAAGAAGTTTGCTCGCTCCGATTCCCTCCTCGAACACTCGCGCAAGCATAACGGTACACCGGTTGATTACTACAAGATGTTGGAAATCAGCTCGCAGCGGGAGCATGATGCCAAGCATTTGGATGGACTTATGCTGCAACTTGATACTATCCAGGAGCAGCCTTCTATGTATGGGGATGATGAAAGACAGAGTCATCACCTGTATCGGTCACAGCAGCAGGGAAGGCCTCGGTCTGCTCAGGATGTTGGTGCGGAGGATTCTTTGACAAACGATCAGGTTGGTGGAAGCCGGTCGCTGTCGCCGAACGAGGAGCGGGCTGCTTTGGAGCAGAGACGGGATGAGAACTTGTCTCGCACATCCGTTCGTGAGGCTACCAGCTCTGAGCCCATGGAGACCGACGGTGCCGATAGACCCAAGACTGAAGCAGAGACCGCAACATCCGCTTCTGAACACCCTGCCGCTGCCGCCACTGGTCCTGACTCTCGTAGCCCTACAAACGTCCACGGTCGCGACCATCCTTCTACCTCGTCTTCCTCCTCGTCCCAAGGACGCGTCACTGCCAACTACATGAGCCAAGTCCTCCCCCACCGGCCCATGCAGAACAACCCTCATCAACCCTTCCACTTCCCTGGCATGCCAAACGACATGAAACCCCTTCACAAGACTCGTGGCCATGCCCACACCGCCTCGCTCGGTCTCTCTCGGATGGAAATCCGTGACGTCCCTCGTCCCAAGGAATTCGGGCACTCGCACTCCCGGTCCATGGATTATGGCCATGGTGGCAGCATGGATATGAGGCACCTCCAGCAGCAACAACAGCAGCAACAGGGTTACCGCCCACTTGAGCATGGTCATTCTCAGACGCCGTCGCTTGATTTCTCAAGAATTGACTTGCACTCCAACCACCACGGCCAGCAACACCACAACCAGCACCTGCATCAACTCCAGAGTCACCGGAAAGACCGTGGGCATTCACACACCCCGTCGCTCGAGATGCCACCTATACCCGGACAGCAAATGCATCGTTTGGATGATCGGCGCCAGAACCCAATGCAAGGTGGCTTCTCCTCACAGATGAGTCATGGCGAACAGCAACAGCAGAGACATCATATGATGCAGCAGCAGCTCTCACATCAACAACAACAGCCGCAACAACAACAACGATACCAGCATTCTCATTCTCATTCGCACTCGTTCTCGCATCCCTCCAACAAGGAGCAACAGCTGCAACAGCAACAGGAGCGGGAGAGGGAGCAACAGGCATACTTTCATGCACAGCAGCAACAGAAGCAGCATCACCTTCAACAGCAACAGCGGGAGCAACAGCAGAAAGAGCACATGCAAATGCAACAGCAACGCTCCATGGCACAAACCTCCGAACAGCAACAACAATCGTCCGACAAGTCTGCATCCCTATCCGTCGAAAGGCCACCCTCAACACTCCCCACAGAACCCACCGATCGCTCACCGGTTCAAAGCCCAACACCCCGGACATCTTCTACTCCTACACCTACACCTACGCCTTCTAACAGTACGACGACGGTGGTAGGACCCGAGGAGACAATGGGCCTTGCGCCTCCCACTTCGACAGAGATGTGTGCACCTCGGTCGAGTGTAGGACCTATAGAGCATGATGCCGTTGTGGCCAGCGCTGTTGCTGTGTTGTAAATGGAGCGGAGAAAACCTTTTTTTTTCTTGTTTGCATGTTGCGTTTTTTTAGAGAAAAAGTTCTCATACATATACCATATCCTTTCATTTTTTCGCGTCGTTTGTTTTTCATTCTCCAATTTCTCTCTCACTTTTCTTTCGTGAAACGAATAAAAAAAATTCAAACACATCTTGTTTGCATCTTTATTTCAAACGTCGTTTACTAGAGACCGCATGTGGGCCAAGTAAAAAATAATTAACAACAGCAGCAAAACTTGTCTACCTTGCTAACACTCAAACACTTTGCCCTTCAACAACCTCCCACTACAAGATATCGCCCTTTTCATTAAAACTCAATGGCCTTTTTTAACAATCTTTTTCCACATCCTCGCCGGATTGGTAGAAAACACGTCCTTGGTGGCCAGATTTGAAGTACCATGCTACTGCGCATACATAATCCAAGGGCACGCCACCTTGACCCAATGTGGTACAAAAAAGCCGACTTGGTATTGAGCAGTAGCATGTCCCTGCCTGGCGGCTTTCAGATACCACTCTAACGCTCTTACGAAATCCCGGTCTGGGGGGATGAGCCGCGTCCGTGATGGAAGAGAGCGCCAATGTTGTGCTGGGCTTGGATGTCGTTTTTGGGGCGGGCTGCTTTGAGACACCAGGTTAGAGCTGCATATTCGTTGAGAGGGGTCTCTGTGCCTTCTTTGTACATCTTGCCGAATGATACTTGGGCGGTCGCCTCGCCGAGGTTGGTCTTCTGGAATGTCTGGGTGTATGGTGGCAGGAAGAGGAGGAGTAGGGGTGGTAGTGGGGGGAGAGTTTTGAGGTGTGTGAATCGTTGTCCTTGATAGGAGGTTGGGTATTTGCCAGGCTATCACTGGTGCATCCTTGGCTCTTGGGTATGGTATTCATAGTCGAATGGAAAGAAAAAAAATCGCTTTAAATGATTAGGCATTCAAAAAATGCTCCCACAAATATTTACAATTGTCCACGCTGGGATACACGTACATTCTCAAGTCTTCAGGTTTCCGCTGAGCATTCATGTCGCTTTGAAAGGCGGCTTTCAGATATCATCCCATGGCAACAGATGAGTCCTTGGTCACTTCTTGGCCATCCAGAAATGAGGTTGCTCACAGAGACCTGGACATGCGCGTGGCTTTGGCGGACAGCTTTGAGGTAGCACGCCACAGCCTCCCAAAAGGCGATAGGGACACCATCTCCATTTGCATGCACCGAAATACATTTTGGCTGCAACCTTGACCATGGCCTCACTGGCGTACTGTTTGACGAGCTCCTTGTTGCTGGCTCGAAAAGACTATGTCGTCAAGTTGTTATCTGCTGCTGTAGGCAGTGCGGGCGAAATTATCTCATGCAGGTTCTAACCGAGTGTCCTGCCGAGAAGAGACGAGATGGGTCGCATTGTGGAAAATGGATTGTGTTTTGGGAAACGTGCCGCCTGTTGCTCAATCTGCGTAAGAACCGATGGATGCCGTTGCTGAGGGGTGGTGTCCTGTAGGTTGCCGACGACAATATCCAGGACCTCGCCAGGGATGGCAACAATCCTGAACGGTAGCAGTCTAGTAGGTTGATAACAATTGAATTAGCGCTAACGAACAGGACACCTTCGCCAACCCGATCAAAGAGGGAGTCGCTCATACGTACGCGTTGAAGCCGGCCTTTCATGAAAGGCAAGACCCTTGCTTTATGTCTGAAATGGAGGGCATTGTGGAAGGCCACACGGAAGTCCTCCCACAGTATGAACTTGTCTTTGGTGATGGGATCTGTGTAGATATCGATATAGACGACTTCGGTTGGGTGTGGTGGAGTTGAGGTTGGTTTGTTGATGTTGAGGGAACGAATGGCCTGACTGCCAGGAGGAGCCACCGGCATTCCGAATGTAAGTTGGACTTGGCTGTGGATGAGTAGAAAAGTTGAATGGTTGCAATGCAATGAAAGGTGAAGGAACAATGGAGTGTTGGGTTCAGAGCTTCGTGGCGAGTGAAGAAAAAAAGTCGGCGAGGTTTCAAAAAGTGGCAGTGCGGAGGAGCGACCATTTCAGGTACAATTGCAACGTGTGATTTAGTGATGAAAGATTGGACCCCTTGATGCCGCTTTTTCACAGTTCCGGGGTCTTGAGAGTGAGTGAATAGAATGCGTTTTGTTTGAAAGAGACCGTAAAAGAATGTCCTTGTTCGTCTACCAACACTCTCCTGCTATCCGGACGACTGAGAAATAAAGTGTTGTTTGTGCACGGATTCTTCCATTGAGTTCACTCACGTTATTTTCTGCGTCTTTCCTTGTGACATGGTGGTACGATGGCATGTTGGTGGAGGTTTTTTTATAACCTTTATTCCTTCCCACTTTTCTTCTTTTCTCTCTCCTTCTCCGTTCCATCTTCTCACACTTTCTTTCCTTCCACCACCTTTCCCTTCACTACCTCACCAACGCCCATCCTCCTCACCCCCAAACAAAGGCCTTTTACTTATTCTTCTCTCCAACAACCCTCTTCGCCACCCTTCGCCACCTTTCATTCTTCAAAATGCTACAGGGCGAAGACACACCTCAAGAATTCGTCCAGGCACTTCGCTCTGTCTGCAAGAGTCTCCCACTCAACTCGATCACCCCAGCCAGTCCCGACGAGATATTCCATGTCGAAATCCAGGTCGACCCTAAAACACAAAAGGAAGTCGTTCTATGGGAGGACATCGTCCAGGCGTTTGAGCATGCTGTGCAAGTCCGCCACAAGTCAAAGGTCATCCCTTTTTTGAAAGGGTCAAACTTCATAACGTATGTATATCAGGTCTCCTCTCCTGGTACTATGAATTTTATTTAAAAGGAGACTGTAACCATCCTAACGTCTGCGCTTTCTTATCATATTTGGAAAAAAAAAACGAACTGGTAGCCTCGAGCCTCGCAGAATTGTTGCCGTGCCAAACACTGTTTTGGATGTGGTTGTGAATACTCCTTCGGCCAACATGGAGGGGTCGTCTCCGAAGAATCTGTCAGAGGAGTCAGTGCCAGTATTGGCGCAGGAGGACTATACGGCAGGCAAGGAAGAGGAGTTAGTGTTGGAGCAGGTGGACGATACGGCTGGCGAGGATTTTGTCATTCAGGACGTCACCACTACCTCCACTGTACGACGTAATCCAGTCTATGGCTTGGTGGAACAGGCGATGGAGAATTACTCTCACATCGAACGACCGCTTGCATATCCATTCGCTCGAGGACCACACAACCTGTTGGACGACCTATCGCCAGACTACGACGACTCACCTGCCCCTCCAAACCCAGGGAACGGTAACAACCCTCCGTCACGAGCACCTCAGAGTGAGACGGGACCCGATACCCCAAGAGAGCAGAAAGATTTGGTTCAGACGACCATCAGTGCCAGCCATGGAGACAAAGACGCCCAGGTCACATTGGGCGATGTGTACAGAGATGGCAAAGGGGTCCCGCAAGATTACCAAGCAGCTATGGATTGGTACCTGAAGGCAGCCGAGCAAGGAGATCCTACCGGTCAATATAAGGTCGGGGGTTTGCATTACTACGGCTACGGTGTCCCTCGGGACTATTCGGCAGCCATGAGCTGGCCTCTTAAAGCCGCCAACCAGGGCCACGCGCCCGCGCAGAGCAACGTCGGTTTTCTCTACCAACGTGGCGACGGTGTGCCCCAGGACTATGCTCTGGCGATGGACTGGTTCCTCAAGGCCGCCGATCAAGGCAACGCATCCGCTCAGTGCAGCATCGGCACTCTCTACCAGCTTGGCCAAGGTGTACCCCAAGACTATGAACAAGCGATGTCTTGGTACTGCAAAGCCGCCGATCAAGGCAACGCACTCGCTCAGTGCAACGTCGGCTCACTCTACGACCATGGCCAAGGTGTACCCCAAGACTATGAACAAGCGATGAACTGGTACCTCAAAGCCGCCGATCAAGGCAACGCACTCGCTCAGTGCAACGTCGGCTCACTCTACGACCATGGCCAAGGTGTACCCCAAGACTATGAACAAGCGATGAACTGGTACCTCAAAGCCGCCGATCAAGGCAACGCATTCGCTCAGTGCAGCATCGGCACTCTCTACAAGCTTGGCCAAGGTGTACCCCAAGACTATGAACAAGCGATGTCTTGGTACTGCAAAGCCGCCGATCAAGGCAACGCACTCGCTCAGTGCAACGTCGGCTCACTCTACGACCATGGCCAAGGTCTACCCCAAGACTATGAACAAGCGATGAACTGGTACCTCAAAGCCGCTAATCAAGGCGACGCAGAATCTCAACACAATGTCGGCGTTCTTTACTTTCATGGCCGAGGTGTTCCCAAAGACGATACGCAAGCAATGGAATGGATCCTAAAGGCCGCCAAGCAAGGACTTACGATTTCTCAAGAAACCATTGGGAATTTCTATAGCAATGGCCTGGGTGTGCCCCAGGACTATACGAAGGCAGCCGAGTGGTATCAAATGGCCGCTGACCAAGGATACGCCTCCGCCAAGACAGCATTGGAGAACATGAGGAAAAACTGCCATATTGTTGTTTAGAACAAGACCGAACATGTAAGTATGCGAAAATAAAGAAAGGACGAAAAGATGCAATCATGAAACGCGGTTCTCAACGCGAGGAGGGTTTGATGGTTCGATTGTTGAGATGAGCGTTGACTTTGAGAAGGAACTTTGGATCGCCCATGAAATTCAGGTGCCATCTGTTGATGCTGGATCAAGATAGAAACTTATTCATCCCTCCTAAGCCGCATCATCGTGTCTCTCTTCCTTCTTGTGCTGTACAGTACAAGTGAATCTTGCCTCTTTGTGCTATGGGTCAGAGCGTTGTTGTTTCCGCGTAGAATCTCCTTGGTGCGTTTGGTTTCGCCGCTCCCGTTTACTGTCCCGCACTTTGGCCTTTCTTTTTCATTTCCTCACTCTCATTCCCTCTTTCCTTCCTTCACTCATTTGTACATTCACCTCCATACCATCACCATCATCTCCACTCCTCCCACAACAACTTGTCGTACAGCCCCACTCCTTTTCCTGCCACCTGCAGGCACACATATATCCCAGAAATGACCCAGGAAGACCCTCCCTCCCTTCCTCAAGAACTTGTCCAAGCACTCCGTTCCGTTGACAAGCACCTCCCACCATTCTCGATCCCACCCGCTAATCCCAACAATCCTGACTACATTTTATACGTCGACGTTCATACCGACCCCGAGACGAAGAAGGGAGGTTGTGATGTGGGAGGATATCCTCCAGGCATTCAGTGATGCTGTACATGTTCGGAACAAGGCCAAGGTTTTCTCTTTCTTGAAAGGGTCTGACTTTCGAACGTATGTTTGTATAGAGTCCCCTTTCTCGCTCCTATCAATCAAGAACTGTTGTTGACAAGGCCGCCGATCAAGGCCTTGCAGTCGCTCAAGACATCATCGGCCATCTCTACCTCAATGGTCAAGGCGCCCCCCCCCCCCCCCCCAAAGCTATGCAACCGCCGCAGAGTGGTTCCAAAAGACTGTTGACAACGGATCCACCAGCGCCAAAACAGTATTGAGGGAAATGAAAGAAGGAGGTCTAATATTTTGCAATATATTATTTCACAAACAACACCCCCCACCCACCACCTGCATCATATCCTTCCAAGACTACCTATGCTCAATAGCATGAACAGCATCATAATCAATATGGACAAACGCCCTCTCAACATTATCCAGCCTCTCCAACGCGCCTTGCAAAGACTCGCCCAGATCATGGGCCTGCGACAGTGGAGTATCCGGTGGGAGGACGATATCAATCTCGACAAAGAGCCCGTCACCGGCGTAGTAGGCCCGGACGGTGTCGATGGCTTGGATCATGTTTGAGAACCGGTAGGCCATGTATGTCAGTTGTTGGAATTCGGCAGGTGATGCTGCCTGTCCTGTCAGTCTCCTGATATTGTCTATTATGATCGAAGATGGCAAGACAAGCAAGTATTAGATTAATGCGGTCCTAAATAAATCAACTCTCCATACCGATGAACCAAAAGCCAACAGCTAAAAGTGTTGATGCGCGTGAGATACAAAGGAAAGACTTACGGAGGCAGGTACCGGTCCATTCGGAGATGATATAAATCGACAGAACCATAGCACCCGCAGCATCCAACCACCACCATCCCAAGAACTTGCCCGCGACAGGGAAGAACGTCGAAAAGATGTTAAACACAACATCATTCAAATGATCCTGCGCCAACGCCAGCACACTCGGACTATCCTTCATCGTTCTGCACCACAACCACAGCAAAAACTTGATCACAATGTTGAGCGCCAGAAGTAACAGGATCACAAGCCCCAGATCGACGGGTGGTTCATCAGAACCCTCGACCAGTCGTTCAAATGCTTGGAGCATGACCTGCATGAACGAGGTTACCATGACGGCAGCAAAAACGATAATCCCGAGGGGTTCCATGCGCGCTTTGCCGACTGGGTATCGGTGTCCGTCGGTGGTGTTACTACGGAGTCGGGCAGAGTACCAAATGATGGCGCCGCTCAGCAGGTCCATGAGCGAGTCGATCATCGACGCCAGAACCGCCAATGAATCTGACAACAGTACAGTCCAGATCTTAATGATGACCAGGAAGATGTTCGCAATGAAACTCACATTGATCGCCATTTGCACTAATACGTGAGAAAGTAGAAGAACAACGAGGTTAGTAATTGGGAGGAGAAGGGACCGCGGAAAAATACCCTTCAGCCAACGATGGTGCGCATGTGTCGTGAATGTGTTGTGTACCTAGTTTGGGCGAAGTCCGTTTCTTCCTGACATAACCATCAATCAACGGCGCGCTCTCCTCATCCCGACCACCCTCTACCTCATCATCGTCCTTGCCCACACTCGTAGTAGGCACCGCGATGATCACCGCATCCTTGGCAAGACAGTTCTGACTAGTCGATGCCGACAGACCACCATTGTCAGGCGTTGCAGACCCACATGTCGATCCATAACCGCCACTATTTCCTATTGATGCTCCTGTTGTCATGTCGAGTAGATTGCTGCCGGAACGGACATTGGGGAGTTGAGGAAACCTCCCGGCTATCGCGTCCTCTTCCTCCCTGTGCTCCCTCAACACCTCCTCTACCTCTGCAAATGAGTCCAGAATCTCGTTCTATCAAACCCCAGAGGATCACAATAACAAAAACAACAGAATGAGATTAGTGCTCGGTACTTCCTTATCGTATTCATGCGCCAACCTTTTTTCCTTTGTAGTCACAAACCACCATCTGAGAACAAACACCGTAAAACAACAAAAAGAAAACCATGCTTACTTGATTCCGATAATACTCCTGAATAAGCCCACCCTTCATCCCTCCAATCTCCTTCTCACTCCTCCGCGCAGCCTGAAAGACTTCAGGTCCCATCACAGGCCTTGAAGGAATCACCTTATACAACACCCCCGACGTCCTCCTCATCCCTCCTCGACTCTCAGACCGCGACTCAGACCTCGCCCCGGGACAGGAAGCGCAACGGTCGTTACGTGGAGGGGTGGGCCAGTCTTGTCCGTGACGACGGCCGAATCGTTCGCCGATCGAGGGTTCAGGGTGCTCGTGCTGGTGAGAGTGGGTGTGGGTGAGAGAGGGGCGGCGGTGTTCTTCGTAGTAAATAGGTTTTGGGGACGAGGCGTAGGTGCTTGGACTTGGGGATCCCAGCAAGTCGGCGACGTTGATAGTTGTGGGCCGTTGAGGTTGTGGGTGGTGTTCATAAAACGCGGTTTCGGTCAAGGGTGTGGGGGGTTCCATGTTGACCACGACCGTACTTGCTCCTCCTGTGATAGCAGTGGGGCTGGTGACCAAGTCTTCGATAGCTGTTTGCTGGTCCTGTGGAGAAGTAAGTGCTGGTGGAGGGGTTGAGATAGAGACCTTGGATTTGTTTTTTGACTTTTTCTTGCCACCGCCTCGTCCGTTTCCTTGCGACATGGTGTCTTGGGTATGTGTGTCGCCGGAGGTGGGGGGTTTCTTCAACGGCTGAATGGAATGTGCAATGCGAGTCCTGTAAGCGGAATGAAAGCTTCTAGTCTTTGCAGGATCGGAATCGGCTTCTTAGGTTCGAGTCAAACAGACGGGTGGGAATGAGAAAGGACTGGTGAAGTGTGAAGAATGAAAAGAGAAGAAAAGCAAAAGAGCAACTGTTTACGACGACAAAATATATACTAGAACAGTTGCCACGAGCAAGTGCGCGCGGGCATGTTTTTGTCGTCAACCAATCTCCCAATCTCTATCTCATTGTTTTGCCCCTCTTCGTTTGCTTGCTGCTGGGTGTGAACTTCTCGACGGAGGATGAATGCCATCCATCCAATATGGCAAGTTAGATCCGACTTGCTTACTTTCTTGCTTAGGAGATATCCGAAAGCACAAAAAAACACCCACGCCCATGCATGATTGCATACTCACAATGGCTCAAAAGGGGAGGAGGGTTTAATATAGCGCAAACACTCATCATCACCTCGACCCTCTTTCCTTCCAATCTGATCTACTTGTTCGCCACTCCTCTGTGCGATCGTCTACATCTGTTCTTGAAGGATCATCGATTACATCTTGGAGAGTGGGATCTCGCCCTCCTCTGTGGCCCACGCTTTCAAGATATGATGCGCAATGGCTATCATAACATTCACCCGCACACACATCGACGACAAAGGAAGGGATAAAAAAAGTCAGCATGAGCAAAAAAAAAAATGGTCATCGTCGGGACATGAAAACATCAACAGCGAACCGCAACAAGCAAAAAAGGCAAAAAAAACTCACCGGTAGGAGGAGAGAGGCGGAGACTACCGTCTTCAGAGGGTTTACCCCAGCTCGACCCCCGAGCAGACCTAAGGGCCTCCAAGATCTGCGCACGCGTAAACCACTTGGCATCCTCCAATTCCTTATCTTCCTGTGTAATATCCACATTTTCGCTGACAGCCTCGGCATGGCATCCCATCATGAGCGAGTTGGGGAAGGGCCAGGGTTGAGAGGAGTGGTAACGAACGTGGCCCAGACGGATGCCGGATTCTTCTTTGACTTCGCGACGGGCTGCTTCTTCGATTGACTCGCCGGGTTCTACGAATCCTGCGAGGCAGGAGTACATGCCCTTTGGCCAGACTGCTTGTCTGCCGAGTAGGACGCGTTCGTTGTCCTTTGAGATAACACATACAATCACCACCGGGTCTATTTCATTCAAGAAATATAATTCGCGTTAGTAGTGAATTGAAATTGACCGAAAAGCACAAAGGAATAGGATGACTCACCGGTACGAGGATATGTAAAGTTCTGAACACCCCTATGCGCCAAACAATCCGACTTGACCTCCTCCCCATCCCTGTTAACCGTCGGTGGGCAAGATCGCTTATGACCTCCCTCCAGCGACAAGTTTTTCCTTCCACAGCCCGCACAGAACTGGTTCCGCTTGTTCCAATCCACGACCGACCGTGCCTGAGCGACAAGACCACTCTCGGGGTACGTCAATCCAAATGCAGCGGGGCGCATCTCGGCCATGTAATGCCCATGTTTCTCCGTGTAAGCGTTGGTCCATGTCTCGATGGCGTTTTTGAGGTCCCGGGTCGAGTTCTTGGCAGATAGATCCAGCGTCCAGTAGCCCACACCACGACGGCCACGGACAAGGACCTCGCTCTCCTGTTGTGGCTGTCCATTACCAGTCTCATCAACACCCAAGAACGCCAACACCAGTCCATCAGGCAAGTTGTTGATAGGATCCGCTCCCAACAGATGCTTCACATCCTCGTACGAGGCATACGCTAGAGCCCTCGTACTGGAATTGAACAAAACACCGTGCTCTGCAAAGATGACAAATCGGGTCGTGGGCGCCTGGAGGGACTCCTGCAGGTACTCCTTGTCAGTCCTCAGAAAACTCGAGCGGTTATGCGTCGCACCCGTGAACTGGATCGGCTGCAAGCCTTTGACTGACCATTTATTCCACCATTCCGCAATCGATGACGACGACGTTGACGAAGGTTTTTGAGTTCCGGCGACAAGTCCTGCACCCGCCGCCATGGGGTTCGCTGAGGGTGGAGAAGGGGGGGGAGCAAAAGGAGATCCGACACTTTGTTGGATCTTGTTCTTGTTGGGTGCTAAACGATCGAACACCGCGACGGCCTCGGTCGAACCCCAAAAATCGGCTAGTTCTGCAGCCGTCTTGCCGTCCTTGTTGACCACCGCTGCGTCCACTTTGGCATTCGACAGCAGGTACTCGACCACACTCGCATGTCCAAATCTAGCCGCAAACATCAACTGCAGGTAGGTTTTGAAAGAGGACGAAGGTCATGTCAGTCTACTACTCTGTTCGTTCGTCCATGGAGGCCCTCTCCTTATAAATACGCTCCGTCGGTTACAGCTTAGAGATAAAATGCGATCGAGATATACATACAGGAGTCCAGCCACGGTCATTCTTAGCTTCAAGATGGATACGTCCCAAGGACTTGATCGAGTCGAGCTCACCAGAGGCGGCGGCTTCAAAGACATCTGGTGTTGGTTGAGACATATCGACGAATTGGGTCACAGGGTGTCCAGGCGAATTGTAGTATCGGAGAGTAGTTGTACTAGGGGAAAAAGGTATGTTCACTAAAGTGGGTCCTGTGGCGAGTCTTCTTGTCAGCGGTTGGAGTAGTAGAGGAGAGTGATGCTTAGAGTGGGTTGAGAAGAAGGAGTGTCGAGTAAGAGAAGAAGGTGATGTGTAAGAGAAGGAAGAGGGATGATGTCGAAGAAGAGAAGAAGAGACGGTTCGGAGGCGAATGGGAGTTGAAAGGGAGAGAAGCGACATTTGTCATGGAAAAAAAAAGAAGGAACATAAAATAGAAAAAGAAGGTTGCGACCTTCGGCACGCACTCTTGTTATACGAAAAGTGATCGGCCGGGAAAGTTGACCTCTGTGTGTGTGTGCGAACAAGGCATGGATAATTACTTCCGTTGTTGAACGAGAAAGTCGTTGCTCCTCTTCATCGCCTCTCGCCAATGCTAATCCTCTGTTCGTCATACTCAGCAGCCATCGTCACCAACACTGAGAAAAAAAGGCGCGTCTTCGCACCCTGCCGTTCACGCTGCGCAGTGCGGAGGCCGGCCGGGCAATAGGCCGTCGGATCCTGATATTTTACTACTTGGCTTTTATCCGCGTCAACCGACAAGCCAGGGCAACCAAAAAAAAAAAAAAAAAAAAAAAAAAAAATACGGCGTCATTATAGCCCACGGAAGTATCCTTGTGCGTAGACTTTCTGTCAACCCGATCTTAGTTCCTGCATCATTCTCATTCGACATCGATATCCATGATCAATTGAGCCATATCCCGTCAGCCCTGCTGATTTTCATAAGATTGCCCCTTGCGTCGATCCACGAGCACCAAGAAACCCAAGAGGAAATGAGATGGAGCGTTGACCGTTACAGAAGTGATCACAGAGCTTTTATTTTCGTATAACAAGTTCAAGAAGGACATTTAAGCCTTGGTGGCCTTGACAGCCTTGTTGACGATCTCGCGACGCTATTTGATTGTAGAGGTAGCATTAACATGAAATTAGTACCTGGGTATCATTCCACGCCTGTACTTTTCCTTAATACTCAACCCTCAATCACCCATGAACAAACGACAAAAAAAAAGAGGAACTTACGAGCTTCTTGTACTTCTGGAGCTTGAAGCGGTCAAAGTCAGTGTTGGCGGCACGCTGAGCACGGGAAGCGATCTTCTTGGCCCAGGAGGTCTTGGCCCAGGAGCCAGCGAGGTCCTGCTTCTCGATGGCAGCCTTGAGGACGGCCTGGCCAGCGTTGCGGGGAACCTTGACAACGAGGGGGGTCAAGGTCAAGCGACGGAAAGCGTAGGCACCGCGGGCAATGCCGGTGGTGGGACCCTCAACGAGAGCCTATTTTTTAAAGGGAAACGGTGGAAAAGAGATAAAGAGAAGGGTTAGGAAATGTGTTGCTTTCTCTGTGGGGTTTGTTTGGTGAAGGGTCCAGGATTTGGTTTGTGAGATGGTCGTAGTTGTTCGATGAGAGGGTGTAGTGTCGGTTTCTTTCCTGGCGACACCACTGATTGACTGTGGTGTTAATTGCGCATAGTGTCAAAGCTGCTCTGCTATCCACGCCCACTGGATACAGTCTGCCAAAACCAAGGCACTGTTGGCGTAGTGACAACTGGTGACCCTCAAAGCTGATAGTTGTTGCATCCTGAAAGGACAGTGCTGCACTTCAAAAGTTCAGAAAGCTCCGAAACAAAGCTGAACTGATGGAGGTTGCTCTGAGAAGTTGCCACGCAGAAAACCCTGATCCCGATCAACAACCACCAGCCCATCTCTAATCACAGCTGCCAACTCCCAGTCGGAACGAAAACAACCCTCCGTCACTACTGCTTCACACCGCCATATCTCCTCCTCTACTGCTGCTGTTGCGTATCCTGTAAATAATATCTTCCTGCTTCCAATTGAACTTGTGCAAGGGGGAGAAGGGCACTAGAGAGGGCACACATACGCGGTTGTGGTCAATGATATCGACAATGACGGCGAGCTTGCCGGCATCAGGGCCATAGTTAACCATGACAACACGGCCAACCTCAACGACACGCTGGAAAGTAAGAGGGCGCTATTTGATAGATAAACCGATAAGTTGAAAAAACAACGACTGTTAGGAACAACGGTCATTGTAGAAAGTTGGAAAGTTGATGTTGGATTCCTTGCTGAAAGTGATGGAGGCGAAAAGATCTTGGTGTCTGGGTGTTTTTTGCGGTTGTTCATTCCTGTTCGTTGCCGGTTGAGGAAGTTGAAGCTGCCTGATCGATTTGATGATGCTTGGTTTGTGCTTTTTTTGCTGAACTCTGAGAGATGTTGGATTCCTCTGCAGTTTTGACAAAGCTGAAGCGATCCGACAACGCCATCGCAGGTGCAGTACTGCAACGAGTTTGCTGAATGTCGCTATTCCCGTCTCTGGCAAGGCAGCCTTCAAAGTTGATTACAACTTGAATCCTCCTTCACACTCAACCCATCACGGCAAAGTCGGTTGCCGCTGAAAAGTGGACGGCAGGATGCTCCCGATGATGGATAATGTCGGAATGAACGGATATGTCGTTTGATGAGGATCCCGGGATCGATGGATGGTAGCTCTTGCTTCCTTGCTGGCGTATCCATGGGTGCTGTTGGTCGATGCTTTTGAAAGCGGAGGGTTAGGCTGAGTCACGTGGGGTCGTCACATACAGTCATTTTCAACAGATAGACTTAAGAAGGAGAGCTTCAAAGGTTCCTACCCCCGCTCGAATTAAATCCTCTGTTTCTCGATGCAGTGGCTTTGTTACGGGGCTTGATTTTTGGTGGCAACGCGCACTTAGTTGCACTTCACACGGCAAACCTCTCCGATATAAACCCTTGGCGACCATGCTTCACAACAAACACACATCACTACTCAACAGTGGGCATCGAAAGCATGAGAATGAGAAGAAAATTCTTATATTTGGAGTGCTTCATTTAACTATTTACAAGGAAGGAGAAGAATCACAATCTCAAAGAAAAAAAAGAGGCATCAAAAAAAGACCGGGAAGCTCAAGAAGGAAAGACAGAACCAAAGAACAAAAAAGATAGAACAATAGCTACTCTACTGGTCGTTCTTCTGCTTGCGTTGAGTCTCCTTATTCTTCCTCTACGACGAAGAAACCTTGTGGTTCTTCTTGTGCGGCTGGATCTTCTTGATGTCCTGGGTCTTGAACTCGGGTTCCTGCTGAGCACGCACAACAGTGTACTCTCCATTCTGCTCCTGGGAGAACAAATCGCGCTTCTTGTTTTTCTTCTCGCCAAGCTTATGAGCTTTGCGGTTACGACTGATCTTGCGGTGGAAGGCCAGCTCTTCATCGGTGTTGGTCTTCTTGGTGGCACGGGCAGCGCGCTTCTCATGCTTGTTTTGACCGAGCTTGTGGGCCTTGCGATTGCGGTTGATCTTGCGGTGGAAGGCCAGCTCCTTGTCGGCGTTGACCTTCTTGTTGTTGGTATTCTTGTCAGCAGGGGCGGCACGCTTCTGGACTTTGTGCGAGGAGGACGAGGACTTATGGTGATGGCTATGGTCGACCTTGTTGCGGTGGTGCTGCGACTTCTTGCGGTGAAGAGCCAAGGCGCGCTTCTCATGGTTGCAAGTGGACGAGTGATGGTGCGAGTGGTTGGCCTTCTTGCGGTGGAGCTCGATCGCGCGCTTTTCGTGGTTGCAGGATCCAGACTTGTGCTTGTGGTGATCCTTCTTGCGGCGCAGGGCGATCGCGCGCTTCTCATGCTTGCAAGTCGACGAGTGATGGTGCGAGTGGTTCGCCTCCTTACGGTGCAAAGCCAGCGCACGCTTGCTCTGACGATGGCTATGGTCAACCTTGTTATGGCGATGATGAGACGACTTCCTGTGATGCGAATGGTTAGCCTTGTCCTTGCGGTGCAGGTTTACAGTCGCCTGCTGCTTCACGGAATCGCGTCGGATAAGAGTCTTATCGTCAGTTGAGACTTGGGCCATCGCATAGGGCTCATTCATTATCTCATCGCGGCGTTGTTTCTTGGAAGAGGACTTGCGGTGGTGGGAGTGGTCGACCTTGTTGTAGTGGTGTTTGTTGGAGTGGGAAGCGTGGTTGTGACGGGGCTCGAGGCGGAAGGCGGCTTGTTGTCCTTGACGGTGGACGTCGGCGGATGCCATGGCCGTCAGGAGGGTTGTTGCCAGGAGGGCTGAGAGGATGAAACGCATTTTTGGGACCTTTTTTTTTCTAGGGAGAGCAATACAGTAATAGGGATAAGAATAAAAAAGAGTGGTGCGAAGGTTGTTGTCTGTCGAGGTGGAAGAGTAGCGATAACAAAGAAGCGTGAGGGAACAAGAAGAAGAAAGAGAAGAGAAATGAAAAAAGGGGAAGTAGAATCCTCGATGATCCATTGACCATTTATAGGGTCCCCTTTTCACTTTTTACTAGAGAGAGGGGGCAAATGCCCTTTGGAACTGCTTTCAGTCAAGGGCAGAATAATAAAGGAGTTCGAGTCCACGAAAGAGTTATGAGAGCAAGGCAAGTTTGGAATACATTGCGGTGATGAGGGTGAGAGAAGAACATAGATACTACTTCTCATTACTATGAAAGAAAGGAAAGGGGTAGAGCAAGGTGAACACCCTAACCCTCCCTTCACATACTCGGACTCGCACTTTTTCTTTCGCGTCGCGAGGGTCGGATCGAATTGGATTCATTCTTGCGCCGCACATGCCCTTCCATTTTCTCGACACATTTGCACCCTCACCAACTCCGATCCAATGCGAGGTCTGCATGCCCACGTTCAATTCCATCGTCCACTGTTCCTCGTGCATTGGACAAGATTTATGGTTTTATTTTTTCACTTAATAATGCCGTCCACCACCACCACCATGATTTGGCCGCCCATAGCTGTGGCCACTACTAACAACACTCCCCCCACCGACCACACTTCCATTTCCTGAATTATGACCGACGCCACCGCCTAGGCCAGTAGTACGTCCTTGACCCGGGTATCCTCCTCCACCTACATTAGGATTACGCTGCTGGTGTTGTCCAAGGTCAGACATCATGACAGAATTGGTGTAGGGGCTTCTATTGTTGTTGTTGTGAGCGACCTGTCCTTGCTGCAAGGGGTGAGGTTTCACTTGCGGCCGCTGCTGACCATAATGATTATATCCACCACCACCGTTAACGACACTTCCCCGGTTCGACCCGCTCATGACAGTACTAGCATCCGACCCTTGCTTCCTGTGCCCATTATAGAACTGGGGGTTTGGCTGCTGTTGCGGGTACTGCGACGAGGCAACACTACCGACTTCACTCCGGGTATCGGAGTTGTCGAACCGAGGGTCGTGTTGACGTTGGAGGTTCCTGTTGTGGTATGCTTGTTGGTAGTTATCTTGCTTCAATGGTTTGCTATCAGCGTCGTCTTCTGGGTTGGGGGTATACGACCTGGCCCCAGGTGCCGGTGAAAAAGATCGTGGCGGGTGCTGTGCGTGTTGTTGTTGGTGGTGGCGATAAGGGTCATTGGCAGCCGCGACGGGTGACTTCTTCCAAGGAATGGCTGGAGAAGAAGTAGTCGAGGCAGGGTTCATATAAGGCGAAGGTGCAGGAGAAGGAGTTCCAACTCTGGGTTTGGAGAGAGTGGCAGGAGGAGGTGTGGGAGATGCGCGTCCACGGCCTTCTTCGATGAAGGCAATATTGGGGAGGGTTGGTTGCTGGAGGGGTGTTTCGCCACCCTTGCCGGTTTTGGCGTTGATGATTGCCTCTGCCGCGCGTGCTTTTGCCTTTTTCTTCACAATCTCGTCAATTCTATCTCAACAAAAGAAGCGGGTTCATGATTAGAATCCGTGATATTCGCAGAGGCATAAAAACACAGACACTAGCCGATAATCGTGTGGAGGGTTACCGTTTGTCGATCTTGTGGCAGCAAAACTCCTTCAAGTTGCCCTGGATATGAATGACGAGAGGGATATATAAAATCACAGCCGAGAGCATCATAAGCACGGAGATGACCCAGAGTGTCAAAGTGAACGTCATGAGGCCCATGGTAATAGTAGGCATGAGACCGAAGCCATAGGACCAGATCTCTGGATTGAGGTTTCCGTCCTTGTCCCTGTTCTTGTTGGCGACTGTGATGAGGATGACTCCGTTGATGACCTGCCTTGGTCCATCGGCAAACATTAGTCTCTTCCATCCTGCAGTTGGGGAGATTGAACGAATGGGAGGAAGGAGAGATAAAGATATGTGAGACAAGAGTTCAGTTAACGACACCCTTCACAACACATTCCTTCTCAACGCGCACATAAAAAAAGACATGTTACCTCGGAAGGTAAAGAAACAAAAGAAGGCAATCTCATCGATCTGCTTCTTCGAATTATGGATCTGTTCAAAGAGACAGAAATGGGCATAGGACTTGATGGCATAGTAGCGATAGGCGATCATGGAAGTAAAGGCATAGGAAATGTCGCGGCTGTGGATGATGGCGACGGCCTTCTTCATGTCCCAGGCCAGGAGGATAAAGGAGAGGATGATACATGCGGCAAAGACCCATTTGTAAATCTCGAATGAAATATTGATGTTTTCTGTTTAACACATGTGGAGTAAGGAAAAGGGGGAAGGGGTGAAAAGGTGAAAAGGTGATGGAGAGCATAGAGCAACGAAGGTTCAACAAGGTTAATTAGGGCGAAGAAGGCGATGAGTGAAATAAATATACACCGTCGGGTAAAATGGGGGGGAGGCATCATCGTCATATATCATGGACAGGGTACCCTCTTCTTTCTTCATTCTGAATGAATTGAAGAATGGTTTCAAGTTCCTTGGTGTGCAACTTACTAAATGAAATTTGGTTGTGTTCAACGCCGAGGTTGTTTGACCATGTTCCCGAGACAAGCAAGTTCACCGCCGTCCTGGAACAATAAGAAAGAGAAGGGTGGGACATGGACGTTGCTGTGTTAGATGTGTGTGTCTGTAATGACAAGAGACTGATTCCATTCATTAGTCCCTTGAACAACAAACGCTCACCCGCGTACCATAAATCGGCACAGTAAATAAGGATGCCCTTGATGACCACCGCAAAGACGAGCGAGTACTTGAACTTGCGCCAGAGAGAGTTGTCGACGTAGTCATCCACGTCAATAAAGTCAAACTTGTGATCCTGGACCTTTTGACGTTTCCAATCGGCTATGTAGAGATGAAGGTTTAGTAGAAGGGGACTGGTTAGTACCAATTTGGCCAAAGGTCCTAGGGCTGTTCTTTTGCTTGAGCGACATGATGGTGTGACAAGAGTGAAGGCGAAGAAAGAAGAGAGAGGACATACTAGACGACATGATGAAATGACAGTTGATATGCGAAAAGGTAAAATGTTTATGTTACAAGGGGGGAAAAGTGAATGCAATGTGAATGAGAAAAGTTGGGATGGGTAAAGAGGTAATGTACAATGAGAAAGGGCCAAATGAATGAGTGTCTGAGAAGTAGTCGTTAGGGAGGGGTCATTAAAGAGGAAGGAGAGCGGGGGGGGGGGGGGGGGGGGGGGGGGGGGGGCGTCTTTTTAAAAGGGGCAGGGGTATTGGTTGTCTGAGGGGAGACAAGCGAGAAGGAAGGAGATAGGAAGAAATGAACAATGATGCTGATGGGTTGTGGAGAGAAGCAGAAAGGGTAAGAGAGAAGAATGGAAAAAAAAGAAAGGAAAAAGCAAAAACGAAAGAAGCATTGAAGGGTCAGATGGATGAATAATAAAGATACGCAACGGACAACCAAGTAAGAAGGCATGGAGACAGGAGGTCGAGAAGACGATCCACCGAGACGGAGAGTAGCGGGGCAATTAGACACAAATCCACAGCGCACGCGTGAAGAGCGTTCGAACCCCGTCCAAGTACCAAATTACAATAATCATTGATCAATATCATTTATTAGTGTTATGTTTCTAATATCAATGAATAGATTCAGGGACCATCAATGGGAGAACTACACCCCCTTGCTCTTGTTCTTATTCTCGTTCTCGGCCCCATACGACCTGTTCATATGTACTCCTCTCTTGCTTTTATTTTATCCGTTGACAACTGTGACCGCACTACAATGTGGAGTATATTGCCACGCATATCAATCATATATATTATGCATTCTCCCTCATGACTCTCCTGCTTACTAGCATGCTTCGCATGGATAAGTCAACAAGGACATCGGCGAGCCGGTAGAGCAGACGGATTGGCATTGGCAATGCCATGCATATCCATACAAGATATAAGAGTATTTGATAGCAGAAGGCAAAAAAGTGAAGAGGATCGTTCAGAGTCCTTCCTTCTTCCTTCTCCTTGATGCGTCTCATTTTTTTTTTCTATTTTTTCAATTTTTTCAATGTGTGATTCTAGTAAACCTATTACTCCCTCATTGGATGTCCCTATCTGATCGCCACCTGATTGGATGCACATCTGCCCCTGATCCCTGAAGCACAACCCTGAGCCCCGTTTTCTTCACTTTTCAATGGAGACCGAAGAAAAGAACTCTTACTTAGACGGCGTCGTGTTTATCCGACGGTCTCACTTTCTTATTAGGTGGACCTTAGCCTTGCGTCTTCATGAAGCTGAGCTTTTGGGGATTGTCGTCCGTATCACGCAGTGAAGAAAAGCAGAAGGGGAGAAGAGAGCACCAGGTAAAAGCACCACACATGGCTGGGTAACAGAAGGGCTGACCATGGTGAAGGAGACAAACAACCATGGGTGTGGCCCTACCGCCTTTAATTAACCCCTCGCTTTTGTCTTTTTTTCCTCCCTTCTTCCTTTTCGTCTTTTTCATACCCACTAACTCTGCCCAGCCTCCTCGCAGCTATACATTCTATTCCACAACGAAAACACAGCGAGCAAAAAACGACATCGAGAACTCAAGCCTAGAACCTTTTGTTGCTCCCTCATTCCTTCAGCAACGTGAACTCGGACCAACTGCAGGATACTACCACGAACGCTCTCTCAAGGAGAACAGGACAGGATCCAAGGACCAAAATCAAATGCACAAGGAGACACCAACATAACTTTTTTTCTTTGTTGATTCAAACAGAGCACTCACAGATGCAGGAGGCCACCATCACCATCAGCGGGACCAGAAGCGTCCTCACATTTTGTTGTTTCTTCAAGGAAACGTTTTGATGTTCATGGTGTCAGAGCAGGTAGGCGTCATATGTGGCATAATCACTTTCTTCGTTTTGCTCCCCTTAATGACCCTCGAAGACGCAAGGGCTATCAGGGTCGGTAGCGACAGGGTCAGGGAGATCAAGGCAGAGGAACAGGCAGCAACCTACTCGTCAATCGAACGGGAGCACAGTAGGGACTTTTTAAGTCAACACGCTATGTATGCGCGATAACGCCAGACTACCAGAAGTGCACGTAGGATTACCAGTAATGCCAATAAATAGTGTTCATCCAACAAAGTACTGGTAATTGTACTTTTCAGAGTGAATGACCAGTGCGGGGTTATCAGATGTCCATGTTTTTCACGTTCCTGACGATCAGTCGTATCGCAAAAGAACCAAAGCCGAGACGCGTAAACACTCGCCAACTTGGGCTTTTCAGATTAATCAGCGCGACCAGCCTTTGGCGCAGATTGAGGACGACCATACCCTTTTCGATTACAAAGTACAGGATGAAGATACCTTAGAGTTGATTATTTACCCATCACCTCTTGGCTGCCATGGAATCATGGTATACTCTATCAAGAAACCAGCAAAAAAACGGCTGCGGCGGTTCATGTCAACCAAACGCAAGCACTACAACATGTATATATCACAACAGAAAGGAGGAAGAGTCGATGACGAATCTTTATTAAAGAGTGTAAAGGAATCTAGGACCAGGTTCGGGCCATCCATGCATATAAGGCCGAATGGGCACGCCAATTGGTGATCCTCAACTTCAGCATCAAATGTGTATGGTAGAAAGGCCTTTCCTTTGACCAAAACGGCCGATCGCGGGTTCGATCTGTTAGAAAGGAGAGAGTCACGGTCACCATACCAGATCAAGCTATCGAAATTGCTTGTTTCTGGGACGAAAGGAAGATTAATGACACTTTCATTTTTTTTTTCTCTCAACTAAACAATTGCCTTTGACTGCTGGTAGGAGGGTAGAATAAAGATACTCCACATTCACATTCATTTTGAGAATTAATTGCTTGGTCGGTAATATCATTGAGGATGTTATGCTTCTCAAGCGCTTTTTCGCCGCAGCAAATGCGTAGTCTCGTAATGGTCATTCTAATTAAATGGTCCAATGGTCTGTATCTATAAAAAAAAAGGTCCCGTCCAAGTCAAATGAGGCTCCCATGAAACAATCCAAGTCGATATTGTGACGACGGTTATACTTTTGCTACCGCCTTTTGCCCACACGCGCTCTCCTCACTTTTTCCTTCATTTTTTTTTCTCAGTAACTCATAGATTAAGCATCCTTTTTCTTTTATTTTCTTTCGCTTTACTCACCGCTATTTCCCTGCATGCTCGCTCGTGACAGAGCTCCTTCTCTTGGCGTTTCCCAGCGAGATCTAGATTGTTGTCGAAAACCGCGACATACAGATCCTTCTTTCGTAAGTGTCATGGCAGGTCCCCTATGTACCGTCACCACTCTTTTCAGACACACATATATACCACACTCAAGATATTTAGGGATAGCAATCTTTATTTTTTTAAGCGTGAATTCTGCCTGCTCTTGACATTCTACACTCGGCCTCTGTTTGCGCCAGCCTTCATTTTGAGCGGGCGTGGTATGGCCAGTACGGGAAAGCAGGGCGGAGGTGTCGAATTTGACTGCCGATACGTGGCATCGTTCAGGACAGAGACTGTGCTATTAAAGGTTTTATCGAGTGTCATCCATGTTAGGACCTGGTCCTCGAACGACAACGCATCGGAAAGTGTGTAGAGTATATGCACAGTGCCGATCTTGGTGGCCACGCAGACTCTGCCGACACGACACATATCATACAAGTTGCATGTCTGGCCGATCACTTGAACGAATAAGAGGTTCATGTCCTCCGTCTCCTCAAATCTGGTAACGATCTCGTCTGCCGCCCGTTTGCTCTGTGCTAGGTCGTCTTGGTCCTTGCTGTTTGATGCGGAGAGGCTCACCTTACCAACACCAATGTCGATGACTTCATGGTATCGCACGGCAAGGTCAGGAAGATGTGGCAATTGCCCCAACTTGAAATAAACACGAAAAAGAACAGATCCTGTCAAAGGGGTGCTACCAGTGCTGCGTATGCAATTGAAAGACTAAGGAAAGTGAGGCTAACCTGTGCGAGTCTGGTTTCATCTGGCTTGTCGAAAATATGAGACAGCGTTCTTAAGATAAAACAGCTTGTCTGATCTGTCTCACCGAGGGGACACATTTCTGATGGAGTTGGGCACCATACAACAAGAGAGAGAGCGCAATGAAGTTCTTGGGGCCTTCTTGAGAGTCTCATCCATCGCCACTCGCCTATCTTTTGAACCAAACCGTGACAACGAGGCCTTCCTGTACGCCTAGGGGAAAAATGTGGTAATAATAAATAACGTCACGTCAATGAGCTCCATATAATGTTTCATTTGTCCGATTGCACAAGTAAACACATACGTCCTTGACATTTCGACACAGTTGCATCGCGTCTGCGACCTCGTCCGCCGTTGGGTAACCGATGCGCAAATCGATCAGATCTAGCAGCTGCTTATACTTTGGGCCAAAGTAAGCTTTTTGCAAAGATGTAGGGCGGTCATCCAGAAAGAGGACTCCTGACAACGCTCTAAAAGAGAGAAAAAGAATCCAAGAAGCATGGTTTGAGTTGGTGACCTCTAATAGCTGGGGTTACATGCAATCCGCGAAATGCATTGCGATGCAACCTACACAAAATCAGAAAGATTTTCCGAGTCATAGCTCAACAGGCGGCAGTGGTCGTAATAGGCTGTAAACTCCTTGCCAAAATCGACCTCGCCCAACTTCGCCGTGAAGTCGTAGTTCTCCGTATCGAACACAACGTTCAACGGCGCATTAGGCACTATCTGCGCCTCTCTGACAGGATCATCGTCCTCCAGTGGCTCACTGTCATCATCCTATAGTGGAAAGAAACAAACATCACGTAAGTATATGGACATCGTTCGTACAAAAAAGACAAGCAGAAAAGGAAATGGCGTTGAGATATTTGCACAATACCCTTGACAGGAAAGGGCTGCGGCCAGCAACTGCCTTCACTCGGTCGTCTAGTTCGCAACAAAAAGGACGCAAACAATCAGCAGGTGGGCTAGACAATAGCCAATACAACTGCGAAATATTCCAAGTAAACAGCGCTTACTGTCATCGATCTCGTCCCTATGAGTGCTGCCTCGCTTCCCGAGCATGGTGCCTAGGAAAGAGAAGTACGTCGTTAGTATGCTCCATCATGTTCCTTTAGTAACCTAGTCACGCAACATCCCTGGCGGTTGACTCACTGGTAGACGACTTTTCAAGAGCGCTGATATCTTCAGATTCCTCTGTCGATGAGGTAACATTGCTTGTTCTCCTGCGACTGTCGGTTATCAGTCCTGAGGAGAGTACTGGGGATAGCGGTGCCGAAGTCGTAAACGTGTTATGGCTCGATGTGGCTTGGCTTGATGTACCTTGTTGGAGAGACACCTCCTTCAAGCGACCTTCAGACCTGTGAGCTGTTTTCACAAGTGGTGGTCGAGACTTGTCTCCAGCTCTCAACTCGGCAACCCCCCGAGCTAGACATTGAGCATACAATCTTGCTGTTAGAACCAAGGCTTTCCAAGCCAACACAATATCACATTGCGTATAAGTACATCCTGCTTTACCGAAATCATGCTGCGTCTTTTCAACAAGGTAGCCCTCGGCTGTTCTTAGTCGCTTTTCTCCGGCGGATTTCAGATACTCCAATCTCTCCTACTCCTCTTTGCGTTGTTTTTCCGTTTCAGTCAAATCGGTCCAGAAAGCCTCCCGTTCCACTGCCTTGGACTTCCATTCTCGCTCCAACCGACTGCCAGCCTCCTGTAAGTCTTGTCGGGTGCTGCTCTTGAGCGAAGGCACCACCTTTTGCAACCATTTGTTCGTAATATCTCGCCTTTCATGGCTCGAGGGTTTAGGAACGACAAGAATGCAACGTAGTCAAATTCTCGCGGTTCCTCTTCTCTGAGAAGGTATTCTGACCCTGGGAATGATTCGACAGCCGCAAGCCATACTTGCGATTTCTTGGACTTCTTCATCATGGGCTAGTATGAAACAAAAAAACTAACAATGAAAAAAAGGGTTAGAGTTATTCTTGCAAACGGAGAAAGCAATGGGAGGTCATGTATGGCTGGACACCCTCATCCTGGCAGGAAGCCTCTGCTTCTGGCCCTCTGACAGGTAGACATACAATCGAAATGGGCAGGACGACAGGCAACCTCTTGTTCTTGCAGCGTATCGAAGCAAGAGGGTGCTGGAAGAACGCGCTGAAAACCCAGCACCGTCTCCCCGCCGTGTCTGTCGGCTTCTACCAACGCTCTTTAAAACGATGAACGGAATGACGATGAAGCGAGTGTTGTGTTGATGACAAGTGGAATGGAGGTGTGGCACTGGTGACATTGTGGTTGATAAAAACAAAGGTGGTAAGAGTGCGTGATGGTTAACGAAAGAAACGATATTGGCGTCGGCGGTGAATAATAAAGTACAATAGTAAAAGCGTCGTGGACGGAGAGGAAGTGTTTGAAAAGACGCAAAGGGGAGGGAGTCGTAGGGTGATGGAAAGAAAAGATATAACATCAATCCTGAATGTCAGGATAAAACTTTTGAATGGTAGACACACTTGCCTTTCAAATACCAAGTGGGGGAAGGTGAATAAGGATGAAAGAGTGTGCAGTAGCAACTTGATGAAAGGACAATGTAACGAGAAGAAGGTAAGGAGAAGTTGGCTATGAAAAGAAAGATGGAAAATGAGGAAACAAGGTATGAAAGAAACAGGACAATGAGCGCGACAATTACGTCATCGAAGTTAGTAAATCGCCGATCAAGAGTTTTGGACGCGACGGATATCCTGCACCTGGTCGATGCCTAGCCACTCAAACCCCCCCCCCGGATGAACGATAGTGAACTCCTTGTTTTTTTTGTTTTTAAGAAATTTATTGCGTCGTGGGTGTGCGTGCAGTACAGTAAACTAATACTCCCTTTCACCGGGCAGTCCTCACCGTTCAAAAGGATATAAAAATTAAATGCCAAAGAAGCATGAAAGTTACATCTAAACTGGGAAAAAATAGGTGTACCGAAAACCGAAGGATAAAACATGATAGATAAATTACAAAGATGGATAGAATACAAGAAGGTTAGGTAGGGTGGTTGGTGTCGGCAGGGGGCGGCCCGACGGGGGGTGGTGGTTGTTGTTTCTCGTTCTGACGTTTTTTCTCCGCCAGCTGGGCTCGAGCCTGGGTGACGGCCAGGTCCACAGCAGCCAGGACGATCCGAGGTTCGAAGGCCTGGCCTTCGATTCTAAACGGTTGAAGGCATAATCAAACAAAATGGTCACGTGGCGCCTCTGACTGCATTGCCGTGTACGTTTCTGTCTTTTTTTGACATGTTTCTAGCACAGTAATCCCCCAACCATTGGATGTCACTATCACCCCCCTTCCTGATTGGACACATCCCCTGAAGCCATATGGATCACGCTCCGTGTGGCTTGGATCGCTATTTCTTCTTCAAAAGTAAAGAGACTTAGTCCTAGTCTGGCCTGAATGTCTCTAATTTTGGTCTGTGCCCTTTCCCCTCCCTCGCATCTTCTTTCTCAGGCACCCTGTCCACTTTGTTTTGATCGCCCAACAAGTGAGGGCGGGGGACACGGACTAGTTCGTTCTGCAAAGAGAAAGTGTTAGAGTGTGAAGATCATCCAGAGACGGATGATAGATTTGCGCCCAACAATTCACCTTTACCCATGGCTACTCTACAGAATACGTACACCCAACACCGGGAATTGAAAATGCAAGCGTCTCATCGATGTGTCATTATTCCTACTCAATATCGTCATGAACCCTATGGAAAAACGAGGTTGTGAACTTGGAAAAACTATAGCCCATCAAACAAACAAACACAACCTACAAGGGATAGTGTTGCAGATCCTACGCCTTGGCCAACAAACTTACAAACCACACCCCGCCCCGCTTGGCAGCCTACAGATATCCAATCTCATCGTCCCAACAAGGAACACCGATACCTGCCATGCAAACGTCCGTTGATTGGTTCAGTCGGAGACACTCCCATGAGGTCTAAGAATGGAGGTGGCAGGGACCAAAAAGGGTTCTTCAGCAAATAAGATGGGCGGAGAGAAATCGAGAGATATCGGGCCCTAAAACGACTTGTTGAGATGTATGTAAGTATAGAACAAGAAAGGGCTTGCGGAAGAATGGAAACGAGGGAGTGGACAGAAGGGATGAGTAAGAAAAAGGAGCATTGGGCAAATGTTCGGACTGGAAGAGAAAAAAGGGCCATTGGTTGTGTTGAGATTCAAGCGGACCGTTACTTTTCAATCTCATTTGTAGCGAGAACGCAAAGCGCAAATTTTATTCTCTCTTGAACGAATGTTTCTGCGCTTGCAGATATCGTCTTTTCATTATGGCCATTGCTTCGAGGCAGAAGTGTGCACCATAGGTGCATAATTGCTGCAAAATAACGAGAGGAGGGATAATGGGGTGGGGCAACGTTGACGCTAGTACTTCTCGTTACTCATAATACGAGTTTTTGGCATAACAGGCTAATGAAGGTGGAGGAAATAGAGAAAGATAATGATTTAATCCACGTACAGCAGGGAATAAATGAATGAGTAAGGAATGAATTGCGCACGCCTTTTCTAAAGGTAGTCTAGAGAGAGCCAGGGTTCCCATACAAAAAACCTTTCTCTTCCACTCAGTGGGGCAATGAAGAAGAGACACATACAAAAGCCCCTTTCGGTGTCGGTGACACAACCAACCATTTTTTTTTGGTTGCCCTTTATTGTTGTTGAGCGCAAGTACAAAACGGCTCTTTCTCTTCCTCCTCCCTTTCGATTGTCCATGTTGAGTACTTTTTCCCACCACCCGTCCATTTTTTATTATTTTGTTTGTTTACACAACGAGGACAACCTTCTTTTCTCTTTTTTTTTGTTTTCAACGGACCCCGCTTTTTATTCTCTTTCGCCTTTTGATTATCCACACTCTTCTCTTTCTTCTTTTCTTCTTTCTCCCTTTCCTTTCACTTCTTCCTTCCCTTCACTTCTTCCCTTGACTTCTTCCCTTCTTTCTTCCTTCTTCACTCCCTTCTACACCCTTCTCTTCACTCTTGCTTGCATCGCTCAAACATATGCCCATTCTCCTCACATTCCAGTAGAACCACTCTTAATATCCATTCACAGTCAACTCTTTCTACATCAAAATCACATATAACCAACGATGAGCAGCAACAACAACAACTCGCCTAATAACACCCCTCCCCGCGACTCGAGGTCCTCCTCCAACGCATCTTCAAACCTCGCCATCAACACCACCATCGTCGTACCCCCCTCAATTGCCATCAACCCCCCTTCTTCCGCCTCCAACACCTCTACCTCTAATACCACTCGCACTCCACCCTCGATCCCAACATCCTCCAAATCCAACAATACCAACACAAACACCAACAACAACCCTAGATACAATCCCCCAGTACCCAGCAGGATGAGCGGTACCTACTCGAGCAACAACAGTATCTACAAACTCGGTGGAAACTCTAGTGTACACCGCCTTGCGGGGGGTACCAGGAGTGCCAACAGCTCTCCACCAAGCACCCCTCCCAACGGCTTGCGGGACTATTATATCAATGCCGCCCTCCAACGTTCAGGTCATCATCGTCTCCACCCTGGTTCCCTGCCCAGTTCTTCTTCTAATATCCAGCAGCAGCAACATCAGACGAGGCCCAGTATCTCGATCCTGGTCCCTCAACCTCAGTCGCAGAATACCCTGGTTCCCGAGGCTACCGTTGCGAGACGGTCGTATTCGGCCGACCATTTGACGATCAATGAACCCGAAATCACCGTTACGACCCCCGGTGGATCTAACGCGACTGAAGAGCATGTCATGACTCTGGAGGCGGCGCTCAATAACCTCATCGAGAAGGAGAGCCGAGGCAACACTGCACCAGGGACACCCGAGAATGAGGAGGGCAGTGTCGAGTCTGATGAGCCCATTATGATGAGAGGATCAATCCCCGAGTCGTCTTCCAAGAGGGACAGCATCAACAACAAGTGGAGCAAAGGATTTTCGGCCTTCAATAGTAACTCCAACAGCCACAGCAACAGCGGGATCTCACTCACACCCAAGGTGCTCGCCAACCGTTTCGAGACTGAGGGAACAACTACAGCAGTACAGGATCTGAATGACAACAAGGAAAAGCGACTTTCGGACAAGGACAAAGAGAAGAAGAAGAAGAACCGGATCTCGAAGCTCTTTCATCGCGAGGGACCGTCTACACCAGCAGCTGTGCCCGAAGATCAATACGACATGAGGTACATCCGCCCATCTGTGCAGCCGTCCAAGGCCGGAGTTCTTAGCAACCTGCTGAAGCTGCAGGGCAAGCAAACCCATGAGAAGGTAACATTGATGTCCTGTTTTGTTCTCTGCAGGGCGATGAGTCAAAGACAAAACATGTGTACAGTACATATGCATACAACGGTGGCAACGAGACAAAGGACTAGAGTGTATGCCGAATAATGAGCCGTCATCGAACTTTCGATGAAACCTATGTAGCGCCAGAAGAAAAGAAGGAATTTTATTTAATTTCAACTGCAATAGAGTCTGACATGGTATCCATGGGCACACACTCGCTGGTGGGTTATACTTTACCCTTTGTCATTCTACTAACCTATTCTATATGAATGACCCAATTGAAAACTCGATAGGCCCATACGCACAAGGAACACAAGCCGCGCAAAGAAAAGAAGAAGCGCCCAGCACTCTACACTCGGTCGGCAAACAACTCCGCAACGGACCTCTCCAAGAGGTCTTTCCTCGGCACATACCCGCCCTTGCCCAACATTAACAACAACAACAACCAGGGATCGACCACAGGAATGGGCTCCCTCAGCAAGGCCACCAACCGAAACAGCAATACCAACAATGGAACCAACAACAACAACCATCGACAGTCGTTCCAGTTCGACGGCACTATGACCCCGTCCTTTGCGGCAGGTCATTCGCCCATGCACTCGCCTATGCAGTCGCCCCTCCAGTCGCCCAACGGTTCACCCCGAGAATCGTTCTCGTACGAAAACAACTACAACATGTCGACCAGCAGCACCCTGCATTCACTCTCGGCCGAGGAAAAGATGCGCATCACACTTGCAGTCGCGGATATCTTGCAGCGCCAGGATTATGTCCTCCGCCTTGCCCGTGCAATGATCAGGTATGGAGCGCCCTCCCACAGACTCGAGGACGCTGTTGATCATACTGCCAGGACACTGGAGCTCAACCTGCAGTGCGTCTACATGCCCAACGTCATGATCGTCGCCTTTACCGATTACGAGACCCATACTTCCGAGACCCACTTGCTTAAGGTCTCTGCAGGACTCGACATGTACAAGTTCGCGCAGGTCCATCAGATCTTGAAGATGGTCACCCATTCTGCCATGCCGGTCGAGGAGGCGATCATGAAGCTGGATGCGATCAACACCGAGAAGGATATCTGGCCCCGCTGGCTTGTCATCCTCTCCTATGCCCTGGCATCCTTCTGTACCGCGCCCATGTTCTTTAAAGGCAACTGGATCGATGCAGGAGTCTCGTTCTTAATCGGAGGCACTGTGGGTATGATGGCATGGCTCTCTGAAAAAGTCCCCAGCTATGCGCACATTTGCGAAATCACCATGTCGGTCGTTGTTGCATTTGTCGCTGAAGCACTCCACGACCACGTCTGCATTAGCATGAGCTCTGTTAAATGGGCAGGAATTGTCATGCTCTTGCCCGGATACACCATTACCTGCTCGATTCTCGAGTTGAGCTCGCGCCACATGATTTCAGGATCCGTCCGCCTCTTCTATGCCATCATCTTCTCGCTCCTCCTCGGATACGGACTGACGATCGGTGCCTCACTCTGGCACCTCTTTGACCACTCGAGCAGCGCAGAGTCCGTCCCCGCCGTCTGTCCCGGCTCCCTGGACCCCAAATGGAACATCCTCTTCGTCCCCATCTTCGCATTCACCCTCAACATCTGGCTCAAAGCCCACCCCCGCCAATGGGTCCTCGCCACCATCCTCTCCATCCTCGGCTACATGGTGTCCTACTCGACCTCGACCTGGGCCAACGCAGAGACAGAAGTCTCCTCGGCTCTCGCCTCCTTCGCCATCGGACTCTGTGGAAACCTCTATCAACGTGCTACCCACCAACTCAGCTTCCAAGCAGTCGTCTGTGCAGTCTTCTTTTTGGTTCCCGGAAGTTTGGGCCTGAAGGGCGCGATGGCATTGTTTACGGACGACATGGCAGGCGGTGTGAATTTTGCGTTGCAGATGGTCATTACTGCGATCGCCATTAGTGTCGGGTTGTTTGCTTCAGCGTTGGTGGTTTATCCCATGGGCAAAGCTCGTTCCGCCCAAATGACCTTCTAAAGAAACGGCCTGTCCCCCTCCCCCCTTTTTCTTATATAGGGTTTAGAATAGTCAAACACCTGAATAGACAACACTAATCTCTTAGAATTTACTCCAACGATACCCTCCTCAATTGCCTCATTTGTTTGCTTGTTTGTTTTATTGCCATTTAGTTTGTTACCAAGGGGGACACGAAGACGTGGAAAAGGATGTGGCCCGAACCACGCGACATGCAATGTTGATAGTATGGTGTTTACTCATATCCATATGTCCATCCCTAGTCTCCATCCCTGTCCCCATCATATCCTTTTTCTTCCTTCTTTCCTTCGTCAACATGCGGATAGGTAGATGGAAACAAAAAGAAAATTAGGGATAGCTTTTCGTCAGGAAAAGGAGAAGACTGGGTCTCTTGACCTCTATCTTGGTCCTTTCTTGCCTTTGTCCTTCCTGCTTTTCCTTTGTCCTGCCTTTCCTTCATCCTTCGTCCTTGGTCTTTGTGCTCACCCCCCATCTATCAAACCTTTGCCCGACGCCCACCTTTCCTTTCGTGGCCTTTCCTTTTTCTTTTCCTTCGTCATTTCGTTTTATCCCCTACTTCGAGGACACTCATCCATCTCTGTCTTGAAATGGAATCTTGTCACAAGACGACTTTTCTTTCCTACGGTTTCCTCCCTCCACCCCTTTGTAGCCCTCGAGCAAGACGACTCGAAGGATGTCAACCCCCCCTCCTCTCCCCCACCTTCCTCATACTCCTCATCTCCTCATCATCCCCCTTTTACTTTCCTACTTTCCCTCCTCTTTTTCCGTCCTAATTTTCCACCACCCCCCAACCCAAAGTTCTTGATCCACGATACTTGACATTTGTTCTTGTATCCCTTATTTGTCCCTCAACTGCAACACAAAACGTCAGATTGCAAGTACAGAGAGGGCCTCGATTTCCGTAGAAGCCCTAGACGTTCCCTTGGAGTGGATCACTCATGGTCCTCTTTTCCATCCAAAGAGTAAAGATGATGTCCCAAAACTTTCAACCAGCCCTTTTCTTCAAAGAGAAGGCAAGACGAAGAGGACGCTCATTGTGACCATATTAGGGATTCAATTGGAGGGGGCGAAGTTGAGGGGAAGGAAATGGAGCCTAGGGAGGGAGGTGCAAGAAAGGAAACCCAAAACAAGAGTGGGAGAGTTGGGGTTGTAGTGGAGTCAAGTGGGTGCCCATTGGATTGATTGCCTTGTGTCTTGTACTCATATCCTGATATCTCATTTCTGGTTCATGTGGTGCAAGATTTGTGCCAGGGCTCGTCTTTTTCTTTATTAGGTCGTGTGTTTCTATGTCTTGTACATTTCTTTTTCGTTTTTTTCTTTCCTATTTTCCTCAACTCTTCATTGTTCACAGTTTTTCTTCTTTCCTTCACCCGTTCTTCCTTCTTCCCCTCTCACCCGTTCTTCCTTCTTCCCCTCTCACCCATACCTTCCCTTCCTCTCTCTTTTCACACACCCAAAAAAAAAAAAAAAAAAAAAAAACAACCGCAGAATGCGTTTCGCTTCCGTGATCCTGCTGTCCACAGCAATTTTACTCTTCTCTACCAACACAAACAACCAAAGTCCAAGCTTCGCCGCCGCCCAAGTTTCCGTCCCCGGACGCTTCCGCCCTCACCTCTCCAGCTACTACCACTCCGCTGCCCCGGACTCCAATGCAAGACCCATCTCGCTGTACCGACCCTACCTGCGTTACTCCTCGTCTCAGGAACGAGATGCGCAAGGACCCCCTGCGACACCTGTGATGCAGATGCCACATATGGACAACGCCCAGCTCCTGAACGACGAGACCAATGCCCGGGCACAATTGTTGGCCGAGGGTGGGGCTGACGATGGGTCGTACCGGTTTGGAAAAGCTGTCGCCATGGATTCCTTGGGGTTTCCGTCTACCCTTTCCAGTGGTCGGTGGACGCACCTCAAGAAGCAGCGCCTCTCTCCCAACGACAATGAGGAGGACGGGGAGGAGGAGGATGTGATGGTATGGCAACTCGAGATCCAGTCCAAATCCGCCCTCTCTCTGAACCTGATCTTCTCCGACTTCCACCTCCCCCCTCGTTCCGAATTCTACATCTCCTCCAAGACCCACCTCCTGGGGGCCTTCACCCCCGAGGTGAACAACAAGGCGGATAGAGTCTTTGCGACGGCTCCCCTGGGAGGGGATCGATTGTTGTTGGAGTTGTATCTGCCGAGGCTGGATTTCGTTCAGGGCACAAGACCGAATTTGGAATTGAGCCATGTGATTCATGGGTATAAACCTACTCTTCTCGCTGCGTCGTCTGACTTGATGGCGAAAGGGATGAGGATGGCCGATGGGTCCATTGCTCCGCACTCTCACCGCAGACGACGAAGTGGACGAGGTGGGCTGAGGGAGCAGACATCGTATGCCAACCCATTGAGCGATTGGAACCAGCACTCTGTCTCTATGGATGGTACAGAGGACGAGGAGGATGGACCAGTGAGAGCAATGTCGGGCAAGTGCAACCTCGACGTAGCCTGCCACCTGGACGAGTACCACGACCAGTCACGAAGCGTCGGTGCTATCTTGTCCGAGTACAACCAAAAGTACTGCACCGGCGCACTCATCAACAATGTACGCCAAGACGGTCGCCAGCTCTTCCTCACTGTAAGTTTTCCATTCCCTTCATGTGTGTGGTGGCGGTTGTTGCCGTTATCTCACTCTCGTGTCCCTCCTTGCCCAGTGGTCACCCTTCTTTTTTGTCATTTATTTTGTTTGGGCGTTTTTTTTACACGAGGCATGCATGCACATGCACAATTACACTCTACTGCCCCCCCCCCCTCCCCTCCTTTTTTTTTCCTTGTTACCCAAATCTAACACATGCATACCTCTTCCCTATCTTCTCTATCCTTCCAAATAGGCAAACCACTGTTCGGGGTTCGCAGATACATCGGCCCACTTAGTCATGTTCAACCACGAAAAGATCCAATGCGGGTCCGCCCCCGAGGAAGTGAACGAGCACGACACAGCGATGGGACTCATCAAGCTGGGGAACTATTTGAATTCTGATTACACGCTGTACGAGATTGTGGAGACCATCCCGGATGCGTACAATTTGTATCTCTCCGGGTGGTCCGCTTTGCCGGAGGCGCCGATGAGTCGACCCAGGTTCCCAGAGGAGGAGCCGCAGAAGCCTGAGGAGCCTGAGACTCCTGGAGATGGTGATGATGATGATGACGAGGAAGCTGTGAGCCCCTGGAGAACTATCCGCCGCAAGCCCCACAAAGACGAGCCCACACCCCCAGCACCCGAAGACCCTTCACTCACAAAGATCCCCGTCGTCGGGATCCACCACCCCTCAGGCGACTCGAAAAAAATATCCTTCTTCTACAACGGCACCCTCCTTCCAGTCTGCTGGTCCGAATGCATGTACAAAGAAAAATTCCACTGGCAGATCCCTCGTTGGGACCAAGGTACCACCGAACCCGGGTCCAGCGGGTCCCCACTCTTCAACGCCGACAAGCGGATCGTAGGCCAGTTACACGGAGGATCGGCTAGTTGTTACAACAGGAACGGGTATGATGTGTATGGAGCCATTTTTGCGAGTTTCTTGAGCCCACCCAAGATCAAGAACCGACTTGCGACGTATTTGGATCCGGAGGGGACAGGGGCCATGGTCTTGGATGGATATGGGTTGGAGCAGGCGAGACGGGAGTCGAGACAGCGGCATGGGCCTAATCCTCCACCTTACCCGCAGCCTCCGCAGGAGGATGATGATGAGGAGGACGATGATCCCTGGGCTCATCCTACACTCGAGAAGCCTCTGACTTGGACGGAGGAGGATTACTCGCACTCTGACAGTCCATCACACGGACGCTACCGCCACCACCACCCACACCACCGCCACCGTACCGGCAATGTCGATCGCCTGAACAAGTTCATGAACAAGTTCATGAACAAGGTCTGGCAGGACATTATCCAAGGCTACAACAGCATCGATGCGGCGTCGTCAGATGTTGGTGAGGGCCAAGTCTCCTGCGACCAGTTCCAGGACTAGATCTTCCTTCCTCTTTGTCTTCCTGTGCAAGCTCTTTTGATATCTGTCTGTATATATACGGCTTCATCTTGGTAGATAGTACATCTCCCATAGAGCAGCTCCCTTCCTTTTCTTTTCTTTCCTGTCCTTGCTTGCCATAAATACCATACTTATCATAACTTATTATAGCTTATATAAAATACACATATTTTCTTACTTTATTTACCTCATCCTTCTACAGCTATCCCGTCCCGCAAAAAAAAAATGAGGAGTCTTCGAGTTCTCCTAGTTCTTAGCGTCCCGGAACTCGGCCTCCTTGGTAAGCTTTGCAAACTTCTTGGTCTTGACGTTTCTGAGGTTGACCGAGGCCGTCTCGATTCCGAGGTCGACCGCTGCGGTGTATGCGTTGATGGCGCCGTCAAAGTCTCCTGTCTGCTCGCTGATCACCGCCAAGTTGAACTATTGTCATCACAAATGAGGTTAGATGTGGTTAGATTCGTATCCATCTATATCTGTTCCGTCCTGCTTCGTAATGAACATTTTGCGCAGCAAAGATCCCATCGTCGGAGCTCCACTTCAATCCCCCCCCCACCTCCTCATATCCACCGCTCCTAAAAAAAAAGATACCTGGATCTCAGCGTCCTGAGGGGAAATATTAGCAGCAGCCTGGAGATGCCTCAAGGCCTCGTCCAGGTTCGAGTTGAGCTTGATGTGGGCGGTGGCAATGTTGGTGTGGACATCTGCGTGGTGTGGGGAGAGCTTCAAAGATTCCTGGAATGAGTTGATGGAGGACTGGAAGTCGCCGAGTTGGAAGTAGCAGACGCCCATGTTGTAGTGTGCCGCCGCTATTTGTTTTGATGTGGATGAGAAGGGGAGGAGGGGGATTAATCAATGTGTTTTTTTGGACGTGTGTGGCGGAGGAAGAGAGTTGGGAGGCCGTTGGGGGGGGAGTTCTTCCTTTAGAAAGCATGTGGAATTGGTATCCATGTAGCATTTCGGAACAAACAGCCAAGGCAACCCTGTCCCGAAAAAAAAACCTCAAATCGTGAGGAGTCACCAATACATACCAGTAGGCCGCACGTTAATACTCTTCTGGAAGGAGCTCATGGCCAAAGGCAACATATTATTAGCCTGGAAGGAGACACCCTCATCCATGTACTGCTGAGCCTGGTCCAACGAATCATCCGACTTGATCGAGAAATCTGCCAAGGACGTTGCGAACCCCTGCTTCTGCTGAGTGTTGTTGTTCTTGAAGGCGGAGGAGGTAGTGGCATCGGGTTTGGCGAGGATCGAGAATGAGCGTGCGGCAGGTGCGAGGACAGAGCGGATGAGGGTCCTCCTGGAGACCGCGGAGAGGAGGGAGCGGGCGATGGTGGAGTTGGTCCTGAAGGCTGCCATTGTAATCCTTGTGTGATTTCCCGAGAAATGTGTCGTGAATGGTTTGAGAATGTCGCTCTTCGCTGATCTGTCAAAAGGCGGAGGACGGTGAACAGTCAAGGACAGGGGCGAAGTAGTGATTAAGGGTTATTCGTTTGATTGCTAGATTTTCATTTCCTCCGCACTGCACTTGTGCAAAACATACCTATTATTTTTCAGAGCTTTGCATCCACGCCTGCCAAGTACGAACCCACAGAGACACAAAAACGACAGTAACCGTCCGCGCATGATCGCCCATCAATCTACAAAGATAGGAAAGAAGAAAGCACCACAGGCAAGATCGAAACAATCGGAGGCAAACCACAATGAGTAGACCTCGCCCGGTCGCCTTAGAGAACAATTCCTTTCTCGCCACAAGCCGAGTTCCAAAGAGCATCCCCTCCTCCAGAAAACACTCCAATACGTTCAAAAACCACCGCCCTGTCCCGTCCACTTTGTGACGCATTTCGGCCCTCCTCAACCTCCCCCTCAACGCCTGAATTTCAAGACCTTGCGGACCAAATCGTCCCAGTGGCATATCCTCGACGACTCTCCTCCTTGTCGGATTGAGTGCGATTGGATCAAATCCGTCGATCGCGCGGCCAGACACAACACTACACGCTATAGTCGAGGAAGGCGAAGAAGAACGAGAAAGATGGGTCAAACTCTTCTGACTGACCCCCTCCTCTTCCTCTTCCTCCTCCTCCTCCTCCTTCTTCTCGTCGTCGTCCGACAGCTCTCGTTCTTTCACCCATCGATGCCATGACCTATCTATAAATCCTCCAGCTTTTTCGTCCTGTGTGCCGCGAGCACACTCCACGATATTCCAATCATGACTCTTGTTGTAAGATTCATTCTTTCAAATTCCTCCTGTCAGATCCCGCTCGAGGGCTACTCTCAGTTCAGGTTAATCCCCCCTCCTGTGACCTCCTAGTTCTACATCAACGAGGATCTATAGATCTGAACTCCCGATTCCCGAAAACATCCGTCGACAAAACTCTCAAGGACCGTATCGCCGGTAGTTGTTGTTTCACTCTATCATCCTGATCGATCCCCCCCTCCCGCGTGCGGTGGCGGCGTTTTCTTTTTTTTTCGTTTTCGTGCCTTTGATGACGACGATGGGTTCGCTTACCTGCTCGGTTACTCCATTGTATCAACGCAGTACGCGTTTTTTTTTCCGGCTATGCGAAGAAGGATGTTCTTTTGTTATCGAAGTAATAAAAATATACACTTTTTTTGAACGAGTAAACAGGATATGATGGGAGAAATATGAAAGTTGTGGTTTATTTACAAAGTGGGAGTAGGTGGGCAGGATAAAGGGTAGCAGAAACGCAAGAAAAGTAAAGATATGTGTGTATGAAGAACAAGCAAATGTCGGTGGTGATTGGGAATAACAACGAAGAAAGTGAACGAAAAAGGGAAAAAAAGAACAATGACAGCGAAACCGTTAGACAGCGCAAACCCTATGGGTAGGAGGGCTGAGGCTGGCTCTGACCAGGGTGGTGCTTGTGCTGTGGGTGTGGATGGGAATGTTGGTGATGCTGGTGATGCTGCTGTTGCTGCTGTTGCTGGTGGTACTGTGCCTGTTGCTGGAGGACCTCCTCCTGTCTCAATTGCTGCCGGTGGTGGTGAACCTGGTAGGCGGTAGGGTGGTTGGGTCCGTATCCTGCGCGCTCGTCGTCCTGTCCATCAATGCCACCCTTCTCCGCCGCCTCCATGGCTGCAATCTCGGCGGCCGTCAGAAACCGTCCTCCTGGTCCACGTGGGCGTCGCATTGCGTGCTTGTGGCGCGACTCGTGAAGGTACTAATTTTTTTTTTTTGGGTTTGCACAACATAACAAAGGAGAGAGATATATATGAGTGTGAGCCATGAAAGGGGGTGGTTGGACGATATAACATGGTGTATGGTGTGGTCCGCTGCATTTTGTGTTCCCAGTGGTCCTGTTCCTGTTGCTGTTGTTACCTTGCGGCCTCGTTGAAGCAGGCGGTTTTCTGCCTCCAGACTTGCCCTGGCAGCCCTGCGCTTGAGGATGCGATGGTACTAAAGAAGAAAAAGAAGACAGTGGAACAACCAGGTTAGTGACAATTCACGTATAAAATGAAGACAATGATATATACACCATGGACAAGAGGAGAAGGAAGAGAATAGGGAGACCAAAGAAGGAGAAGGGAGGGAGGGAGGAAGGAAGGAAGAAGAATAGGAATAGGAGAAGGTGTCTGTCTGTCATCCCTGTCACTCGGATCATCGATTGCGTGGGTATTTGCAGGTGTTATTAATATCATCCTCAGTCAGCCAAGGTTCAGATCCGATGGCAAGACAGAGTGAGTTGAAGGAAATAAAAGAAATCGAGGATGATGATAGGCTGCCCAATGCAAGCCAATCATCTCGCTGTAGTCATTATTCCTCGGTCGCGTCCAACGAGGACGAACCTGAACCAAACAATCCTTCTCGACCCTTTTTCTATTCTACGGTTCAAGCATAACCTGTAACTCTACATGACATATAAAAATAATGCAGTTGGCAATAAAGAAAAAAGGTTGACCCGAGAATTGGTGTGGTAATAAGAAGAGGGGATTTGGTGGAAGAGCAGACTGGGAAGGAAACGAAGGAAGTGAGAGTGGCGGGAGGGGGAGGAATGAAATCATCCAGAAAGGCTTCACTGGGGGGGGTTTTCCTTGTTCTATTTCTGAGGAAGGTGAGAACGAGAAAGTGATCAACTCACCTGCTTGGCGTTGACATAGAGAGGCTCTTCTGGTTCCTCCACCCGAGGCGAAGCGACTTGACCGAGGACGTATCCTGGGGGCATCATGCGCTATTATTGGACAGAGAAGAAAAAGTCTCATCAGTTCCGTAAGAACGAATAAGCTCCTCTTTACAACATGAACAAACGCTCTTTGTTGTTATAATCAAGGTCTTACGGGATCGACGACGAGGACGCTGCCCATGGCGCTTGCGTAGGCGGGGTCAAAGTGGTGGGAGGAACTGGCCTCTGAGGGCTGAGGGGAGGATGAGGAGGTGGGAGGTGCTGGAGAAGGGGAGGGATGGGCTGTTCCCGTTGGTGAGGTCGGACCTGAGGACTGAGTCATGACTGGGTGAGAGCTGGGCGCCTTGTTTGGGTTGGTTCCTGCGTTTGTCCTTGATGGGTAGTTTGCTGTCTGATTGGCGGTGGCAGTGATGGTCAAGAAGAAAGAGCGAGAGGGAGAGAGAGAGAAAGTAAAGACTATGATTGATTGGCAATGACGACAGAAAAAGAAAAAAGGAAGAATGAGAAAGAAAACAAGAGGGGAAAAACAAAGAGGAGGACAAACAAACCAGCCTGACTGACTCTGGTCTATCTGATTTGATTTTTCTTTTGTTGGAGGAAGATATGTGTGAGCCCTGGATGGCTGACAGATGAATGCGTTGCAAGTCCAAGAAAGGGAAAGAAACAACAACAGGCGACAGAGGGAAGAGGAACAGGGCAAAGTCGCATTTGCTGCTTGCTGTCTGTTGCCCTGCCTCACTCACATGTACTGCACGTCCTGGTATGTGAATGTGAATGATACACACGTACAAGTCTACAAAACTGCGCAGATGGAACGAAAGCATGTCCCTTCTTTGCCAATGGCTTGCCTAGTAGATAGTAGGAACAATGGATGCTCTTCGCCCCAAAGTCATCTTTATTCACGCAGGTTCATATATTAATTAGTTCACGAACCCCCAATGGCCTTCCAATGGCTTATTCGCTCTCTAACCAGCTTTGTGGTAGCCACGATGCTGCTGAGTACAGCCCACTTCCGAGCTTTATTTCTTGTGCTGCTGTTGAAGGGAGCCTAGAATGATCGTTGGCCAATCGAACCAAAAGGAAGTGAATTTGCTCTCTGGCTAAAGTGAAAAACGTGCTAGAGGACACATCTGGCATCAAAAAAACACAATGACATGTCACACTGTCCCTCCAGGGAGTAAACACTACGATGGCCTACAGAACAAAATGGGTGCGTAGTTCTCGATTTCTTCTTTCCTGTTCGTAGACATCTCGTAGAAAGACAACAACCAACATTATAACCTGTGCGAGAATGAGTGCGTGGGCAAGAATAGGTATGCTTTGTTGTTTCTTTTTTCTTAGTGTACCATTGTGAATGTCTTTTGGCTTTTTTTACCTGTGCTCCAGCAGCGCAAGAGTGTGCACTAGACGCTTGAGACGACACGCGCTGTAGTTCACGCATCTTTGCTAGTGTTCATAGGCGCTTTTCCCTAAACACCTCGGTAATAATTGAGGAAGTATGGTTGGACCGTGGGTAGGGGTACAGCTTCTGGCTTCTGTGTTTGTAGTCTGTACTTTAGACGTGCGTATGTGAATCTGCAACAGTGTGAACTTGGTTTGGCTTTTTAAATGAGAGACCTGACATCCGTGCCTACCCCTGCGCCAGAGAGGGGTGATCCTACATATCCCCTATGATGATGATGATGATGATAAGGCATGAATAGGTTTCTCGCACAACACAGACACAACATGACTTTTGACCCGTAAGCAAACAAGGAATGCGTCTTTTTTTTCCCTCCCTTCCTGAGTGTTGCTCTCGATCTCAGCCACTCTAATCAGATAGCATATTCCCAGAAAGAAAGCAAGGCAAAGGAATAAAGAAAGGGAGAAACCAAAGGGTCTAGGGGGTGCAATGTCCAAGGGCAAGGGGTTGGAGTGAGTTTGAGGGACAATTGCCAGGAAGGCAGCAAAGTGCATCCCATCCTATTCTCGGGCTCCAAAAATAAAAATAATGCCGGACCCATTGGATCACCAAGCAATTAAATTACTTTTTTTTCTTTTCTTGCATTGTAGGCTTAGGTGTTTGTTGTTGTTGTTTGTTTATGTTTTCTGCCTTGGTGCTGATTTTCCCGCGGTAAGGCATGTTGCGCCAGTTTCTAACAGAAAGGATGTATCCTGACGGGAAAGGGAAAAAATATTTCATGGTGACCATTCTTCCCTGCTGGGGGCGGGGCGGGTGGTCAAACCGCATTTTTCGCAGAAGAAAGGAAAAGGGAGAGAGAGGAGGAAGAAACGGCGGAGCGGAACAAAAACATGTTTCCCAAAAGATCAGCCAGTCAGGTCGGCAAGGATAGAGGGCGGGGTCTTTTCTGTTCATAATTCAGCAATTACTGGATCCATTGGAGGTGTGTAGGGTTCATCTGGATCGGAAAGCGAATGATACCTGTACCTGAGTATCCTATTTATTGATTCATTCATATATCATGCCCCTATGCTTTGCTGGAAATGAAAAATGATGCCAATGATGCTAATGGGTTGGATGAACTTGCATGATTGCAGTGGTTGTATTTGTTGGTTGCATAGATATGATATATGATTGTGAGGATGCGAACCATGCCATGCTATGCCATGCCATGCCATGCTATGGGCTATTGTTATCGTTGATTGATTGCATTTGCTCTTCCTTCATTTTCATTATCGATCAACGATCTCACGTTTTTTTTCTTTCTCTTTCTCTACTCTTTTCCTCTGTCCTCGCAACTCCTCTTCGTACTTTCCCAACGTCAGTGCTTGCTCTCAGTCTCTCTTTTCTTTTGTTTTCTTTTTTTGCTCTCACATACCTGCTTTGTTTGTCCTTTTGTTTGAAACGTGGATCTACTTTTCGAAACTGTTGATTTGCAGTGCGCATGGCGATAGAGTGGTGTGCCACTGAGGAAGGAAAGGGGTAGCACATGTGTAGTAAAGGTGTCTAGAGCGTTGACACCACACAGTCCAAGTCCAAGCCAGACAGCAAACATGACAAAACTATCCAGCAAGCAAAGCAAAGCTGACGCTCATTCCTTGTTTGTTTCTGCTTTGTTGTTTGTTGGTATGTTTTGCATTGCCTTTTTTTTCCTTCTCTTCCCCTGTTTGCGTTTGTGTCTGGCCTGATTTTCTTTGTGTACAACAAGTGTGTCTTTGATGCCCTTTTCGAAAAACCTTGTTCCTTGTTGGTTGATGCATGCGCAAAGCGCGCAGGTAGAAGAAGAAAAGGAGAGGCGCTCCAGACTGACCCATGCCTCCATCTCTGTCTACATCCCCCCCACCCTTCTCCTTCTTGTTATTTTATTTTCAACTCCTTCGATTTGCAAACAAAGACAAAGACAGAGAGACGGAGGCAGGAGCAAACAGGGGATTGTAATATGTAATAAAGGCCCAAGCCCATCTCATTGCCTTTTTATTATGATACAAGAAACCCAATACTTGCTTAAAATAAATGAGAGACCGAGAAGCGAGAAGGGGGGCGACAATAAGAGAAAGAGCGAGAGAACGAGAAGGAGGTGGGGGGTTTTTTTTCATTCATGCTGGAAAAAGCAATTGTTTGCGTTGCGTGTGAAATAATCCCTAATGAGTGTATGATACCTTCCTTGCCTCGCCTTTGATGATTGCTTAAGCAATGCGATGCGATGCGATGCAAAACGGAGAAGGGGAGGAAGTTGAGAGAGGAAGAGAGACAGGTAGATAGGCTCCTGCATGTTGTCGGGCAAGCAGGTAAAATAAGCAGGTAGGATAGAACATGGCAGTGCAGGGCTGAAGTATTTGAATTTGGAGTAGAAGGTTGTTCTGTACTGTTCTCTGTCGGTTGAGTTTGTTCGATTGTGTCGACTGTCAACAGAGGCGCGGCATTAAAGGACAAACGACAAACAATAGAAGGAAATAGCATTCGTGCAATAAAATATTGCTGAGCAAGGCAGAGTAGAGCAGGCAAGACTGATCGACCCTCTCTTGTTGTTGTTGTTGTTGTTGTTGTTGTTGTTGTTGTTGTTGTTGTCGCTGTTGTTGTCGTTGTTGTTGTTGTTTTCTTTCTCTCCACCAAAAGAACACAAGGCACAAATTGTCCCGGCGCCCTCATTAAAATTAGGTTGCCTTTATTCATTGAATCGAGTGGTTGTTTGAATAGAGACGTTTTCAAGTTCTCCCCTTCTTTTTTTTTCTTCCCAGCGGAGAGGCAATTGGATTAGAATGGATGGTGCCCCTTCTTCAGTACTCTCTCTTCCTAACTTTCTCCCCCTATCAGTGGGTTCAACTCAATGGGACTGGATTGCATTGGACTGCATTGGGCAACCATGCGTTTTGCGAGAGATGAGGTGTGAAAACAAAAAAGAAAGGGGGTTGGTTGATTGGCTTTGGCTGTTCGTGACGATGATGATGAGGAGAGGAGGAAAATGGCCGAGGAAAGGAAGGAGACAGACTGACAAGGGCAAAGACGAAGGGGTCTGTTAAGGAGAATTAAAGCAAGGGTTGAAAAGGTAGCAGCATGGGCGATGGATTGCAAGGTGTATGTGTGAGTGAGTATGATGCGTGTGCATGTGTGCAGATGTGCATGTGTTGTTGTGTATGTGTGGGAGTAAAGTGTATGTGTTAGCGAAGCGAAGAGGAGAGACGGAAGAACATCCATCGAGGCTGAAGAGTGTCTCTTGACCCATACATTTTTCATCAACGACAAGAGACAAGAGAGACGAGAAAGGAGGACATCCCATCCCCCATTTGAATGCTCTCTCTCTCTTTCTCTCTTTCTCTCTCTTTCTTCTTCTCTTTCCTCTTTTCCTCTTTTCCTCTTTCTCCCTTTTCCATTCTCTCCTCGTTGTTGGTCGCCTTCTCTTCTCTCCTCTTGACCCTATCCTATCCTCCGTCTTTATCCTCTCCCTCATTTTCTTTATTATCGTCTACACACTCTATCTATATCATCCCATCTCCCACTCCTCTCGACTTCTCTCTATTAACGGCTCTCTATCGTCCAGAACATTCACGACCCCTCCTTCTCCTTTGTCATCTCTCTTACCACCTTCACTTTCTCCACTCTCTCAACTCCCCACTCTGTTACCCTCCTCCTCCTCCTCCCTCGCCCGCACCTTGTTCCTCCTTCGACAGCAACAATACACAAACCTCACTCATACAACTTCGCACTTTCCCCGTTCATTCTTCATCTGTTTCACTTTACTTACTCACTTGACCATCAACAGCACATATACCCCCCTTTGACACAACAACAGCCCTGCAGCAGCCGAGCAGCAAACGCCAAGACAAAGGAACATTCAGCAACAACAACAACAATAAGCAATTCGACAATGACAGGTGTCTCTGACTTCTCGGCAAAGGTGTCAAGACATGTCTCCCAACGGCTCTATACCTCGATCGCTCCCCTCACTGAGGCCAATCTCTACCGACACACTATCACCGTAAGTCTCTCTCCTTCTCTTTCTTCCGAGGAGAATAAGGAATATGCCTTTCCCCTTCTCCCGTTCCTATGCTATCCTTACCATTGTACTAGCCCTATTCTCGTTCTTGTTCTCCCCATTGAACCCGCCCGCTCGAACCCTTGCCCCCCGTTTTCTGTCAATTACCCTTCTTTCGATGCCATACATACCCCCGTCCTCCTTCTCCATTATCTTACCCCCTTGCAACCCAAACTATGTCCTTTCATAACCCCCTCTGAAAGACAGTGTAACACCTCCAAAAAAAAAAGAAGGGGACCATTGGTATTGCTATGTTTATCTTTGTCTGTGTCTGGATGCATGTCTGATGTTCGATCACCGTGGTGTCAGACAGACAGACAGACAGACAGAGATAGAACACGACCAATCATGGCATGGCATGATCATATACGCCCACAGGGACAGTGCTTTTGCTTGTCTTTGCTTACACCACCTACTCAAATAGAAGGAAAAGTGTATGGAGCGAAAAAAAACAACAACAGCATGGGCTGTATGAGTATGCGCATACCATTGGGAAAAAAGAGGATGGATGGATGGCACACTGTCTACCATGCACACTCTTTTTGTTTGAATCAGATCTCTCATCTACAAAATAACAGCTGATCATCGTTATTAACTCCACCTTCTCTTGTCGTCTTGACTTGCTCTTGTTGGCTGCTGTTGGTGTTCTGCTGGACGTGTGTTTTCCCTTTTGGAATTGACACCAAATAGAGCCCGCCCTCGCAAGATGCCAAGCTGAAGCACATCCTTGGATACGTCGAGTTACAGCGCGAGCTCATCGCACTCGAAGAAGATCTCTATCGCAGCGTAACAGACAAGGGCCATTGGCACAACACTACCAACAACAACTCTTACACAAACAACAACATCGAGTTACACAGCTCTCAACTTGCTCCACACAACAAGGACACACAATACCATGATGACGAGACTATCGACCAATTCGATCTCATATATAGCCAAAGTCTACCCCAACAACAGCCTGCTGCTCTCGTCCACCGCCGGTCTCTTACCAGTTCGTACCACCAGCGCAAGAACAGCTCACCAAACCCATACACATCACCACAACAGCAACAACGACACACACCACCTCCTCTCCCCTCTCCTGCACTCTATATGCAGCAACATCATCAACAACTCAATCAATCTCGACCTGCACAGCAACAACAACAGTCCACAACAGGAACCCCTGCACAACGCCATCTCGATAATATTCCTGATGGTTTGGACCCAACCATGGCCCTCCCGAGAGCCCTTCCAAGGACCAAAATGACCCATCACGATCAAACACTCTATCGCGACTCCTTTTACTCGGGGATTGGCCAAGAAACTGATTGGCGACAATTAGAGGAGCTGGACCCGGACTCTCTTGCGGGCATCCACCTCTATGGCGACACCAGTGATCTCCAACCACACGCCGCGTCCCAACAACAACAGCAGCAACGACAACAGCAACCCTCACCTGCCGCAGCATCCTCACCCTTGAACAAATACCCAACCTATGAATTCACACCCGACCCCGCACCAAGGAACAGTGATTGGCAGCATGAGCGGCATCTTCAGCAGTTACAGCAACAGGCCATCCTCAAACAGCTTCAGTGCCCGGATGATGAGGATAAAGATGATGAGGGCGAGGCCAAGGTACAAATGGCGACGAGGCTCCATCGTCGTCAACACTCGATCGCCCAGGCCCAGCAGTTACAGTTTGAGCAGCAACACCAGCAACATCAGCGTCAATTAGTGTCGCCCCCGCCGACTTTTATCGAGAAGGAGAAGAAGGCTGGTCGGTTCTCGTCTCGGTTCTCGTTCTTAACCCGTCGTCGTCAGCATTCTCAACCTCAGCCTGAGCATCAGCGCAGCGATAGCATGCCAAATGCGTCCAAAGAGCCCTGGTTGAATGATTTTGGGAACAAGTCTGGTGGACCCGACCGTCTCAACACTTTGGGACATCGTCGTAGCGGGAACCAGTTAGTCGTCGCCACCGCAGGAGGAGGAGGAGCATCACCATCACCACTCTCGTTCTCGGGAGGTCCCGGCGCAACGACGCCTATTGAGGAGGAGCAAGAGCAGGTCCAAGAGGAGGGGTTCCCAGTCAAGAACAAGAGCCGAGTCAAGCAGATGTTCAGGGATGTGTTTGGAATCTCGAAGAAGAAGTGTCAGTCGCCCGATCTTGCCTTCCGGGACATCTCTCTACCATCGACCCATATCCGGTCGTCCTCGACACCCGCGCACCAGCATCAACAGTTGTATGGCCACCCTCAGCATTTGGATCCTTCTATCAACAGTCAGTACCATTACTCGACTGCCGTCGCCCAGCGCAGGGGACTCATTACCCCTGTCTCGAGACCTGACACCGCCCAATCTAGCTACCGTAATAACAACGACAACACCAGCAACAACAGGAACCAGAACAACAACAGCAACAACAGGAGTCGAGCCCGCGAGAGCCTTGTAGACCCTGTGCAGCAGCTTGGGTTCCAGAAGATGGAATTTGACGAGGACTGTGATCTCCTTGGTGGCAGCGGCGCCTTCCCTGAGGGACAAAACGCCTATGGCCAGACTTCTTTGACCCCACCCCCAGCATCGTCAGTCCTCCGGCACTCGACGTCTCCCCACCGCAGTTTCTTGAGTGGTGCGGCAGAGTACGAACCCGTCTTGATCACTGCCTCCGCTGCCAACACTATGTTTCAGCAGCAGCAGCCTCAGGGTGGGGCGGTTGTTGGAGGACGAACTAACAGAACGTCAGGTCCACCTTCGCAGTTGACCAACACCTCGCCCACGTCCAAGGACTATGTCGATAGTGGTGATTCCACTGGCGGGCTTGAGCAGCCTTATACCACTACAGCCTCGAACGCCACCACCCTCAACCAACACCACACCACCAACACCAACACCAACACCACTGCCACCGCCACCATCAAAGGCGGAAGCATCTACAGCCAACAACAGCCCCAACAGCCCTGCCTCTACAGCTCACCAGTGGGAGGAGGAGGTCAGCATCAGAAATCGCTTTCTTATGACTATGATCAGGCGATGACCATGTCGACGTACGATAACGGTCCTACGATTGTGTCGATGGCGCAGGTGCAGAAGGTTGATTTGGAGGGTCTGCGACAGAGTCATGGACATTATTCTCTTCATCACCATCATCATCAAACACCGCCTTCGCATTCCCATCATCTGGGCATGGTTGCTGTCGAGTCTCCCTTTGCCTAAGCCGTTGGTCAGGAAGGGGGGGGAGTGGTCTGGACTCAGACCGAGGCGCAGTGCAAAAAGCAAAGCAAAAAATTCATCCACTCTCAGTCAACTCCGCACAAACACTTTGTATATACCACATCCAACATCTTTTTTTTTTTAAACCACATTCATTGCATGCATTTGAAAACGAAACCTCACAGGAGATTTGTACAAAAATTAAAAACGGCACATTTATGCCAATGTATCATAACAAGTAAAAAAAAAGACTATGAGTGTATGCTCGTGTGTGCTCGTATGTGTGGTCTGGTATTGAAAAAAAAAAGAGAATGCCATGCATGGATTAGAAATGAGATATGGTCGGAGGAAATAAAACGAGATGAAAAATAAAATAAAATAAAATAAAATAAAATATGATGCTTAATGGCATGAATGATGTAATTGGCATGACTGAAAGACAAGAAAATAACGTGTCTTTTACAACAGTGCGGCAAGAACCGCACCAACAATGGTGATGACAACCAAACGACCACCAACACCACCTTCACCGACGGCATGGATCAAGGATCTAGGAACAGCACCACTAGCAAAAGACGCCTCGGCATCCGACGCCCCACCTTTGGACTTCCTCACAACCCTCTTCACCTTGTCCGGTGTCCCTGGGACCACCTTAAACCCCAACTGAGCCTCCAACCCCTTCGTCCTCTCCTCAATCCAAAACCGCACCCCCAGATTCATATCCTTCACCCCTCCCATCGCCAAACTATTGTGAAAATCCGCCTCCGTCCAACTGTTCGTCTTGCCCGGGTATTTTGATCTGTCGATTGCATCGTCCCATGCGACATCCCTTGCGAGCATCTTCTCGTAGGCCTCGATCCGGGGGAAGAGTGCTTCGGGTTTGAAGGCATAGGAAACGATGTCGCGGAGGGTTTGTTCGAACCGTTTGTTGAGGTCTGGGGAGCGGAGGATTAATTTTGAGATCATGGGACGGTCATGGGTGGAAAAGTCGGCATAGGTCTGGTAGGTGGTCAGAATCTCGGTTGGGTCGCCGTCTCCAAAGGTGCCGTCGAAATCTGTCGAGATCCATTGCCATTTGCGGAGGGTTGGGTTAAAGTAGATGAAGTAGTTCGATCCGGACCACCAGTAGGCGTCCCAGGATCCAGCGAGGTATTCCATAGCCATGTTGCGGAGGAATCCGTCGACGTCCAGGCGGGACTCCCAATACTGTCCTCCGTCCATGGTGAGCGGGTCGAAATCCTCGAGGTCCTTCATGAGTTGGATGAGCTGGGTCATAGGGGCGGTGACAGGGTTGGATCCCAGAGTCTTCATCTTGTAACAATCCGCCGGGTATGCCTCTGCAGTCAGACCAAGATACTTCAGATCCCCCTGCGTCTCAACCAAAGGTGCATTCATCTGCCACAACGACCCCTTGACAACATTCCCGTCTCCATGGTGCACCGTCTGCTTCAAAAACGAACTCCCCACATCATCCACCATCAAATACAACCCCACAGCCTTCGAATTCATATAAACCCTCACCCAACTCCCTTGCTGCGTCGGAACCCCCACGGCGTTCAACACATCAATATACAACTTTTCCCTGATCATCGTCGGATCCGAAGACTCACTCCTCAACTTGACACTCGGCCTCGAAAAGAATGTCTGATTCTGCGGGGCCGTTGTATCGAACTCCAACTTGATCGCCTGCTTGTTAAACTCCATACTCGACTTGCCACTGATCCCCACCGTAATATTTCGAACCGAATGGACCAACTTATCGTTAATGTACCGGAAATCCACCTGCATCGGTTTGGCCTCCTGGGGCGCCATCAACATCCCCTCCCACAGGCCCGCATCGCCCGTCAAATGAATCGTCGCCACGACTCCATCATCAAATACCTTGGTCTTGCTCATCTCCCATGGCTCATAAACCAAGGGCACCAAGGGCACCTTCGTATCCGTGACCTCCCTCTCAAACACCTCATACAACGTCTGGATCGCTGTCGGATCTTGGAGAGTACGTGTGAAATCTTCAAAGAGGATGGGGTTGCCGGCGGCGTCGAGTTTGACGTATTTGTATGGGGTTGTTGCGGTGGCGCCCGGGACGATGGCGGACCAGAGGGGGAAGGTGGTGGTAGAGGTGGTGAGTTTTGTGATGGGTCCGATGGGGGAGGTGAGGAGTTGGACGCCAAAGCTGCCGGTTTCTGTATCTGGGTATCCTACGACATTGTATGTCACTATCATTGAACATATTGGGAGAGGAAGCGGCGTTGCGTTGAAGAGGTGTTAGATGTGATTCCAGAGATCAGAAAATAAGAGAGGGGGAATGTATAGCTTTGGCATTCTCGGTACATGCTGTCAAACTCACCATCAGCGAGGGCGTAGGTTGCCAAATAGGTCAGCCCCAGGAGTAATGTCCGTCTCGTAGACATGTCCGTGTATTGTCCTGTCGTGTAGGTAGGAAGTAGACCAAATAGGGAAATGCAGATAGATATCAAAAATGAACGAGGTGCAGGCCAGAAGTAGGTGGATGGAGAGGTGCAGGGTGATTGGTGGTCAGGAAATTGTAGATCAGAAGAATGCGTAGAAAGAGAAGGGAGGAATGGGGAAAGGAAAAGAGATAAAACGAACCAACGGGTTCTGTCAATGTGAGGGATGGGAAGGAAGAGAAGGGAAGGGAAGGGAAAGAGACGTGGAGGTGAAACCAGGTGGAATTGCAGGCCTCTTATTACTTGCAGGAGAACAACATGAAGGACAGGGGAGCAAGCAGAAAAGGAAAAGTGGATGAAAGGAAAGAAGAAGAGAGAGAAGAAAGAAAAAGAAAACAAACGAAGGAATGGAAACAGGAAGACAAAGGACAGGAAAAAAACGACCAAGGAAGCAAAACAAAGAGAAGGACAAGTGCGTGCACTGTGAGCAATTGTCAACTAGGAGGGCATATGAAGAGAGGTCGTGTGCCTTGTCCGTTTCGTATCAGCGAGCATACATAAGCGCAATGCGCTGTGCGTCGGCCGTACGAACGCAGGACGTGGCATAAAGAAATGCAAAGATCTACGATGGACGGTGTCTCGCCTGAGTATCTTCCTCTGTTTGCTCACCGCCATTTCCTTGATACCTTCTCCCACCGCCTGTGCCGGCGCTCTTCGAAATGTAAGGCAATCCTTGTCAGACGACAATTTCAATGAAAGTAAGGGGAGGACAACCATAAGAAAAACGGAGGCTTTCCTTTCTCTCTTTGTCTTCATTTTCATTGCTCTCTTCCCCTCTGAAGACATCAGACACGAACCACCTCGGTAAGAGAGTCAGCGAACCAGGTTTTTTCTGTTGCTACGCCAAACTAGGAGGTGGAAAAAAGGGTGGAAGGTGTCGCGAATTGTCTCTTTTCTGGCACGAGGATATGGTACTCCATTGACTTGTAGGGCTCTCGCTTTATTTGCTTTTTGCTTCCTTGTTGAGACACCGTCGGATGGATGGATAGTCGAGGATCGAAATACCGAACGCGCAGACCCCACCACACTGTCTGGCAAAGTTTGAGAAAGAAAAAAAAGCGAAAGAAAACAAGGGACACAGAAACAAAAGAGAAGGAAAAAAACACCCAAATCCTGTTTTTATTGGGTGTACGGTGTTTGGATGGGTTAGACATTTTACAAAAGGGAGAGCAGCACACCCGATCCAGGCAACGGTAAAGTGTTCAGAGCCTTGGTCGCCAAAAGACAGTGAGCGGTGTCCAGCCAGGCGCAGGAAAGTGTACACCATGACTGCGCGAAAGGGGGGGAAGGCTCTCCGGAAGAGAAAAAAGGAAGAGGAGAATTTTTCATTCAGCAGAAGAGGAAAAAATAAACAAGAAGCCAAAAGTGTTTGGTCAATCAAGGGGGCAACATATCAACGTTAAGCTCAATTGCTTTGTTCATTATTTTTTTGATTTGAAGAAAAGATAAAAGAAGAGTTTGTTACTCAAGAACCCGGTCGGGATCCCAGAGCATCATCATCAGAGCAGTAGTATGTGTGGGGTCAGAAATGCCTTTTTGTAATCATTCAAGTTGAATATAATACAAGTATTGAATCATCATTGAAAAATAAATGTTTGAAGATCTCCTTGGAGAAACTTCTTACAGATATAGTCAATACTACTGATGATAAGGATAAAAAATGTTCACGGTTGGTCAGTCCTTTTATAGTCTGGGAGAGTGGGACTGTTAGAAAAGGACGGGTCCGAGGGGCTGGGAAGGGAGTAGAAAAGGTGTGAAAGGAGAAGGCAGGGGATATGGGGACGGGTTTGAGCGGGCGACAAATCTTTTTTTGTGTGTTTGGATTTTGTTGTTTTCATTGCTTTGGCAAATGAAAGAGTGTGACGGCTTGCTAGTTGATGAGCTTGCCCTGTTGTTGTTCCTTGATGTTCCTCAGATCATGTCCGACATGGACGGGGATCCAAAAAGCGATAGGACAGACTCTCCGATAGCTTTCTACAAAAAAAAAAATTGTTCGTAGTCTAGCCAGTTCCCCCCTTCTTTCTAGAAAAAAATCGAACGGAAGGATCCGAGCAAACAAAAAGAGAGCAGACAGCAAAAAAAACACCCTCGGAATCAATTGTCTCCTTTTGTCCTTGCACTCCCGATCCTGACTTGCAAGAAGCCAACTTCACCGCCCTAGGACCTCAGTGGTGGTCATCAATCGCTGTTTTGTTTATTAGTATTCTCTAACGATGACTCCTTCCTCATATCGTAACCGTATTGCCCACCCTTGTTGCCTATGTCTAGTGGTTGCGGACGACAAAGTCAACTGCCTGGGCAAAATACTTGACATTCTTCGAGTTCAATCCAGCCATCGAGATGCGTCCATTATCCGTGAGGTAGACATGGTACTTCTCCTTCAGGACCTTGACCTGAGGCGTCGTCAGACCAGTGAAGGAAAACATGCCAATCTGGTCAACGATATGGTTCCATGTGCCCGGTGTGCCCAGCTTGACCAACTCATCATAAAGAACCTTCCGCATGTCAATAATCCTGTTGGCCATAGTCAACAGGTTCTGCTCCCACTCCCCATAAAGGGTCTCGTTGCTTAACACCGCGCTGACGATCCTAGATCCATACGCGGGAGGGTTAGAGATGACAGCGCGCTGGGCCTTGGCGATCTGGGACTCGATCCTGTTCTTGACTTCGACCGACCTCGCGACAATAGTCAAGTTGCCCGCCCGCTCCGAGTACAGACCAAAGTTCTTGGAGAACGACTGGGCGATAAACATCTCGAACCCGCGCTCGACAAAGTATCGGACAGAGTAGGCATCCTTGTCGAGACTTCCCGACGCAAAACCTTGGTAGGCACAGTCAAAGAACGGGAAGTGACCCTTGGCCTCCATCACATCTGCAATCTGACGCCATTGGTCGTTGGTCGGGTCGACTCCTGTAGGGTTGTGCGCGCAAGGGTGGATCAGGAAGATGGAGCCGTTGGGCGCTGACTGCATAGTGCCGAGCATACCCTTGAGGTCGAGGCCCTTGGTGGCAGGGTGCCAGTAGGGGTACTCGAGGACTTGCATACCCACTCCCTCAAAGATGGCACGGTGGTTCGCTAAAATAGTCATCGTAAATGAAAAGTGTGCATGTGCATGCGTAAGTAACTGTGGGTCAAAACAAATTACCCTATTCGCCCAACAATTATCGCTTTTGTGGGTTGCAAAGCTCGTGGTGGTCCGGTCGGCATCCGCTGCAAACACATTATCCGGACAGGATAAAATTGTGAGAACAAGAGGAAGTAGGCAAGTGCCAAGGTTGACAGACTAAAGTGCACAAAGCGACGGACTCCCGATCATGTTTATCCCTCCCTGATAAGGATCCAAAAACAATGTCGACAAATGGCTAGAGGAAAGAGAAAAGTGAATATGCAACAGAAACATACCCCAGGTGGGCTTGGAGATGTAACAGGCGGCATTCTTGATGGGGTAGTGTTTTGAGAGAAAGTGTGCACCAGTGTAGACTGCCCCTGTTCCAGAGATACACTGGGCTGCACCGGTGCGATCCTCCGCAATGGCCTTCGAGTTGGCTCCAAGGATCAACTTGACAGCAGCCTTGCGGAATGGCTCGAGTCCCAGAATTGGCAGGTATTCGTGGTCCAAGTTGTCATCCTCCACCATGATGTGGTCCGCCTAGGCGAACAAAGAGAGACATGAGAATGATATCGTTAATGAGAAGTTAAAATGAGCCTTGCAGCAAGGCATGAAGATTGAGAAACAAAAGTCAATTCATACCTTTTTCACGACGGGGAGGACCCATGGTTTGCCTTCTTCGGTGCGATATGCACCAACACCGAGGTTGACTTTTCGAGCATCAGAATCGGCCTTGTAGGACGATGTAAGTGCGAAAATGACATCGGCGGGTGCTCCTTGGACTTGCTCAAAGAACGAGGCTACATCAGCGATAAAAGTTAAAGTAGGAGGGCGCTGTCAGATATCTGGACAATAGCGGCCAAGGGACGATGCATGCAACAATGAGCTCTTGTTGGTTACGTTTGTCTGCCTTCTTGACGATATGGCTGCTGAGCTGCTGGAGTCTGAGGGCAGGGGTATGCTGTGTGCTGCTTGACATGGTGTGTGTATATACGAGAATGTGTAGTGCGAAGAAGAGGAGAGGGTGATGAGTTATGAATGAACGAATGAACGAATGAAAGGAGGACGAGGAATCAGTTGCCCTTTTCTTTAGTGTTGTTGTGCCAAAGTGAACCGGTCTTCAACATGCGCGTGTCGAAGGGAGAGGGACACCCTTTCTTTCCTTGTCATTACGCACACGCCCTTAATTTCCTGTTGAATGAAAAAAATGTATTACTCTCGTGTAGGAAAGAAAGCAGCTGTCAGACCGACACCGAATCGGATCCGAAGCCATCTGCTCGCTTCGATCACACCCTGTTCCTGTACACACTAGCGCAGCAAATACGCCACTAGTAGTGGCACAGCTCTGAAAACTTTTCTTCAACCACTTCCAATTGTTGTTCCCGTCATTGCCGACACTCCAGGCACACAGGCAGGCAACGTAGAGAGCAAACGTCCAGATGTCCAGAGCCTCAGAGATTCATCCCTATCTTGTTGTAGCAAAAGTCTATGACCCTAGCAAAAGGAGGCATATGTTGACTTTCTTTTGCTGCAGGAAGGCACGACTACGCTAATTGATCAACCTAATGCCTCGTGTTCCCTCTGGTCTCTGCTTTTGTGAGAAAACAAGAAAGGCATTGTTGTACTCAACAGTGTGCCATGGTCTTCTAGGACGTAGAGATACGGCTATGGAGCAGCCCAGGTATTATCGCCTTGTTCTCCTAAATGATTTCATACAGCCCTTGGGTCGGATCATGTCAGGCAAAGAATAAATAACCGATGTGGCTGGACTCCTCTTTCACACCCTGAACTTTTTTTTGTTTTTACGCGTTTTCTCACAACAACAAACAAGTGTTCTCTTATTTCTATCTTTCTTAATCATCCCACTCTCACCATCACCCCTCCACTACCACTCTCTTTTTCAGTGTCTTCTTTTTTCAATCTTCCTCAAACACGCATCAGGAATCAAGAAGTACCACAAACAAGCCCTACCCGTCGACCTGCTCTCGCACCCCCTTCGAAGACGTACATACGAGACCTTTGAGACCCACAGAGAACGTTTTTGCCAGGACAAGGCTGGATTCATTGGGCAAGACGGATGTCCTTGGAGGCAATGGCACCAAGTTTCTCCTTGTTGTTTTGAGCAGCGCAATCACGGACGCAAGAGATCATCGCCACTTGGACCGGAATCGTTCTAAAGCTAGGTGTGTTCTCAGTGGGGCTCTTTAGCGTGTTCGGTGTCACGGCAGGAAACCCACTGTTCGACCACGTATAAGAAACTTACACTCACGACCAAGCTGTCCACTGCATTCTCGCACAGGACCGCCCCTTCACCCTGTTCTCCGTACCAATCAATTTCTCATACCCTTTCCACCCCAAGTTCGCCCCTGGCTGGCATTCATCAATATTTTTGTGTTTACCGCCCACTCGTGTTGAGTAGTGCTCTTTACTGCTATAACCTTTTCTTTTGTTCACCCTTTGATAGTGGCAACTTCAGAGGCACAAGGACTTGGACTGGAGGGTGAACGGGATACTGGCAGTCAGGACTGGTGACGACAAGGCCAAGGAGATCAAGGCAGAGGTAAGGTAACAGCCTCGTCTTCTATTCACTGGAGGCGTAGAGAGTTCAAGTCAACCCACTATTTATTCGCTATGAGCGCCAGGCTAGCAGCAGTTCACGTAGGAATACCAACGATACCGACAAGAACAATAAACAATGCTTATCCAATAAACCATTGGCAATGGTACTTTTTAGTGTCCATGAGCAGCAGAGGGTTATCAGACTTTTGATCAATCGCGTCGCAAAGGGGCAAGAAGCTGTGATAAGTTCTGGACATCAATTAATGTAAGATTATCAGAATGATCAGCATGTCCGGTCCTCGCCATCGAAATCTACACCCCTCTTCATCCTGATTGCCGAGAGAAGTGTGAAGATATGCAGTTATCGATGCCAAATTATATATACTGACGGTGCATGTATTGTTATGCTTGCTTGTTTTTTATTCAAGACCATTCCAACGCGAGCATTTCCCTTCATACCACTCCACCACCGCAGATGTCCTTGTTTATGCCAAAGAGCGGGTGGATATAGCCATATGAGGGCCAAATCGGTTGTGTCAACAAGGCACTGGGGAGCAGACGCATTGGTTGACAATCTTTGGAGACTTGTTGTCCCGAGGCTGAGGGCTCTTGGATGTGCGTGGGACCGAGGTTTGCGCTTCTACTTTTCTTCATATTGGCGAAAACCCCGGTGTCCCTTTGAAGCCAAGGAAGAGGCTCTTATCACCCTTTTTTTCATCCCTGTTGCTCTGTTGCTGTAGGTCATGTCGTGGCTCGTGAGCGGGCAGAGCGACAGGAAGTCGTTTGAATGGTTATTATCGAAAGTCCGCGCCAGCCATGCGACGCGACTTTTCTTGTCCTGTAACTTAATGCTTCCTATTTCTGGAGCGGCACAAACCGACAGAATCTGGAGACCGAGATGGCGGATATCCCATAATCAGGAACTGGACGTCAGCCTTCGTCCTGGGACCTCTTCGATACATAGCGAGCAAGAATAGAGAGACCGAGCTCACAGCGAACATGGAAAGAATTGCAAGTGAGATCGTTCTTCAGTAAAAAAAAAAATGAAACGGAGACAACGAGAACGAGACTGGCGTAGGATCGGCGGATCAAAAATGGGTTGTTCAAAGACTCTCGCATACTATTTCATTCGCTTAATAACTCAACAACAACAAGGTCCACGCATATTTTTCATCCTTCAATAGCTTGTAAAAAAATATTGCATACGGTCGCTTAGAAAAAAAGAAAGAAATAATCATTTTGCTTCCCTTACTAGCGAGTAAAGGGTCCTGCGGTCAAAATGCGATGTCCTGGAGGTGGTTGCCAGGAAGCAATCTGAGTCGCTTGCGTCACAGCCCGCCAATTGGATTCAACTTGTCAGGCCAACCTTTCTGTCGCCAACCCATATTCTCTCTCTCACTCTCTCATTTTCGCTCAATATCTTTGGCACTATGTAAAAAAAACAGACGTCGCAGGCACAAACAAGTTAGAAGAATGATGATACTCGACAGACAACAGGCAGAAAAAAAAGCCATGGTACGTTTTCTTTTCGTTGTTCTGTCGACGCACCTCTTCGTATGATTTTCCCATTTTTTTAATGGTGTTGAAAAAATTAGCCCCTTGTACTCATTTTTTTTCTGACGCGATAACCGCGCCTCCAGGTTTTTTTTTGGCCCATCACAAACACTTTCCCTCTTGTTATGACAGCTGGAGGCGTGAGGTATAAAGACCCACCCACAACTTCCAGTTTTCAAGGATGTGTCAGCAGTTTCCAACTTGGCAAAGCCGCAACAACATCAGCAAAACGACTATGTCGTTTAACACAAACGATTATGTCGTTTAGTACCTTTCAAAATGAGGGTACGCAGGATCAAACCTGTCCCTCCGCATCCTTTTTTTTCCTTTTGCTTTTTTTGCTTTTTCTGGCGGCGTTTTCTGGCGGCGTTTTCTGTCTTCTTTTTTACCTTTTACCGGTACCGGGGGATGTAAATGTACTGCACAAGGCGCAAGGTGTTTCTTCCTCATCTGGGGACAGGTACAACACATCAGGTACCCTCGTCCTTTCTTCTTGTAACAGAACCTTTATTTTGACAGTATTATTGCAGCTCATTAAACGAATGACATGGATTGACCCGTCAGGTCCAATAACTTATCGTTGTACTGCCCCCTCAGTCACAGAAACGGTTCCGTCAGCTCCTCGTCTCGGTGAAAGAACTCTGCAACCTTCAGAGTCAACCAATAGCTCGCCAACCACCGCACCTCGGCCCAACCCATCGTCACCTTGGTCTCATCCGTGTTCGTATTGAAGGGCTCTCGCAGCTCTATCAACTTAGCCAATCCATCCAGCAAATTCAAAAACTCAGGTCGTTCTTGTTGTCCTTCCAATCCTAAATCCAAACCCGATCCCTCGTCAACTCCCAGACTCAGCATGGCAGTGCAAAGTGTGGTGAAAGTAAGGCCCAATAGGAAGCTTGCCTTGTTCATTCAACTCAAACGCCCTCTGCATGAGACACAACAAACAATGACCAAGTTATCCTTTTTCAACGACGTAATGGGTTAATGGCTCCCTGGGAGCTCTACTGTGTTATTTGTCCAAGAAAGCAGTGTTCAATTTTCTTGTCGGTACCTGAAAAAAACAATAAGTGATCGTACCTGAATTTGATGCGGTCATCGTTATTGTCCCCATTGGCTGCAGCGCCCTGTCCTCCATCATCATATCATCATATCATCATCAACCAAAGCCCACTGCCCTCTCTCCACAAACTCTACTTCTTGGATGGCCAGCAGATCGGCGTTTTGGGAGATTGATATCGACGTCAATTGGAATGGGGAAAAGCATCATCACAAAAAATGTGCGAGCGAAAAGAGGGAGAGGAATGACAAGAACGAGCAAGGGAGTTAGTGTCATTTCAGCTGTGCACGAACGCGAGAACAGAAGAGAAAAAGACCAGCGGATCCCAGTGTGATAGGTGTGGTGAGAAAGTTTTTTTTTTTTTTTTTTTTTTTTTGGTGTGGTGAGAAAGAAAATAAGTGGATACGGAAAACCCCACGATATGTGCTCAAACATGTGGCCAGAGAGGAACCTGCTAAAAACCAAAGGGTTCTTCAGTAATAAAATGGGGCCGCCAATTACTTTTCTTTGATATGACAGCAGCAGGAGCACATGGTCGATAAGTGAATAGCTTTTGCCACGATTGGTGATGAGGCGTCCCAAAGGGGCAAGTCGTGGGTCACCTCTCCTCTCACGTATGCGCTCTTGTGGGGCCAAATGGCTAGTGGATGGACAAAAAAATACCACGCTAGTGTTATTGGGAAATAAATCTTGAGCCTACATAGGTATCTAAGTAGTGAATTGAAGCCCTTGCCTGTCCCTTTGGAGTAAAGGGACAAGACGAATAGAAGAACAAACGTCCCAGTATCACTTCCACTGCCTTCATCTGCTTTTCAACTCCCCCAACGGATGTGTCCTTGTAAACATCAAAAAGCATCTGTCCATTGGAGAGCCAAGGTGAAGATGGGAGTGTGACACTATCCACAATCAAAGTCTACGATCGAAGAGAGGAGAACAAAGAACTCTCGCTCCACCTTTGCGCAAGTGAGCGTTTTTTATTTATTTATTTATTTTTGACAAGGATTACAATTGTGCCTGAAGGGTTCGCAACTGCACCCTTTGTTTTTTTACGGGGCCCCGATTCGATAGAGTCCCTTACACTAGTTCATTGCTGGTGTCTTATTTCTTTTTTCTGTTCTCCAATGAACTCTCTCCGTTATTGGCAGGGTAGGTACAGTACAGTAGCCAGCAGGCAGGCAGGACCTTGACTCCACGAAAAGAGGTTCACTTTTTGGCAATTTCGAAGGGAGAGTTCAAGTCCCGCAGGCCCACCAGGCGAGATATGGGATGAAGATGAGGCACATAATGAGAGGAGAGGGAGGAGGGAAGGAGCCAGCAGTATGCGGTCATAGACAACCATAATCTTATGGGAGATAACCAATGCACTGTCGTGATCATCATCTTTTGCCGAGAGGAGAGAGAGTATTTAAAGGGAGGCATGTTTCCCTCTTCCTTGGTTCTATCATCCTACAACAATACTCGTCTTCGTTTTTCCCTTGACTTCTTCATAGTAACATTCCTTCCACACCCACGTTTTTATACCATCTACTCTGTATCTCTTCATTTTTTTTCTTCCTTTCTTTCCTTCTTTCTCTCCTTCCCTCTCCTTTTTTACCTCACATAACAACACATCAAGATGAGCGACGAAAGGGAACACACCGATATCTCCATGCTTGCCCCACCACCAGCAGTCGCACAGCCCACACAAGTCCACTTGACCCCATCACCCAGTCTTGACAGGAACCTGACTTTCCAACTTGAACAGGGTCACCAACGTGGCCGCTCTTACCTCGGCAGACAGCATGGCGGCTCCAACCCAGGATCAAGAGCCAACTCTCGCTCACGTACATCCAGACCCAACTCCAAGCCAAGATCAAGGCCAGGATCAAGACCAGGATCCCGCCCAGTCTCATGGCTGGTCTCTGCCAACTCGGACTACACCTCGATGTACGAGAACTATGGAGGATACCGCTCTCGCAGGACCTCGGATATTGATGAAGACGACATTGCCTCAGCGATAGAGAAGGGTGCTGGTGGCAAGATGTCGCGGTCATCTTCGCGTGCCCCCACAGTGGACGAGAAGGACAGACCCTTGGACCCTACTCGCCCTGGCATTGTCTCTCAGCATCCCCATAATGCCGGTACATTGATCCATGAGGATGACAGCAGTGTCGATTCGAACGACGAGCCTCCTCGTGGCAACGTGTCAGCTCTCAGGGCCAGCTTGCTGCTTTTAAAGGCCTTTGTCGGCACAGGAGTCCTTTTCTTGCCCAATGCCTTTAGGAACGGTGGTATGTTATCGCACTTTTTTTTGTCATTCAGCGCTCCATGTTCCATACGCAATCACCCTTTTACTTCTGTTCAACACTGACCCTCACTCTTTTTTTTCTTTGGTTCTCTACCTCTTTTTAGGCCTTTTGTTCTCATGCATCACTCTTGCGGTTGTCGCCTTCATTTGCTGTTTCGCATTCCTGCTCCTGGTCAAAGTCCGTCTCACCGTGCGGGAGAACTTTCAGGACATGGGCTTTGTTCTGTACGGCAAGTGGATGAGACTCACGGTCCTGTGGGCGGTAACTCTTTCTCAGATGGGTTTCGTGTGTGCCTACCTGATCTTTGTCTCCCAGAACCTGTTCGCAGTCGTCCAGACGTTCACCAAGTGTCAGTTTACAGGAATTCAGGAAAAGTTTTACATCTTGATCCCCTTGGTCGTCTTGATCCCCCTGGTCTTGATCCGTCGCATGGCTATCCTTTCCTTGCCCAGTATGCTCGCCAACGTGTTCATTATCTTTGGTATCGTCTACCTCTGGTACTTTTCGATCGACAGTCTGGCGCAGCATGGCATGGGTCCCGAGATCCAAATGTTTAACAGTGAGAGCTTTGCCCTGTTCTTGGGTACCGCTGTCTTTTCCTATGAGGGTATTGGTCTGAGTAAGTGTGCCCTTTTCTCCTTTATTTGTGAACAACAAAAAATTACCGATCATACACGAGCATGGTTTAGAGTCGTTCACTAACCCCTTGCAATTATCTTGTCCTACTCCAATAGTCATTCCTATCACCGAGTCCATGGCCGAGCCCGAAAAGTTCCCTCGCGTTCTTGCTACCACTATGACTATCGTAACCTGCATTTTCGCCAGCGTGGGCGCCCTCTGCTATTCCGCCTTTGGCAGCAATGTCCAGACCATCGTTCTCATGAACCTCCCCGTCACTGGCGGCATGACCATCACGGTCGAGATCCTTTACTCGTGCGCCATCATCCTCTCGGTCCCTCTTATGTTGTCTCCAGCTTCGAAGATCGTTGAGAACGCCTGGTGGGGTGAAAAGTCTGGCGGCCGTAGCTTGAAGGTCAAGATGCAGAAGAACGCTGTCCGCACCCTCTTGATCTTGATCTGCGCCTTTGTCGCCTTTGGAGTTGGTGGCCCTTCCTTGGATATCTTTGTCTCGCTCATCGGAAGCGTGGCCTGCATGCCCCTCTGCTTCATCTTCCCAGCCTTGTTCCATTACAAGGCATGTGCCAAGACCTGGAAGACCAAGGCTATGGATATTGCTCTTGGAGTGCTTGGTGTCGTTGCCATGATCTTCACCCTCTACATTACTATTCACTCCTGGATCGACCCCGCCGAGCCCCATCCTGAGTTGGACCGGTGCGTTGCCTTTACTCAGTAGAGATGGTTCTTTCCCCCCCTCATTCTTACTGTTCGCTGGCGAATAGGCGTCTCGACTCTTTGCATGCATAGAAAAGGCATTTTATCTATTACTATCTATTATTCCTCCCATTTCCCTTGTACCATATTCCCTTGTTTCCAATAATTAAAAAGAAAATACCTATCCCAAATGTGAACATGAATCCATACAAAACAGTGATGAAACGGTCGAACAGAGATACAGGGGCAGCAAGCAATGTTCTGTGCGTCTCGGTTCAATACCTTTCTGCATGTTCCCAAGAATGCTGGTAATGAACTTTACTATGTCTGCGACACTAGCTTGGTTTTAACTTCAAAGTTTTCCAGAGAAAAGACGACGAGAGTTGCTGGAGCTACCTTAACAATGATCGAGTTGGCTCCCCCCTCGCACTGGTTATGGTTCAGGCTGTGTAAAGATCGAAAAAAAAAATGGACTTTCCCAGAAAGACGCAGAAGCAAATTTTAACCTTGTTGTCATTCAGCCCCTTTCTCAATTCTTTTCACAGAGCCAAGGCACAGGACAATTGACTCAGCAAGTGCGAGCCGAGGCAATTTGAAAGCTTCTTTTTTTTTCACTTCTGTTGGAAAAGTAGACAATTCCGCGGGGAAAGGTGGTCTATGTAGTGGAGGATAAAAATAACCTCTAAACTCATCTCTTTGAACATAGAAAAAAAACAGAGGGTAAAGAGAAGAGGCGAAGAAAAAAAAATGAGAGCAAACAAAAAGAATCCAACCAACCATCCAAACACAACGCAAACGAGTAATTGAATTCAATTACAATATGTTCAATTGACTATCCTCTTCCCGCACTCAGGTCTCAAGCAAATGAATGTTTCGATGTGCTTTTTGTACCATGCAAACGGTGTCGATCATAATAGTAAAGAACAAAATAAGGGCAAAGAGGCGAAAACTCCAAAGCTTGAGTTGATGGCATGTGTGTGTGTGTGTGTGTGTGTGTGTGTGTGTGTGTGTGTGTGCACGTTCACATTGCGAAAGTTAATTGCTAGGGATCGCTCCTCCACGGAGGTTTCTACTTCTACAACAGAGGTTGTTGGAATGATTAACACATCTCTCTACTCTCGTTGTTTGTTCTCTTGCTTGCTAAGGTTTTCGTTTGATGGTTCTTTACCATGCGCGGTACCTTTTGCGTTTCCTGAAAAAGTCACTCTCACTCAAAAAAAAGAGGCTCATCCCCTGCCCACGAACCTACAGGGCCGTCTGTAGGTGTGTTTTTCTCCCTCGTAACTTTTTCTGTTCTTTCGTTCTAGACAAAGTTGGTCGTTTTGTTTTATCTGGAATCGCTCTTGCCTTTCCAAAGCTGTGGATCTCAGTCCGAGGGAAGCAAAGTGGAGAGTCAAAAGGACGTGTAGTGGTGCTATTGCCCTAGCGATTGGGGTGACCATTTGTCTTTGCGAAGCCCGGTCGGTTGGTTGGTCATGTCTCTCTACAAACTACAGGCACAGAACACGACATAACATAACACGACACTATACAACACACCAAAATTGCTCTAAACAGCAACACTACATAGACGGGACTTTAGTGAAAGAAAATACGAAAAGGATCATCCATTCAACCGTTACTGCCAGCACTACGATCATAATATCACCTGGTAACCCTCTCTCCGCTTTTTTTGGTCTATTGGCCCCTATGTCATGATTCCCCCAAGGCTGTTGGTGTGTTTGCTATTTTCATCCTCCTTCAGCCTGTCCATTGTGGTTTTTGTATTCCATTCCATACCATTCCCGAGCTCAACAAAAAGATTTGCCTGATCTAGGCACAGAGTCAGTCTGCGTGTTTATTCCTGGCCGTTAGCGCGAGATGTGCAAAATAAAAGGGGGAGGACAAGAAGGATGGAAAGGATGGAAGGGTGACAAACAGACAAAGTAGAGAGCGAGACATGCAGAGAGGATAAGTCAACCGATCCATTTTTTCCCCGTGGACAATTGTACAAAAGTAGACACAGAGCTATAGGTGTCCTCTCAACCTAAACCACCCAATCCTCTCTGTGGGCATCGGCTCTGCTGGGGCTAGTTGGATTTGAAGGACAGAGAAATGAAAGCGACGGGAGATGATCTTTGGGTGTGTTGTGTCGCCCTTTTTGTTTGTTGTTTGTTTGTTGTTTGTTTGTTGTTTGTTTGTTGTTTGTTTGTTGTTTGTTTGTCTTTAACCTCTTGCAGAGGAGCAAGAGGATTGAGCACACCATAAAACAACGACATACACTCCTCCTTATTCACCCCCTGTCCCCTTACAATGTCTTGTAATCAAGCCTTGTTGTGTTCAATTGCCCTGTTCCTGAATTGAACTGACCTGACCTGACCTGACTTGTCTCGGCTTGGCTTGGCTTTGTTGGCTGATAGGGGGTCAATGAAATGAAATATGAAAGAAAATAAGAACTGAATGAAAGGAATGGTTATGAAAAAGAACAGATGATTGGCATGCAGGAGGTTGTCATCGAATTGCTTCTGAATTATTAATTGTTGTTCAAAAAGCAAAGCGAAACGGTCGCTTCGCATTTTTGTAATTAGGCCCGAGGAAGAATATGAGTGGGTCAAAATAGTAAGCAAAGCAAAGGACAAGTAAAGTAAAAAGAGGGGTCGAGAGAGCACGTTGTCGCTTGAGGGTCGAGGCTTTTTCCCCGTTTTTTTATATATTACTTTTGGGCTAGTGCTAATTGCTGCATCCTCTTCGTCCTCTTTTTTATTCCCCATCCAAGTGCTCAATTAAAAACCAGCAGCAACAAACAATGGGAGGAGAAGGGAGTAATCGAGAGCACTTCGCTTGTTTTTACCATTAGCAGGGGTCATTGAATGGTGTGCGAGTGCCCTGTCCATTATTGTCGAAGTTGTCCCTGCGCCCTGAACGATAATCGAACCGTATATAAACCGACCGCACAATCCACTTTGTTTTCCACTCTTTCTTCTTCTTTTCCCTTCTTCACTTTTTCGTTTTCTACACGCATTTCTCGCGCTCTTTCTGTCTTTTTATCTTTTACGTTTACGACGTTGTCCTTTTACTTTTTCCTTTGCATATCCATAACGCAGCAGTACCAACACCCACACCTTGTATTTACCCGCCTTTTCACATTCCTGCGCAACAATGTCTTCTACTTCTCTCTACTATACCCCCTCCGCAACAACAACGACCACAAAACACCGCTCTGTTTCTACAAAGAGACGAGTTCGGTTCACATTCGGCTACAGCTCTCGCACCACTTCTTTTGGTTCTCTCCCACCATCCCCCATCGATCCATCGACCTCAGCAGAGTCTTCTATTTCTTCTTCTTCACCATCGAGCACAACCCTCACTTCGATTTCACTACCCATCATGCACATGCCCAACACCATCGACACGACATCAACACACACATATAGCAGTAAACCAACAGCAGACGATCTCACCGCCACCATGACGATCCCAACCCGCACCAGCTCCATCACCTCCACCACATCCTCATCCTCGACCCTTACGCCTTCAAGACCCACCAGCAAATGCAGCAGTATCGACAGCGAGTTCAGCTACACCAGCCTCGACCACCGGACGATGCATCGCCCTTCCGCTCCTTCCTTTAAACACAAGTCCAATCTCAGCGTCTCTTCTTCCACCACCATCCCCGCCCCTACCTCGTCTGTACAACCTACCGCATCAACATCATCCGACTCTCCAGCGACAACAACGGTAACGCCTCGCCGCCCCTCTGTCGTCGAGCGATCCGCTTTCCTGGCCTCTGCACCTGTCAGATCTCGCGCCCAGATCTCCCCACGCCTCAAGAACATGTGCCCTGCCCCCCCTGCCTCCTCCTTGTGCACCGCCTCAACTACTTTCTTCTCAAACACCTCCTTCCCCTCGTTGACCAGCCGGTGCTTCTCCAGCTTTCAAACTAGCAGCAACTCTTCTTGCTGTCTGATGATCCCAGGAGGTGTCTCGCTCGAGAAACGGAGGTGGTCCAACGACAGCACGCGAGGTCTCTATGGCGTCGAGTCCACAACCTCCTCTGGCACCCTGTCCTTTCTGTCCAACGATGATGGACGGATCAGCACGAGCACGAACAATAGTTTTGAAGGTGGATCGATCTTCAATGAAGGAGAGGAAGCTGATCAGAGGTCAAAGAAGAAAAAGTCCAAGAAGGTCAAGAAGTCCTGTCCTAGCTTGGCCTTGTTCAGCTTCATGCTGAAGAAGTAATGAACACCCCCCCACCACCATCCCTCCCCATCCATCCCTGTACTCATAGCCAATAGCCCCTCTAATGATAATGACCAAAACAATTAAAGAACATGATGACCCACCCCCCCTCCTTGTACAATACAAAAAAAATTAATCCTCCCCATCTGATTGCGTACTCTTTTCAATAATGATGTTCCTCTTGGCGGGCTATGCTTAGCGGGATGGAAGGGGTGACAAATAGAAAATAATACACCCAACCGCGCAATTGCTAAAAACGCGAAAGCCGTAGAGTGTGCTTCGCACTAACTGTGTTATTATTTTATCCGTCCGTCATTGCCCCTCCCCCCCCCTCCTTCGTCCCTTGTTTCTTCCTCCCTCCATTTTTTTTGCTCGTTCGTTTCAAGGAAAATGGTGCCATTTGGGCATTAACCCTAACGTAAAAAAATCTCCTGACCCATGGGCAAGGGCAAAGGGCGGGAACGAATCCAAAAGCACAAGGACAAATGAAAAGAAGGCCTAAGGCTAAGACAATCGAGAGAGCACACACATGCCACTGCTCGCCTTATCCAATTGCATCTAATACCACACGCCCCCACTCTTTGTTTCTGGCCCAGCTACATAGCGGGTTAGACATATGTGTATTTCCACTATTCACGAGAATACATATATACATACATCATAAGCGAGAGCGCGAAGAGGGGGGAACGGGGCGCTCACAAACGTGATCGAGAAACTACAGGAAAAAAAAACTTTCGAGGTTTGGGCCACGTTTACCTCAGCAACCCCCAAAATACAGATTGGCAATAGGCGGAGAGGAAAAAAAGGACAGGAGAAAAAAATGATGAGACAAGGTGTACTGTACAGTAGCTGGTATGCACCTGATCCAAACGGATAGTAATAGCGATGGTGATGCGAAAATCAGCATATATGGGTGCGGGGGGGGGGGGGGGGGGGGCTAGGCGGCGTCGCCCATATGATCGTCGAGTCTGGACCTTTCCCGCGTGGATGGGGTATTCAATAACTAGCTACGCCGATCATTAAATAAGAATTGGGAAATGGCCGATGTGCTATTATGATAGCATAATACCCCCGAAAGGTCCATGGATCCAAAACGCCACACTCAGCAATTGAAACGGAAATATTACATTAGGCAAGGCTGAGCCAGATCGAAATGGTTGGATGAGGTGCAAGCGCTTATGAGATTCACTATGTCGTTACAAAAGCAGTGGACCAATATCTTACCTTTACTCAGTGCCAAAGAAAAATTGATAGTACCTTTGGCGCGTATTTTCAATCGCTTTATGCGGGGACACTGGTCCTCATGGTCTGAATATTAGCATGATTTGGCCTGCTTAAGAAGCACGGTTTTCGTCCTCTACTTGGACTAGACACTCCTGCTCCCTCACCTATCGCTCTATTTGAGCCTTTGCTGCAAGTCTTGGGCTGGCTTCAGTCGAAGGGGTGAGTGCAGATGGGTGCCTAGTAATCCATCTCAATTGACTCCCTGTACCCTCCTGCTCTTGTCATCATCGCGGTGAGTGATCCCGCACTGTGTTGGTGATGCCGTCGGCAGCGATACTTTTTTTCGAACGACGTCGTGTTCATTGTCTTGGTTGCTCAACTGGTCTGTGGGTGTCGCCGGGAAGAGCGAATCACGAGAGTGTCAGAATGAAAGTAGGAGGTTTGTTTCTTTGTGGTAGTGTGGTGGTATAGAATGAAGATATCAAAGTATGTAAAAAAAGAAAGCGCGAGTCAAACTAGAAAGGTCACGAAATTGAAATCTCTTTACCACAGCATGGAAGAAAAACGAGGAAAGTGAAGAGTAGTGGCAGTGGGAACAAGACCAAAAAAGAAAGATGATACCTGGCGAGCACCTTTATGCAGAAAGGAGAAGATACCAACAATCAGTCCAGCGGTCAGTTCAATGACCTTTGTTTTCTTTTTATTCGCTGCCTTGTGGTGACACGGACGCGACAAAAACAAGAGTGCCATGCGGACAACAAAACGCCTAGATATCCACCAACTGGCCCGTGGCAACTCCACCCTCCACAACCTCACCATCATCATCCCCTGAAACATGTCCAGAATCCCCCGCCCGAATTCTCAACTCTTCCACCTCCCTCTCCTTCTCAGCCTCATCCAACCACCCCAGAACCCGCGTCTCAAACAGCACTCCAGGAAAACTCTTGAAATAAAACCGCCCCCTCACCAAATCCCTCTGATACGTAGCGGGTGCATGCGACAACAGACTTGGGACCATGAGGATTAAAGACTCAAGGAGACCAGGTTGACGGAGTCGAGAGAGTTCGTCAATGTCGTAGAGTTCTTGGGCTTTTGCGACGTCGTCAGTTATCTGTTGGGCGGCCTTTATGCGTTCCAGGACGATTGTTGCTTCGGCGTCCAGGTCGGTAGGAGTATTGAGTTTGCCCTTCTTGCTCTTCTGCTGCTGCTCCTGGTTCTGGTCCGATGGTGCGATGACTCCTCCAGGATGCGTCCTCTCATACTCAACCCTGGCCTGTTCACTCTGTGACCTCCAAACCTCCGCAACCTTGCCCAACTTGTTCAACAACACCAACATCTCCTCCTTCGTCCTCAACACACCCTGCGATAGATCTGCTTCAAACACTGACGGTCTCACTACAGGCACGCGCTTCGCATTGAAGACCTTCACCAACTGTCCGACATGCTGATAATCCAGCAGGGAGTGGAGGTGTTTGGGGGGTAGTTCTTTGACGGTGTGGGAACCGGGATGGACGCCCTGTTGTTGGTCTTCGTCCTGTTCTTCCATGAGCCATTCTTGGGGCGTTTTGAAGCAGTGGATGCAGGGTGGGGGGAATTTGCGGTCAGAGGTGGGGCCGACACTTATTGCTGGTGGGATACGGGGAACTATTGCATATTGCCAGACAGAGAGAAAGATGATGTTAGGAAGAGTGGGGGAGGGGGTTCAATTGATTGAAAAAAAAAAAAAAAATCACGAATACAAATAATTGCATGCGCCTCTGGACAACTCCTTGTTCACTTACTGATATCCTCGTTTGCAACAACACGCCAGTAAACAGACTTGTAGGGACTGGCTTGACAAAAGTCCAATTGGTGCTTCGCAAACTCATTCGCGAACGTCGAATCGCCAATCTTGGGACTCGCAACGCTATAACAATCCCTCAGGACAATCAGTTCCGGATCATCACTGTACTTGGCCAACATCCCGGCCAGCACCGTCCTCTTCCCGTCATCCCCTTCAGTACCATAAGCACCATCAGCATCCGCAGACGCCATCCTCGACTTGTGCACCCGATGTCCCCGCTCATCATACTCATCCTCCCCTTCGTCATCCGCCTTCCTCAAAAGCGGATCATCCCCTTGCAACGGCATCTGTAATCTCGCCATAACCAACGCCGCCAACGCCCCACCCAAACTATGTCCCGTCAACCACAAATTCACCGGCTTCCCCGTCCTTTCCTTGGCAGCCTTGGCGACTTCAAAGATAGTCTCCATGATGGTATTAAAGGGGTTGGTACGGTCATAGGTCTGGTTGTTATACATCTCCGGCTTTGCATCGGGGAAGAGACATTCGTAGAAGCCCTTGTGGACCTCGCCGTAGAGGTATTCGCTGGCGTCGACTCTTTGGATGGTGACATCGATTAGGTACTCGTCTTTGTGCGTGCACGTGTGCATGAGGAGGGGTTGAGGCAAAGAGTAAGTTAGCATGTTTCAGCCCACCGCAATGATGAAATGTGTGAGCCCCCCCCCCCTTTCGTACCTGACAACAAACAATAGCAAACGCAACAGTAAAAAAGCACTTACTGAAAGCAAGGACAGAAGTTCCCTTAAAAACCAACACAATCGAATCATCATCATAAAACAATCCTGCAAAAGGACCCCCCAAAGTCTTCAACTCACTAATCCCCATAAACCGCATCCCAAACTCCCTCGATGACTTTTCATCGATATCCTTCTCCGAGTCCTGTAAGAGCTGCGCCGCAAGGTCGCGTTGTTTGTCGGTGGTGAGGTTGAGGAGTAGTTTGGAGGCCTCAGCGACAAGTTTTTCGTCGCGCTGGTATGCCATAGAGGACATGATGAGGAGGAGGTTAGCGATGTTGTAGGAAAAGCGAGTTTTTGGGTGAGGCGTCCGGGAAGCAAGTTGGCGGATCGCTTCGTCTGTTCCTTCAGGGTCGATGTAATCTGAGGCACATTGGGGAGAAAAAAAATAGTAGTAAAGGGAAGAAGAAGGCCGTTAGCGTGCAAATGAAGAAAGAAAACATCCCGTCACACCTTGCGCCACCGCGATCGCTAAGCACGCACAAAACACCACAAAAAACAACAAAAACCAACAAAAAACCCCCCCTAACCAAAAACATCAACTATCCCAGGGCGACTTACCATAATCATCAAAGAGCGCAATCTCATTATTGAAAAACTGCTTATAGGCCTTCTTCCCAACCTCCGTATAATTCACAAGAACCACCAACAACCCAATCCCGCCCTGAACAATCGCCATACTAACAACCAGCACCGGCAATAACACCATCGCATAGAGACGACTGAACCAATCCGTCCCGGGGATCTGGTCTGGGTTCTTGAGGTTCGAGATGTAGAGGCATAGGCCGTCTGTGAGGAAGTTTTTGAGGCTTTTTGGGCGGATAGAGACCGGTTCTTTGAGTCGCTTGGTGGGCGATTTCTTGGGTGGGTCTGATGAGGTCGGTTCCTGTGGTGATGTTTTATGGTCATCACGATCCTTCTCGCCCTGCTCTTGGGGGTAGGGATGGTGGTGATCAGAGATACATATACGATCAACAGGACACGGCTGTCCCTTGTGCCGAACAGTGAACTCGTCGAGGTGGCGAGGGTTGACGGGTGGTTTGAGTGGGGCGGCTTGTTGACGTTGGGCTATCTTCAGTTTCCGGGCTTCTTGGGCAGAGGCGTCGAAGGGGAAGGTGTTTCCGTGGGTTGCGAGGTTCACTCCCCGTGAGGGCAGGGAAGTATCATGGTCGTGGTTGGTGGTGGGTTCGTCCTGTGTCATGATTGTGTAGGATCGGTTAGCTATCGATGGGTTGGTGTCAGTGAGTGAGATAGAATGTGGGTGGTGGTGTTTGGATCAAAGGGATAGAAGGAGATGGGAGAGGGGGTTTGAATTGAACCGATCCGCTCGAAAAGGGGGGGGGGGGGTGTGAAATTGGTGGTTGGTTCGTTGCAGGAAAGGAGGAGAGGATGAATGGTGAAGGAAAGAAGTGGAAAGGGAGAGAGAAGGACAACAAAAGAAACGATATTCATAAATGCGGGAGGAGTATTTTTAGGGAGAAAAGGAAAGAAAGAAAACAGAGAGGTAGGGCCTGAGCGGAAGCCGAGAAAGACAGTTTTGCTTGTGAAAGAAGGATGGAAAGCATGCATGCGTGGAAAAAAAAGTCAGCCAAGGTTTTTTTTGCTATGTCGAGATAAGCCCTGAGATGAGGTGTAGGGAATCGAGAGAATGAAAAAATGTGCGGGCTCTGGCTGGGACATGACATTCCGAGGCATGAATGAGGAAGTGGGATGAGGGATGAAAGTCCGTCGCTGTTTTTCCAGAAGGATATCGGTATCCATGACGATACAGCATGATGGGAGAACAATCGGCTTCACTGCCACTTCAAGGTGGAAAAACTGTCTATGCCCATGCTTGAAAGGTACAAAGAAAAGAAGGGGTGGTGGCTGAAAGATAGGATGGAACAAGAAGGGAAAGAGTGTGAAAGGAGGACCGTCGAACCGAACGACCAAGGCTATTGCGTGAAAAAGCAACGACAATGGACACGGGCTGTCGTCAGGGACACAAGAAAGCGCCGACATGAAGGAACCATGTGCGGTGCATACTGTTCATCCACTGGGCTATTGTTCCTGTCCTAGCGTGGATACATCTGTCCCGTGCGAGCGTGGTCCATGTCAATTGTCCAATGGTCGAGGGGAAAAAAACGAAGCGTGGCGTGGCGTGGCGTCGAGAAACGAAGAATGTAGCAAATGCGATTGGGAAGATACGTACGAAGAAAATTAGATTTTTATGTACAAAATACGACTGCACTTTCATTTTTTTTATTCACTTTTCAACAACCAAAAACCATAACCAATGCGCAACAAAGAATAAAAAAAGACGATTCCAATGACCTCAAACCCCTCAAATAACCAACAATACTGTCCACCCTGGAAAACCCCCTCCCTCTTTCCCCTCACAAGTCTCATACGACAAAGACCTGCATCCGTCTTGCTCCATTGCCCAATCCTCGTACACGGAGCATTCGAGGGGGCTGCGACTTCAGGTCCGCCACCATGGGGTCCGGAAGGGGTAATGACAGTGGCAGCGCAGATGAGAGATGGTCTGGGAACGAATTGTTCTTTTCCTTTTCGCTTGCTCCTGCTGCTACTGTTACCTCGAAGGGCTGTAGCGTTGGAGAACTGGGCGACGAAGAGGGCGACGAAGAGGGCGACGAAGAGGGCGACGAAGAGGCGGAACTGGAATCGGTCAGAGGTGGAGTCGATGGAAGCGACATGGACGACGACCTTGAGGGGACGGCTGACCGGCTGTATGGATGGACTGGTGACGACGATGCTGTCGATGATGTTCCTGTGGTGTCTTGAGGCTTGCGGGAGTGGAGGATAAGGACATTGCGGGTCAGGTCGACGACGTTGTTGCTGAGGTATGAGCTGGGGTCGCTGGACCACTTTTCTCCGGCAAGCTTGAGCTGGGTAGAAGAGGATTCCCGACCTTCACTGCTGGAGGGAACAGAGCCGGCGGGTGCTTCTGCTGCCGTTGAGGAGGCTATTGATGGCGCTGTTGACGCCTCTGCGTTGGCTTTTGATGTTGTGGTAGAGGACTCTTCTGACTGAGAGGTGGAAGACTCTGGTTCCTCTGAGACCTGGTCATAACTGAGAATGTCGACGGCCATGGAGAGATCAGAGTCGGGCTGGATGCGGAAGGCAAAGACGATGCCCTTAGAGCGGTCACCTTGGGAGGGCGAGCGGACAGGGGTCCCCTTACGCCGGCGCTGGACAAGGTCGTGCGGTTGTGGAGACGGCGAGGAAGCAACGGAGGGGGAGGCGGAAATATGCTTGGAGTTGTGACGGTAGGGATGGTTGTCAGAGTTGCTAGAGTGGGCAGCCTGCCTTGTCTTTCTTGTGGTGGTTCTCTTCTTTGCCATGGTTGTTGAGAGTGAGGGTGGAGAAGAGAGGAAGGTATCAAGGGAGGATGGAAGGAAGTGTGGGTGTGAGGTCAAGCAAGCGTGGGAGCAGGCAAGTTGGTTCTCGGAGAGTTGCAGGTATGGGTGCTCGTTGTTGCTGTCGTCAGTGGGAGTGTAATAGAGTGAGAAGAAGGTGAGGGTGAGGGAAGGAAGGTTTTGAGGGTGGTGGTTGTCCGGAGGAGAAGAGTGTGAAGAAAGACGGAAGGGTCGATGGAGATTAGGGCAACCACAAGGGAAGGTTGAGTGTAGTTTGTTTAGGGATGAGAACAGAAGAAGAGTGAGGAAGAAAGAGAGAGGAAGGAAGAGGAAGGGAAGGGAATAAGAGGATAAGGAAGAAGAAGTCAAAGGACTTTCTTTTCTTTGTTGTTGTTGTATTGCAGCTGAGGTGGAAGATTGGTTGTGTTGTCATTGGTTGGCGCTGGGAGCTGACTGAGTCGAAGGGGCACTAAGAGTGCGCTGTGGATGGGATGGATGTGCTTGTTCGGAGTGTGATACTGACTAGCTGGCAGCCTGCACTATCACACATACAAAAAAAAGGTGGAGTGATTCAAGACAACGAAGCAGAGCACAAGTGTGTACCCGGCTGGCCACCTTGCATTTGACCCGACCTACTCTCTCTCTCTTCTCTTCTCTCTTATTCCTCTTACCCTCTCCTCCTCTTTTGTATCCCTTTGTGCGACTTACACAACCCCACCCTGTCTCTTGTGTATCAAACTTCCTATCATTTTGCTCATTTTGCTTTGCCTCTGCCCTTTGCTGGTGCCCGCCTTTGCCCTTTTTCCCATTTTCCTTCTTCCCCCCTTCAACCCATTCTATTCATTCACACATATACACCTCCTCACATACCTCTTCTTGTCTTCTCAATTGATAACAAACTCCTTCACCACTTCTACGAATACCATTATCCATCCACTCTTTTTTCTCTCTCTTCTCTTCTCTTTCTCTTTCTCGCTTCTCTCCTACCTACCTTTCACCTCACCACCCCTTCACTCTTTGTCCATCTACCATCCTTTCAATCGTCATTCAACACCACCGTTCCTCTAGCCTTAATATGACTTGTCAAAGGAAACAAGATATGTCTGATGCCCCCTATACACAACAGATCATTCGGCGATCCGGTTCCCTCTCAACCACCCCCCTTCATTTTTCATCACCCTCTGCCATACTCGTTTTCTATCTCAGCCACAACTCGCCAACAATAAGCTGTCTTGAAGTTTCTTTATTTGTGAATGGCCGAAATGAGATCATGAGGAATGGTGGGTTTGTTTGATTGAGATGAGTGAGGTTGGGAGGTTGGGAAGGAAGAGAAAAGAGGAAAGGAATTCTCTCCTTCTCTCTATACTCTGTTCCAAGTAACCAGGTCAGCCTAAAAGGTTAAAAGACAAAAAAAAGGAGGGGCAAAATGGGAAACGAAAGGAGGAAGGGAAGGGAAGGGAAGAGAGAGGGGTGAGGGAAAAATGTGGGATGCACACACACACACATAGTAGAGGAGGATACCAAACAAATAAACAATTGATGCTTTTCAAACACAAACAAATAAACAAATCGGTCGATGACGCTGTGGTGGGGACACAAGGGTGAGAGTGTGAGAGAGGGAAGGGGAGGGAAAAGGGAACGCCCAATTGATTGAGGGACGGACGGACGGATGGACCCAAGTCAACAAACAAAAAAAAAAATTGAAGGAAGGAAGGAAGGAAGAAGGAAGGACAAGGCGAGGACGAACCTTCAATAAATACAGAAGTGAGAGGTGATGGTGATGAATGTAATGAACCCATGCCAGCCATGGTGGTCCTCCCTTTCGGAAGGTAATGGCTGACTGGCTGGGTAAAAGGAAGAGGGAGAAGGAATAAATAGCGCACGGAGGGTAAACAGAATCCAGCCAATCAGAGAAGAGGCGCCGTCAGCCAGTTAGGATTCCAGGCACAATCCAGGGGAAGGGTGAGTATCATTGGGCACTGATCCATGCTGATGGAAGGGAGGTGGGGCCACTTTTTTTTTTTTGGCTTATGATCAGTCAGTACAGGTGGGATGGTCAGGACCCTCACTCCTCACACAAAACAAAGCACAAACAACACAAGACCTCTTGTTGAGTGTGAGCGCCCAAAATGCCCAATGCTCATTTTTCACCATGGTTCTTCAACAAACAGTTATATGGGAGAGAGAGAGAAGCCCAAAAAAAAAAAAAAGAGTTGAGAGCAGCAGCAGAACCCAAGCATCACAGAGCCTCGAAGGTCGAGGGCTTTTTTACTGAGGGCTTGTGCTGATGCTCTATGCAATCTCTCTTGCTCCAATGTAGTCTACAATACAGCATGCTATTTTCGCTCACATCGAGATGGCTGGCTTCTCCCTCCCTCCCTCTTTTTCTTTCGAAAGGGCTCTCCCTCCCTCTTCCAAGTCAACAGTAACATTTGGCACAAGAGTAGGTAACATTTGGCACAAGAGTGGGTATTATTTGCCATGAGTGATGTTGAGGATACAGTAGACATGGATGGGTTAGTGCATAGAGGAGTTGACCTTCAAATAAATGTACTTATTCTTTTTGTGGTTCTGCAGAACGAGAGAAAAAGATCATGGCCCTTGCTTTTTCTTTCCCTTTGTGGCTGACCTGTAACTACACCCATGACCCTATTACCTCGCACCTCTGGTAGTAGCCACTTTCGCAGTTCATGGTCAAGTTTTGAGGGAAAAAAAAGCCAAGGCACAATGGAGCTAAAAGTCCAAATGACCTTTTTGCCAGGTCACGTTCAGGTCCAGATCCAGGTCCAGGTCCAGGCACCAAACAGGCCCAACAAGCAAACAAACAAAACCGACATAAAAAAACAAGTGTGTGAGAAAAATAATAATCATGGAGCTGATGATGACAAAACAACCTGCTGCTGAGGAAATAAAGGAGGTTAAGGAAAGTGTCCGTCCAGGACGTAACAAAAAAAAAGGAGCTTTTTCAAAACTGGAGACCGCATCCCAAAAACCCAAACAAAGCTAAGAAACAAGGAGGCGGTTATGTGCGTCAGTGTCAGTGTGAAGCGCCCAGTGTGTATGATCATTACTCTTTACTCCCTTTGCCCCTTTTTTGATCTTATCCATGTGCTCCCCCCTTTTTTCACACGTGTAGGGGGTTTGGGGAGGTAGATATGGTTGCTCGCTATCGTGGTTCATCTACTCTGGTCTTTTTTTCTCGATGTGTACTGCGCTGGTTGGTTACCTGTTTGGTGTTACACTCAAAGTTCAGGTACCCTCTGACTCTCTGTTGTTTTCCAAGGGTTCAAGAAAAAGTGTGATCAACCACGTTTTTTTTTGTTCTTGTCGTTCTTATTGTCTGATGTCCGACAGACGGACGGTGTGGATGTAGACGTGAGTCCATTGATATAGCTAGGGTCACGATTTGATCGAAGGTCGACTCGATCCATGATTGTGCAATTGACCCATGGTCCATGTTCCATGGACACATGGACTGCAGGATTCATAGATCGTCATATAGGGCAGGAGTAGAAGATATCCCTCTAGTCACGATCGCAATGATATATCTTAGAGTGCGCTTGTGCCCCATTGTCCTTCGGGAACCCGGGAAATGATCTCTTACCCCCTTTTTATTATTAGGATCATAGGTTTCTTACCCCATTATCAACCTACCGAAGTAAAATGAAGAGGGTTCCCTATTTTTGGCACCAAGTCATCATGTAATAAAAGGTCGCTAGCTCCATCCTGGTTCCAAGTCATGCAAAGAGCAAGAAAGAGCCAAAGTGATAGACACAATCTGCTTATTTCATTTGCATCTCGGAAGTAAAAAGAGAGAGAGATATACCAAATATCTGATCGGAAACAGAGGTGATGGTTCTTGATAGTGGGGTTCTCCTCTCTTTCTAATACTTCATCTTATCCTGCCTTTCATCTCTTTTGTCTCCTATCCCCCCTGATAGAGAGCCAAACGGTTCTTTGTGTTCTTTTATGAAATGAGGATCAAATTAAAGAAATATTAGGATGGACGGGAGAGGGGTACCGCCATCACCACCCTTTTTTTCCTCTTTCCTTTGAAAGGGGTCATTTTGTTGAATCATTCTCCATTTCGTTCCTTTCCTTCATGAATGAATACCAGGCAGTAAAAGCAAAAAATAGACGAAAGGAAAAGAAAAGAAAAAATATCCCGAGAGCCCTTTTCCTCGTTCCTCTTGCTTGGTTGAAGCAAAAAAAAAAAGAGTGCTTCTCTTTTAGCTGGAAAAACGACGTAAATTGGTTAGCGAAGTGAGTATTGAGAGCACTTTTTTTTTTTTTTGGGATGACTGAGTGGGAAGACAAGAAGTACTGTACCGAAGAGGTGCGGCTAGTTAGACGGTGAGGGCGAGTAGCCGGGATGGCTCAGAAGAATCTAAGGAAAGAACGGACACCAACAACCACAAAGAGAGAGAGAGGGGGGGAATTGATGTTTGTGGTTGCCTTGGTTGCAATTGCACTCACTCGAAGACGAGAGCAATGCAATTTCCAAGAAAGAGAGAAAGAGGTCGTATGGGTTGAAAGTCAAAATAGTTGACGAATGTGAGTGTACGGATAGGTGGATACATGGGCATGCCAATTGAGCGAGAATATGTTTTGCAACTAGACAACTGCTGGCATGCATCTCTTTCTTCGCCGTTGTTATCTTGCGAGCACTCTCACTTCTCATTCCGTGTGTGTGTGTGAACGAGCACTTTATACATTGTGCTCCTACAAAAATAAAAAATGAGGTCGTCTGAGAGAGATGAGTGTATTTTTTTTTAGTGTGTGAGTGAAGAGTGCCTGATTATCATGCCAATGTTCATTTCTGTCGACATGTTATGCACCATATTTCTTTGTTGTCTGTTGGAGTGTGTTTTATGTTTGCGATCGATCGTTACGGATAAGAAGGAATGATGTGAATGAGACGAATGAATAATGGAGTGGGTCATGGTCGAAGTCAGTCCTCCTCCTTGCCCTGGATGAATGAATGATATGAATGATTGTACTGAAGGGAGCAGCAGTAGCAAACATACTATGGAGTAAGCAAACAATGGCAAATGTATTATTCAATCGAAAGAAGGGGGTGAAATGTATGTATGAATGAATGAATGAATGTCAGAAGGAGCGTCAGTTGTCCATCTGTCTGTCGGACGTTGTCTGTCTGTTGGTTGATGATGTGTCCTCGATGCCTCCATGCCTATGCCTATGCCTATGCCTATGCCTTTGCCTTGTCTCGGACAGCTGTGGACATGGACGTGTGGCATTCATTTTGTGACAATGAAAGGGTGGTCGTTCTATTTTTTCATCCTTAGTATGTCCTTGGCCCTTATGTCCTCCCTTTCCTTGTCTTTTCCTTTGTCCCTGTTCCCCCTTCCCTTTCCTTTGTTCCCCTTCCCTTTTGTCCCTGTCCCTCTTTTCATTCTTCATCACTTTCGTTGTTCACTCAGTCCTCCCTTTCCCTTTCTTTTTTCTTCATATATATTTTTTTTATTTTACTTTTTGCTCATCTCCCTTTTTTTCTTTCACTCCCACCCACTCACTCCCTCCCTTTCTTTTCTTTTTCCATTTTTATTTCACGCCCCCTCTTCCTCTTTCTTCTCCTCGTTCGCACCCACCCATCCACCACTACTCTTCCTCTCTCTTTTTTGGTTGATCACTTTCCTTTCCTTTTCCTTTTCCTTTTCCTTGTCCTCCCATCACCTCCTCCTTCAGACCAAAGGACAACACACACAAAAGGACACTAAAATAATTATTATCCCGCCACTTCATCTCCCTCTCGGCTCAACTCGACCTGGACCTGATCACCGTCTTCTTTCCTTCTCTCCCCTCGCCCTCCTCGACTTTGCCTCGGATCGCCATCTCTTTTTTCTTTTCTTCTCTTCTCTTTATTCTCTACTCCCCCTCCATCCCTCCCTCTCCACAAATACACACAACACAACTTTCATATTCACACCACCGCCACCGCCACTACTACCACATCAAACCTACAACAAAGACCATCTCCCATCACCCCTTCCTTCCTTTTCTCAGTCCCCTTTTCTCCCTACTCTCTCTTTCACACCCCACCCCCACCCCTCCCTCCTCTCTTATACATATACACCAGCCAGGATGCCACCGACAACAAGGCGAGGCAACATGTTCGGACCCTACCTTCTCCTGCAGACGCTGGGAGAAGGAGAATTTGCAAAGGTCAAGCTCGGCATGCACGCCGAGACTGGAGAAGAGGTAAAACATCACATCCACCTCTTTTTCTCTTTTTTTAACCATTAGCCCATTTTTTTTTTTTTTTTTTTTTTTTGGTTGCTATTGTTGTCAGGTCCGCTCTCAACTTGTATATGTGCCCTTTTTTTTTACAACTGCGGGATAAAGAGAAAGAACCAAAAAGAGAATACCGGTCCTGGATACCAATTGGATCGACAGGGAAGAAACGAGTACTTGGGAAGGAAAGAGAATACGAGTCATACTGGATGCGATGCAGGCTGGATATTTATTCATTTGTATGAGTGGGATGTGGGGAAGAAGAGAAGGAAAAAAAGAAGCATTGAACAACGGTGTTGCATGGCATGGGCATAGGGATGGATGTGGTTAATGGGAGCGGGACACTGGGTATTAGAGTGTTCCCGACGGTATCAGAAGAACGCGTTCTGATACGATGGAAAAAGGTTGCTTGTCTTGGGTTCAACCCTGTTCACCCGTCGTGGCTACTGGTTTCCCGCCCCCGGTCGGATTGGACGAGACGAATAGATCCTCCTCACAGGACTGGTAGCAAACGAAAAAGCAACCAGCTAGTTTTTGCCAGACAGAAAGGAAGGAAAGCAGTAGTTGGGATTATCTATATCAGATCGCTTACTCGACACAATCTGTACACACATACATTCACAACAACACAATCCAACACGACACACAAAACACTCAGAGACCGACGGATGGATAATTGTCTCTACCAAAAGGAAGGGCTGCAGGAATGCCCTGTCACCTGTCCACTCTCCTCATTTGCCAGCCCACGTTGTGTTCACTGGATACTGGATACTGGATCAACAATCAACAGCAACAACAACAACCTGCCTGGTCTGTTCTCTCTTTCCCCCTTCCCTTCCCTTCCCTTCCCTTCCCTTCCGTTTTTCTTTCTGAACCGCTGCTGAGAAACAAAAAAATGAGCGGTGGAGGTACAAAACAGGAGAGAATTATGGACTCAAAACATGAAGAGTAAGGAAGAGGAGTTTGTGCTATCAAAGAGCTTTTTTTTTGTTCGGTTTCCTCGGAACATAAACGGCCGCCAACAAGCATGCAGACGGAGAGAAGAGAGCGTTTCACTTGAACCTGAAGGACATGCAATCGGATGATAACGCGCAGATACAAACACACTCTCCCACTCACGGAGGAAGAGAAAGAGTGACGAAGAAAAAGAGAAAGTCCTGTCTGCATTTTGTGTTTTGTGAGTGTGCGCAGGACAGGGAGTAGGTAGCCAAGGCATGGTTGCAAGGTTTGGATAGTGTGTTTGTATGGGCGCACACACCACGGATGGAGAGACTTGCGCTGTTCAATTGATGTTTGGCGACGACTGGATACAAGAGGCTACTACAGAACCAGTATACGGCCAAATTCATGCGAAAAAGAGGGATGGATGCAGAGAGACCAAAGGCACTATCGGAAAGGGGCAGGCAGGTGTGAGTTGCATGCCATATGCCATATGCCCATGCGTGCGTGTTGGTCGTCGTCGTCACTTTGGTCGCCAATGGATTTTGTTTATGTTGCATGTCCTCTCTATTACTCTCATGATATGAACTCTCCGCACACGCACACACCTATCCCTACCTCCTCTCTTTCCCTTCCCTCTCTACTCCTGCTCTGTTACCTTCTCTCTCTTTCTCTCTTTCTCTCTTTCTCTCGTTCCAAGAGAGTGCCGCCTGATCGAGCCACGCTCCCAGCTTGTCACCTATCCATTCCCGCCCCCAAATAACCAAAAAAAAAGTCCGCGAGACTTGTCAGTTGCTCCTGTCAACCCCCTTCTTTTTCCTTCCACATGTTCTTCTCTCTTTACCCCCCTTTGCGTTGCGTATTTCATTTCTGCCTTTGCTGTTGTTGTTATTGTTGTTGTTTTTGCTCTCGCACGCATCGCCTCGCATACTTTTTTTCTTTCTTTTTGCCAGTTGCTCTTTTTGTTGATTTTGTTTTGTGTTGTTGTTGGTGTAGTGTTTCTTGCCCTCTTGTCATGGCTCTCGTTTTGAGCTTGCCCCCTTTTTTTAACCCCTCTCGCTTTTCGCTTGAGATGGTCCTTCGTGCAAGCCCAATGGCAATATGATGCAACTTCAACAGCTCAGTACAACCACACGCCCAAAACGCCACCTGTCTCTTTGAGTGGCTCCGCAGAAGGGGAAAAAGAAAAGGCGAGCTAGGGCTGAAGTCGAAGGCGAAACCTGCCTGCACTAGTGCGCATTTTTTTTTTTTTCAATTTGAACATGGCACGATGTGTGAATCCAGACTGACCATTGTTATTTCTCTTGTACTCGTGTGGTAGGTTGCCATCAAGCTTATTCGGAGGCAGTCTGTTGACAACACGCCGCGCATTAACAAGATTGGCCGAGAAATATCCGTGCTCAGGGTATGTGGAATGTTACAATAGCCTCTGGCGTCGTTTTTATGTTGTGCTAATTCGCCAGCACAACCACTCACCACTCCTCCCTGACTTATACCCACACATAGACCATTCGCCACCCCAACATCATCTCACTCTTCGATGTCATCGAGACTGAGCGCTACATCGGTATCGTCATCGAATACGCATCCGGTATGTTGTTAACCCGCTCTTTTTATTTTTCCGCGGAGAGAAGGCTAACGAGGAGCTGTGGTCATGCGCATTGACACACTAAAAGTGAATGCGAGGTATTGACCAAGAGTGCATTTGGGGTTTCTTTCCAATGACGATTAGGAGGCGAGCTGTTCGACCATATCCTCGCCCACCGATACCTCAAGGAGCGTGATGCATGCAGACTCTTTGCACAGCTCATGAGTGGAGTGCACTATCTTCACTCAAAACAAATTGTCCATCGTGACCTGAAATTGGTACGTCTTCGCCACTTGTTCTTTTGCACAGCGTGAATGATCTCACCAGGAAGTAGCAAACAATGTACTGATACCTCCATGTCCTTCAATGCTTGTAGGAAAACTTGCTGTTGGACAGGAACAGGAACATTATGATTACAGACTTTGGATTCGCCAACCAGTTCGACAGCACAACCAGGGATCTGATGTCAACATCCTGCGGTTCTCCATGTTACGCCGCACCCGAGCTGGTCATCAGTGACGGCCTTTACGTTGGCAGCGGAGTCGACATCTGGAGTTGCGGTGTCATTCTATATGCCATGCTCGCCGGATACCTTCCATTCGACGACGATCCTTCGAACCCCGACGGAGACAACATCAACCAGCTCTACAACTATATCCTCGCCACAACACTTGTTTTCCCAGACTACATCTCGCCTGATGCCCGCGATCTTCTCCGCATGATGCTGGTCCCTGATCCAGCCAAGCGATGCAACATGAAGAGGATTATGAGCCACCGGTGGTTGGCGCCCTATGCTGGCATGTTCCAATACAGCATTGACGACCTCGAGGTATCTTTCACAAATCATCCCTAAAACGCCACCATTGTTTTTGAGTCCAACGCCCTGGCTCTAAATATCACCCATATTAATTTTTTTTTGCCACTCCGTCTCATAGGAACAAGCAATGGCAAGACTCAACGGAACCGTCTGGATCCCACCTAGACAGGCGGCTGCAGCCGCTGCAGCCGAGGCCAGAAAGACAAACCTTCAGCCTACGAGCTCTGGCCCTCCAAGACCCTCCGCCGACGAGGTCATGCCACGTCGTCACACCATTTGGATCGAGTCTGTCCCCGACGCAGCGCCTTCTTGGGAGACTGGTCGCCACAACATTATCAGACACGAGGAGGAGCCACGGCTACCTCTTGCAGCCCTGGACGAATCAAGCATGGATATCGACAAACACGAGGTTGTGCCCGTTCCCATTGCGGAAGATGCCGTTATACACAACGAACCTATGGACATGGCGGAACCCATCGACGTTGAGCCAACACCAGAAGCGGTGGAGATGGATTTGGACAGAGATGACCACATGGAGAGTGACAACCAACTCAACATGATCTCTGTCCCCTCGACCGGCTCGCCAGCATCAACACTCGACCCTACCGAGGACCAGACCATGAGCAACCCCATCACACCCTCGCACTCTGGATCACTGATCGCCAAGTCTTCACTATCAGACCACGCCTTTGCACAGACGCAGGAGGAGGTTACTGTTGCATTGGAGGTTGCTCGGCGTCCCAAGAGTGTCGTGCTCGAGGCGCCCGTCAGAGCCAAGCCCAGCCTGGAGAGCACTGTCGACATGTCGCCCACCGCAACGGTCTCTCGTCGTACTGGTGCGCACGCTCGCATCCGTCCCACCACCATTCACGGCGAACCTATGACCCACAACTACGCTTCTTACCCCTCCCCTGCAGTCTACCACGAGCCTCTTCCTCTCCCTGCTCCTACTCCCAAGCCTCGCGCTGCTCCTTCTCAAGAAAACGCTCTTCTCAGCCCGCCCAAGGTCTACCACCAGTCGCAGTTCCAGCAGTCTTCACCCTCGCTGCTGCAGGCGCCTGCCAAGCCCTCACCGGCTGATATTCCACCAGTGCCTACCCGCCCCGAATCCACTGCTGACCATTCTTTCAAGATCCCACCTCCCCCTGTGCCAGTAACACCCGCTTCCAGCAAAGCCCACAAGAAAGGACCTTCATCCTCTGGTCGTCTCTTTGGATTCTTGGGCAACTTGTCCAAGAAGCACGGCGAGTCGACCACCAACGTGTCCTCTGCGTCATCCCCCAAGATTGCACATGAGGCCATCACGGGCATTGGTGCTGATGACCAGACCCTTCCACCTCCTACCACTCCATCTTCCAACAAGCCCAGCTCGATCAACCAGGTGTTTGGTCGGTATACCAACAACACCGAGAAGGGTCAGCAGCAGGGCAAGCGTCGCAAGACGTTCAGCCTTGTTGGTGGCTCGAACGAGCACCAGCAGAACCAGATTCATGGTGGAACTCGTCCTCCTGTGCCCATGACCGATGGTCTGGGCATTGCTTCCTCCTCAGGCACCGGTACTGCCCAGAAGATTATGGGATGGCTCCGACGCAAGTCCTTTGGTACATTTTTGCTGCTGCTCTCAACTTGTCTTATTACTTGCAGTTATCGTCACTTTTTCAATTGCTCATGAGAGACTAACCATATCTTTCTGTCCCGTTTTTTTTTTCAATTTATAGCCAAGCCCGCACCAGAAAGGCCAACATTCGATGCAGTGGAGCATTTCCGTCAAAATGGCACTTCACCTTCACCAGCTCCCGCTCTTACCGTCAGCCCCACTGCTGCCGCTGCCCGTGTCGGTTCGGCATCACCCCAGGAGACAGAGACCAGCTCTGCCGACAATACCCAGGTTGCAGTTTTGCAGCCCAGCGCTATTACTGTCAACCAAGTAACATCAATGACAACAGGAATCGCCACAGCACCAACAGACGGAAGAGACCCCGCCTTGGTGGCACTGATGATCAGGTTACCATCCAATTGGACCGACTCGAAGCTCAAATGGCATTCCGGAGCTGTCGAGATCTCTGCCCTGTCGTCGCGTCACCCTGTTGAGATTATGTTTGAGATCAAGAAGGTGATCCTGAGGCTGGGCATGGAGTTCCGAGTCGACTCGGATTTTAAGGTCAAGTGTGTCCGTCGGAGACGCAATGGCAATGGCCATGCCTCTGATCACAGGACTCATTCGATGATCTCGATCTCGGGCTCGCACCTGCCCGATGACACTGCCAGTGTCATGTCGAGCAACTTATCGATTGACCGGGAGGCTTGGACTTCTGCCAAGGGAGCTGGAGGATCGGCGGTCAATGGCAGGAAGAAGGGCGGTATCAGGACGCTGTTGTGGCGCAACAGCACGACGATGGGTCTTTCGTCGTCGCCACCACCCCCTCCCGTCCCACCACTGCCCTCGTCCCCTCGTGCTCTGCCCCAGGTCATGAACGGATCTTCGTTGGGCTTGGCTTCTCCTCCTGTCTTGGCCTCTGCGGCCACCAGGGACTTGGATTCAGATCACGGTGTCTGGGTCAGCTCTGGAAGCGCCGGTGTCGTTGGTTTGAGCAACGGCGGCAATGGATCCGGAAGCGCCAATGGCAGCAGTAACGGCCGTACCTCTGGATCTGGCCACGGCGGTGACAGCAACATTGTCCCTTCGTTGCCCAGCAACTCGACCATCGCCACTGCCATCGGTGCCGCCGTCAACACTGGGCCCGAGCCCTTGTACGGTGAAGAGTCAATTGATTCGGGTGAGGAGGTCCGGTTCTCGATCGAGTTGTGTCGTATTAAGAACTTGACGGGCATCTACTGTGTGGATATCCGTCGTATGAAGGGTAACCTCTGGGCATACAAGTTCTTGTACCATGCTGTCCTCAACACGCTCGATCTTGATGGAAAGGGTGGTTATATCCCCACCCTCCCCGACAACCTTAAGCTCGTCCAGGCTTAGTCCAATTGTTTTCTTAATAGTTGTTATGCCACACGCCCCACTTTTTATACCACTTTTTTTCTTCATTTCTTTCACATATACTTATCTAATTCGTCGTCCCTCCCTTAATTTTTTCTCAAAACTCCTGCCACCTACCTCCCCGAGACACACATGTCACTTCTAACTATCTTTGTTTCTTCAGAACCACAAAAAAAAAAAAGCCTCCCCAAATCCAAAAAGTAAAAAAAGTTGTTTTACCAATTTTTGTACAATGCAAAAAACAAAAAAAATCCATACTCGCGTCTGGTCCCCGTCACTTGTCTATTTCTCTAGGATTTTTTTTTTTTGGTTATATTTTTCCATTGCTTTCAAGGTGTCCAATGGGTTCTTCACGTCTGGTTTTTGCAATCGATTTGAATGACTTGGAAGGGGTTCTTGGTTTGGAACAAGTTGTGAGAGGGTATTTTATTAATGCTTGCTTGGTTCCAGCATCCAAAGAGATAATGAGCGAAATAATTAATAGTCGAAACAAAAGGTGGAATGAGAAAGAGTGAAAAGTATTAAGCCTTCTGGTCCAGGTCGAGATCCAACTCCATCTTATCCCCACCACCACCGGCCGCTGCAGCACCACCATCAGCAACCTTCATATCCTCATCCTCATCCAAAACCCTCGTCCCACCCGGTTTAAACCAATGCCGTCCCCAGATCGCATAATACAACACACACAACCCAATCACCAACACAAACGGGACCGCCGCATAGTTCACATTCTCGGCCGTCACCGGGAACTCTGTCGGGCACAAGAAAAGCGCCGAAGTGACTATAATCCAAAAGGTTGAGATGACGCCGATGGGGATGGAGTAGCGACCAAGGGAGAAGGGGCCAGGTTGGAAGGATTCTCTGGCCAGAAGGATTCGACAGAGGATTGGGATTAAATAGGAGATGGACGAGGCGATGGTATTGACAGAGACGATTGCGCTGTAGGCGGTTTCGGACCAGATATAGGGGAGGCCGAGGAAGAAGCAGAAGGCGATGTTGAACCATACTGCTGCAACGGGGGATTTGTGTTTGTCGAGTTTGTGCAAGTGGCGAGAGAGTGGCAAAGCGCCATCGCGGGCAAAGGCATAAACCATTCTGGAGGATGCAAGGGTTAACGCGGAGCCGCAGAAGAATTGTGCACAGAGGATGATGAGGATGAGGACAATTGCCCATGTCTTTCCTGGGCCATCCAAGAACATCTGACTCAGCGAGATGCCCACCGCAGGGCTGACGATTTGCGACTGGAAATCCTGAATACAGAAGGTCATGGCGATCAAGAAAATCCATCCAACGACAAAGGCGACGACAATAGCCCGGATGATTCCCCATGGTCCTCCCTCCTGCGCGTTTTTAGTTTCCTCCGACATGTGGGCTGCAGAGTCGTAGCCGGACATTGTGTATTGGGATTGGAGGAGTCCGAGCATAAAGACGTAGAAGCCAGAGGTCCAGCCGGTGTTGTTTTCCCAGTGTGTGAAGACAAATTCTGCGGGTTGTTTCGTGGGTGAGTATACGATGACGACTACGACAATCAAAGCTGTTCCCAATACATGCCACCATACTATTATGCCATTGAACAAAGGGGAATAAAAGAAAATAATATATCAGTGTCTAGCGTTTGGGTCCACGCCGATGAAGCATAAATACACAAGTAAATAACAGGCGCCGTCCTTGAACAGAAAGAAAAAAAAGAACTCCATACCGGAGATGATGTTGAAGATGCCGTTAAGTCGCACAGCCAAAGAATTGACGATTCCATGCAAGATAATGATCCCGAGGTAGATCGCAAAGATGACATAGGTGCTGGGCGTATAGTCGGTCAGCATGGTGACCAACGAGGCCAAGAACTGGGCCATCGCCAGATCTGTGCTCGCAATCGCCACTATTGAGGATGCGTAGAAAACAAAAGGTAGGCAGGTGGGGAGAATAAGGTTAGAGAGTAGACGTGACTCTTGATTTGTTGCAAAGGGTTTATGTAAACAAGATAGCAAAATTGAGTTTCCGCGTGAAGGTTGAGTGAGCGAGGAAGCTCATTCTTCCGAGCTTCTGTCCTGGGGTTTCCAGAAAGGGACCACTTACCACACTGAACGATCGGAAGGTAAAGCCAACAAAGACAAAGACAAGGACATATAATAGAATAAGATAGAAGCGAACAGAGTTAGAACAGCGCTTTCTACCAGATTCACCCGGCACCATCCGCCATCCTCCATGACCCTTCTCTCAAAACAACAGTCAGCAACAATAACAACGACGGAAAACATACCAAGCCCAACCAGTTGGTGTAACCGACGACCCACGAGGCAAGTGGGACCCAATCGGGTGACCCGACCCGGACTCCATTGATCACTCGACCCTCCAAGATCTTGATCGTCCAAAAGTACAGTCCTCCTGTTGTCGGGTACGCCGAACAGATCTCGGCCAAAGACAAGCCCACCATCAGCGTGAACACGCTCACCACCAGCCATCCTATGTATCATCGACAGTGATAAATAGGTAAAATTTTAGTGTTTGTGTTCGTTTGGTGTCCTTTAGTCCGATGCTAGCGTAGTTTGCGTTTGGTGTGCAGATCTATTGAGAGAGGCTTCCTTGGTTCTGCGAAGATATGACGAATGTGTGCAAGGAGTGTAGCGTGAAAGAAAAAAGAGTTGGCATACCCCAGATGACGGCGACGGGTCCTCCAGATTGCAGGGCATCACCGTAGAGAGGGGTGAGACCAGCAAGGACTGAGAGGCACGAGAAGGTGACTCCAAACGTGCCAAATGCCGAAAGCGATCGATCTAACGACTATTTCCATCCAGTGCGAGTGAAAAGGTAGCCGTGGTCAGTCAGTCGGTTATAAGTTTGACTGCAGAAGTTGTTGATGGTTGCGAATGGGCTGGGCTGTATTTGGACGTCGTTAAACGCGTGTTTGCAGATATTTTTGTTGTTGTTGTTTTGTTGATGTGAAAATGGGTGGTTGCTTGTTGTCATGCGATTTGTCGTTCCTTTGGCTGTTTTGGCGCAAATATGAGAGAGCGCAAACGTTGACGCATACTGGCTGTATGACGAAGGAAAAAAAGGGATTCAGACCGGACAAAAGGGCAGTGATCGATGGACGTGAGCAGGGAACTGAGAAGGTCGAGAGTGGTATGACTTCCTGCAGACCCGCTCTCCGCTGTTGTACTTTGTTGGACACCGGGTTTCGTTCCTGGAGTAGTACTTGTTGATGCGAGCACGTCGAAGATGAGTACAGAGCGATAGGCAGTGTTGAGGTTTGTCGAGGTTGTTGCTCCTGTCCTTGACGAATTATTCTTGGTTGAAGCTGTTCAGGTTCGATCGCAACTTCGCTCTTTAGTTGAAGTCAAGGAACCAACTCGGCCTTGGCGAGAGGTGAAGAGACGAGGTTTTACCTGCTTGTAGCCGAGCTTTTCAAGTACGGCTGTATCGTGATCATAGCTTGATCCGGAGTGGACAGAGTCTGACTTTTCCATGTACTTGTTGAGTGTGTGGGGTGGTGACAAGTGTGAGGGGATAAGGGTATAGTGGAAAGGTGAGAGAAGGAGGTGTTGTGAAGGAGGGAGAGAATCGGCGGAGGAGGACGAATGGATGAAGGAGTGGGTGAAGAAGAGGAAGAAAAAGAAAGCAGAAAAGAGAAAAGAGAAAGGAGAGAACAAAAAGGGAGAAGGACCAAAGGGACAAAGTCGCGGATAATCAAACAGATGTCCGGAGCGTGTCCGAGTCGACATCTGAAAAAAAAAAATATGTTCAAACGTCAAAACGGCAAAGGTAAACAAAGCACCAGACGTCCATCCTAAACCTTCATTTCCCTCCCCTTCATGCATGTACTCCAATTCTTACTTTGTTCACAAGAGTAAGAGTACCTGGAAACACAAGTTAAAAAAATGGAGGTCGCACAATGACCCTGGACTGGATAAGATACTTTTGTATTTGGTTGTCTCACTACCACGCGCCAGTCGACTGAAAGGCGGAGAAAGAAGAGGAGACACATAGAGAGAGGCAGACAGAAGAGAGTAAACCCTGCCGCATAAAGTTCATGGTCGTCGATTGGTCCCCCTTCTACAGACATGCTTTTGTGTTCGAACCCCATTTGGTCGTCTTTTCTTGATCTCTTGACTCTTTTGGTTCTCATTCATCCCTCTTACCCTTGTGTAGCATGGAAACAAGTGTTTCAAGGTACTCCCATGTATTTCACACGAAGCCCATGCGTAAGTAGGTCCAAATAAAATAAAGTGATAAAAAAGCACGTCTGAATGTCCAGCTGGACAAGGAGCACCGCCTCACCATCATCATCAATCTCAATAGTACAATCGACATTGCTGTGCCCCATCATATATGTGTTTATTTTGTTTTAGAAAAAGGACAAAGGGCGAAACAAAAAAATGCTGGAATAGAGAGAGGCAGAGACAAAAATAAACATTCCTGCTCACTTCGACTCCCCTTTCTCTCTTTCTTCCTTCCCTGCCCTTCATTCTTTCCCCTGCGTCCAAGAACGAGAGTCCTTTACCTGGCCGAGGCCGTTGCCCTTTGCTAGGATGCAGATCCGTCGGCAAGCCCTTGCTCAGCCCACGAGCCTTTAGGCGCAGAGTTGTCCGCCAAGAGTAGCAACAGTCACAATGGATGGCGGCTGAGCACCATTCGAGTTGTTGGAGATGGCCATATTGCGAGCAAACGACCTCTCTCGCATCGTCTGGACCATCATCGAATCATCTGACATTGCCTTGGCGAGGTACGGTGGCGAGGGAGGAGGGGTGCCTAGACCACTATTGGACATCGGGATTGGGAGGGAGCTGTTCCGGTAGGGATGTCGGAATCGAGCTGGCACCCGCGAGTCTTCCTCATCTTCTTCCTCTTCTTCTTCTTCGCCTAGCTCTTCGTCATCATTCTCATCGACATCGCTGTCCTCTGAAGAACTTGCATCTCGACGACGTCGGCGACGACAGGCCTCCTCGACAAGCAGGTCAATGTCGAGATCATCATCATCTCCATCGTCCATGAGGAGACTCTCAAGACTCGACAGCTGCTGGATCATCTCTTCCTCAAACCGATCTCGGACAAACGTGGGACGATCTTCGACTTCCATATGGTGAGGAATGGGACGCGACTTGCGACCATCGGCATAGGAAGGTACCGAGGTCAACGTGATGGGGATGGGTGTGAGTTGGAGCGCAGTGGGCATCTTGGAGGAGGAGACGTCGGATGAGCCTGGCGGAGATGTTGAGAGGAGGTGGCATGTATCGGTGACACCTGCCGAGGACGACGACGACGAGGAGGAGGAGTGAGAGTGAAAGATCGACAAATCAATTGAAGGTCGCTTCCGGGTACTAGCCGCGAGTCGGCTCACGAATCCACCCTGGCGCTGTGGGATGGGCAGCGACAGGACGATAAAGTACTCGACATGGAAGAGAGGGGTAATAGACTTGTTTATCGATGGCAACAAGTTGAGGTGGGAAGGGACCCTGAACTGCAATTGCTGGGTCCATGTCGAGTTGCGGTTAGAGACCTTGGCGACAGGGATGGTTGCGGCATGGACGGTTGTCAAGATTGGATTGATGTATGAAGGGGAGGAGGGAAAGGAGGAGGTATGTACAGAGTGAGAGGGAAGGTTGCCAGCAACCTTTGGGGAATAGTTGGGAGAAGAGGAAGAAGGGAACGAGATTTGGCGGACGAGAGCGAGGCGGATGGCTTGAAGGGTGATGTCGGACTCGTTTTCGACCTTGAGGACCATTGAAGCGTGGTCGCCTGTAGATGAATAATGCAGAGTAGTAGAAGAGTACAAAGATTAGCGACAAAGTTAATCCGGATAGGTGCATATGAGACAGGTAAACGTTGGTTGATAAAGTCGAAGTATGAATAGGGTGCACAGTGGGGAGATGAGTCTGAGTGGATTAACAATAATGCATCCCGGGGGTAGGAGTTATTCCATGTGGTGAGCTTGTTCAGGTTCGTCGTGGTTATGGTTGATCCATGCCATGTAAGGAATAGAACTAGTTTACTGTGGTGAAGGACATGTATCCCGATTAGAAGGACGATGATGACATTCCATCCAGTACACACCTGGAGAGGTGATATGCCCGAATTAGGAAATCTGTCCACAAGGACAAAAAGTTTCACACACACCAGCCCACGCTCGACGGCGGAGGTTTCGTTTTGGTCATTTATTTTTTCCTCCTCTCCCCCTCGGTGCCGACAGTTTATCCTTTTCTTAGCTCCCTTCCCTACTGTCCTGTTTTGTAAACACTCACCAATGCAGACGCTGGTCTTGCTCTGGACCGAGGCATTAATGGTCTTCATCCCCGACCGGGACTCAACCACCAACTGGCCACTCGTCTCGTGGATTGGCACACTGCTCGATGTTGGTCGACAAGAGGCCGTCGCCACCGCTGCGGCATTAGTCACTCCAAGTCTTGTCTGTTGTGCCCCTCCAAACATGGCCGCTGCGTAGGAGACAAGGGGCATGTACACGATCTTGGAGGGCGTTGACGAAGTGAAGGTCTTGACGATGGTGCCATTCCCAAGATCAGCATCGAACGACAGGATGGCCTGTAGGGTATAATGGACAAACCGCTCTCCTTCCTATTAATCCATATGAAAATAACATGTTAGTCGACATCAAGAATCCAACAATAGCAAAGTTAAGGGTCAGTCCCCTCTCGCATCACATTCCCCTTTTGTTCTTCTCGAATCACGCCGATCCCACCACGCTCATCCGCCACATGAACAGTGTTTCTACTATCCTCCTCTTCCTCTTTTACAAAGCCAACGACGTACGAGGTGTGCAAAATGAGGGAAGAAGTATAAGAAGAGTCAAAACAAGCGGGATAGAAGTGAAAAGAGATTTTTTCTTTACCTCCAGGCTAGGTGGGTAGTTGCAAAGTGGCAACTTAATACAAAAGTGTAAGGGCGCATGTCTGCCACAGGCTGTGAGAGTCTGGTCGTCAATTAGAATATGCTCGACCTCAAAGAGTGTTGTTAATGGGGTCGTCGATGATGATGTTGCTGCTACTAATTCGTCGTTGTGGTCTCCTGCGTCGGTGGTGAAGTCGAGGGTAGTGGTGCAAGTAAAGACGACGCGCAATTGGCAGGGACGGAGGATAGGTTTGGCGAGGGAGAGGTTGACTTGTCCGTGAAGGATGGTCCCAGGACCATATCGTCGAGGGTGACCGTTCTTTGTTGCGAGGGAGATCGAGAGTCCGTTTGGGGCGAGATAGGTGGCGGCGATGTTTGCCGATGAGTTTTTTGAAAAGAAGCGCATTGTTTCTGTTGAGGGATGGAAGGGGTGGGGGGTATGTATGTGAATGAAGAGTGAGTCAAGAATGAGCTAAAAGAATGAGCGAGGAGTGGAGAAGTGAATGAGCGTAGGAGAAAGAGGGACTATATATATGCGTCAAAAAGGCGCAAGAAAGTGAATGAGGCGAAAGGGTGGGTGAGTGAGTGAAAGAGGAAAGAAGAGAGACAACTGAAGAGAGAGAAGAGACGAATAAAAGAGTGTGAGATGATAAGAGAACGAGGGGGAAAAAGAAGAAAAAAAGCACAAAAAAGGAAGAATAGGGGCATGTGTGTCTGTCTCTCTTCTGTCAGTCTGTGAGTGGATGGGTGAGGCTACGTGCCAGCTGGACATGCAACTGCTTTTAGCCCGAAAAATCTTCCGGTCGGAGGCAGCGTCTGGTTGGCTGGCTAGTTGGCCGTCAGTTGGTGCATTGACTACAAGGAAGAAGGGCGTCAGACGTCAGAGGGCGATGCACAGAAAGGGCCTCTTGGGCTGTGGAAAAACATAATTAACCTACACATTTTTAACAAAGACTGAGGTAGATTATTAAAACATTTTGACTCGTAATACTATTCTTCATCAGAAATCAATGTCGAGTCAGACTTACACGCGCGGATAAGTGTACTGGCAGCAAGCTGAAAAAGAGACCGGTTCTGTGATCGTCGAGGTTGCTGACCTCACATCATTGCTGTTGACACTTGCGCGCCATCAAATTTCCCCGCGACTGAACCAAAGGTGAAAGGGGGCGTAGTTACCTGTGACTTTGTTGGCGAAGACTGGAAGCGCTGGTCAATCTAATAAGGCTATGTTGCTTGATGTCCTGAGCGCGTCCCAATTCGATGAAATCCCTCTCGACAAGACTGGCCTACAAAAACGCGGATATCGGACGCGGTTGTCAATTGACACTGAATGCAGAGTCACCACTTTTTGTTGAATGAACACTGTTTATTGATATTGCTGAATACTTACGTGCCCTGCTTCTAGTTTGACGATTGTCCCAATTAAGCAGCATGGTGGCTTGACATCCTCTGCGCCTCTGATGAATTCACGAGCGGGTTGCTGACTATATCTTCCATTGACTTCCTTAACCTTATCGCCGTCAGTCCTCTTTGCCAGTGTCTTGCTCGCCTTTCACCCCAGGTCCTTGTGTCGTCAATGCTATCACTGTCAAGGAGTGAGCAAAAGAAAAAATGGAGGAAGTTATGGCATATGGGGCACCCTAAAAAATAAGAGGCGAACGGCAAATAAAAACATATTGTTCTGCACGGTAGACAGAGGCGAAGTTAGGGTGAAAGAGGAATGAGAGGTTGAGTGGTACGGATAACAGATGGAAGGGGCGACCCCCTGCGAGAACGCAGTGAATACCTTAGTCGTGAGTGTAAATTTCCTGAACTTGGTCGGAAGTGTGGGTTTCCCGCCCAGGCACAAGCGCGTGAAAAGCCTCATTGAGAATACACCGAGCGAGAGAACGATTCCGGCACAAGTAGAGAAGGTGTCAACCTGTGTCAGCGAATGATCTGCTAAATGCAACGACTTAGGACTTGGTGTCACTGCCTCCAAGGCACATTCGATTTGTTCCTTGAACCCTATTTGTCCTTGCTATGCCTGTGTGACCTAGTAGAAATGTCCACTATTGGGATTTCGGAAGGTGCCTCAAGTGGGCCTAAAGTAGTTCTTGAACGGAAGCGAGCGCAGCTCGGCGAGTAAGGCTTGTTTGTTGTGATTCCTGATACCTGATGTGCGCTCGTGAGACGAATGAAGAGGAAGAGAGCAATGCGGGTGGTGGTCGGAATCGGGTGATCAGGAAAGGGGAAAAAGTGAAAGAGAGTCACCTCGAGTTTGATGTTGTTGGATAAGCGCGTAAAGAGAAAACATATCCATAGTACGAAGAATCGCACTGATCAATCAATTTCACCTATGGTTTTAAGCTCATTAAGGGTGCTTGGCTCGCGTGGTTTAGTGTCAAAACAAAAGAAGGAAAAAATATGGAACGAAGAAACGCTACGAAGACCAAGCAAGAATGATCACCCTCATGCTCACGACCATGCATGCCCTGCCGCGTTCCACAGAACAGAAAAAAATGAAGGAAGCCAAACACCATTGGCCTAGACCGTTCGCTACTCTTGCCTTAGCCACCCTTCAATTAGCCCAACATGCGTTCACCTCCCTATTTCTAACATGATTATTCACCTTTGTTGATTCTTATACACTCGCTCACACCTCCACGAAGTTCTATGCTCTTAGCAAACAAATCGCCTAGATCTTCCCAAATTTCATCCTTCCTCCTTGCCGGCCCCTTCTACTCGTCTTTTATTTCTTCTTGTCAACAAGACGGCACTTTCATCAGCTGAGTCTCCCTCCACCCAACAGTTGCACATCCGCATCCCGAAAAGTATTGAGTAGGCGTACAATACCTCAACTTTAATTCTAAGTAACCTTACGATTTTGTTTGCCTTGTTTGTCTATGTCCGTGTCCATGTTCATGTTGAACAAACGAAACAAGCTAAGCCAAACAAAGACACGCCGCACTTTATTGTTTTCAAGCGCAGCGCAGAATTCTCAATGTTCCATCTTACACATCCCCCCACCCCTCATTCAACTCCTAGCCCTTTTCTTTCTGTTTTTTTTTAGTTGTGTTTAAGCTCCATCTGATAAGTTGTGTTTGGTTATCAGATCCATCCTTACCAGGCATTGTCCATCCTGAAATCTGAGGCTAAAATTGTCACCTCTCCTCCTCATTTTCGGAACGAACGAATGGTATTGTCACGACTGCAAAAGCTTTTGTGTTTTTCTTTAGTATTTAAATACCACGGCACACCCTTGTCGTTTTCACCTCGAGCTTTCCTCTCCCTCCAAAACCTACCCATACCTTTCCATCCACACTTTCATTGCATTCGTTGCTCTGATCGCCTCGTGCTACCTACTCAGCTTCTTACTCCCTGCCCTCATTTTCCAAAGCCTAGTATTCACCCTCAGTCCAACACCCTTGCATCCCCCTCAACATGGATCTCGAAAACAAAGGCGTATTCATCGACGACCAGGAGACTGATGCAAGATCCCCAGTGTCAGCCTCCAAGATCATCGATCGCACGCTCCTTACTCGCAAAAATATCAAGTACCTGTATATTGCGTAAGTGTTCTATATTGCTGCCTTGATTGTATTTCGTGCACGCTATGTGTAAACGACAATGAGTACTAATGTCCTTATACCACCTAACCCCTCACCTTAACCCTTGATGTTACTCTCACATTTTCTTTCTTCCAACTTTATAGCATCATGGTTCAGGCGTTCCTTCGCTCGTTTGAAGTCAACCTGATGTACAGTTCCCTTACCGTAATCTCTTCAATCTTCGAATCCGCCTCCATCGCCACAATTCTGCCCATCATTCTCGAGATCATTTCTGCGGCGCTTGTGCCGTTTTATACCAAAATCTCGGATGTAGTGGGTCGATCGCAGGCGTTGACGATTGCGGCGCTCATGTACTTGCTGGGTTACACGGTTCAGGGCACTTCGAATGGGTTCTTGCAGCTTGCGTTGGGGCAGATTGTTTATGGTGTGGGGTCGACGGGGTTGATGACTTTGGCACAGGTCTTGATCGCTGGTAAGAGATAAGGCTAAAATTCTCTCGACATATTGGCTTTTGTGTGTGTTCAGAATGGCACTCCTGTTACTTTTATTCGATGGTATTGGCATATGCATCTAACTCATGTTCTGCAATAGATATCACTCCTCTCATTGACCGCGGCATCATGTTCGCTCTCTGGGGCATGCCGTCAACCGTCAACGTCTTCATCGCCAGCGTCCTTGTTGACCCATTGACCCAGCCCAGTTCCAAATGGAGAAGCGTCTACGCCGTCATCGGCACAACCGCCCTCATCGGATTTATTATCCTCCTGGGACCCCTTTGGCATTACCAACGCAAGGCCGAGAGACGAGCTGCCTCTCATGGTCGCCGAACCGAGACCCGGTCTATCAGATGGTTGTTCTCAGAGTTTGATGCTGTGGGGGCTCTTTTGATCACCATGGCCTTGGGGTTGACGCTTCTGCCGATTATCTTGGCTAGGTCGTACGAGGATAATTGGAAGAGCCCCAAGATTCTGGGGATGTTCTTTTCGGGGGTGCTGTCGTGGGTTTTGTTGGCTGTATGGGAGATCAAGTTTTCGACGAGGCCGATTATGCCTATGAGGATTTGGTTTAACAGGACAAGCTTTGGGGCATTGGCGGTTGGGTTCTTTTTAACTATTATCAATGCCATGAAGTAAGTGCCTATCATTTTCTGCTTGAGGGATCGACTTGCATGTTTTACTTGTCGAGTCAAAAGGGGAGGAATGAGTTTTTTTAACCTTTTTTCATTGCATAAAAAAAAATAGCTACAACTATTACAGCCTCTACCTAGTCGTCTCCCGCGACATCAGCTTCGGCCACGCATCAATCTTGGAACGCGGATACCAAGTAATCTACCCCATCTGTGAGCTCCTCACCGGTTTCGCCATGAAGCGCTTCAAGATCTGCCGCCCCTTCATCTGGATCGGGATCTTTGTCCAAACCATTGGCCTCGGTCTCCAGATCCCCGCTCGTAAACCTAGTTCATCGGACGCGTTTATTGTAATTGCCCAGATTATTGCTGGAGGGGGGGCAGGAATGGCTAATAATGCGGCCATTGTTGCGGTGACCGGATCGGTTTCGAGGGATGATACTGCTACAGCTATTGGTGTGATTCACATTCTAGGCTCGTTTGGATATGCGCTGGGAAGTGGTCTTGCTGGTGGCATCTGGACACAGTAAGTTACCCCCCCCCCCCTTTACCCCAAAACTAGATCGTTAAATATTTTCGCGCATCCATAACGCCGAGCTATCGACTAATCTCTACGGCTACTCTGCCCCCTCCCCCTTACTCAATAATAGATACCTGCCAATGCGACTGGCAAAGCACATCACAGGCCCCTACGATGAGCGCCTCGCCATGAACGACCCGCTGGAATACATCCCTAACCTGGACTTGACCACCAAAGGACAGCTTGTCGAAGCCTATGCGGATTCTCAGATGTTGATGTTGATTATCGCGATGTGCTTGGCGGTCCCTGTTTGCATTACTACGCTGTTTATGAAGAATATTGACTTGATGCAGGATCAGAACGATCAGGCTGTAGAAGGGGAGGTGGAGGGGTATGCGATTGATGGTGTGACTTCTGATAAGCTTGAAGTCAAGTAACTTCACTAACCGTAGTTCAAGGTCTCTAGTATTTCCCTTAATAATACCTGTTTCGATCTTAAACGTGAAAAACAAATGGACGAGGGATGAAAGAAGGTGAACGTTTTTGAATGTGAAAGAGAAAAGAAGTAGTCGTTGTCGAAAACGCGAAGGTGAGAAAAAAAAAAAAGAACATTATGACGGTTCGATTTTTTTTTTACTCTGCCTCAGAGGGCGGGGCAGAGTATGTACAGTACGGGTCAATGGTTGTTCCTATTTCACAAAAACACGTTTCAAACGACGCCACCAGTCTGCTTATTCACACATTTCATCTATTCTTGGCATAGCACCCGTCGTTGTAATAATGATACCTTTTGCTTGGCTACTTGTCTTTTTTGTTCCTCCCCTCTTGCTTCGCCCTCTTTTGTTCTTCCGTCATCTTTCCCCACATATATAGCATTGTGCATCATTATTCATATCATATTTATTATTATTTTTCCTGGTTATCTTGTTTTTGTTGTTTGCTGAAGTGTTGTTGGGTGGTACTGTCTATTGGCTGGGCCATCATAAATAACTGCTGAACGGGTAGTAATACCGAAAGCCCATCCATTGTATCCATGTGTCCATGTCCATGTAACAAGTATGACGGGTGGAGGGGACAAAGGTCGACCGTATCCGACTTAACTAAAGTAGACAGCCTTGGGGTCGATGGGAACTCCTGTTCGGGGGTCAATTCCATTCGCCTTCATCTTGTTCTGCTGCTGAATCAGACGTGCCTGGTCAAAGTTGCACTTGTACTTCTTCATGAGCTTGCGAATCTCTTCCGTGTTCTCCAGTCCGTGTCTCTCATCTATTAACAACATCAAAAAAAAAAAGGGAAAAAGGAATGAGTTTCAAAAGGTTCACTATGAAGTGCCCAGGTTTTGTTGCTGAGCAGGCTGTCCTCTCATTTTTGTCGGGTGTCATATTAAAGTCGACAAGTCTGGCCTGGCTTGGCGTAGGCAAGAAAGGTAGTAGCCATTGAGCCCATTGATAATCGAACAAACAAAGGAAGGAAGTGTCGCTTGTCCGTATGAGTCCTTGTTATCCAGAGTCGAGTGTAGAGAGTAAAGTTGCTTACCGCCCCCCAAGAGGTTCTGGTGGATGTCAAAGGTGGAGGAGGTGAGTCCTTCTTCGATGTTTTGTGCAAAGGAGCTGTCGTCTTCGGACCGGAAGAAGGGGAGACGGGTGTAGTGGAATCGTTCCCGCAGCTCGCCGATCTTTGGTACCCAGTGTGCCCTTGTGGCATAGGCTGCGAGTATAGAGATGAGGAGAATGAATAAGAGAAAGTACATGGCGAGTTGTTTTGGCTGGTGGTGGTGTTGCGGTGGTGGTGGGGTGGTACGTTAGTTGTTTGGTGTAGTCGTAAGTGAAGTCGTGAAAATGTAGTTGTTGATGGTGCGGGAATCAATGTGTGTTTGGAAGAGAAGAAGTAAAAGAGAGGAAAAGGTGTTTCTGGGAGTGTGGGCGGTGAGTGAGCGAGAGAAGTTACAAATAGAAAAACGTGAGAGCAGCAAGCTTGCCTTAATGCACGAGACATTGTCTTCCTCTGGCCCAGGCTTGTCCTCATCGAGCAGTCCACTCCTCAGATGCACTTTTGGGTCAACCCCTTTTACTTACATTCCAACTTCGTTCTTTCTTTTCTTCTTCTCCTCCTCTTTTCTCTTCATTCCTCTCCAATTCTTTCTCACTACCAAACCCACTCACCCTACCTACCTGCTTGCTCGTCAGCTGCTACCATCTCAACGAAAATGATGACCGATACCCCTGTCCCTCTTGCGCCCACCGACGGCGCCGTCGCAGAGGTCACCGCTGCCACCGAACAAATCTCGCTCAAGGATACCAACAAGGAGGAACATGTCCACGACGAGAACTGCCAGCACGACCATGGCGAAGAAGATGCTGCTGCCACCGAACCCCAGGGCCGCAACGACTATGACCTACTGGAGATCCGTGGCACCAAGGACAAGACCACCGACCCCCTCGTTAAGGTAACGATGAAGCACTTCATTACTATTATGCATCAATATTGTTCTTGATTTGAGAGGAGCCAAGCACCTTTTCTGCTTGCTCTCTTTGTGTATGGTCACTCTCTCTCCACTTCTTTGTATTATCACTCCATCAATCCAATCCGTAATGGATCTATGATCGCGATAATAACTCTCTCCTCTTCCATCCCTTCCTTCTTTACAATCATAGATCTACTTTGAAGCCAAGGAGCTCTACCAGGGGGCAATGGAGCGTCTGAACCAGATCCCCGAGGGCGCCGACGCCGAGCTGATCGAGAAGCACAAGGACGAAATCGTCTCCGTCACGGGCGATCTCATGCGCGCCTTCCTTATGGATGAGAAGGCCTGTGTCATGAACCAGCGGATTCTCAAGCTTGCAGAGCAGTACGAGGCCTATGTTCAGAAGTATAACCCCGAGAACACTTCGACTACCACGGTCGAGAATGAGGAGGAAGGAGCCGAGCAGGCTAATACCATCTACACTAAGGATTCTGTCGTCTTTGGTACGTCCTCTTGTTGTGTTTCATGACTTCCATTCCGATTTGGGATAGTAGCAAAGGAGAAAGGAGGTGGCGGGCTTGTTGCCTATTTATTTTTGGGTCAAAAAGAAAAAGGCAGTGAGGCAAAGGCAGGGGGTGGTTGTGGTAATGTTGGATCAAAGGAAGGCAGGGAAGGAGCGAAAGTGATGAAGGGAGAGACGAGTCATTCATTCTTGTGGACACTGGGCCAAATCATTTTTGACCAGAAAAAAGGGGCACCCACTGTGGAGGGACAGAAAACACAAAGGAAAGGGCTCTTCACGACTCTTCTACTCCCACTCCTATTTCACGAAAGACATCGGTATGGGCCGAAGAAAGTGAGTGAAAACGAGCAGCCAGAAAAGAATAACAGGAAGAATCGACCAAAGATATATGACTCCTTCGCAGAGATCACAAGGGTCAATTGGTTGAATCTGCATGCTCCAGTGGTTCCAATGGTTCTCCCTGCCACTAGCTCAAGGGGTTATGTTGTCAAAAGGTGATGGGGGGGTTTACTGTTTGTGAATGTATATGTGGGATGCTCAGGGACAGCAGAGCAAAGCAGAGTCGCTGTTGGTCGATTCTGATTTGATGGATTTGGTGGGAAGGGGATCTCAGGAGAACCTTAATTTCCCTGAACTGAGCCATTTCATTTTGGCCTTGGGTTATTTTGGAATTTGTCTTCAACTGGATGGATGAGTGGGCGTTACTTTTAGGAAAGAAAGAGGAGGATGAAGTCCGAGAATACATCGCTGTACCACGATAAATCAACTGGAAAATGGCATTGACACTGTTTCTCACGCTAATGCCTCTACAACTATAGTCATATGGATTCTGTTTGGTGGCCAGCAGTTCTCGCACTGTGTCCAGACCATCGGCTTTGCTATCAGCGAGTTTGAGTCCCTCCGTCCCCGCATGTTCGAGCTCCGCGCTTCCTGCCACATGGCCCTCCGCAACTACAAGGTATGCTACCATTCCCTCACTATCTACTTCCATTACCGTGTTTAGGCGGGTCTGTCGCATTTGAGAGACGAGCAATTTGCCTAACCGCGTGTCTTATTGTTGTATTCCAATTATCTCAGGGGTGCACGGAGGATTTGGAGGAGGTGTTGAACATCAAGTCAGACCTGACCGAGATCCACTCGATGCTCGGAAACGTCTACTACGCAACCCACCAAGCCCAGGACGCCATCAGCCACTTCCGCGACTTTGTCGAGGCCGCCCACCCAGACTCGCGTACCCTCCCCAACGCCTACTACGCCCTCGCCACACTCACCCTCCAATCAGCCCCCTCGGGCGCCAGCAAGAAGAAGAGCAACCAGGCCCTGAAACAGGCAGCAGTCCTCAAGGAAGCCCAGGAATTCTACACAAAAGCTCAGGCAGCCGATGTACGATTCAAGGAACTATACGGGGTCCCTACAGGATTGAACGAGATTAAGCGGACGGCAGTGATGGCTTTCCAGGCTCGCAGCGCTGGTCGCAACGGGCTTTTGTCGACGGATTCGACGCCGGCATTGTTGGAGGCCTCGGAGGCGTTGAAGAAGTCGTTCAAGAGCCCTGGGGTCTCGTCGTGTGCCAATTGTAGCCGGCCTGACAATGTTGCAAATGATGAGCGTGCACCGACATTGAAGCCCAAGCCGTTGATCAAGTGTGCCAAGTGCAACAAGGTTGCGTACTGTTCGAGGCCTTGCCAGATCAATCACTGGAACTCTGCCCACAAGAACACTTGCAACAAGAAGTAGACCTCCCTTCCTTTTCGCTTTGATATACCTTTTCCTTTGTCCTTTTGACGTTTGTCTTTACTTGCTTTTTACCCCTTGTTTTTTTTGGATATTCGAATAGACATTCCTCTCTCTGTTAGGACCTTTTTTTTTGACATATTCTTTTAATAAATGACCAATATGACCAAAGCTGACCTATCGTGTAGATAACAAAAAGTAGGTATGAAAAAGTTGTCTATTGCATGGTATTCAAAGAAGAGGTAATAAATATATAGGATCAAAATAACTCTAGACTCTAATCCTTCATCCGTCTTCCTCCAGACAGCGCGTACAAGAACACCAAAAGAAATACATATCCTCTAACCGTGCCCTCCTCTCCCCAACACCTGTCGAGATATCTCCATAACTGATACAACACTCTTCCCCCTCCTTGATGACCCCTGTACTCCAGTACTCCATCTGCCTCGCCTTCACATCACGACTACTCTGGCGACGTTTCTTTTGGATATTGGGTCGACAAGAGTGGTTAAAGAAACTGGCTCGTGGGAAGACGGCAAATCCGAGGAGTTCTTCGGAGGAGTCCCGGATTCCGAAGGAGTTGGCCACTTCGCGGTAGAGGATTGTCCGGAAGAACGTATTGTCGATTGAGAGGGTGATTTGGCGTTCTTGGTGTGAGGGGGTATCGGATGGTGAAGTAGCAACGTTTTCGCAGGAGAGGAGGAAGTAGGCGTCGCGGAGGCGGAGGTAGGCGTAAAAGCAGCTGAGGAGGTGGTTCGGGAGGATTGAGATGAGGGTGCGCCATTGTCTCATGTTGGTATCGTGCTTCGACTCCAGTGAGTGCTTGTGATCTTGGTGTTGGGTACCCTGCTCTTCCTGTTCCTGTTCCTGTTCCTGTTCTTGTTTGTCGTCGTCGGATTGCTCTTCTTGGTTGTGGATATCCTCCTGGAGCTGCTGACGGAACAGGATCAGCTCATTGGACTGCATGGCGCAATAGTCCTCAAACATCGCCCTCTGTCCTCCACAGAGACTACTATGACTTCCTGGCAGTTTTTTGTCTTTGTTTGTCACAGCAGTGGCTGGTCCTTTTACAGATTCCCTCTCTTGTACACTTACAACTTCAGCTCCATCGCCCATCATTCCTGAAGTTGCCGCCCTCATGTCGATCTGCCGGCGGCACAAGATCTCACTTACCAGCCGAATCGTCTCACAGTCATCATCCGAGGTCTTGGGAGCAATGGTCGCCTGATTGTTGCCCTCCAGTAAGAGTTTTGCCAGTTTAGGGAACAGTGCCCCACACTGGGCTTGGGTACGTGAATGCTGCTGGGTATTGTGCTGGTGGTCGTTTTTGGTTGTTGCGGTTGTGGTGGTAGTGGGGTGGGTGATCCACGATTCCTGTTCTGAGATGAGGCCGTCGAATGCGCTCCAGGTGGTATCCAGAAATAACCCAAGGTCGGTGTCAGACAACTCCAGGATCCGTTCCTTGGTATCGGCGGTGGCCATGGCCTGCTCGATCAACTCTGAGTAATGCGGTGCTGTTGTTGTCGTTGCCGACGATGTTGAAGGCGTATCAGGTCCGACTGTAGCCTTTGACTCCTTACAATGTTCCATCTTGAGTTTCCAAGCCCTACTTCCGGAATCACTCCACGTCCTGCGGATCTTTTCCTCGACTCTACATATCATCTCTGCAGCCTCGGGTCCATACATCTCTAAACAAGTCTCGTCGCAGAACACCATCACCGTCTCTTTCTTCCTCCCCTTCCCTCCCTTCTGCCCCTTCGAGCCCCTCTCTGTTCCTGTTCCTGTTCTTGTTCCTGTAGCAGAGGCGGGTAGGGCAGACGGGAGACGGATCTGAGATTTGTGGTTCAGAATCTCAGCCCAACAGTAATGACATATCCCACAGTCGAGCCAAGGGTCGCACATGGTGGTTCCAAAGGCCTCGGCGACAAAGATCAGTTCCTGAGGTTGGATTGTCCTTGTGGCGACGTAGGAGCGGCCCTTGTTGGGCAGCATGGTGACCTTTATCGGGAAGGCATCTTCTTCCGTTGCTTGATGCTTCTTGTCTTCTTGCTGTTGGCCGACGAGTGCGAGTGTTGGTGGCGGTGGCGGTGTTGGTGCTATTGGTGCTAGTAAGAGTAATAGCGATGGGGTTGTTGTCGTTTCTGCAGGGTCCATGTTTTAGTGCGAGAGGTGTATGTATTTTTTTTGTATGGATGATGAAAAAAAGTGCGCTAGTCTCACTTTTTCTTTGTTTGTCGAAAAAAATACAAAGAGGACAAACGATATGTGACTGCTGAACATCAATTGCTGAGGAGAGACATGGAGGGCAAGAAAATGACGACAAGGACATGTGATGGTCAATCCGAGATATGCGCGCAAAGTCAAGACGCGACTGGACAGAAAAAAACACCCCCCAAAAGACAAACATACTGCCGAGGGTTTGGCGACAAGGGATTAGCTAAATGCTAATGCACCCTTGCACACTCAACGTGAGACAATTCTCGAGCAAAAAAAAGTCGTGGTCTGAGTCGATTCGCATCTCAACCAACAAAAGCAGCAAAAAAAAAAAGGCGGGTCCAATACCAATAAATTCATCGCGCCAGGGTTCTATCAACCACCATCTCTTTTCTTCTCTCCTTCCTCTCACCTGCATATTCTCTCACCACCTACACAATCTCGCCCCACCTTACTTCCTCCCTTAAACCTTCTCCATAACCACATCCTCTTCTCTCATAACGCCAATTTCCATCGTTTCTTTACTCAAACAATAACAACAACTACAAAAACACACCATGTACAGAGTCAAAACTCAGTCTCTGGTTGTCACCCAACGCGTGCGCAACGTAAGTGTTTGTGGTTGACGGATCCAAATACACCTGCACCGTACCAACAACAACAAAAATAACAGATCTGAACTTGACTTTTCCTCTTTGTTCTCGTTTTTTTTTAGCCCAGACTCTTGGCCACTTCAACAGTTGCACTCGTCGCTGCTGGATCCCTCGTCACAAAGACCGCATATTGCCAGCATGTAAGATCCGTCCCCTTTTTTCTGTACAAACTCCTAACACTTGCATGCGTAGAACATTGACCTAACCTCTTTTCTTCCTTGCGCTTCTACTTCACAGGATTCGTCAATTCAGGCTGAGGCTGACGATTTGAAGGAGGCCGTCCAAGAGTTTGCTGACCACATCCTCCAACTCGCCGACTCTCCCTACGACAAGTCCTCCCCCTCTTCTTCCCCTTCGTCAGGCCGCGACCATGGACACAGCTCACCCTTCTTCTCTTCCATGGGCCATCGCTCCCACCACGGTGGCTTTGGATTCCGTTCCTCGGATAATGATGGAGAGCATGATGGCAACTACCACAACCCCAACCACTCCTCTGAGGGCAATGTTTCTTCGTTCAGAAGGGGAGGCGGTAACCAGGTCCGTGGCGTGTATGTTGAAGAGCCCCTCGTTCCTGCTCTCTTCTACATTACCGTCGCTGGATTGACTGGAAGTATCCTCGCCCGCAGAAGTAAGGTTTTTTTTTGTATATCACGTCATACGGATGCATCCTTTCTCTGTGTTTCACTCTGCTCACGCAAAAAAAATTCTCTATTTTCCTGTATCTGTACATTGCAAACTCCATCAAATAGGCAACTTTTTGTTCAGGTTCTTATCCCCCGTCGCGTTGGCACTGGGAGCCTCAGCATACTGCATCCCCAAGACGACCAACAACGTGATCCACGGCCTGCGCACCTATGACTACACGCAATGGTCGCACGACATGCAGCACAAGTACTTCCATGCCAAGAAATCCATCGTCGACACCACTACCAGTCTCACCTCTGCTACAGGGTCCATCGCCGGGTCAGTTGTCCAGGGCGCCCAAGGCGCTGCTCACGATCTTGCGGAAAAGACCCACGAGCTTACGGACAAGACCCAGCATTTGATGGACGATGTGAAGGAGAAGGGTAAGGGTGTTGCGCATGAGATCCAGGATAAGGGTGAGAGTCTTGTCAAGGAGGCCAAGGGATTGGGACATGATTTGACACACAAGTTGGACCATGCCAAGGACGAGGTAAAGGATCAGGTTGAGGATGGGGCGGACCATGCGAAGCATTGGTGGAATTCTGAGAAGAAGTCTGTTGAGAAAGGGGCCAAGGATTTGAGTAAGACTGCGAGACAGACTGGGGAGGATGCCAAGGATTGGGCGAGGTCGAATTCTGGGTTCGATCGTCATGATGTCGAGCGTGGGTTTGAGCGGTTCAAGTCCAAGGCCCAGGATGAGTGGGACAATGCCCGGGACGAGATGAATGATGTCTATGAGAACGGTCGTTCTTCTCGGTTTGGACGTGATGCGCGTCACAAGTTTGAGTCGTGGAAGGATTCTGCAGAGGACTGGGCCGAAGACCGGTCCCGTGATGCCCGCGGAACCTTTGAGCGCAACAAGGACTCTGCTCAAGACTGGGCCGAGGATCGATCCCGCGATGCTCGTAGAAACTTCAACCGTGCTAAGGGATCCGCCCAGGACTGGGCCCAAGACCGTGGATATGAATCCCGCCAGATAGGTCGCGATTTCGAGAACCGTTTTGACGATACCCGCAGCGAGTTCAAGAAGTACGGTCGCGAAGCCGAGAACCAGTTCGGCAATGCCCGTGACGAGGTCAAGAAGCACGGTCGCGAAGCCCGTGATTTCTCCGAGGACCGGTTCCGTGATGCTAGACGCGATATCCGTAACCGCGCAGAGGATCTGCAGGACCATGGTCGTCGACAACTCCACAAGTTTGAGCACGAAGCCGATGATCGCACTGGTGATCGTCACGGTGGATGGGGCTTTGAAGGTGATAGAAACACTGAGGACTTTGGAGGTCGTCGTGGTCGATATGAGGAGCGTGAAGAGTACGGAGGCCGTCGAGATGGTTGGAATGCTGATGACTCCCGTCCTCGTCGGTCTGTAACCGAGGCTGCCAAGGAAGGCAAGAGCTGGTGGTCCTCCTCCTCTCCTCGCCACAACAGTGCCGCAGACCCCTACGAATCCTACGACCGCGACACCAACAACCGTTCCACCTGGTGGAAGGCCGGCTCCGGCACCTCGGGTCCATCACTCAAAGACTCGGCCCGCGACGAGTTCTCCCACCTCAAACACCAAGCCCGCCGGGGCGCCGACCGCATCTACGACAATGTCGATGACAAGGTCCAAGATGGACAGTCCTGGTTGGCCGGCACGAAGCACGATCTCCAGGACCGGTTCCAACACGCCAAGCATGATATGCGAAACAAGTTTGCCCACGACCAGGGTCGTGAGTTTGGAGGGCTCGGCAAGGCAGGAGGACATAACCACGAGTCGATTTACTCTCATGATAACTGGTTCCATTATGATCATGGCGAGGAGGCCATGGCCGGAGGACGACGTGGGCGTGGCGAGAGGGGTTTGTAAAGAAGAAAAAGGGTTCAGTCGGATCTTTGTACATAGCAGTTATTTATTTTGTATCAGTAAAGGTATCAGTTTACTTCGCCCATTGTGAAATTGGTGGCAAAATGTCGCGAGCATTCAAGGCGGACACAAACGCATTCCCGCGTCAAACAAGTTACTGACCTCATAACAAAGATTCTTAAGGCTCCATCAATCCCGAGGGGATACAGGAGAAGAAAAAGATTAAGAAGGCGAGGAAGGGGAGTAAGAGAAACAAGGACAGTATGGGTGACCTAAATAAATACTTTGTTGGACTAGAAAAACTTTTGTAGGGGATGGAGTTGGCGAACGGAGATGTATAAGCGCAGAGCAGTGATAGAGGGAGATAGAATAAGATTACATTCGTACCAGTACCAAGGTCATTGTACCCGAGGTGTCTGAGGGTATATGTGTTAAAATCAAGAGTTGTGGTGATGCAGGTGTAAATGCACCAATTAGCAAAGAAACGAGGAGGGATAAGAAGAAGGGGACGGAGAGGAGAAGCGTGAAGAGAAGCGTATCCACTCACCGCTTCTTTTCTTGTTTGCTATCTTTCAAAGGTTAAAGGTACCCTGGCAATGAATTGTCGTGAGGCAGACATTGCGTATCATGTTCTGTCGCCTCGAAATCTCGCCACCAGAAAGCCCCAAATGTTATGATATGAAAAAGAACACGTCGGTCACACTGCGGACAGGAGAGTACAGGCAATAAATTGTCCAGCCAATGTTCGGCTTGGGTGATTTTTTTCTCAGAGACCATTCTGGACACTTGCATACGCTCAGATCGTCATTTTGGAGACGAACAAGTTGTCATGTAGTTGATCCCTGGTGCGTACACAGGCCTCTATATGCTTTGTTGTTTGCTAAAGCTGTACTTGACCGCCTCTCTTTTTTTTCACTATATTCTTATCCTCATTATCCACTCCTCACCTTCTACCCTCGTTTTCTCCAAGTGAACTCTTGTTCGCTAATTATTTTCTCCAAGAGACATGCTACACATGCTACATACCCGATACCCCAAAAACCCGAATGCCACACTCTCTCTCTACATCTAACATGCCACAGCCTCCCCTTTTCCACACGTTCTACAGAAAAGGGACAGTGGTGGAGAAAATAACAAAATTCCCTCCTTTGGTTGGATGGATTGAGAATTCCACTCCCCCCCGAATCTTTCTCAGCATGGTCATAAAGAGACCCTCGAATATCTCGCCTTGTGCCTCAATATACCGCGTTCATTCACCTATCCGACACATTCCTTGGAGTGTTGGTACTCCAGTCAACAGTGACAACTTTCCTATGCTGCTATCTTATATACGTATGGACCCTCGTCATTTCTCGCTTCTAACTCTTCTTCTCTTTCTCTTTTTCTTTTTTCTTCTCGTCTCTTTCACAGTCGCCTTCCTAATCCCCGGTCATCATCATTATCCACTAGCAAAAAAAGAGACCCTCTAGCTCTTCCAGGACCTGGATCACCCTCCTTTATTTTTTCTTTCTCCACCCTTTGGATCCTCTTTGGTGCGCCACCTTTCTCTCTCCCTCTCCTCTCCTCACCCTGCTTGACTACCTGTCGCTTCACTTTTATCCTCTCTGATCTCTGTGTTATCATTTATCTTCTTTTCATTATCTACTTCCTTTCCATATTTTGTTGTTTGTTTTGCTCTCTGTGTTTCCATCGACCCTCTACAAAACTCGCCTGCCATACTTCGCATCTCACTTTTCCTTGACCTTTGTTCCTGGCACAAAAACACTTTAAACATCACTACTCTCGAGCTTTTTGTATTTACTGCTATTTTTTTCTGGCACCGCCTCAGGACCATTTTCAATCTCCACGGTACGAGGTAGAGTAACTCTTAGCCAGATCGGAGCTTGAACAACCTATCTAGCGACACGAAGGGCTACTCCATGTTATTTCTCATGAACCCGTGCATCACCTTTCATACCATTTTTCTTTTGGAGGTGAAGATCGACAAAGCATCTATATTTCCATTTCTATTTCATCCAACCTTTTCACACATTCTACACCCCCTGTCATGAAGAGAACGAGCATACCAAACAAATTCTTATCCCATAGACCACTTCGCCTCTCTTTCTCTGACTTTCCCCTCCCCCTTCTACGACAAGAAATGTGGTTCATTTCCCTTTTTTGTACCTTCGGTGAATCCGTATCCCGCTGAAAAGAAAAGAATTCTCTCCTTGTCTCTCTATCCCTCTTTGTTTCTTTTTCACCCCATTTCTACCTCTGCCAGGATGAGAAGGACATCGGTATTTTCTAAATACCTGCTTGATAAAAAACCCTGCATTGACCGGATTAGAGGTTTTCTGCACGGAAGGAATCATTTTCTGAACTGTTTGACTAACGACAATATATGCCATTTTTTTTCTCTCTCTTTCCCTTAGAATTAAACAAACACACATACAAAGGCAGCATATTCAAGGAACAAAACAACAGCCAACCACCTTTTTCAATATGCCGCCTCACCCACCAGAAGAGACGTCAGTCTTGAGCCACCGGCCTGGACAAGACGACGAGTCGTCCCGCCTGACAGTCCACTCAAAAGATCCTCTAGCATTCTCGTCTGCCAATCAGCTCAGCGTCGGGGGACTCAAGGGAGGGCTTCACTTTTCGGGCCTCTACGCGAGTGTCGACCACAACAACGATAATAACGATCTTTCTCCTGAGGTGTACAGAACCGGTATGGCCGTCGGTCGTGGAGGAGGGATCGACGTTGGTGGACAACAACCTCAGCCGTCGCAGCAACCAAACGGGATAAAGAACAACTCTGGTGGTATGGTGGCAGTCCTGTCGTACAGTAAGAGGAGTGAGCATTTTAGTATATCGACCAATTTACCGATGATGGGTGAGTTGCAGTCGAGGAAGGGGATGGAAGGATTGCAGTATTCAGGGCTGGCGAATCATTTGTCTACAGGGTTGGGTGATGGATCTGCGTTGTTGCCACCTTCACCTTCGATGACGCCGATTGGATTGATGGAAGGACCTCCTAAGCCTCTTCGTGAGTTGAATGGTGCAGCGGCCTATCCGGGGAATGGAGTGGGAGGTGGTCAGCAGGGGCGTGGGTATTACTTTGACCAGCAACCTCATCACATCCACCACCACCAACAACAACAGCAACAGTATTATCATCCTTACCAGCAGCACCAACAACTCCACCAGCCCCAGCCTCGAGGTCCCCCAAGTACATATCTTAATGAGTTCGGAAGTCAGCAGCAGCAGCAGCAGCAGCAGCCGAATGGGCACCAACCCTACATACCCTACTCTGGCAACTCGTCTCCAGCCTTCCCAAACAGCCCCACGATAGAGAACTTCCACTCCGCATACTCTTCTCCTGTCATTCACCACCGCAACTACGAATCCCTGCAATCCTCGCCTCACGACCTAGCAGCCCACTACCGGTCTTCTCAAGAGCAACTTGCATTCTACGATGGCAAATCTGCTGTGGTGGCTTCCATCGCCCCTCCTCCTTACACGCCCACGACCCCACAGAGCTATGGTCTTAAATCATCCTACGTTTCGCTGTGGAAGAAAGCTACTTGGATCGTCTTCACCATGGGAATCTTCCTCATCCCTTACGGGGTTCTCAAAGCCTGTTTCCATCTCCAAGTCTCTGCAGGCGCCTGGCAGACGTCCATCACCTATGGGATGTTAATGACCGCAGATTTCTTTGCCGTCATCTGTTTCTCAGCCCTAAACCGCCGTCGCGTCAACCAACGTGTCAAGAAACGTGACCCATACTGGGTCGGACTGAGTACAGGCATCCTAGCAGTCGGATACCGCGAAGACCCAATCCTCCTAGAAGGGTGCTTGAAATCTCTCCGCGCGATCCGGTACCAGCGTAACCAACGCGTCATGCTAGTTGTGGACGGTAACGAGGAGCAGGATGAGTATATGGCCCAGATCTTTATGAAGATCTTTGAGAAGCAAGGGGCGGCAGTTTTTCGACCAAATTTCTTGTGTATGGATCGGGAGGCGAGTGATAAGTCGAGGGAGGATCTGGTGAGACAGTTGGCGTACCATCCGGGCCCTGTTTGTGTGATGCAGCCGCATCGGGGGAAACGGTCAGCCATGTATACGGGCTTTGCGGCGTTGTTGCAGCAGGGGATTGAGTCTGTGGTCGTTACAGATTCTGATACTTATCTTGACCCTGCCGTCTGCAAAGGTACACTTTCTTTGTCCTTTTTTATTTTTTCCCTCGTCTGTCATTGTGCATTAACCTAACTTGTGGCTTTTTGCTAACCCAACATTTTCTTCAACAGAATTGGCATTTGCGTTGGCAGAGTCACCAATCGTGGGCGCAGCAACAGGAGAGGTCCGGATCTACAACACAGGAACCTGGGTCTCCTTCCTCTCCTCCCTCCGGTATTGGTTCGCCTTCAACCTCGAGCGCGGCGCCCAATCCTACCACTCCGTCGTCAACTGTGTCTCAGGTCCTTTAGGAATCTACCGCATGTCAATCGTTGCCGACGTGATGGACTCCTGGGTCAAACAATCCTTCCTGGGCGTCCTATGCACCTACGGCGACGACCGACACCTTACAAATCTCGTCCTCCGTGAGGGTTACAAAGTCAAGTTCTCTCATCACGCCATCTGTTACACCGACACGCCGATCCGGTTCATCGCCTGGGTGACCCAACAAACCCGGTGGTCGAAATCTTTCTTCCGCGAGATCCCTATCCAGCTCGGATGTATGCATCTCCACTCGCCTTGGATGACCTACGCGTTGTTGTACCAGTTGATCTACCCGATGATGATGATCTATAACCTGGTGAACTGTATTTATTTCGGCACAGGGTCCCAGATTGCATGGTGGATGTTTTCGATCATGTTGGTGGGGTTGATGAAGACGGTGTATGCGGTGAGGGTGACAAGGGATAAGAAGTTTTTCTTTACGACCATTTATGGGTTCTTGTATATGTTGGGATACGTCCCCGCAAAGGTCTACGCCGCCCTGACCCTCTACGACAACTCCTGGGGCACCAGGTAAGAATTGATTCCTGTTACGCTCCTTTTTTTTTTTTTTTTTTTTTTCCCCTTGCTCACGTTCTATGGTGTTTGGCTTTCATACCCCTAACGAGTCTTCTTCCTCTTTTTTTTTTTTTCAATCTAACGCAACCAGTGCGCGTCTGATCAGGAATTTCACTCAACTGCAAGCCTACATCGCCCCCGTAACATGGGGAACCATCCTCTTCTTTGGCGTCTTCAACAACCCCACCCGGTACTCTGAACGCGCACCCATCCCCGAAGGTCTCTCACCCTCACTCCTGACCGACGAGAAAGTCATCCGGATCCTCTTCACCTTTGGGTTCGCATATTTCTTGTGTTTCTTGTGGTTTTTCGTGAGAACGGGGGTATTGGTGAGGGAGTATAAAAGAGATTTCTCGTATGAGGAGTTGTTTGAGTGTATGTCGGGGTATGTGGAGGTTGAGGGCGGTGGTGGTGTTGTTGGGGGAGGGAAGCGGAAGGTTGCAAGGTTTGAGGTGTAAACTCTTTCTTTTTTCTTTTGTAACTAAAGCCCCAACTAAAACCAAAAACCATTAAACACCATGCACAGAAACAAAAAAAATGATTCTTGGGTAAATTAAATTGTCTAAACTGTCTATTTATCGAGTTAAAAACGATGCGGATTGAATAAATGATTACATGTAGATTCTAGAACATCTCAAAGGCAACATAGGCCAGTCCAAACGTCGACATAATATCCACCAACTGGGCGAGCGCATAAAGCGTCGTCAACTTGAGCAACATCCTCGCCTCCCTCCTCAACTCATGAAACTGCAACCCCAGCCCAATGCTGACAAAACTCATTGTCGAAAACCATTCACCGACCATGAACGAGAACGAATTCACCGCTTGCCGATCCTCCGTGGGTACGACAGTGTTAAAAAGAATCGCGGTGAGGATAAAGCCGAGTACGAATTTGGGGAATCGGTTCCAGAGGAGTCTCCTGTAGGGCACGGGTTTGAATTCAGGTTTGGTACGGAGGGCGTCATCCTGAAGAGAGTTGTGTAATGCCCGCATACGGCGTTCTTCCCGTTGTGTCCAAACCGCCGCGACGCCGACCGAGATAGGTCCAATCAAGACATTCTGCACCATCTTGACCACAGCCGCTGTCTCAACCGCCACATTGTCCGGATCACCATAAATTGTAGCAGCCGCAATGACTGCACCCGTCGAATCAACACATCCACCAAACCAAGCCCCGGCAACCTTGGCACTGATCCCAACCGCCTTGGCGATGTAAGGCAGAGCAATGATAGAAGGGATAGTAAAGACCGAGATGATAGCAATCGGGAGATCCGACTTGTTACCAGCTCCGAGGGAGGAAGAGAGGGCAATGGCGGCTGAGGAGCCACAGATGAAGGTTGCGCCGGACATGATCATGGATGTTTGGAGGTCGATCCTGAGCCATGTGGTGCCGATGAGGGCTACGAGGACGAAGAGCGAAGGGGTGTCGATCCAGGATACGAAGAGGGCTCTTGGTGCAAGTGGCTTGAGCACATTGAAGTCAATGCTGTCAATAAAAAAAAATGAGATTGGGAAATAATATTAGACGATCACGCAAGTGCGATATTTGACGCGAAATGACGAACAGTGATGGAGGTGACTGTTTCTTGGAAATGAATGAATAATGCATGCATCGGAAATGATGGGGACAGAGAGACCGTTGGAGAGGGAAAGGAGGGGGGACATACCAGAGGAGAACAAGAGAAATGGCAATGTACAGCTCAGTCTGCTGAGCAACCTTAAGCCAAGCAGGTAAAGGCTTCGACCGTCCATCGGGTAAGGGAGCCCCGGCCATCGCGTTCCTCAACATCGCACCAAACAGAATCGCCCAGATCGAGTCTCCCAAACTAGCACTCTTCACATTCTTCTGTGAAGCCAACCACTTGCTCAACATCGACAACGACTCAATCACCAGGAAGCCCTTATAGAATTGGTTCCAGTCCTTAGCATCAATCGCCCACAGTGCCAGGAACACAAGTAAACCCTGGAGAGGCAATAGGATCAAGAGGTCGAGGTTCCCGATAGATTTAAGAGCGTCGAAGGGATTACTGGTCCAGGGGTAGAAGTGGGCTGCAGGGATGTTGAAGCGGACGGCGGTGGAGACGAGGGCAAAAAGGAAGAGGCCGATCCAGCAGGGCCACCAATCTTCGTGGTTCCATCCCACGAGCCATGGGTAACGACGGACAAGCGTGTGGAGTACTGTCTTTGGTGGTTGTGTATGTCCTGCTTGACCGCCTTTTTTCTTTTCGTTGGTATTTTCTTTCGTTGTGGTTGAGGTTGTGATATGGTTATGCGTTGAAGAGGAGGAGGATGACGAGGAGGAGGAGGAAGAGGAAGATGAGAGGGACGGGGCTGGAGTGATGGTCATAGAGTCATGTCGTGCGAAGGGTATCTGTGCCCGTGCTTGAGAAGTAGAGTCGAGGGGCGAGTCAAGCGAGGTGAGTTCTATTGTCGCAGTGGCTGCAGGAGTAGTCTGCTGACGAGGGAAGTGTTCTGATGTTACTGTTGTCATTGTCTGTTGTGTGTCTGTGTGATGCGAGTGGGTGATGAATCGACAGCCGAACAAATGAATGTGAGTGGTTGGGGGGTTGAGAAAGGAGAGAATAGAAGGGCGGGAAAGACAAAAGGCAATAAGGAAAAAAAAAAAAAAAAAAAAAAAAAAGAAGTCCAAGAATAAGAATTACCTGCGAATGGAATCAGCGGAAGGCTTGCGAGGGAGAGCACACCTCTAAATAAAAAGGATCTATGTTTTTGCGTGCCATCGTTCATGCGGGTAAATCTGTGCTTCCGCATCCAGCAATAACCAAGGCAATATGCGACTTACGGATTAAGGTATAGACAGAAACAACTACTCTCGTAGAAAGTCTCTCTCATCTGCTCAATGGACTGTTCGGAAGGGACTATGCCCCTTCGACTGAATCGCCCGTTCATTGTTACCTTGGACGCCTTGCCGATGCTCACTGTCCATGCCGCCTTGTTGTCGTGGCTGAAATGTCAGTCTGTAGTATCCATCTCCACTCATGGACCTGCAGCATGCCAAACACACAAGTAAGCGATAGCAACAAGTAAGAACAAAACTAAACCAATCGATCTGTTTGTACAATCGTTCAGTCGTAAACAAGACAGCCCAAAGTACGTCCATGTGCTACTGTTCTCTATCATCATGGTTTCTATTGATAGAGGACAGGCAGGAAAAGACCGCCACCCACAGCCTGAGCACTGTGGTTCCCATGCACGTGACCATCAGCGCCAAGCCCAAAACTCCTATTTCTCTCGCTTTAAAATGCGTCTTCCTTTCTTCCTTCTCTAACACTTCGACCTCTCTTCCCCTGCCGCCCTCTCCTTAGTCTCTCCACTCTTTCACCACTCTCACTTTCACCCACCACCACCCACAACACACTAATACCTAACATGGATCCCTCTCAGCAAGACAAGGGCTACTACGCTTCCCAGCCCCCTCAGTACCCCCAGCAGGCCATGCCAGCCTACGGTCAGCCCGCTTATGGTCAGGCCGCCTCTTACTCGCCCCAGCCTGGCTACCCCCAGCAGCCCGGCTACCCTCCCCAGCAGCCCTACGGTCAGCCCGGATACCCCCAGTCCCCTGCCCCCGGCGGATACTATCCCCAGGGTAAGGATCCTTGATCATTGCTGTCCGTGTTGTATTTTCGAGAGATTCTCCTTTGTACGACGCACTGACTGACAACAACAACAATGATTCTTTTCTTCTAAATATGCAGCCTCTCCCCAGCCTGTGATCATTCAGCAGCAGGCACCCCCACCCCAGCAGAACAGCGGCAAGGACGACATGTGCATGGGATGGTAAGTCACCCAGTCGACATGAGAGACACAAAGTTGATCAGCCGTTTTCTCTTCACGGTTCCAGCGGTTTAGTGTCAAGGGACAACACAGTGAGAGCTCTGTTTTATTTTGCGTTCCTTGCCTTCCCTTCCTTCCTGTCCTTCCATTGTGAACCACTTTTCTTTTTTTCTTTTTGTGTTTTCGAAATGGACCTAGAGGAGTGATGATGAGACAAAAAGGCAGGTCAGGCACGACAAGCAACCAGGATTATTGGGAATGGGACGCACAAAGAAAGACACATCAACAACAACAACAACAACAACAACAACAAAGAAAGGACGACTGTAAAGCCAGGGTGGATATGATTTAACTTGTTTTGGAGAGTGGCTGTAGCCATCAACAGTAACGAAAACTATGTGCATCCGACGTTTGTTCCCTTCCCTTGCTTTCTTCTCGTTGACTTGGCTTTTTGTTTCCCAAGGATTTGGCGTATGCTGTGTTACATTCACTCACTCGACAATAACAATACCGCCGATACGGATAACGATTGAAGGATTGGAGTGGGATGGTGCTCTCAACCCTGCAACCCTCCCTTGCACTTGCCCTGTCTCCCGATGAATGTTCCTTTTTTCATTCCTCATATACAGCACACCGTTCTACAGATACACATACACATACACACATGCTGCTCTAAATTCTACCTCTCCAAGAGGGTTGGAGTGGCCATGCACCATTTTGTTTTGTTCCGCAATGCCCTTTTTTTTTTTTTTTTTTTTTTTGGTTCCGCATGTCCTTTTTTTATCTCAAGCACTCACTCGGATTGGGTGGAAAAGGAGCGAGGGAGAAAGGGAGTAAAAGCAGGCTGTAGTGTTATCCTGGGCAGGGAAAGGGGTCACTGTTTTTGAGGCATTTATTTGTGTCTTGTCTCTCGCATTGTCTGCTGTTCTCTAGTCAGTCTACAAGATACTCTCAGAGATACCTTATTCACAGGCTCCATACACACACTCCCACACACAGAAATACTTCTTTCATCTACCAACAAACAACGCACAAACAGGCTCTCACCAGCGACAACGAAGTGCAAAATCGCAGCAGACTATCAAGTGACATAGAGAGAAGAAGCAAAAGGGTGGACGAAAAGGGGTTGAACGTGAATAGAGTAACGAGAGTGGGATCAATTCTCAGGGATAACAAAGGGACTGAAAGGGACAAGGGACCAATCCCTTCCGTCCATCTGCACGATGGGATAGGCAGATACTGCAGGAGAGAGAGAGAGAGAGAGAGAGAGAGAGAGAGACAGAGGAGATGGACAGATGTGAACAATGTGTATAAATGATAACTGATCTTTTTACTTGACCTCTTTTCTGTCCCTGACTATTTCCATCAACTAGTGCCCTCGGAGCATGCTTGTGCTGCTGTCTCGACGTAAGTTTCTTCTTCGTGTTCTCTCTTCTCGCCCTGTTGTCACTCTTCGTGGCGTTGTTCTTTCATTCATCCACAAACACCCCGGCTCCCATTCTGATTTTAGCTATTTTTGAATTAACATTGGTCTCACTTATTTCCTTGATTCATAATCTTTTAGGGATGCTGCTAAACAAGAAGCAAACAGGATTATCAAGCAACAACAGCAACACCAACTTGGCTACCCATCTTTCTCCGCTTTCCCCAGGCCCTGCCATCTGCACGGATAAAACGGATCATTCTTTTCAATGCTTCCGGAAGAGCCGGCAAAAACCAGGGTCTCTCTTCCTTTGATATCTATTACTTACCACTATTACTCGTATTGCCCCATCCCAATAAACCTATTCAACACCCATGAATGGTCCACGTGGACAAAAACAGGTACCTTTCGGTGACCCATGCTCTCGCTGAACCCTCTCTCGGCATTCAATTGATCCTGTTCGAGGGTTCTTCTAGCTGGATTGATGTCATAGTACTCCACAGCTGTTTCCCTTTTTTCCCTTCGATCCTTTCTTTTTTTGACAGTTGAGGTCAGCTGGACATTTCCTTTATCATCCTTGTTGATCCATTCATCTTCATCTTCATCTTTCTGATGGGAGAGGAAGAACGATGATACGAATTGCGTGCCTGAGAGTCAAGGGGTGAGAGACTGATTGGGCTGAAGCCAAGACTATTCCAGTGGGCAGCTGGGCGGAGAGGAGAGGAATGAAAAAAGGTATAGTGCGTGTGTTAATGAAAAGGGATGTCTGGCCCACGTTTTTTGAGGGTGCCTTAAAATTAGCCCTCCAAGTAAAAGTCGAGGAATGCTGATCTGTTTTACTTTGATGGAGGGATAACAAAACGACCAATACTGGCGATAGAAGGAGACGTGGGCCATACGAGTTTGAGTTCTAGGCTTTGCTTAGGAGACGCGTGCGTGCTCAAAGGAAAATAGGTGAACTACTTGTATGTGATTTTGACTTAACCACAGCAGGTTGTTGTTAATTGAGTGTTTTGTATCCATGGTAATGGTCGACTGTTTGTCGCTGTGTAACGAGTGTTCATTACCAGCCAGCCACAACGAGAAAGGGAGGAGGAGAGGACAAGACATGCTCTCTGCCTTTCAGTCTGTCTCTCGGTTGAGTGACGAGTCAAAGGAGGGTCCACGCGGTTCCCTGATTTCATTCCCAGAGACAGAAAGAGAGCCATTACTTAGCTTCTCTTTGAAGGTGTTGGTTGTGAGGTTAAGGTGCGTAGCTTACTTTTGTGTGCCTGAGAATGAGTGGGTCTATGTGAGTGTGCGAGTGTCCATTCTCCTCCATACATGTGCTCCCACATCCATCCTCCTGTTCCTTCTCCCAGTCGGTCAGTCACCCGCCCTTCCCTTGCTGCTTGCTGTTGTCCGTAACCACAACAAACCCTTTTTTACTCCTCTCTCAACTGCTCACAGCTGTTTATTAGTGTCCTTTCTTTCCTTCACTTTTCATAATCATCATCATCATCAGCACCCTCCTTCCTTTGCATCCATCCTCCTCCTCCATACCCTCCTTCCCCTTTACATCCTTTTATTTGTAACCCTTCGTAGTGTCTGTGTGGGCTATCAACACAGAGTCCACGACCATCCATCATTCATTTCATCCTCGCACCCATCTCAACCTCTTCGCAATCCAAAACAACGACCATGGAGGACACGCCGCCGACCAGCCCCACCTCGCCCATCGCTACTTACCAGGCACTTCCGTCCTATGTCCACCAACAGCAACAGCAGCATCAGAGGTATTGATATATATTCACTCAACAACCGAAGCAACACCTTATGGCACCCTATGCTCTCACGTTCAGGACAAAGTCAATGAGAAGCATAACTGTGTCTTCGTTCATTGTGCCTTTTTTTTTTTTTTTTTTTTTTTTTTTTTTTTTTTTTTTTTCGGGTCCCGCCCCACCCCGTCCTGTTGTTTCTGCCCTGAGTCCTGTTGTTTCTGCACTGAGTCCTTTTTTTTCCTTTTGTACTTTCTCCACCCACTAACAAGATAACCCTGTTTCGAAAAAATAAGCGAGCGAACGGACAGTGGATTTCTTGAACGGTCGGTTGGGAGACACAGGAAGTCAAGAGCAGAGGTAGAAAGAAAGGAGCAGTAACGGTTCAAGGAGTGAACCTTTAGCCCCAACTCTCACGCCCTTTGAGTGGAGTGGGGTCCTTTCTCCTTTTGTCCACTTTTTTTTTACCCCCGACAGAAGAACAGAAAGTGAGCAAAAATAAAGGTCCAACGCCAGGACAACAGGACGCACCAGTAGCAGAAGGGGAGAGAGACCCCTTACACACTCATTCGTCCTTTACTCCCAAACGGCCTATGGTCAATGGAACCGTCTAAAGAGAAAAGTACCGAAGAAAAGGAAGGCGAGGAAGAAGAAGGAAGAATAGGGGCAAAACGATGAAGTCAACTTGATCACTCGACCACAACGGCCTTTTCATCATCTCATTCTTCTCCCTCTTCATACTATTCTCCGCGTTTAATCTACTTCGACCCCTTCGTTCCTGTCACTAACGAACCCTCACTTTCCTCACTTACAACAAAAAAGGTCAAGGGTGCACTCGCCTCCACCGCCCAGCAAGAGCCCTAACACCAGCCGCGCGTTCGGACATTCGACCTCAGGAAACTCTTCCTATATCGCCAAACACTCGTCGTCACAGTCATCCTCCGCCGCTGCCCCTGGCGCAGACACAAGTATCAACAGCATCAGCAGCACCCACAGCTACAGCAGTCTCAACTCAAGCACTCAGGGATACAGCAACAACGTCATCCGGGAGGGCACCAGCATCGTCAGCAACAGCATCCTCAACAATACCATCAACCAGTCCATCGCTAACAGCTCCACAGGAGGAGGATTGAACAGCAACGACAGCTTCTTTGCCGTCAAACAGAGCAATATTTCGCGTGGAATCTCAACCAACCTCTTGACAACTAGTCCTAGAGCATCTCCCACCACCGCCGCCACCGCCCAACAACATCAGCAGCAGGACAGAGCGCCCAGCACCAACACGTCTCCCTCAACTTCCGGATCCATTACTCGTCCTCCCATGTCTTCTCAAAGACCCCGCGACAACATTAGCAGCAAGATTACTGGACATATCCCTTCGTTGGCCAACACTTCATTCTCTTCGGCTGAGTTTTCCGACGGCTCAATGACTTCTGGATCCATTGTTCAGAGTGTTACCCCAGTGCCATTGACGGCAGCACCCTCACAGGAACCCTCACCGGATCAAGGATCCGTCTCGTCAGTCAACCTGTCTGCCGCCAAAGGAACGACATTAGAGACGACAGCTCTCGTCACGGGAGCTGGAAACATTACCAAGTCTGCTCCATCTGGCTCGGACCAACACACCACCGCTGTTGCTGTATCTTCAGCGTCCGCTCAACCAAGCCAACAACGGTCGCAGCAGAACAACCAAAGCAGCTCCAGCAGTCATCATGCAACACATGGACACGATCGCAGTCATGGACGCCAAACTGAATCAACATCCTCGTCCAACAAGCACCGAACAAGGACGGAAAGTACCAAGGACGTCCCACGACCTAGTGCAACTGTTTCGCCCGCGCCCATTCCAGCCATGCACTGGACTCGTGCCAAGGTCCATGGGCAGATTCCACCCAAGGATCTCCGCGCTCAGACTGTCAACCTTGTTGGAGAATCTGTCTATGTCTTTGGAGGATGCGACCCCAAAAACTGCTTCAATACCCTGTACATTTTTGATGCAGGTAAGCATTTCTTTCTTTGGTTGGAGTGCGAAAAAGACGCGGTGGTTTTCCTTGGTTACTAGATCAGGATCTCATCTTTTCTGGTTTAAATTGCACTTTCTCCTTCCATATTAGATACCATGCACTGGTCGCAACCAAAGACATATGGATCTATTCCTCCACCTTGTCGCGCTCACTCTTCTACTCTTGTTGACAACAAGCGCCTCTATGTGTTTGGCGGTGGCGATGGACCTCAGTACTTTAACGAGCTCTATATGCTCGACACAGGTAAAACTTCACGGCACAATATGATCAATTGACTTGTTCAGATGAAGAAAACTATGGCGTTGACATATTCCACCTTGCCCTACAATGGATAGATACCCTGACGTGGACAAACCCACAGACAACTGGCAAGCGACCCCGCCGTCGCCGTGCTCATACGACCTGCGTCTATAACAATTGCATCTATGTCTTTGGAGGCGGCGACGGAGTTCAGGCATTGAACGACACATATCAGCTGAACCTTGCAGACATGCACTGGACGGAACTGAAGACAACTGGTACGATCCCCATTTCCAGAGGCTACCATACCAGCAACTTGATCAAGAACCATTTTATCGTGTATGGAGGAAGTGACGGACACGAGTGCTTCTCTGATGTGCACGTCCTTGACCTTGGTAAGTTCACCTTGCCTTTGTGTATGGTTGATGAAATATTTGTCATCACATGTTACCGGAAGACTGATATTCGTTGCACATGTTGTTGTTTTTTTATTCATGATAGAAACGAAGGAGTGGACAAAAATTGATATTAACAGGCCACTGCCAAGGCTATCACATACGGCGACACAAGTCGGATCTTACCTGTTTGTGATTGGAGGACATGATGGAAGCCGGTACTCGTGCGACGTGATGATGCTCAATTTGGTGACATGGTCATGGGAGACACGCAAGGTGTACGGCATCCCTCCCGCAGGACGAGGATACCACGCGTCGCTCCTGTACGACTCGCGGCTGTTCATGTTTGGTGGATACGATGGCCAAACTGTGTTTGACGACATTTACATCCTGGACCTGAGCACTTGCGCGTACTTGCCCCAAATCACCGACTTTCAAGTACTGAAGGATGGGCTGTGATGGGAGTTATCAATGGACTTTTTGGAATGGACCAACGATCCACCTTTGTTGGTCTAACTGAAAATGTCCCCGTTGCTGGTTGTTTGGTTGCTTCGTTCTAGATCGTGGGGACGCAACAATAACTCTTTGGAGTGCGACGAGATTAATAGGTCAGCCCAACACAATTAAAAAGTACAATTGACCGTCAAACACAACAGCCCTCTTGCATTTAATTCAAGCAGGGATCGAGAGCGTAAAGAGAAAACGAATGAACGACAGAAAAAGGGTGAGGTCTCCATTCATTGCTGAGCCCATTAGTCATTTTTTGCCACCATGTGTTCTGTTCAAGAGAATTCATATGTCCGAGTTCGATACTCCTTGTTGCAGGATGAAGGATTTACCTTCTTTAATGTGGTCAATCTTTCCATGCCATTCGCATTGAGCCCTTTTCGTTGTGGTTGCAGAGGATGGTTTACTTGAGCTATTTGCAGGTACTCAGCCACGATACAAGATGATGCCCGCATGGTCTTCCTTTCTCTCTCTCGTTATTGAAAATAAATGGCGTAGAAGGGCGTACTTGTTTGAGTATGTGTCCTGAATGTGTGGCCTGGCGTTAGTTGAGAGCAGTGCTAATTGTTGCATGTGTGTGAGCCATACTCTCCTGGTCAACTTTTCTTTCAACCTTTTATTTTTTCTTACTTTTTTCCTTTTCCTTTCCTCCATTCTTTCAACTTTTCACACAACTGCATTTACCCTTTCTCCCTTGGTTTTTTTTCTGCAGTTCGTCAACCAACCAAGTCAACTCAACTCAACTCAACTCAACCCCTTCACGAAATTCCACTCTCTCCTTGAACGATCAGTCAGGGCAACATCAAACAACGGACTCGACAAGCTTTTGCAACTCTCCTTGGAAAACACTGAACGACGCAGGTTGAACCACTTTCAACTCACCCACACGACGATACCAGCAGCAACTGCAAACGACCCTCTCCTTCTCTCTCTGCTCCTCCTCTTCCTCCTCCTCTGTCTCTTCTTCCTCCGCCGGCGCCGCTCTTCTCAACTACAGCACACATACCTCGGCTAACCGTTCACACATCAGCGCCACAACCCAACAATAACAACAGCCGAGCTTTCGACAGAAGGGGAGTGAAGAAAAAAAAAAAAAAAACGTCATGGGAAACGGCAACAGTCGGGAGCTTGAGGACAACTTCGACAATGAAGGCAAGCAAGGATGATGTCTTTTTTTTTTGCAGCTACCTTGTTTCGAATGAAAGAAGAAAAAAAAAGTGCTGGCAAGAACATGGTGGGGCTGATGCCTTTTTTTTTTTTTTTTCTCTTTTTTTTCTCTTTTTTTTTTTTGGATGAATTGAATAATAGTCAACCTGTTCCAGTTCAAGCTGATGCGAATCATCGGCAAAGGATCATTTGGAAAGGTAAAGCTACAGAGGTTGAGAGTGGCGTGTTGGGAAGTGGGACATGAGAAACCTCAGGAACAGGATACAAGTTCAGTTAGTCGGGGTCTCACATTACGGTGACACCCACTCGTTGTTGTGAAGAGATGATGAAGGGCCGATGGAAGAAGTCTGGAGGAAGTAATAGAATGAAGGTGTTCATCAGTGTCGACATACTCTTTCGCCTCTCAGGACTACGGGATAACAAAAGGAAGAAGGGAGGAGAAGCGTTATACCTTTGGTGTTTGTTGAACAGCGAAAAAGTGGTACGAAAGGGAACGAAAGTGAGTTTTTTGTGGCAATGATTTGTGGCTAACACTGTCAGTTACAACCACAACAACAACAACAGACCTCTACTGCTGTGCTTCAATTGATGGAGGGGTTGAGGACGAAGGCGATGATGATCTATCATGGACAAACATCGGGCATCGTTCAGTCACCAACAGGGCAGGAAGGCAATTTGTTGGGGAACAACAACCACCAACAACCACAAAGAAGGACACGGACTGCAGGAGAGCAAAAAGAAGAAACGTTTCTAACCTGAACCACTCCTCCCCATTTGCTCCTTTGAAACCAACAAAAAAATAATAATCAAATATTAAATAATTAGGTCCGCATGGTCGAACGGCGTGAAACAGGAACAGTGTACGCACTCAAGTACATCTCCAAGGCTCAAGTCATCAAAATGGAGGCCGTCAGGAACATTTTGAGAGAGCGGCAGATCTTAGAGTCGCTTGATCATGCCTTCATGGTCAACATGAGGTTTGCCTTCCAGGATGACGAGTATATGTACATGTGTATGGATCTCATGTAAGTACATACCTCTTGTTTCTTGGTTATTCGTTGCGGTTGTAGCCAGGAAGTGGGCCGGTTGTTAACTCACATTTCACGATCAATTTTTTTTTCACCGCATATTGCTAAATAGGATGGGGGGAGATTTGAGGTTTCATATGAACAGGAGGGCGTTCGGCGAGGATGTGGTTCGGTTCTGGATCGCAGAGCTATGTTCGGCTGTCAACCATCTTCATTCGCTCGGAATCGTCCATCGAGATATCAAACCCGACAATGTCCTGCTCGACGAAAAAGGACACGCCCATTTGACAGATTTCAACATTGGCTGCAAGCTGACCCCCGAAAAGCCCATTCTCACATCTCAATCAGGGACGGTCGCTTATATGGCACCCGAGGTCTTCAAGAGCGCTGGTTATGGCACAAGTGTGGATTGGTGGGCGGTCGGGATTCTGTTCTACGAATGTATTTACAACAAGCGACCTTTCCAGAATGAAAACATTCCCGAGCTCCGGCGAGCCATTGGAAATCAGACAATCGATTATCCTCCTCAGAAGGGCGTTTCACAAGATTGCGTGGAGGTCATTCAAGGGGTAAATCTCAAACGCTTGTTCCTTTATTGTCTATTCAATGTAATTCTAGAAATGTCGGGTTGTATTGGTTCTAACTCTCAATTCTTCTTGATTGTTCTCGAAACGTAGTTTTTGACGCGGGATCCCAATGAGCGTCTAGGAACTCGAGGTGGAATGAACGGTATCCGGCGGCAACCATTTTTCCAGATTGAAGCTTACAGGTGCAATATGAGACCTGAGCAGTGGTGGTACCTTCTCGAGACAAAGCAGCTCACGCCAGTGTTCCAACCACCAGCGGAGGCGGCCAACTTTGATGCGACCTACGATCTGGAAGAGATGTTGCTGGAGGATGACCCACTCACATATCGATCGACAAGGAAGAGAGCACTTCGACTGCACAAGGAAAAGATGGACGCTATGAGAGCGGAGGAAGAGCGACAGAGGGCTGCACAGGAGGCGGCCGAACAAGCAGAGGCGGAGGCTCAGGCAGCTATGGAGGCCATGAACCGGGAACTGGAGAAGAGCATACGGAAGATCCGCGGAATGTCTTTGCCACCAGAACCACGCCCAGTAACACCAACACCCACCCCCGCGGTCAGCAAGAAAAAGTCCAAACTTCTTTTCGGATCTGGTGGTGGCGATCAGGATGCTGCCCAACCGGTTGTCCAGATTCCACCACCACAACCTTCATCTAATTCTATGACGCAGGTGTCACTATCCTCGGAGAAGAGTCACACAGGTTCACAAGTTGCCCGGCAGACCCAATTTCAATCTATACCCCTGTCGCCCATCGACCCTACTGTTGGAGCACGCGAGCTACCACTGGTCCCTGTTCCCGCCATGCGGTTCCCTGTTTCGACCGTAGGTGGGGATCAATATCAGCCACCTCCACCTCCTCAGAACTTGAACCCGTTGGACCACCATCCTTCCTCCTACTACCACCGTCCTTCCTCTCCCTTTTCGAAACCAGTCGTAACCACCGCTGCTGTCACGAAGCCAGGTTTCGGAAACGGATACACCCATACTACCACAGGACCAGGAGCGGGACCAGGAGCAGGAGGTGGAGGAGGTGCAACAGCGCCCGGTGTCACCGCTGTATATTTTCCCAAATCGACATTAATTCCAAAGTTTGGCGACGGTGGAGATGCCTACGATCATGACCCTACAACAGGAGAGTCTGGGGCTTTGGCACCGTCGCCGTTGGCACCTCCTGCAGCGATTAGTCGGGGGTCGTCTTACGAGCGCGAGGCACAACTGCATCAATACTCTTTCCAGGCAGCAGCTGTGCCACAGCAAGCGATTTCGTCCCCTGTTATCATACCGACACCGCTAGAACACACCATCTCGCGGCATAAGCACATCCCTACACAGCAGGCACAACAACCTTTACTACGACACAGGTCCTCACAACAACATCTACCACCCCGGCGGCCCACAACTCCAACACCCGTCAATATCGAAGCTGCGGCCGCGGCTATGGCAGCAGCAGTGGCGGCATCCAACATGACGGACGAGGAGAAGTTTGCGTACCAGATGGATATTATTGACAGAGAGTTCACGACGTTTGACTATACGATCTTTGAGAGCTACCATGGGCTTGTGGATCCAGTTACGATGTCTGTGGGTGACCCGCCAGAGTGGGTGCGGAGTCGCGATTCGTGCAATTGAGGAATCAGTAGTCACGTGTTTTGCGGCTGGTAATAAATACGAGCACGTTTTCTTTCTGTATGCGCAATTTTTTTTTTCTCTCTTTTACCTTCTTTGCAAACCCACGCACACACACACGTACAAAAGGACCCCCCCATTCCACATGAACAATCATCAAGACACCGCCAAGGATGTCCCCGACCTGGGCGAAGCAACAGGATCCACCTCCGGCCCCAACGCCGACCACATCGAGCCTGACGCGAAACCCACCACCGAAAAAGGCCCCACAAAACGCGCAACACTCACGGAATCGCAGAAATACGCCGTCTGCGCATACATGCAAGACCAGTACACCACCCATTCTACCCACCTCACCAACAAAGCCGTCGTCCAATACATCGAATCCCATTACGGTCTCAAGGTGAATGAATCTACGGTGTCGAGGTTGAGGGCACAGTCGACGACGAGGTTGGCGCAGGGGGTTACTAACCCGGCGTTGAAGCGGCATAGGGCGGTTATGTTCCCCGAGTTGGAGGCCAAGTTGGTCGAGTTTGTCAAGGGGGTTGGACAGGGGCAGAGACAGAGGCAGGGGCAACAGCACGGCGGAGGAGTAGAAAACGAGGGGCAGGAAGGTGGAGGAGGAGGGGGGTTGCCGGATTCAGTGATTTTGGCGAAGGCGAAGGAGTTGGGGAGGGAGTTGGGGGTTGATCAAGAGGCGTTGAGGTTCTCGGATGGGTGGCTGTTCAAGTTCAAGTTGCGCCATGGTATGAGACCTGCCTCTGGAACGACGACGACAACGGCGTCTTCTAATTCTCTTTCGACGGCAGGAGCAGGGACGGCGGTATCAGGGGCAGGAGCGATTGTGGGAGGTTCAGGAACAGGAACAGGGTTTTCTCCGCGTGCGCCTGTAGTGGTGCCAACAGTGGCAGTGGCGTCAGGATCTGCTATTCCAGAACCACAGCAACAGCAGGAACAAGGGCAGGAGCAGAAGCCGGCGAGGGCGACGCGGTCAAAGGCCAAGAAACAGCGCATCGATGATGCTTCAGAGAGCAGCCTGGGCGGGACTTCTGGTAATGTCGAGGGTTTGGATATTGGGGGCATCAACATCGAGGAGGCCGCACCAGTAGCAGTATCAACAACCAAGGCCCGGAGGAAAAGCACTCGAAAAGGAACAGGAGCTCTTGTGGAAGATACGACGACAGCAGTGGCGGTGGAGGATCATACAGAAGTAGTGTCTGCTCGTGGTCGTCGTAAGGCAGGAGCTTCATCACGGCACAGGGATTCATTATCGACTTCCAATGAGCAGCACCAGCAGCAGGAGTTGTTGGATATGGGTCTGGACATGGATTTGGATTCGCATATGGGGATTGAACCAGATTTGGATGTTGATGAGGCCAGTATGGAGCAGCACTTGTCTGCAGCAGCGGCGGTTCGACAACATCATCAACAACTTATGCATTCTGCCAGTGGTTCTGCATCTGGAGGAAGTTCTGACGCGGTCTCTTGTCCGGTCATGCAGATGGAGATACTGTCCAAGGTCTATGGAACTGGATCCTCGATAGCTATAACGCCTGTGGAGCAGCATCAGCAGGAGCAGCTTCAGCGACAACAGCAGCAAACGCGGCAGCGGATGACACGCCAGCAGCAACAGCAGCAACAACAACAACAGCAGCAGACTGCAAATGACTTGATGGCGGGTCTTACATTCAACAATATGAGCAAGAATCACAAGTCGGCCGTGCCTGCTCACAACACTGGTGGAATAGATACTGCAGGACACTCCATCCAGGCGACGACCGCAACGGCAGGCAGTATGTCTATGGGCGCCGCCATGTCGATGGCAGCTTCGACAGCAGTGCCAGCTGCACAATCCCCACTTGCCGGGTTGGGATTGACAGGAGCGACACCTGCAGTCGGCGTTATCGGATCTCCTCCCACCGCCCCTCATCAACATCAGCACCTCCAACACCTCCAACAACAACAACAGGCGCAGACACAGGGACACCCAGTCCGGATCCCTCCACCCAAGACGGCGTCCAGGGCAGCACTGTCGTTGAGTATCGTCGACCCGGTTGCGGCGGCGTTCCAGCCTGATCCGACGATTGATTTTGATGAAGCGTCGCAGTGTGTGTACACGTTGAGACTTTTCATGCAGCAGCAAAGTTTTAGCAGGAACCAAGTCGATCAGCTGCATGCGATTTATTTGACCCTGGATTTAAAGCGCAAGGAGAGGGCCCAACAGCAACAGCAACAGCAACAGCAGCAGATGAAGGAGTAACGGGAGCTTTGTTGACAGAGACATATGACGACTTCATCTATGTTGCTGGCCCCCTTTTTTTTTGTTTAGTTTAATTTGCTCCGCCCTTGTCAAAAACCACGCGCTTCCTGTTGTACATATCTACTCGTCCACTTTTTTTCTTCATGTACTCTTCTTTTTCTCTTGCAAGAATTCGACTAAAAAAAAGTGCATACGAACGTCAATTGAAGGCGGAGTGAGAATCCAAGAATGCAATGGTTTGTTCTTTGAAGCCTTCACCTTTTAATGGGTCAACAGCGTGCATTCTTCATATAAAAACGTGTCGCCTTGTTGTTCTTTTTTTCTTTTTTCTTCCCCATCAAATGGTCCCTTTCCATCCTACACCTACACTCCATTCCTCATTCTCCTCACTACCGTAATGTAGCCTTCCACCCCACCACCGCCTTGTAGTCCGTCACCACTACCGCTGCCGCCCCTTAAATATGACACTCCCGTCGGAACCTCCCCTCCTACTCCCTATCATCCTTATCCTCATGCCAGTATCGATTGGGTATCTTCTTATTCGTCGCGTTTGCAGCACCGACATCGTCATATCACCGTCATCCAAAACGTGATCCCGCAAGACGACTTTCCGATCCTTATAACCCTAGCGGCCCGCCCCCTGATCGTCTCTCCTTCCCGCTCATTCCCTTAACCACCTTTACGACAAACGTCCCAATCGATTCGCCGCGCTTCGCATCAGTAGCCTGGCTTCTTTGGAACCCTCTGCCAAGTGGTCTACGCCGTTGAACAGATATCGACCTCGTACCCCTCCCTCTCCTTCTCGTTCCCCCGCCCTATGTCCTTCCATCCTTCCTGAGACGTGACACGTCATTAACGTTGACTCATCGGGCCGTAGGTGTTGTTCCCTATCTGGCACAAAATAAATCGACGTAGTACGGTTTCGAGTATCTTTATCCGGGTGCGCCACGCCATCGATCCTTTTTGTCGCCTGATTGTTGGTCATGCATTAAACGAAAGCTCCTGGATCCCCCTTCGTCCACCTCCTCCTGCGTCGCCCTCCTGCCCATCCATCCCTTCCATTGTGGAGTCATGTACCAAGGTCGAGCCGGTCGGATCGTCGTGGTTCTTGGCTTCACAAAAGCTGCCAGTCCTTCGTACCCAACAATAAATCCGGGGGGGGGACCGGTTCTTTTTATCGCATGGCTATCGGTCACGCTCTAAAAACAAGGAATTCATCCCGCCACCTCCTCCCAGTCGTCGTCGCATTCGGGCCTAGTCTTTGGACATGATTACAAGAATGCCCCCTGATGTTTTAGTTTTCCCTTTTGGTGTTGGTGAAGCCTTTCTTTTTTCTTTCTTGCGCGCTATATGATGTTATTATAATTTTCTGTGTACCTTTTCTTTCCTCTTTTTCCTGTTGGATGGCTAGGAGGTCTGTGGAAGGCGAAGTCAAGCAGTGCAAGCCCTCGTTTACGCGTCTCGAGCGCGTGGGAAAAAAAACGGATGGTCAAAACAGCAACAAGTTCGCGCTCGCGGTTCGCTTATCACTCTGTGTCGATGGTACTTGGTGAGACAAGTTGGATAAAGCTTACTAGTGCGGGGAGTTGCTACTTTACATAGAGAACGAGGTAGAGGAGGAGGAAGAGGGAGATTAGTTGAGTTGGGTGGACCCTCTGAGCAATTGTCTTTTGTACCATTGTGTTTTCGACAGAAGCAAGCCTTTTTTTTTTTTTTTTTTTTTTGGCTACTTCGCACATCATCTTGTTCCTGGCTAGATATAAAATGAACTTGAGTACCTGGCTGCTCCTCTTGCGCCAAGGACTTAGCCCAAACAGGGTCTGGAACAGTCTTAATCTTTTTCAGTCTTTCAAATCTGTGAGTCGAAAAGAGCGGCCCGGGGTGGGTGTGAGGCGCTTCGGTGAGGACAGATGAATCCAATGATCCATTGCGTGGCAAGGCTAGATGGATAGATTAAAACCCCAATGCGACAAGTCCGATAAGAAAAATCAGCAGCATGTGTACACAGGTGAGGGTACTTGTGCCTTAACAATTGGCATTGCGACATCTTATTTTGGAGTGAACAGCGAATGGAATTGTGTGTCCAGCGAATCAGAGACGTGGGAATGGGCGTGGGCTGTCACCGGTAAGGTACTCATTTTGGGGGTCCAGCAAAGGTTATCACTTAATGGAAAGGGCAGACAGGGCCCTCGGAGCACATCATTTTCACTTCTCTTCCCTCTCTTTTTCTCCTTTCCCCCCTTGTCTGCCTTCCTCCTTATTCTATTTCGCCCTTTTCTTTCTGCTTCTTACTCCTCTCTTCTTTCTCTGTTCATTCTCACTCACCCTCCGGTTTCCCACTTCTCCTACGTGGAATACCATTACTCTCTCACCTAAACAACGATCCCAAACTGTTTCTCACATACTCACAATGGATTGCAACTGGTGTGCGGTGTGCTCAAAGCACTTTCACTGCGATAATGTAGGTATCCCTGGTACTCGAGAATGAATGAATGAAAGTGAACGAGGGTTGCAATAAGCAGCAGGAATGAAAGGACAAAGCATTTTAACACTTTTTTCTTTCCCTCTTTATTACCCACTTTCATTCAGCAAACAAGCCTGTACTGCTCGGATACTTGCCGAAAGGCGGATGCACTGGCCTGCTGTGCTTTCCACGACTGCGACCACCCGGACGAGTCCACCCACCATGACCATCTCACGTTCTGTCACCATCACCGACCGGCCATCCGCATCCCGGTGATGATGCCCCTGTTAAACCTCAACCCGAACCCGTCGGCTGAGCAACAAGCCCATGGACAGCAGCAAACAGATGAATGGATGCGCTTCCTGCAACAACAGTATAGCAGCCCTTACAATGCCCATCCTGCCCACACGTCCATGATTCGTCCGGCAATGTCTGCGGGTGCCCCTGGTGTTACTGCAGTTCCCGGTGCTACGAATATGGCTGTTGGTCGTGGTCAGTTGGCTGTCGGTCATGGCCAGAGCCATTCCTCTCATCGGAACAGCCACAGTCACCACTTCCACCAAGCGACTCCTCATCATCACCATCACCATCCTTGCTCGGCCCCTGTCCAGTTCTCTCAACACCAGCAAAGGTCGTTTCTACTGTCGAGCGAGCTCCCCGTCATCCCCTGCCAGGAACTCCAGCAACGTGCCCAGTTCCTTCGGCAACAAAAACCCGTCGCGTCTCACTTTCATCAGAGACATTCATCGCAAACTCTCATCCACCACGGGTCAGCTCCCGTCAGCAGTTCTGGTTGCGGTATTGGAGAGTGTCATGAGCCTCATTATGAGACGTCGGTCTTCTTGCCCTCGTCGTCGTGTTCATCGTCGCTGTCGCCATCCTCGCCTCCTTTTATCCCATTTCAGACAAAAAGGAGCTCCTTTAAGGGTGAGGGTGAAAGAGGGGTTGTTATACCTGCAGCAGCAGGGACAGGGATGGAGTCAATCACGCCATGTGAGGCAGCCGATTGCGAACAACCATGTGTGATCCGCAAGAACAAGGTCCTCCCTCCTCCGACATTGTCCCCCCTCTTGCCCGTTACTATCTCGAACCCTGCTTCGCTGAGCCCAACTTCACCAACGGGGGCCCACCCTGTCTCGCCTACCCTCTCGTCTATTTCATCGTCGTCTTTAGGGTCGTCGTCGTCGGGGTACAGTGATGAAGAGGACTCGGAAGACGCCTTGTCGCATGCTTGGCCCAAGATGGACCAGTTCTTTTTCCCAGACCACTGCTGCCGCACCTCTGCCTGTGGAGCCGCCCCTCCGGGCCGCAGCAACAAAAACGGCCGAAAAAACAATAACTATACCAACAACGCCAACAGGAATGCCAAAAAGGAGTTTGTCTCAGAGTTGCCCCCTCCACCCAACAACAAACACCTGATCCATCGGCACGACGAGACCGGTACCGGTGGTGGAGGAAACAGTAATGATGGGTGTATGACTCTCTCAGCTTCGATTTGGGGCACCGGGTGGCATCAGGTCGAGCCATTGCCAGCGTCGTTTGTCAAGACATTGAAGGCGAGTAATATCATGTGGTCCGGGTGTGAGAAGGAGCACCATCATCACCACCATCGTCACCACCTCCATCAGCATGGGAGGGGCCAGCACCAGCAGAACCGTGGTCGTCGTGATTCTGGCCATTACGGCGGTGGCGGTGGGGGAGGAAGAAGGGGTTCAAAGAAGGATCAGGCGAATGATCCGAGCTCTTGGTCGACTATTTGTCCCAGCCGCCTTCCTCGCAGCCTGCAGTTCATCGATTAAATTGGATAGGGGCTGAGAGTGTATACCTGCAAGGTGGACGTGGCGGGATCTTATGTGCAGTGGTATGTTAGCAGTAGTAAGCGTACAGTAGTAGCATCGTTTCAAAGTAGTAAACAAGTTTTTTTTTCAATTGCAATTGAAATTGGTTTGGTGAGCACGGAACCCGCATCCATGCATAGCACGCTGTGGGCCCGTCTGCTTATTTTTATACTTCCTGGAGCTCTCTTTTTTCCTGTTTTTATTTCTTCTTCCTTAGTTCAGTTCCTCTTGCTCCCCTTCCGCCCAACCCCAACCACTCGAACAACATTCGCATCCCCTTCCGCCCCTTCCTCAGTTCTCGTTTGATTCAAAAACTCTCCATTCCTCACTTCCTTCTCCGACACTCACCTCCCTTAACACTGACCTACCATCAACCTCTACTCGACACTTACAGAACCTCAAATGACTCCAGAACGACTATTTCACGACCCTGAACCACGGGATTGGAACCGCGAACTCATCTCGGCACCATTGGTCACAACTTACAGCCTCAGGGCCCTCATCGACTCGCCGCAATTCCACCAAAAGCTTGTCCTTCCATCCGGGTAGGTTTCCCTTCTCATTCCAGCGTCACATTCGTCCTTGGCAGCAAAGAAGAAGAAAAAAAAGTTCAAGAGAGGGTTCAAAGGGATGGAGAGAAGGAAAACGTGCGCGACGTTGTAAAGGCTTACAAAATGTTTTTTTTTTTACTTTAATTGCTTTGATAGGCGGACAGTCTCGTATACGACATGCGGGTCAAAGACAGGATCACTCGCATTGTACTTTTACGGACTGGGCGGGAGCAGTCGTCAAATTGCAAGCATGCACGCTCAAGCAGTGCGGTTAGACCTTAAGCTGTTGAGCATTGACCGACCTGGAACAGGATATACAGACCCATACAAGTCGTCTTCTTTGAGCAGTCGGAAAAAGGAAAAGACCAGGACAAAGTTGACGAGGAACGGTCAGGGTCTCAACCAGAGGAACGTTAGCGCCGGGGCCACGTTTGATGAAGAGGAGGATGAGGTGGACGATACTGTGGCGACGGCGTTAGGAAGTAATGATGAGGGTACCAGCAACCAAGGCGACAGTGAATTGAGCGAGGGTGCACGAAAGTCCTCAAAGCGGCGGCGGTGGACCCTAAAATCAGGAGAAAAGTCAAACGACGGCAAAAAGTCGCGCAAGGTCAACAAGCGGGTGATACACACCTGTCTCGAGACTCTGGCGGTGGTCGATCAATTGCACCCGGGGGCTCGGTTTGGAATGATGGGTCACTCCTGTGGGATCTACTATATCATGCAGATGCTCCAGCTCTGTCCCGAACGCATCCAGCGTGGCCCCATTACCCTGCTGACACCCTGGGTGCCCTTCAACGAGTGTCCCGAAACGACCAGTCGATCGTTCAAGTTCCTCAAGCATATCCCTCGAGGTTTGGTCTGGGCGGTGACCAGCTCGATCAACCATCTGGGCTCGGTGATATTGTCGTCAACCAATGCGATCTCGGGGTCGCTCTCGAACAAGACTCTGGCTGCCGATAATGCATCCGAGGCCTCCGTGATCGACCACAGCGGTTCTTCCGGTAACGGCAACACCAACGGAAATAGGAGCGGGACGAAAACGAAAAGGCCAAGCAGCAGCAGCGGCAGCAGCAGCAACAGTCTGAACAGATGGAAGAAGCAAGGCAGGAAAAAGGATCACAGCCCGACAAGGAGCGACGACGATGGAGCGATCAACTTTGAGCGCAGGCCTGTGGACCCATTCGTCCTGCAGTTCTCGGAGGCGTTTGACAAGATTTTGCTGCCTGCTCTTGTCCAGGACATGGTAAATATAACCCTTACTCCCTCACTCCTGCCCCTTTCCCCTGCCTGCCCCTTCCCCTTGACTCTTTTTTTTTTTTTTTTTTTTTTTGGTCTTTTTGTTCATTTTGCTCAGTCTTGGAGCTCACCCCCTTGTTTTTTTTACGCAAATGTTTCGATTGATATTATTTTTTTTGTTTCTCTTATGCGCACGTGCATCTAATGCCTTATTCCATTTCCTTCTTTGCCCCGTCAATTCTAACCCACTCCTTATCCTATATTTCACCCTCCATACCAACAACGATCCAGAACCGCCAACACTCCAACGGCTACAACTCCGAGATCCAGATGTGCATCTCAGACGTTGGCTTCGATATTTCAGATGTAATCATACCGGACGGAGTCACCATCAACGCGTACTGTGGCCATCTCGACAACATGGTCCCGATCGAGGCTGCAAGGGAGATGGGTGCAAAGTGTGGCTGGGATATCCACGAGTTCAAGTTTTCGGGACATGGCGGGCCGAGGATGTATATGTATGCGATGGAAGATTATGCGCTCGAGATCCAGGCGATTGAGAGGGCTAGAACGGATAACGAGCAGCGGTTTTCTGAGAAGAGTGTTTATTCATACCATCTCTAGTTATCTCAGCTTTTTTTTTTTTGATATTCACTCTACCACATCTAAATTACCATCTAATTAACTAATACATGTCGGGCACTGCTGCTTACAAAAAAAATGTATGTCTATGGTTTTCTATTTTGTCATGGGTGATATCTATATGCACTACGACGCTACCTAATCTGCTTCTTCTTTTTGGGGGCAGAAGCGGCTTCGACTCTGGCAAGGTTATCTGGAGCACCCCAAAGTCCCTTAAAAAGATCCTTCTCGAGCTCTGAGACTCTTTCAATACGCTCATAGTCCAGTCCAAAGCTGACGATCCGCTTCATGGCCTTAACAGCCTCCACACATCGCCTTGCTCCTGTGTTCTCATCCTGTCCAACACCAGGAGCTCTTTCCCAGACATATTGCTGCATATACTCGCTCGCACCCTCAACAGCCTTGCCGACTGGACTAACAGCTTGCGCGAACCCCAACTTCACAGCCTCCTCTCCGCCACGAATCGGTTCCGCAGATCCCAGAAGCCGCAATGCCTGAGACCGAGAGACGAGGTTCAAAAGCCGACTGGCACCACCCCAGCCTGTAACAACACCCATCTGTGTTTGGACGAATTGGACTTTGGCCTGGTCAGTGATACAGCGATGGTCACAGAAGGTTGTCATTTCGGCGCCGCCTCCGATGGCGGCCTTTTCGATGGCAGCGATGGAGATGAGGGGGAGGCGCATGAAGCGAGTGAGGGTTGAGACCATGAGGGCGGACATCTCCGAGCCTGCTTGGGGGGTTAGGAGGGTTGTCTTTGCGGCGGAGAGGTCTATTTTGTGTTAATGAGAGAAATTTCATGTTAGTGGCGCCTTTATTATTTTTGCAATTGATCCCCCTGCGGGAAGGGTAGGGTAACAAGTTTTTGAGAGAAATGTACTCTTACCAAGTCCGGCACAGTAGGACTTGTGTTGCGAGCCGGTGACAATAACACCCACCAACCCATCCTTCAAAGCCTTCAACGACTCCTGATCCAGCCTTTGAACCGCCATACCCGCCTTCTTCAACACGACTCCCGACTCCTTCAACAACTCCCTCAAGTCCTCCTCCGTCGAGTCTCCTTGCTTGCGATCAGTGACAGCCTCAAGTAGATCCACACAATCCGCCAGCTCAGCCATCATCTTGCCTGTGAGGGCATTGTGTTTCTCGGGGTTGGTTAATGTCAGGAGCGCAAGTCCAGGGGAATGGTGGAGGTCGAGTTCGATGTGGCCTTGGCCAAATGTCCGGAGTTTTGCGCGGAGTTGGCCTAGTTTTGTGGGGTGGTGGATCTGACAGGCGTAGGTGCGGTTCTGTTGGTGATGAGGGGTTGAGGTGGTGGTGAGGAATGAAAGGGTAGGGATGGGGGTCTTCCAGGAGGAGGCGGAGGCGATGGAAGTAATCCTGGGGAGATGACGAGCAAAGGTGAATGTGCGGAGCATGGTGGCCAGATGCGACGTGTGGGTGTGGGTATGGGTGGGGTTGAGAAAGTGACAAGTAAAAGAGAATCCCTTGCTTTGCAACGGAAAGTGTGTCCGTGGGAATCGATCGAGCAGCTTTTTTCTCAGTCACATTTTGAGTTTTTTCACACTGGAAAGTCGTTTGGGCTGACCACCCTCTACTCCACTTCTACCATCGACACCAATCCAGCCAGCTCCCCCCCCCCTCTTCATTCTCTCCAACACCGATTACTCGACTTCAAGAAGTCTGGCGTACGGGACAAGGGTGACATTTACTGGACCTGCCTCGAATGAGCCCCACTTTCCTCGTCGCCATGAAGACCACTCAGGCGCCAAGTCAAAAATTAAACTCGAGAGCTGCAACCAGCGACCTGGTGTATCACTTGGAGCAAGGACAACAAAAACAACACACGCGACAAGGACCCTTGCAATCGCCTTTGTAAACCAAGAATCTTGTTTGCATTCGACGACACTTACACCTATTCGCTTTTTGCTGTTTACCTAAGACGAAGGCTGTCTTTACCATATCGGAAGCTCAACCTTTGGCACGTGGAACTTGAATCTAGCTCGGTGGCGCGACCTATCGGGCCTAGCCCACCATCCCATGCTGGGCTAAGACTTTAGGGTCCATAGGAGCTTTGGGCAGCTTCGGCGCCTTCCTCTGTGGATTATGGTATCTTTTACTTTTCCTTTCTGACATTAGTCTTGCACAGCAACTAACCCTCTCTCTCTTGCTCGCTCTCTCTCCTCCCTTTTTGTTATTTTCTTAGACACCAACAAGCGCCTCTGTAAACCGAACGATTGCAATGGCGACTCCTGCAAACAAACCCCCGAACTAAGACCAGCGCAGGTAAGTTGTTGAGATCTGATAGGTACTGACATGTAGAACATAATTAAAAAATACACGAAACCCCTATGGTCTTTCTATATATTTCTATCAAGTTAACTCAAGTGGGATGTGCCAAATAAGCTCATCTTTTTTAGCTTTGATCAGTAAGACATCGTTCCTACTGGCACTCTGATCACCCTGATTAAGTCCTACTTGCCTTGGCGAGCTACACTTGCTCTTGGCACTCGATGGGTGCACTCTCATTGCCGCAGCAGTAAGTGCACAGCAAGGACGATCAATGATACGCTCTAACTTGGATCAATGAGCGCGAGATGAGCGACTTGGTCACAAACTCAACATGCATTCTTCTCTCCCTCGCTTGGTGGAGTTTATCACCACGGCCGCCTTACTTTTTTGTCAAAACACATATATTTTTGACTCCTCTTCTTTGCGCTCTGTTCCTTCTTCCTTCTTTACTCTTTCTTTCTTTCTTTCTCTTCATCCAGCCTCAGCGCCACGACCATACCAACACTTTGCGACCATACCCTCACCCACAGCACACAAGCACAAGCATAATGCAAATCTTCGTCAAGTGTCTCAACGGCAAGGCCATCAGTCTTGACGTCGCGTCGATCGATACCATCGAGAGCGTCAAGAAAAAAATCGAGGCCCGGTTGGGAATCCCACCAGAGGAGCAGCGGCTCATCTTTTCCGGAAAGCAGCTCGAAAACGGCAACATCCTGGCCGACTACAACATCCAGAAAGAGTCGACCTTCCACCTCGTCCTCCGTCTCGTCGGCGGCGCACAGATCTTTGTCAGGTCGATCTCTGGTCAAGTTTTGAACCTCGAGGTTGAGTTGTCGGACCTTGTTGATGATGTGAAGCAGAAAGTCTTTGACAGGTGGGGTTATCCCCCAGAGCTACAGCACTTGGTCTTTGCGGGCAAGTCTCTCACGGGGGGAACTCTTGCGGATTACAAGATCCAGCGGGATTCGGCACTCTACTTGATCGTCCGTGTCCGTGGTGGTCGTGATCTCTAGATCAACCGTCCCTTCTTTCCTTCCCCCTCATGGTTGGGATAGCCCTCTCGTGCTTTTTTCACCCGAGGATTCCTTAAAATGAACAAGGAATGAAATAAAACCATTTTTGCAGAGCCAAGGAAACAATATGCTCGTAGTTTTCTTGTCCTTGCACTCTTCAGAGTTGAGACAACAATCTTCTTCCGGTTCTTTATTCCGTTACAGTCGACGTTCTTGGGTCAGCGTGCTTGTTTTTCCTTTAAATCAACATGCGTGTAGAAGGTCGCGAACAAGCTCTGTATTGTAGCTTTTTGATCAGAGAAATTACACTCTTGCTTTCCTGCATCAAAGGTTAGTTAATTCTTATCTTCTTCCTGGACGAAAAATGACGTCTGAACTAGCGCTTCTCCACAAAGGGATCTCTTGTCGCTAACTCTTTTCTTTTGTTCATTCTTCTCTTGGAAAATAACGAAGGAAAGCACCCCAACCCAACCCAACAGACACAAGGATTAACCCTCTCAACTACCTCCATCTCAGCTTCTTTCCCTACTTTGGTTACCGGACCCAAAGCTTTCCCCTGTCGCCTTGACTGTTGTAGTCTATCGACCCTTCCTTGTTGTCCCAGACCTTAGGAGGATCTCCATGCCCACAGTACCCTTTGATATTTTCGCCGGTAATTGGCGTATGGCAAGTACCCATTGGGCCCATTGGCGCTCTCTACTCTATGGTTGAGGTTGTATAGTACTCCATCTCCCATTTTGTGTAGTTGAAAATGCCTCGGTAGACGCCCCATTGCTTAAGACGAATGTACCGTCAAATTGGCGATGATAACCTTTTGGATGCCTTCCTTTAACTTTGAACGTTGTATAGCAACGTTGAATAATAGGAAAGTGCAACTATGCCATGGCATTCAAGATGCTTATCGCCGCAAAGGTAATACCTCTTGGCAGTGAGAAGTAGCAATGCATATGGGAGACTTTTTCGTTAAAATGGGGAGGGTATACTATGTCGAACGCATTGAGGTACTTGCTATACTTTCCATACGTTCGGCCATTAACAATCCTTTGCATGCGCTTAACTGAGGAGCTTCTTTGCATTTGCCTTGCGCTTGAACGGTCGCCTTAGCAAACCCGCTCGCTGGTATCACCTTCGATTCGGAGGTCGCTGGTGCTGATGTCTTTGACTTTGGATAAACAATCGTAGAGTTGTTCGCTTTTTTTTTGTTCGGTTCCATAGTACTATTTTCAAAGAAATGACACAGAATAAAAATAGATGTACGTACAACGAATTGACGAAGAAAAAGTGATATGGTGCATGGTTTCACTTCCAGTTGACAGTGTGGGACACGTTTAAGAGGAGCACAAAAGGTCATTTTGAGATCGTCGTTCCCTCAAGTTGAAACTTGACCTCTCGCGTGCAAGAGACGGCTAAGCAAAAGAAGATGATCCTAATGGTGCCTGTATTCGTTCACGAATAGTAAAAGTTCGCGCTCAGGAAATTTATAACTCCTTGTCATGGATTGGACTCTCGCGTTCCACTCGTTAAAATAGCGAATGCAGTATCCCTTCGAATGTCCCTATTTTTTTTGGTGGGGAAAATCAAGCCGTCTTTTTGAAAGCCAATCGCATCAACAACACCCCTTATTGGGGAGTGAACCCTACCCAACCAACAGTCAAGAGGCCCTGAGAAGAGCCTAATAAAGTAAACACAAATGAGCGCTTATTTTCCATGCAATTCGACCCTCCCACCATTCACCAATCACCATTTGTTCAGTGTTGTCAAAATAGCGGTGCGCTTGATGTCTTGAGGTGCAAAGTTACCGTTGGAGATATTGGGGTATATAGTGCGGATAAGTTGGATCTCGTGCTCGTTGTTGAGATTGGATCCATATGGCGTAAAAAGGATATGGTCGGAATCCTGATATAATCATCAGAGTCGTCAAATGAATATGTCTGCTCCTTGATTTCACCCATATGTAGCAAAAAATCGACAAAGGAAAAAGAGCTGCTCTCGTCCGCCTTGACTCGCATGTTGCGAGTTAGCTTGAGTGTCTTGACCTTGGGCCAAATGGTGCCAGACATTTTTGACACATGCGCCCTCGATCTGAGACTGAGATCCATGAACAACCACCGGCAACACCTGTCGAAAATCGCCACCAAACACGACAATCTTTCCGCCGAAAGGAACCAAGGGTCGATCCATAATATGTCAAACGACCCGGTCCACCGACTCAAAGATATGTCGATGCATCATGGGTACCTCGTCCCAGATGATGAGGTCGGCCGCATGAATAATGAATCTGACTTGTTGCTCGCGGCTAATATTGCAGGTAGAGTCTTTGAAAACTGGAATGGGGACCTTGAAGACAGAGTGTGCAGTGCGTCCACCATAAAGGATCAGAGCTGCTATACCAGACGACGCGAAGACAACAACATTACCTCCCATAACACCGCTGATTTGTTCAATCAGTGTGTTGCAGAGAAAAGATTTGCCAGTGCCACCTGGCCCGTCAATAAAATAGAGGTTGGTCCTTCGGTGGCGGATGGGTATGGGGACGGAGACGGAGGCGACGATTTTGTCAAATATTTCCCGCTGCTCGACATTCAAGACTTGAATGTGGGAACCCGCCAGCTTGGCGAGCTCTTCACGCGATTTTTCGCTGTGGTCGGAGGCGGACTTTGGGATGTAGCGGAGAATGCTGTCGCGGATGTCTTGTGGCATAGTGGGGAAGGCGGCTAGGGAAGAACCGAGTGCCTTGAGATTGGAGTCGATGGCCCACAACACATTCTTCATCGCCTCGATCTTGATGTCGTCATCTGGCTGAAGGCTGTCGTTCTCCACATTTTTCTTTCGACCAAAAGACAGGATGTCATCGTACATGTAGATGGCGTGATTGTCCCAGAGCTTCCGGGGCTCAGAGGGAGCACAGTTCACCAAGATGACGCAAAAGAGATGGCGAAGCGACTTTGAAAACTTGAAAGAAGAGGCTTCCTTAAGGCAGAGATCCCACTCACGGTCGTCTTCCAGAAGGTGGAGGGTTAGGGTGGCGTCTCGGAATGTATCGCAGAGGGTGTTATTGACGGTACGGAGACGTTCAAAGCTGGTGGCACCCTTGACATTCAAAAGGAGAGCTCGGAGACAGAATCTCTCGCCGTCCTTAGGGTGGACAAAGTAGATCCGGGCAATCTTGAAGATGTCCTTGTTTTTCCTCCTGTCCCACTTGCGATTGTTTTGGTCGCAGGTGTAATGCTCAGGAATCTCGGCGTATGTATAGTTATGAGCGTCCTTGTCCTCTTGGTTCAGCTTGAAGTAGGCTATCAGCTGACTGTCATTGTTACGGCGGGTGACATGAAGCAGATCCGCATTTTTGTTAAAGGTGACGTTGTGCTGGCCTGGGAGATGGACCTACAGACGTTGCACAACAGACGAATGACCGTACAAAGGATATCCGAGGATGCGCCACATGCTCTCATGGGCAGAGAGGTATCTCATATCGCGAAATTCACGATTCTCGTTGCGTGGAAGATCCTAATATACAAACGACGGTTAAAAAATATGTAGAGAGTGAGAAAAATAGTAAACAAGGAGCTGCAATGATCAGGCTTCCAAAAAAATGCCAAAAGAAAATATCTCCTTGCTTGCTACAGTTTTCTGGTGTGTAGTGACTGAGCGTTGACCAGTGGTGGCAGTGCTGGACCCTGTAGTGGTGGTTGTGGCGGAGCTAGAGCTTGTTGCAGTAACTGTGGCAGTGACGGCGCTGGTGCTGGTGCTGGTGCTGGTGCTGGTGGATGCAGAAGACAACGATGAAGATTGGTCAGTGGACGCAAACAGAAGACTCTTCTCTTTTTCGCGGGCGATCTTGGCTCTGCCGGTTCCTTGTGAAAATGAAAAATGAGAAATGAAAATTTGTGTAAATCCATTGATGATTTGACTTTTATGCTGCGGGACCATTGTTTCTTCTTTTGATTTGATAAAAAAAACGCAAGATCAAAAGACATATGTTATGGATGTACTTGTACAAATATTCACCGCAGAGACCGAAGAACATATCTCGACATTGATATGGGCGTTGTACTTGGTTGCCAGCCAAAGGTTGTGAGGCATGACCCAGCTATTGTCGATCTCTGTTTTCTCGTTGAGCATGTAGGACACACACGGTCGTCGACGGTACCTTTCAGGAGCGCAAAATCGCATTATCGCTCTATATTTGCGCAGCAATCCATCCATCAGTCTGTACCTCTTGCATCAGTCTGCACCTCTTGGCAAAATCCTTTTTGTTTTCCTTCTTTATTTCGTTCTTTCTTCCCTTCTTCCATAACCCCCTTCCTCCCTTCCCCCTCCTCTATCACCCGCACCCTTCCCTCCTCCAACTTTCTCATCAAGTTAAACCTACACTTTCCCATATCTCCTTTACTCCACCTTCCCCTCAACAACATAATAATCAACAACTATGGAGCCAGACTCTAGCCAGGTACAGATCCAGATCCACGAGCTTGCCTCGCCTCTTGTATTTTTAAAGCCATTTTCTACTGCGATTATCAGACTCGTATTCACACCTCATTCATTCTTCTTCAACTCTTTTACTTTCACCTCAGGAGGAGCACAGATTGAGCATGATGGAACTGAACTCAGAGAACAGGAGAGCCCACAACGAATTTGCTACAGCTGAGATGTCAGATGTTGACAAGGTATGCTTTGCTTATTGTGTATTCACTGCCTTTGCTGTGCTGCTCTTATTCTGCCGACTTTGTCTTTAAAAAGCGGGCACTGACCAGTAGCATTTTACTTTTAAAAATTCGTATTGGTAATAGGGCTGCTTTACTACAGGGCCGCTTCGCTATGCAGTTGACACGGCATGGGACCCCAGGACAAGAATACTAGGAGAATCATTGCAGGATCCTGCAATCGCCCAGAAGTTTGAGAGTGTCGCTGAAGACTCGTTTTTCAAAAAATCGTTCGGGGGGCGCGTCGAATCGATCATCAAGGCCTTGGCCCGCGCAGACCTTGTCAAGGAAGACTTTCCTTTGACCTGCCCCTTCTCTGTACTTGCACACGTCATCAAGAAAGATCTCCTGGACCCAGCAACGAGACTCGAGTCTCTCCCACTGTTCCTTGGCGTCGGTTCTGGCGGGCAGTGCGTGACTGTCTGGCCAAGAACAGCTCTCTGCTTCCAGCTCTTGTCAGCACATCTCAAAATATCGATCACCATATTCTCATCCACCGAGATACCCCGCAAGTATTGCGCTGGGCAGAGTCGAGGAGCAATATGTTTTCTCCACCGAAAAGATGCTCTGCGGGACATTTCGGAGTTCGATGTGATTGGTATTGCCGCCCCATTTCCAGCCTCGCCCGCACTCGCATCAGTAGCTGGAAACCAATTGTCAAGAAAGAACAACAGCTCAGGGGGATCGGCGCCACTTTCTCGACTCTCAAATCCCTGCCCGCCTTCTCCGCCACCTCTCCGAACGCCTGTGCCACCATCAGAATCGTCTATGGTGTCATTGCCAGTCATGTGGTCTGTACCGCGCTCGCAGCCGCCTACATTGTCGATTTCACAATGGCCCCCTCTGCCGTCCATGGAGAACCAGATCACACCATTTCAGTCATCCGGCGCACGGCCCTCCAGCTTTATGTCGTCTTCGTCGAGTGCACAGTCCGTTCCCCCCTCAGCATTGTCTTCGCTCCTCTTGGTGTCACCTTTCACCGCAACATCGTTCTCTTCCCCTTTACACCAGGCGTCTGGCGCCGATGCCTCGACATCATCCTCACAAGATCCTCCGTTCGCCATCTTTCGCCAGATCAAGAGACGCATCAAATACGCCCCACGAGACTCAAGGGACCATTTGACCGAGACCATCCTGAAGACCTGCTTCACAGCAGCATGGTAAGTTTATGTCACCATGATTTCTAGTTTACAACTGTCGTGAAAGTTATTCATATTTTTATTAACAATAATATAACTATTTCTTTTTTTTAAAAAAACAAAAACTCTATGCTAAAGCGACGAGAAGGTGCAGGAGGAGGTGCGTATGAAAGTTGATCGGATATGGAAAAAGCGTAAAAGGGATGACCTCTTCGACGATGTCTTCACCATAGAGAAGAAGACCAAGGTGCTCGGTGAGCTGTCTGCAAAACCCTCCCTTCCTCAGGGCCTCGTTGACAGAGCGACCGAAATTGTCAAGACATCAAACCCCAATACCTCAAACTTTCACAAGCATAACCTGACAACAACGCTCAAAACTCCATATCGACAAGAGACGTATCAGGAGAGACTCTCTCTCAAGTTTAACGACGCCTGGGACTCCGCAACCAATATACACATTCCCCGCTCTTCCACCACCACCACCACCGCCACCACCAACATCACCAACACCAACTTGGATAGTACCGCTAATGACTCAGGACCTGGATCTTCGCTTATCGGTGAGCAAGGCTGTCTAACCACAGAGGACGAGGAGGAGCTGCCAGAGGAAGACGAGGAGGAGATCGCAGATCTGTTGGAGCGAGAAGAAAAAGTCAGGTCTACCGAGAGACTAAAGACTGTAACGGTCTCGTTGAAGGATATTATTCGAAAGGAGTTGGTGACTTCCAAAGTGGATCATGACACCGACAAGCCAGGGCTGAAGGTCTCGGCGGCGGACAAGTTGGTCGACATTTTACTGGAGAAACAAGACACTCTCACAAACGCGACCGACGAGCTCGCGTGCATTGCAAGGAAGACGTCACTACTAGTAAGCATTGGTGCATGTTAATTATGATGTTGTACAGGCTGCAATCAAATACTAACTGGTTCATAATGATTACTTTTGTTTTGATCACAACAGCTATCACAGAATGCATTCACGATGCCTGGATCGAGTCGAGAAACTAGTTCGAGTCGTGCCCCCCAACAGTATCCCCCAGTATACGACATCCGGACCGACCTCATCCCTTCTTCCTTTATTGCTCGCAACGATACCCCATCGTCTCTTACCCTCGCCCCCCTCCCGACACATCTAGAGGAGTACATCAACACCACCCCCAGCGGAACCGACCGACAATGGACGTCCGATCTACAACACTTGTTCTCGTACCAGCACCTCGGATTCCTGTACAGCAAGTTCTTCAGCCCGCAAGGAATCAACACAGACTCCGAGACGAAACACCCATTGTGGAGCCAATTGGCTGCGCACATTCAGGCCCCTCCACTTGAGGCACTCAAGGCTACTTGGAGACCAGGGGATGAACATCCAATGGCAGGCCTGTCAACGGTGTTTTGCGACTACAGGATCGAACTATCAACAAACATTAAGAATATTTGGGACGGACCTCTGTATGCGAAAGCGTTGGATTTCTTACTGAGATTCACCTTGAGATTCCAACTGGCTCCTAACCGTGAGCTGAAGTATTATACAAAGGTGAAGGATTTGGCCTCCAGGAAGATGCAACAAAAACAGAGCGACAGGACACGATCAATCAGCTACAAGGCATGGAAGGATAAGACAGAGAGTCTGCAGGATGAGTTGGGTCAGCTTGTTGCTAAGGGTGGGTCCAGACAGAGCGGATAGCTGCGTTGCTGGAAATGCAGGGACAACATGCACGAATACAGCCGAGTATTGGACAAGGTGGCGCTCGCGAGGCAAGACTTGGTGGTGTCGATCCGGTCATGGAAGCGAGAATGATGTTGGAGGTCATGGAAGATGCACTGGATGAGGTTGATGAGGAGGCAGAAACTGAAGAGAACCAAGTTCAGGAGAACCAGGCCCAAAAGGACGTATCAGGTAAACATATTGGGGTTATCCAGTTGCCACGTCCTGTTTTAAATGGCTAAATGCCACAAATGCTGTCAACATCGCAGGCGCTCGTTAATCATGGTTTGTATGACTATCTTCAACAATTCCTTTAGACACTCCTCAAGCCAAGGAACCATCTAGGTCTCATCTAAAGTCTATCCAGGCCATCACCAAGATCCTATTGGAGTCGCCAAACCTCGACGTATCACAACTGAATGCGTCCTGGGTCCGGCGCACTGCCTACAAGCCTGAGGATATAACAGATGACCAGTGTTACAAAGTCGTCAGGCTCGTCAAGGCTCTCCATCCGTACACCCCAAAACGAGTTCCAAAGAGCTCTGGAGGGGGAACTTCGCCTCCGACCGCCAACGCCGCCGCCATGATCCGCATTGTATTGTTGTCCAACCATGTACTCAGATATACAGGGTACACCGAGTTTACCAGGAGATTCGCACCGGCACCGTCAGTCGCATCATTACATCCTGTACCACTTGGAGCGGCCGGCATTTATGATACTCTTTGTTGGAAGGCGGCAAACAATTTCGACATCTACGACCTAGACAGGCAGCCTATCTCATCCATCGTAACCGCAACAAAACACAAGGACGCCGTCTTCTCTAACTTTTTCGACCTCGATGCCATCAACGCGATGTGCCAAAAGTACAAACTTCGCTTCAGACAACGGTAAGTGCTCCTCCTCTTATCCCTCACAACAACTAGTCTTTTCTTATGTATGCATTCATAAACAACAATGTCCTGACACCAAAGTTCTATTCCTGGTTCTTCTTTTAGTCTGACATTTGTGAATCGCTATACCATTCGAATTCTTGGTGAAGTGATCCCTGAGGGAGTGGACCGCGGTGATGGGGCTCCCGTCGTCAGTGTGTGGGACGAGTCCAGAAAGGATAAGACGCAGAAACGTACAGGCATTGATTGGTCAAGAGAAGGTGCTCGAACAGGAATAACACAACAAATGGCCCAGGAGCGGCTGGTGACGATGAACAACGAGATCAAGGACGTTGAAACGGACCAAAAAGCCAAGCGGGACGCATGGGTTGCAGCGGACAAAGATCGACATGAAGCAGCAGTGTACCAACGCCAGATTAAACAGCTCTCCTCTCAGCATCCAGGATCGACAACGAAGGCGAACGACTCAAAGGCACGAAGACCGGATCAGGAACAAGATGCGTATCGGGAACTTCAGGCGGCGCAGATGATCTCCGACGCTGCGTTTTTGGATTGGATGCAGAAGGACGATGAGCTTCGGTCAATGAAGGCTACCCGATACGCGCTACAAAGGATTCAGAAGACACGACCCAACTACGACCCCCCCTCGAACAAGGAGCCGCTCAGGGCAGACCCTACATGGACGAGGCCCGCCGTCGAGGCCAAGACGGAGAATCTTCACATCGACTGCCTCCTTGGTGCAGTATTGGCTGATCCCTCCAAGGCCATCGGATTCGACGGTGATGATCCAGGACTTTGCAAACTCGATACCTCGGCTACAACAACGCTGACAGGAGTTACCCAATCAGTCAGGCAATACTCGGTTCTCACAGGAAATCCATTCGCCTTACTCGCGGGTAAGTAGGATGTTCTGAACTTGGCGTTGTTGTTGCATCCTTCATTTTCCAGATTACCAATGGCTGAGGGCAAACCATTAATACCATCTTCATTACGCTTCATTTTCTTTCACTAGAGGTAGACATGTTGGAGGAGAAGAAGTCCAAGGAAGAACAGGCGCAGGCCACGGTATTCTTGCCCCCGATACATAGCATCACAGCACCACAGATTAACGACTTGACATTCAGCACAAAATATGAAAGGAAACGACAATATCGACTCGCGGCAGCCACACCAGAGGCAACAGCAACACGCAATGCATTAGCGAACCTTTCGAACAGATCCATCAACAATGCATCGACACTCACAGACATCGACACGCCCAGAATGCCCGTCGCTCATCTCGAAAGTCCTGTCGTGAATTCGAGAACTCTTCCTGGAGGATCAAAGATCAGGCTACTCAGGAGATTCAGACCAAAAGAGTGTACGCCACACTCGCATCTGATCAGCGCGACAAAGTCAAGGAAGTCGTCTTACAAGAGTCAAGGACAGCAGCACTCGACCTTCAGTTCCAAGGATCCGAAAAGTCCGAGGCCGGTAATACCTCTTCGTCCACCAGCGCCCAACCAAGCGATACCAAGGCTGCGGCTGTCGAGTTTGGCCATACCGAATGCAAGGAAGTCACCATTTCTCAAACCCGACATTTAATCAGTCGGAATGAGGACACCGCCTCCGTCAAGGGCAAGGTCGTTGTAACAGAGGAGTCCAAGGACACAGAGTCGCAGGATCGCGGCGGAAGCAAGCGAAACAAAGGTAAAAGCATATTGTTTGATTAACAGGTGCTGCGATGATAACACGTTTATGTACTCGATTCCGCAAAGTCCACTTAATTGTTCATGCATACCCCAATTCTTGTTTGTAGGTCTGGTTACCGAAAAGAAAAACATCATCCCAATTGTGCTGCATGGCGCTGCAGGAACGGCTGTCGGGTCCAGAATCAAGGGCCATGCCAAACGAGGAGGGAGCAAGCTCACCCAGCAACACCGCCAATATGGTCCTGTGGGTCACACCAATGAGAACCGGACTAGTCGCGTCTGTAGCGCCTGCTTCGTCCCTGTTACGCTAACTCGAGCGACCCGGATCAAGGACGGAGAATCGAAAACTATTCGTCTGCATGGCTCAGTGGATTGTCGCAACCCACGATGTCCACGACGACAAGTAGGCCGAGGCACAATGGGTCGTGATGCGAACGCCGCCAATAACATCCTTATATCCGGCGCCTCCATTCTTCTTTCGGCTACACACACAGCCCTCCCACCTTTCCGCCCCTTCTCCCTTCCATCAACACCAACTATGACCACCAGCGCCTCAGACCTGGAGCCCAAAGCAACAAACCCGAAACCACCCAATCACGGATGCGTGGAGGGACTGTCATTTTAGATAGAGCAGTTGTGATTCTGGCTAGGCTACGACCGTTGATATGTTCTTGTTTTTTGTCAAAAGCAAGTACATTCATTCCCTCTCATCTCTCTCACCCATTTATCACTCAAACCTTGTTTACATTCACTTGGCCCAACTCTTAATCCTCATGTCCAGCCGTTGTAAGATCGTCAAAGCTGACGCCTGCTCCTGTTAAGGAGACGCCTGACCCCTGTTGAGAAGGAGGAAGACGAGAACTACGATCGCCAAGACCCGCAATGACATGGAAGTGTGGGTTTTGCAAATGTGCCCTTTGTGTCTGAGTGGAGCTCGCAATTGTTACAAAGGGTATCATGGTATTCCATAGTGCACCCTCCATATCCATATATTCCCTTCCTTCTCCTGGCCAGAATGCAAGCTTTTCAATACATATGAACAACAAACTTAAAAAAAAGACGCAAGCCTGGTACCTGGGACGTGGGGCATAGTCGGCTTCCTCGTTTATAGTCCCCTTTTCTTTATTAAAAGACAACGCACTCTCGTATTTCGTTCCTCATGCCACCCCTCGTTAGTGCTCGTCCACCCGCTTCTCCGCCCGTTCCTTCTCTCTTCCTTTGTTCTAAACTCGTTGCAAGCGGTGGGGTGGGTTGGTCATCGTTGTGGGCGATGGTTAGTTGACAAAGTAGCCCTGTTCCATTACGACTCGAGTGTTGGATATGTGGGTGGGAGTGGGAGGACCTTGACTCGCACGGAGGTCGAGGCGAGGGAAGGTTGTTCCTCGTTCGATTGTTGAGTGCCTTCATTTCTCATTTTCTTCCTGGTGCCAAGCGAGCAAACTGACGGATGCATGACATATCGTTGATCATCTTTTCTTTTTATTCAAGATACAAGGATCTCTCAGTCATGCTCAAATACCCAAGGATCTTCATTCTCAATGATAGTTAGACGGCGACTTTTGAACCCCCCCCCTCCAGTTTACAATTGATCAGTTAAGAGGATTGCAAACATTTCCCCCTTACAGCCAACTCCCGACACCTTAACACGCGGCACCCATTCCAAAAAAAACTCCCTGTAAAAGTACTCTCCCACCAGCACTCTCCTTCAACAAACCCCTTTCCTTCACGCTAAAGATGCACACGAGGCGTTCGCCAAGATTCTACCACACCTTCACCTCCGCACACTCTTGCCACCACTTCTTCTATCTCCCTCTTCTATTCCGATTTGGTCCCTACTCAGCTCGTGGAGAACACCAATGCCTTACGTTGCCGTGGTAGAGAAAATGTTTTCCCTCAGTTGCCAATAGTGCAAAGAACCAAAAAAAAAAATATGAAGCAAGGAACAAAAAAAAATGAAGCAAGGAACAAAAAAAAATGAAGCAAGGAACAAAAAAATGAAGCAAGGAACAAAAAAATGAAGCAAGGAACAAAAAAATGAAGCAAGGAACAAAAAAATGAAGCAAGGAACAAAAAAAAAAAAAAAAGAACAAAGAACAAAAAAAGAACAAGAAACGAAAAAGAGACGAAGAGCAAAGAACAAAAAAAAAAGCAAGCCCTCAGTTGCTTACAATGCCTCATAATCCCATAAAAAAAAGGAAGCTCGCATTGAACAGAGCGCTTCAGACTTTGTGTAAGTCATCATAGTCATAGCGTCTCAGACCGTGTGAAAGTCACCATAGGCATAGAGCCTCAGACTTTGTGCAAGTGTCATCATAGACATAGCGCCTCAGACTTTGTGCAAGTGTCATCACAAGCATAGCGCCTCAGACTTTGTGCAAGCGTCATCATAGGCATAGCACCTCAGACTTTGTGCAAGCGTCATCATAGGCGTAGAGCCTCAGACTGTGTACAAGTCATCATAGGCATAGAGCCTTAGACTGTGTACAAGTCATCATAGGCATAGAGCCTCAGACTGTGTACAAGTCATCATAGGCATAGAGCCTCAGACTGTGTACAAGTCATCATAGGCATAGAGCCTCAGACTGTGTACAAGTCATCATAGGCATAGAGCCTCAGACTGTGTACAAGTCATCATAGGCGTAGAGCGACTTCCATCCTATAAAAAAAAGACATGCAATATAACACAGATTAGCACCCCCATTACGTCTTCCTCCAACAGCATTTACCAGTGCTGGGAGGACCAGACGCCCCCTGAGGGGGGGGGGGGGGGGTAGTGACTCCTTTCGACCCCTTCCTGATACCCTCTTGTCGCTAAAGTGATACGATGATAAAGAAGTTTTCTGATTAGTAAAACGTTCGGGCCACGAAAATATGTGTAGAGAAAAAACTAACTACACCCACGCGCGCACCCGCTTTCTTTTCCTGTTGCTTGAAGGGAAGGGAAGGGAAGGTGGGTGTTTATCTTACCAGGCGTCGGTCCAGACGGTGGAGGCGGGTGTAACGAGGAGCAACGCTCGACTCTACTCAACCCTTCTTTCTTTGGGGACAGGGGGAGGGGGAGGACGGGTGTAAGGAGGAGCCAGCTCAACTCTACTTACACCCGCCTATCTTGGCAGGGGAGGAGGAGCAAGCTCGACTCTACTCAACCCTTCTTTCTTTGGGGGGGCGAGGGGTGGAGGGTGGGGGGGGGGGGGTATAAGGAGGAGCCAGCTCAACTCTACTTACACCCGCCTATCTTGGCAGGGGAGGAGGAGCAAGCTCAACTCTACTCAACCCTTCTTTCTTGGTAGACCTGGGGCTTGAGGGTGAGGAGGGAATCACTTCCTCCTTGCACCCTCTCTTGCCACTAAAGCGATAAGGATGACAGTAATTAAATCTCTGATGATCAGTACATAGTATATACGTAACCAATGATGAGACAATCACTCAAGAACAAAAGCGCGGTAGAGCGTGGGAACTGGGAACCGTGGAGTCGTGTAAAGAACGCAAGGAAGGAAGTAGGAGAGCGTGGGACCTGGGAAACAAAGAGTGTGTAAAGAAAGGGGAAGAAGGAGCAAAAAAAAGTAGCTCAAACGTAAACGCTCACCCCCACAGAAAAAGACGAGGAAGGAGCAAAAAGAAAGCAAGCCAGACGCGCAACCCATACACGACAACTCAAAAGAAAAAGACTCCGGAGAGCGTGGGAGCTGGAAAACGACGTGGAGTTTAAAGAACGCAAGGAAGGAACAAAACAAGCAGCGCAAACGCAAACGCTCACCCCCACAGAAAAAGACGAGGAAGGAACAAAAAGAAGGCAAGGCGTGTGCTTCTGCACAGAAACACGAAGAAGGAAGAAAGAAACTAGGACAAAACAACGCACACGCGCACCCAACAACGAGGAAAGGAAAGTAAAACGGGAAAGAACGTGTGGGAGAGGAGATACAACGCGAAACACAGACACACCCTCTTTCGTTTTCTGTTCCTGAGAAAGGGAGGAAAGGAAAGGGAGGAAAGGAAAGGGAGGAAAGGAAAGAGAGGAAAGGGAAGAGAGGAAAGGGAAGAGAGGAAAGGGGGAAGAGAAGGAAGATGGTTTTCTTACCAGGCCAGCGGCGGTTTCCAGACGGGCGACAAGAGGAGGGGCCGAAGAGGAGTGAAGAAGAAAGAGAAGAAAAGAAAACAACTGTTTTGGCCGGGGAGATTGCCTTTTATACCACGTGGCACATGCAAGCAAATATTACTGCGTCATCTTGGGTGGCAAAGAGCAAGGGCGAGTGCGTGTGTAACTAGAGGGGTGGTTGACAGGGCTCTCAAAAAGGAAGTATACTTAAAGGCTTACCATGCAATATGGGATATTCCCATCTCTCTAGACGCAAGACCCTCTCCATTGACCATCAACCAACCTTTGTCTGACTCTTGTTTCATTCGTCATCCATGGCAACTCTTATTTTCTTTTCTTGATGCCTCTTCTGTCCTTCTCCAAGTAAAGGACGGTTGCATGGTCAATGGGTCCATGATAGAAGGTCCTGCGTCTAGAGAGATGGGAATATCCCATATTGCATGGTAAGCCTTTAAGTATACTTCCTTTTTGAGAGCCCTGTCAACCACCCCTCTAGTTACACACGCACTCGCCCTTGCTCTTTGCCACCCAAGATGACGCAGTAATATTTGCTTGCATGTGCCACGTGGTATAAAAGGCAATCTCCCCGGCCAAAACAGTTGTTTTCTTTTCTTCTCTTTCTTCTTCACTCCTCTTCGGCCCCTCCTCTTGTCGCCCGTCTGGAAACCGCCGCTGGCCTGGTAAGAAAACCATCTTCCTTCTCTTCCCCCTTTCCTCTCTTCCCTTTCCTCTCTTCCCTTTCCTCTCTTTCCTTTCCTCCCTTTCCTTTCCTCCCTTTCCTTTCCTCCCTTTCTCAGGAACAGAAAACGAAAGAGGGTGTGTCTGTGTTTCGCGTTGTATCTCCTCTCCCACACGTTCTTTCCCGTTTTACTTTCCTTTCCTCGTTGTTGGGTGCGCGTGTGCGTTGTTTTGTCCTAGTTTCTTTCTTCCTTCTTCGTGTTTCTGTGCAGAAGCACACGCCTTGCCTTCTTTTTGTTCCTTCCTCGTCTTTTTCTGTGGGGGTGAGCGTTTGCGTTTGCGCTGCTTGTTTTGTTCCTTCCTTGCGTTCTTTAAACTCCACGTCGTTTTCCAGCTCCCACGCTCTCCGGAGTCTTTTTCTTTTGAGTTGTCGTGTATGGGTTGCGCGTCTGGCTTGCTTTCTTTTTGCTCCTTCCTCGTCTTTTTCTGTGGGGGTGAGCGTTTACGTTTGAGCTACTTTTTTTTGCTCCTTCTTCCCCTTTCTTTACACACTCTTTGTTTCCCAGGTCCCACGCTCTCCTACTTCCTTCCTTGCGTTCTTTACACGACTCCACGGTTCCCAGTTCCCACGCTCTACCGCGCTTTTGTTCTTGAGTGATTGTCTCATCATTGGTTACGTATATACTATGTACTGATCATCAGAGATTTAATTACTGTCATCCTTATCGCTTTAGTGGCAAGAGAGGGTGCAAGGAGGAAGTGATTCCCTCCTCACCCTCAAGCCCCAGGTCTACCAAGAAAGAAGGGTTGAGTAGAGTTGAGCTTGCTCCTCCTCCCCTGCCAAGATAGGCGGGTGTAAGTAGAGTTGAGCTGGCTCCTCCTTATACCCCCCCCCCCCCCCCACCCTCCACCCCTCGCCCCCCCAAAGAAAGAAGGGTTGAGTAGAGTCGAGCTTGCTCCTCCTCCCCTGCCAAGATAGGCGGGTGTAAGTAGAGTTGAGCTGGCTCCTCCTTACACCCGTCCCCCCCCCCCCCCCCTCCTCCTGTCCCCAAAGAAAGAAGGGTTGAGTAGAGTCGAGCTTGCTCCTCCTCCCCTGCCAAGATAAGCGAGTGTAAGTAGAGTTGAGCTGGCTCCTCCTTACACCCGTCCCCCCCCCCCCTCCTCCTGTCCCCAAAGAAAGAAGGGTTGAGTAGAGTCGAGCGTTGCTCCTCGTTACACCCGCCTCCACCGTCTGGACCGACGCCTGGTAAGATAAACACCCACCTTCCCTTCCCTTCCCTTCAAGCAACAGGAAAAGAAAGCGGGTGCGCGCGTGGGTGTAGTTAGTTTTTTCTCTACACATATTTTCGTGGCCCGAACGTTTTACTAATCAGAAAACTTCTTTATCATCGTATCACTTTAGCGACAAGAGGGTATCAGGAAGGGGTCGAAAGGAGTCACTACCCCCCCCCCCCCCCCCTCAGGGGGCGTCTGGTCCTCCCAGCACTGGTAAATGCTGTTGGAGGAAGACGTAATGGGGGTGCTAATCTGTGTTATATTGCATGTCTTTTTTTTATAGGATGGAAGTCGCTCTACGCCTATGATGACTTGTACACAGTCTGAGGCTCTATGCCTACGATGACTTGTACACAGTCTGAGGTTCTATGCCTATGATGACTTGTACACAGCCTGAGGCTCTATGCCTATGATGACTTGTACACAGCCTGAGGCTCTATGCCTATGATGACTTGTACACAGTCTGAGGCTCTACGCCTATGATGACGCTTGCACAAAGTCTGAGGTGCTATGCCTATGATGACGCTTGCACAAAGTCTGAGGCGCTATGCTTGTGATGACACTTGCACAAAGTCTGAGGCGCTATGTCTATGATGACACTTGCACAAAGTCTGAGGCTCTATGCCTATGGTGACTTTCACACGGTCTGAGACGCTATGACTATGATGACTTACACAAAGTCTGAAGCGCTCTGTTCAATGCGAGCTTCCTTTTTTTTATGGGATTATGAGGCATTGTAAGCAACTGAGGGCTTGCTTTTTTTTTTGTTCTTTGCTCTTCATCTCTTTTTCGTTTCTTGTTCTTTTTTTTGTTCATTGCTTCATTTTTTTTTGTTCCTTGCTTCATATTTTTTTTTTTGGTTCTTTGCACTATTGGCAACTGAGGGAAAACATTTTCTCTACCACGGCAACGTGAGGCATTGGTGTTCTCCACGAGCTGAGTAGGGACCAAATCGGAGTAGAAGAGGGAGATAGAAGAAGTGGTGGCAAGAGTGTGCGGAGGTGAAGGTGTGGTAGAATCTTGGCGAACGCCTCGTGTGCATCTTTAGCGTGAAGGAAAGGGGTTTGTTGAAGGAGAGTGCTGGTGGGAGAGTACTTTTACAGGGAGTTTTTTTTGGAATGGGTGCCGCGTGTTAAGGTGTCGGGAGTTGGCTGTAAGGGGGAAATGTTTGCAATCCTCTTAACTGATCAATTGTAAACTGGAGGGGGGGGGTTCAAAAGTCGCCGTCTAACTATCATTGAGAATGAAGATCCTTGGGTATTTGAGCATGACTGAGAGATCCTTGTATCTTGAATAAAAAGAAAAGATGATCAACGATATGTCATGCATCCGTCAGTTTGCTCGCTTGGCACCAGGAAGAAAATGAGAAATGAAGGCACTCAACAATCGAACGAGGAACAACCTTCCCTCGCCTCGACCTCCGTGCGAGTCAAGGTCCTCCCACTCCCACCCACATATCCAACACTCGAGTCGTAATGGAACAGGGCTACTTTGTCAACTAACCATCGCCCACAACGATGACCAACCCACCCCACCGCTTGCAACGAGTTTAGAACAAAGGAAGAGAGAAGGAACGGGCGGAGAAGCGGGTGGACGAGCACTAACGAGGGGTGGCATGAGGAACGAAATACGAGAGTGCGTTGTCTTTTAATAAAGAAAAGGGGACTATAAACGAGGAAGCCGACTATGCCCCACGTCCCAGGTACCAGGCTTGCGTCTTTTTTTTAAGTTTGTTGTTCATATGTATTGAAAAGCTTGCATTCTGGCCAGGAGAAGGAAGGGAATATATGGATATGGAGGGTGCACTATGGAATACCATGATACCCTTTGTAACAATTGCGAGCTCCACTCAGACACAAAGGGCACATTTGCAAAACCCACACTTCCATGTCATTGCGGGTCTTGGCGATCGTAGTTCTCGTCTTCCTCCTTCTCAACAGGGGTCAGGCGTCTCCTTAACAGGAGCAGGCGTCAGCTTTGACGATCTTACAACGGCTGGACATGAGGATTAAGAGTTGGGCCAAGTGAATGTAAACAAGGTTTGAGTGATAAATGGGTGAGAGAGATGAGAGGGAATGAATGTACTTGCTTTTGACAAAAAACAAGAACATAATAACTGTTGGTTAGCAAACAACAACAGTCGTAGCCTAACCGACATTTATGTCCCTAAAACCATCGAAAGGATAAAAAATAAACTGTGCATAGGCGGCTGGGCTCACACTTAAAAATCTAAACATGTCAAAAAGTACCCAGGAGAGACGCACACATTACAGAACATAATAAACAGGGTGGTTCTCTCCCCTTCGTCGTTTTTTTATTCCCAACCAGTGTACTTGGGGCAGGATGCATCAGCGACCTGCGAAGGCTTGCCAGAGTCACCAAACGAGAAACTGTTGACCCACTGGGCATTGGACTGGGTGTTACCCTTGCCGAGGTTGGAATAGTTTCCAGTGCAATCCGTGGTCGAGAACAGCTTGGCGTCACCGACGTCTACGTTATGAATCTTGGCGCTCTGGATGTTCTTGATGCATAAGCAGGTTCGGTGACCCTTGTAGTCGTAGAAGCGAATTTTCTTGTTGGCGCTGTTGATGACATCCATGTGGTAGTCTCCTACGGCGAGGGCAGAGGCGGCCAAGAGAGCCAACAAAGCGAGCGACTTGTGCATTTTTTTGGTACTATTTTTGTTGAAAGTGTGAAAGGTGAGTTCAGAAGGTTGATGGTCTTGATAGCAACAGAGTCCATCATTCTCAATGGTTTTTTTGTCGAAATATCATCTCTGTGTGTGGAATGGAAAAGGGGACTTACAGTTTGAGTGTGTGGAGAAAAGAGGGATGGATGGTTTCTTTGTGGTGAGGAAAGGGAACCGCTTTTATACAAGGAACGACGGGGTTGAGACGTTGTTTGTTATATTTCGCAACTCCGATGTCAAACGTTTGCAAAATAACCATCGACAAACGGAGTAGAAAAGAAAAAAGTGCGGCGTGATTATTTTTTCGACAGGCCCTGTCACTTCTCTCCGAGAAAGTTTGTGCTAACATAAATTACCGTTCAGGGACGACGGCATACATTCTTATCTGTTCTCAATCCAAACGGACTGGCTGGACAGGCTGCACTTCGAAGGATTTGTTTTGGCCGACCTATTCCTGTTCACGATCAAGCAAGGGTCCCTTGTCGACCTTCAAAGTCCCATCCACTCGCGTGGAAACAAAGGCCATCGTGAATTAGGGATGATTAGAGAGAGAAGAGAACGAGTGAGCATATATATTCCAGTTTTTTTTTCGACTTTCAATTTCGACAACAGAGAGCAAAAAATGGCGCTAGAGAAGAGACGTGAAAAAGGCTGCCATCTCAGCAATCCACGCTTACGAATCCATGCTCTCTCGACATGGAAAAGGTGTACCCTTGCCCTTGCTTGTGATCGAGAGCACACGAACGGCGTGTTGTCGTGCAACGACTAAATGAGGCGTTGCACCGTGAGAACTCTCCGGAATTGAACTCAATATTGTCCCACCCTCCCACTTTTCGTTCTTTACCCTTCGCACTAACTCATCTCTCACCTCACCCTCGATCGATGTCCCTTCTCTTTTCGTTTTTTTATTCGCCCAACTTTTTTTCGACACTCAAACGCTATTTGTCGACACCATTTCCGCCATACCTGTCATTGTGTCTTGCATGTCACCCATTTCGGCTACCTGCACGCGACAACTACCCTGGCGATTAGAACCTATGCCAATGAGTTAAACGTTTGCGGGAAAAAGAGGTTGACAGAGCAAAAAAACCAAGTGTGTCCAAGTGGTGGTGTTGCGTTTGATAAGACGGACTGAGAAATATGCCAGAGATGTTAAGAAAGCAGGAAGTAAGAAAAAACCAGGTAAATGGTAATGGAGGCAGCCAGCCGGATGAATAACGTGTAAATTAAAAGGACTGATTGGGGTAGGTGGTATGGGGAAAACACATTAGGAGAAGAAGTGTGTCGACAAATAGCCATAATTGGTTTATCGTCCCCCCTTCTGACCATCCCTCGCTTACCCTTGAAAACAAGACACGATGCATAGTTTTTGTCGCGTAAGCATAAACAGAAACGGAGGTTTGGCAGGAGGTCAAGCAGGTTTTCTCTCTTTTGCGTGTTACCGGGGTGTTTACAATGCTAGATTATTGTTGTTTGGGATGGAGAGTAGAACGGTCGCACCTATCTCTTTTAGTTCTCATTTCGATTGAACAATATTGCCGATAGCGCAGACTGTGCGTTCGTTGCGCCCTTTTGAAAAAAAATGAGCGTTTGCTTCGGATACTTTTAGGTTTACCAACGGACGGCGTCCTTGCAGATAGCCATTTTTACAAACCTTTGCAACTCATGATCCTCTTCCCCTGGAAAAACCGTTCTCCATGGTCAATCCACGGTGGTTGCAGTTTACTATTCAGGATCGATAAGAGAGTGTTCCTATGAGCGTTGCATTAGAGGTGGTTCTTTCATTCACGCCGTCCACTTTTATGTCTGATAAAAAGACGGCGTCCTTGCATCTGGCGGTAAAGCTAATACAAACTTTTCGACTCTTACCAGCTCGATGAGTCTTTTTCTGAGAAATAAAATTGTTAAAAGCCAACCCATTTCCACCTCTTTCTTGTTCCTCAACCACTCCACATATCAAGGACATCACGACGTAAGTTCCATGGTTCATTTCACTTGTGGATCCTCTTTTGTATCTGACCTTAAGATATCAGTCGTCCTCTCAAAATACTAATCCGTTTTTTTTACTACTTGTCCACCGTTTACAATAGCTACACTGATCAACATGCACAAGTCACTCATCGCTTTGTTTGTCCTCTGCACGCTTAACGGCGCCCTTGCTGCCGGAGACTGGCAATTCCAAATCACCAACAACGCCGGCAAGGTTTACACCATCCCCGCCTATGGCAAGAGAGAGTGCATCTGCCTCGAGACCTCCCAGACCAACAAGATCAAGAACACCAACGGGGGAGTCATGAAGTTATTCTCGACCCATGACTGCACAGGCAACTTTGCTGTGCTTAACAAGGGATCGATGCGCTCTAACGCCCAGTGGGTGAACAGTGCTTCTATTGGTAAGGACGGCTTCCCATCCACTGGCCCTAACCACTGCGATCCAGTTTACTAAGGCAAAACAGAAAGTCGGCCTCGTATAATAAAGAGATTGTTCTCTCGAATGGCGTTTTTTTGGTGTAATTTTCCTGTATGTGTCTCGGGATTGCGTTGGGGTCGGAGGATATTATCGTGTAGGTGAAGAATGAGGTCCTAGGAAGAGGTGTGGGCGTGGGGTCGAATTTCAGATGTGACCGTGGGACGCGACTGGCGCATGTGCACTTTTTTTTCTTGTTCTCTTGACTCTACTTTTCTTCCAGTCATCGACGTTTTTTTCTATCTCCAGTCAACAACATCCCGCCTCACCACTCTCACCATCACCGACGACACATCTTCAAGGGGAAACCGACATTCAAGGATGGGACAAGACTGACTACCTAAGGACGAGCCTTGGATGAGATCACCATTCTCTTCAGCAACCTGTTGCCAAGGTAAAGAAATATAGCTGCAACCTGCGTCGGAGGTAACGTCGCAAGGTCAACGAAAATAACACACGCGACAAGAACCTCTGCTGTTTTCGTGTTGGACACGATCCGTCTTTTTTTGCATTCGACGACACTCATATTGAATCACGGGTTGCTTAAACTTATTCACTTTTGGTGATGATCTCACAGGTTGCAACGTCAATCCCATGCTCAGACAGGTCATCTCGAGCTCTTTTTGGTGGGGTTAGCTCGAACTTGGTCAAGAAGCGTCAATCCATACTCGTGGATGTCTTGTCACGCCAAGGGCCACCTGGGCCGCCTCGGCTCTCATTTGCGACGACTCTGCTATTCGGACTCGGATTTGTCAACCCCACCCTTGATCCGCCAAAGGCAAGTGGTTGGTGGATGTGGTGTGGAGGTGGGAATAGGTGCAGCGCGAGTGACAGGCCGTCTGCAATTGGCGCTCGATAAGATGCTTCGTCATTATCTGCAGATTCCTCGCAGTAGCCTTGTTCGATGCCTGCCATTTCGAGGATGATGAGTACTAACATGTCATACCAAGGCATGTCACTGCTCCGAGTTTACTATGCACCCTGGTGCACTGAATTTTTAACGCAGTCCGGTTGTGGGCATATGCCAACACTTCTAATGTACCGGTGCTAGTTCATCTCTTCTATCCAGCCACCAATCTTGCACAGCTTCTAGCTACTCGCTCTCTTCCTCTTTCTCTCACTTTTTTAATATTCGCACTTGTTGATCTCACTTGGACGTGACAGCTGTATTGTCAATGATCGCTTGCTAGGTTCACACTCCTTTGCAACCCCACCAGCAAGGACTTCTATGAGCAAGGCAACTATTACGGTGCCTACCGTAACAAGGACCTGTGCCATCCATGACTCTTGCAAGCTGGTCAGTTGAAGGTTCGGGATGTCTATTAGATGACCAATAAAATAACAAACAAAGCAGTTGTATGATGTGTGTGAGAAAAACATATCGAGTTCGAGGCATTCAGAGTTGGAGTTCTCGTGAAGTGAATTTTGTGACAGCGCGTTTTTTTTATTTTGACAACCCAACTGGCCACCTTTTTGACTCTTGACATCATTCCAAGCAAACAAAACGCACTCTTCTTCCACGACCACCTATTTATGCTCCTCACATGGACATGCTCGGACCGGCCTCCTTACGATCCCGGCACCCCTCAAAGTCATCACTGAAAACATACGGCGGTCGGCGAAGTCGTCAACAACAACTCAACACAAGAACGGATGAACGAGATGATGGCACTGGCAGCGGAGCACATGAAGGTGAGCGAGAAGATGAGGATTACCGTCCGCCAGCACGACAGCTGCTCGACTGGGACAGACTCGAGAGAGACAGGAGGGCTCGGTTGGAAAGGCAGGCCAAGGAGCAGGAGCGTCTTGCCCAAGCAGAGGACGAGACTGCGTTTCTCAAACAGGACGTCGACCTGGAAGCGTTGCTATACTCGGACCACGAGGACCAGTTCGAGGAGAGTGCCCCAGAGCCCTCTGAAGAGAGTTCGTTGCGAGACCCGTGGAAGGGTGGTGTTGATTTACTGCGAGGAGAGGTTGTCCCATCAACTCAGGAGTCTGACGACGACGACAATAGAAGCCACTACTCGCAGACGAGGGGCTTGTCAAAACCAAGAATGTTTATGGCCACCCCACAACAACATCCTCCTGTCCGAACTCGAGGGCATCGACCTGTCGTGACTCCATCCTCTCATACAGCCGACGCGGACCTAGAATTCGAGATGCCAAGGAGGGCGAGCACAGCGGCTTCCGCGCCTGCGAGAACCTCCATTCTCTCTGGACGAAGTTCAATCGGCGAGAAGTCTGTAGGACGAGTTTCATTCTCCTTTGACGTCGCCGAGTCCAGGATCCCCGAAGCACTCAGCACCAGTCAGCGGCGCAAGGTTATGATCCAAGAAGAGCCATTCTTTAAGCAGGCCCCCCAGGAAGAGGACGAAGACGAAGAGGAAGAACCCGAGGATGAGGTGCTTTTCAGGACGCCATCGTTTGATATTCTGAAGAAGATGAGGGAGTTACCCAAGCCCAACATCCCAGAACCACGCGCGAACCCTTTCGGCTTCCGACCCTTGTCGTTGACCACAGGACCAACATCGCCATCTCCACTATTGTTAGGGGGACAGGATAAAGGATTGCTGCGAGAGTTTGCGGTTTCTACACCATCGCCAGAACCAACGCCGCCCACAATCGACATCTTTGACAATCCGTTCATGAGTCCAGATTCCCCGACGGTAAAGAGAGCGATGGATATTCTACGCAAGCGGGAACAGCAACTGAAGGAGATTCAAACAGCCAGCCAGGCCTCAGCATCGAGCAGTGGTATGGATTTGGACAAGGCGAATGAAACCAGGGCAAGTCGTTACAAAATTGGTGACATCTTCGCCGACATTGAACAGGACGTCAACCAACAGCAGCGGAAGCGTCCTTCATTTTCTCGGGAAACGACGCCGGAGCGGATATCTACCACTGGTATGTCTCGGAGTGTTGTTGACGAGAGCTTGGGCAAGCAGGACGAGTCAGAGGAGTTGGCCTTGGGGAAGCGGATATCGAGTATTGAGATCACGCCACGACGCTTGCAGGCTAAGCAGAGGAAGACCGCTCCGCACGACTCGGACTCCCCTACAAGACCTCTTGGATCGCGTGGTCACTTTTCGCCAAAGACGACGTTCGACAATGTGATGGAGGACCTGCCGGTACGGCCCCTCAACCTGTTTTTGGATCGTGATATACCCAAGGACGAGGACAATAGTGATCTCGACCTTCTTTTCACTCGATCAAGAAACAACAGGCGATCGCCTCCGCCTAGGCCTTCGACATCGACTGTATCCAACAAACGTGCCGCTGGAGTCGACCCCAACCGTCTGTTATGGCCACCCAAGGATGACCAGGAGAACAAGCCAGAGCAACATACACGAGCGATTGACTCATCTCCATTCACGACGACGAGCTCTACTATGGATGGAAAATCGACACAACGGAGGGCAACATTCTCTCGGACGGATTGGCTTAAATCCCCTAGTCCTCAGCCAGCTCCACTGAGCAGCGTCGTATCGAGCCAGGACGATGCGCTCATTCAGAAGCCATTGTCAGAGCAACAACAGCCACAACAACCTCCCCAACCTTCAGTGCAACAACTACAACAATATCGACCTATACGGTCACTACGACGACCACAGGCAGTTCTTGTCAGCGACACCAAAAAGGCTGCCTTCAAGCCTACTCTCTTGGATCTCCTCTCCATCTGTGATCAGCAATTCTTTGACCAATTCGAGGATTCGGAATCTGCAGGTGTCGCTAACCGAGCTTGTCTGGCTGCGGGCAGTGACGGGTCGAGGAAATCGAAGGCTATTGTGGATTTTGATGCTGTTCTTCCAAAGTGTATGGCACCTTCTTTGACAAAGATTGGTGAGGCTTCCTACTCTGAAGTGTACACCGTTGATCTACCCATTCACCGACACGAACAAAGGTTTAGGAACCTTGCTCAGCAATCGCCTGATGGGACGCCGAATCTCTTCCAATCTCCTCGGCTCAACACATACGTGAAGGAATCAGCCGACGACGACCTCAACCCGCAGGACATGTCAGGCACTCATGGCAGCACCACCAGTGGAGGACGGTCGACAAAACTGGTGATGAAGGTTCTGCCGTTTCACGGAGACGACCTTGACGCTCTTCCTTCTGGATTGTCAAGCCCCATGAAAGGTGCGCGGAGGACTAGAAGCAGGGGGGCAGTGGCTGCTGCGCCAGAGTTGTTGGCACTTGAGGATATCTACCGCGAGGCCACGGTGTCGACCCAGATCATGCATGGCTGGAAGGGCTTTATCGGCAGCTTTGGGTAAGTTTGACGACGTGTTGTCTTGCTTGCTTGCTACATTTGTTTTAATGCGAATTCAATTGCCATTTGCTAATCAAGTGCCGCCTCTTCATACCGCAATGTTTCCACTTTGTAGTGCTTTGGTAGTAAAGGGCAGGTATCCAAAGGCGTTCCTTTCTGCTTGGGATCGGTTCCGCAAGGAGAATGGAACAGAGAGCGATAGACCAGGTACTACATGGCGACCCTGGTCTCATTTGCTTTTACAATGCAGACAAACAGCTCTTACAGAAAACTTACACGTCCTCTCTTCCTCATGTTTAACGTGGCAGATCATTATACCAGCGGTCAGTTGTACTGCATTATCTTGCTACCCTACGGAGGAGTCGATCTGGAGCACTGTTCGTTGACAAACTGGCGGCAAGCATGGGCGGTCTTGGCGCAGGTAGCAGCGTCGCTTGAGTCAAAGGAACAGGCACCGTTTTGGTTTGAGCACCGAGATCTTCATTGGGGCAACATTCTTGTCAAGGGTACTAGGCAGAAACAGATTGCATTTTCTAGACGAGACCTTCAGCAGCAGCAGCAGCAGCAGCCATCTTCGAGTTCACTATTGCCATCGCGTCAGCGCACAAATGATCCTCGATTGCTCAGGAATATTCCGACATTTGGGATTGTTGTCCAGATGATTGACTTTACGCTCGCTCGCGTCCAAGGAGGTAACGTAGATTCGTCGTCGTTTTTGGCTCGGAGGAGTAACATTGGAAGCTCATAATGTACTGTGTGCGGAGCAGTCGTTCTAATTATGTATTTGTTGCTGTTCTCAATTGTTCTTGGTCACGATAGATAAAGGCAACTTGATCTATATGGATTTGGAAAAGGACGAGGATCTGTTCAAGGGCCACGGAGATTACCAGTTTGACATCTACCGCAAGATGCGCCGCCAGATTGGCAAGGACTGGACCGTCTCCTGTCCCAAAACTAACCTCTTTGTAAGTGGATTATGGTCGTGGTTTTTTTTTTTTTTTTTTTTTTTTTTTTTTTTTTTTTTTCGTTTTTCCAATCGGCCAACTCGGGAGAGCTTCGTTTATGGGTGTAATTTTCTAACGAGGCCCTTCAATTGATTCATCTTAGTGGTTACATTATATCGCGGACAAACTATTGAACGAAAAGGACCTCGAGGAGCCAAAACCAAACCCCAATGCCCAACTTTCCGCGACAACCTCCAGTCTATATACTAAAAAGCGTGCATCCATGTCCGTGTCAATGTCAACAACCGCGACCATCGCGCCAGAACTAGATCCGAGGACCCAAGAAGAGCAGCTGGAAGAATGGTGTTTTGAACGTGTACTGGCTATCTCGGATATGAACCTTGATGGGCTTGATCCTTCAGGCCAAACGCCCTCTGGGATGGTGCTAGACCAACTTCTCTTTGAACTTCCTCCCTGGCTTACATAATTCCTGGCTCACATAGATGATCAACATAAAGATACTATTACGCTGTAACTAAAATCCAGTAGAGATTGGGTGTTGGTTGTTTGGTGCATTTATTTTTGCAAGGGGGGGGAGGGTGTGCTATTTTTTGTCTTTTTGAAATCTGTTTTTGGGTGGGGGACCCTAAGAAGGGTTGGTGTTGAGAGATTCTCCTGCACTGATACTCTCTTCGTCACTGATAAGTCCAACTGCTGCCATCGTCAAGTTCTTTGTTCTTTGACGCCTGTTTCTTTTTTTTTTTTGCGAGAACAGGGGAGAACTCCATGAGTTGTTGGATGTTGTTGATGGTTTTTGCTGGATTTTACTGTCCGTACTTCTGGTACTCCCATTCTCTGTTGTCCAGTGGGCACACCTGACGCGTCTTGAGCCATCTCGAGATGCAGTGAAAGTGGAAGGCGTGCTAATAGATCGGAAGAGTAAGATAGGAATAGGAAAAAAAATGTTAACAAGGCTGGATTTTAACAAAAGGATTCCGATTTGATAAACAATAAAGCAGCGTCGGGCGGTGGAAGGTTCCGGTCATCCTGTCGTTATATCTTACATTGCAGATTCCCCAAGCGACGGTGCACTCCTCACTTGTAGCAGAGGCCTGGTTAGCCTGGCACGAGATGCCTAATTGTCATAATAACAACAAACGCGCAAGGACTCGGTTAGTACTCATAATTGGCTTTCAAGGGTTCCTTGTACACATATGACAAAATGACTGGTACAAGAGAACAAGGCGACGAGGCAAGAAGGTGGTAAATTTGATTGTTTGAGTCAGGGCGATGACAGTAAAGGAGCACATACAGAGATCCATGATGTGGTTGCGGCAAATAGCACAGTTATCGACGACAATGTCTACAAGATAGAAAGTAAGGCAAAAGGAAGGAGGAAAGGTCAGTAAGAGGAGTCGGGTATGAGGCACAGTCATGGCATAGTCCGCAGCACAATATGGCACTCGGTGGCAAATATCAAAAAACGCAAAAAATTGTGCACAGGCAACATACCCCAAGCCCAAAGAGCAACGGCGTTCCACTAGAAGGGTTTAGTAAAGCAATACACAAAGGCGAAGCTGCAAGTTAGTTCTCGTTTCTCTTCTGGCATGTAATGGTTGTTTCCTAAAAGAGCGACTTCGGCGAAGGTCATGACAATCAGCCCCAAAGAGCATAAAAATAAAGTGGTGGCAAAACACCCGCAGACAGATTCCTGTTGTACTTCAACTTGATGCAGCAATAAATGAGGCGAGTTGTGTCGTCTATTGTCCACGTTACTCCTGAGAAAAAAGGGATCCGGATGCGCATGTCTTTTTGTGTGTGCGTGTTGGGGTCGCCATGCAGCACTGCCCACGTAACAAAAAAATAGCGTGCGGCGCAGGTCCGTCCAAAACCCTTTGCAATCGTCACCAAAAAAGAACTAAGTTCTGCCCCTTGGCGATGAAAATGATCCAGTCCCCCAAAACCTCTCAACCTGTGTGGTCCCTGAAAATCCTGTGGTAGCCATAGCAAAAACAAAAGAGAGGCAAGGCGACAAGTAAACTGAGATGGAGAGTCTCGCTGATTTACCTTCTTGACCTCGAAACGCTTCTTGCCGCTGGCATCCTTGCCGGCCTTGGCCTTGCCAGCCTTGACCTCTGTTGTCTGGGAGTCGACATCCATGGGCTCGTCAATGTCTGCCATTGTGTATCTATAAGTTGCTTGTTGTGTTGGTCGTTGTTGTTGAGTCGGGTTGGGCTGAGGAGAAGAAAAGAGGAGGCGCGGTTTACAGGGGGAAAGAAGAAAGAAGTGGATGGCAAAGAAGACGAGAATGGACAGGTCAAAAGATGGTCGAAAATAAGAGAGGGCGACGCGTTGGACTTTCTTTTCTGTAGCAGATTGCGTGTACGTGAAAAATTGATGGACGTAGAAAATTTGTAACTTGGGTCGTTGCCACCAACTTGCAACTTCATCACAAAACATATGCTTCAAGAAGCAACAGGAGTGGGCTGAACATGGGACTCGGAAGGGTCCAATAGCTTTATGGTAAACAGCGCTTGAGGGTGTGTGTGTAAGAAAAAAGAAACCAAAACTGGTCAGTGTGTATGTGGGGGGTGAGGGTGTACATGTGTGTGTTTGTGTATGTGCCCGGCAAAAGACCTTGACCTTGAACCATCAACTTGGTAGGAATAGTCTGGGTCAAGTACGCTCGCCAGGCACCGTCTTGTTCGCCTGGAGTAGTCCTGCTTTCTCGAGTTAAAGACTGTCGTCTGATATCTGTCTCTCCAGGATCTCATGTCGTAAATTGAACGCTTCATTGACAATCTAGTGACAAAAAGTAGTATAGACACAATACACAGTTAGTTCTCAAGTCTTTTGCGAGAGATCATTAGGGAAGCACAGAAAGAAACAATGAGAGCTCTTTCGTACCTGATCCATATCCAGGGGAGGTAACCGCATCAACATGGTCCTAATCTCGGACTGCTCCAGCTCCTCCAGATTCTCCTTGAGGTGTCTGAGGACAGCAAGGCAGAAGTATGGGTGCAGCTCGATCCAGTCAGGAACTGCAAAGTAGGTATCCCACAACCGCATCGTGTTTTCTAATGAGAGCTCCTTTGACAGAACAAACTGAAGAGCCGATGCAGCCCACTCCTTGATGTCGACCTCCTCCTCCTCAAAGTAGCTGTACAAATCTGGGATGCACGTCCTGAAAAGCGTCATGAAACTGGCCACGGACTCGTTGATGCCTCGACTGCTGAAGTGGTCATCTATTATAACATGCGGAGCAAATGACAAGAATAAGTATCGCTGCGCAAGTAAAAATACGAGGATGTCGCAGGACCAAACTGCACAGCCAATTCCACATAAACACACGAGGGAAGGTGCGACAGCAATTGAAAAGATGCGACTTACCAAGGATATTAATCATCTTTTCAAAGCAGAGGAAGGCATCGCATTCCCGCTTGACCGAATAGATAAAGGGTGCGCAGAGGTTGACCATGGCGGGGTAATATTCGACCCGGTGGTTGTGATTGCAATAGGCGCTGATGACATCCTCAAAGAGCCGAGGCATGTTACGACTGGATTCGATGTTGGTCTTGCGAAGATACCGCGAGATCTCTCCACGAACACGCTTGGTCATCTCGTTGGGGTCCTTGTCAATCAGCTCGTACTCCTGCAGCTTTTGCTTCTGGGTTGAGATCTCCTTGGACCGGTCAGCCTCTTGGATGCCAAGCAGGTACAACCAAACCTCCTAATGTTTGAGACGAAAGGCAATAGAGAAAAAAAAAGAACGAATAGAAAAGAGACATGGTCACGTTAGCATTGATAGAATATCGAGTGAGCATTCTTCATGCGGCCGAGGGTAATTATTCGTCCCATTCGTTGCCCCCGACCCCACACGATAACCACTATGTGAACGATCGCACTCTTTCACACTCACAACAAACACACACGACACCACGTCGCCTTCCTGCAGGAGCAGCCCAAGAACCTTATAGGGCCAAGCCAATCACACACTAACGCCCATCAAAACAAAAATATTATGAAATCTAAAAAAAAAAAAAAGTGGGGATGGAATACTAGACAGACAACCAACAACCGCATAATCAAATGCATTAGAACGAAAGAAAGAAGGAAAAAAAGGCGAAAACTGAGAACTCAGAGCAAAAGTAATGTTCAAAAAAGGGAAAAAGCGCACCTGTCGGTGCTTGAGGAGAGTGAAAAAAGAGAATGAGAAAACACATCTCGAACTGAACTCTGTACAAACGGGGGTAGGGATTGAAGCGGGCCGTTGGCTGAAAAAAAACCCTTACAAAATTGCCATGTGTGGCAAGGACTGTAAGAGATGGGACAGGAGAGTAACAAAATAAAAACAGGGTTCCCGCATCGACAGCAAAAGCCCAATAGGGATCGAGGGTTTGCGCACACGGTGGTCACGATCGTTAGCCCTCCCCTAGTGTCCCTTTGTCAACATGCACCTCGCGACCGATTAAGATTCAAGGGAGATATCTCTTTCTGTCTGCGATCCAAATGACGGTATGGATAAGACCAAGCAGAGAGTAAAAAACAACAACCAGAAGGCAGAAAAGTGTTCTCGGCATGTCTTTTTTAGTGACGACGATTGCCTGTTCCTTCTTTCTGCCAACTCAATTGGGAGGATAAGCAAACCCAACAAGGAACTGAGGTAAACGAGAAAAAAAAAGGTGGTTCAGCAAGCAGCGGAGGTCCACACACACACACCAAACACACAACACCCGCGCATTTGCATTTCAGGAGAAAAAGAAAGGAATCGAAAAGACTAGACGAGACAAAACAAAACAAAAAATTACTACATGAGCAAGGGACAAGGGGTGAAAGACACATCGTGTGGTGGTCTCGTCCGTCCCAGAAGAAGGTCATGAAAGAAGAAATGAGAATGAAAAAAAGGGCCAAACGCAAACAACACACCAAAAACCGAAGACCAACCAAACTGTTGGATGATCAATTGACACAACTTTCGCATACACACGACTCATGAGAGCGATAGCGAGAAGGTACCTCCAACAAAATACTGAGACGCCCCTTTCTTCCTCATCTTCTTGACCATGGTCATCTTCCTTTCGATTGCTCCGTCGAAAGAGTGAAGGACAATAAAAACAAAAAGCCGAACAACAAACAACCGGAATAAGTGTTTGTGTGTTTTGTCCAACTCTCGCTCTTGACGAGCCCAGCGCCCGTTTGCTTGATTTGACCATCGCTTTGTAGTTTGTTGTTGTCCTTTCTATCTCTTTTACCCCTCTTCTCATCTCATTGCAAACGATACAAAAATAACCCGTTCAGAATGGGCCGCGACCGATTTTCGTTTCTACTTCGGGGCAGGGGAAAAGACGGAATGTGGGGATAAAGAGCACGCGAGCAAAAACCAAAATAAAAAGCGAGAGCGATAGAGATAGATGAATGTATGAAGGTGCGAAAGACAAGGAAGAGCTTCCATCCCCCTGCCTGTTGCCCTGCCTTTGACTTGCCCTCTGCCTAATGTGTTTTCTCTCCTTCTTTTTTGTTTTATTTCTGTCACCCTGTCCCTCTTTTGCTCTCTCTTACTCTTGAGCGTGCATGACACGAAAGACAGCCAAGGATCTGTGTGTTTGTGTAGTGTGTTTCGATAATGCAATGGCAAAAGAGAAACGCGCATTGAATAAAAAAAAAAAAAGCACACCCCGCAACAATTTTTACAATGGCCCACCTGTGTGTGGCTACACAAAGAAACAACAGCACAGAGAAAAGAAATCCGTGACTGACTACAAAAAAAAAATCATATTGGTTTTCTTACCCCTCGAACCTCTCTCGAGATACCATGGCGAGCATAGTCCCGCAACTTGTTAACCTCGATCCAGACCTCGGCATTGAGGACGTCCTCATACTCCTCTACGGTGATAGACATGTTGTCCAGATGCTCCTGGCGGTACTGCTGCAGCGTCCGCTTGTTGTACTTGGTCGGTGGAGAAGACGAGGCCGAGGTGTTGGACGAGGACGAGTCACTCTGGTGTCTAGAGTGGGTGTTGTTGGTATCGCTAGTGTTGATGGTATTGCTGTGGATGATGTGGTGGTGCTGATAGCTGTAGGGCGAGGTGAGGGGACGGGGCTGCTGTTGTTGCTGCTGAGGGATGGAGGAGAGAAGCATGTTTGAATCTGGAACTAATGTTTTTTTTTTGTTGTTGTGTTGAATGTGGATCTCTTTCGTTTAAGTGGAGAGTTCAGGTATCAGGGCAAGGGGCGAAAAAATAAAGGGTAAAAAAAATAATTCAAGCGCGGGAAAGATGGCTTTAGGCTAACTATTGCATAAAGAGAATGAGCATGGCAGTGGGGAAGAGAAGAAGAGGGATGAAGAAGTGTGCATGAGGGGGATAGGGAAAAGGAATAGAAAAGGAGGAGAGGAAGGTTGTGAGAGGGAGAGAGAGAAAGAAACGAGGTGTGAACGAGAAAGAGAAGACAAAAAAAAAGACGGTGGAGGGAAGAATAGACAAAAGGGAGGTCGAATGGCAGACGACGGAGCAAGAAGCCAAGAACAAGAACCAGTCGCACAAGGAGAACGGAGATCGGGACCAGTGCGAAGCAGATATGAAAAATCATCCTTTGCAGTGCACACACGACTTTGCTCTTCTCACACTACCTCCATTTTATTTTATGTTTTATATTATATCTCCATTCTCCGGAAGAACACAACAGCAGGAGAGGGCCACAATCAGTGGCACAACTGCCTCCTGCCTCCATGTGACCTTCTTCTTGTCTGTCTACTCAACATAGCCTTTGCACCACATGCAACCATCCACACATTCTCCTTCTGAAGGTCAGTGCAACCACTCACTCACTACCTCACTACCTCACTATTCGTCTTTCCTGTTCCCTCCCTTCCATCTTGAAAACCTCTTTAGCCAGAGCGTCTTTAAACGTCGTCGTTCAACAGGAAAAAAAGAGTCAAGAACTGGGAAGCTGGGGTCGATTGGTCCGATAGGGAACCCAAGCAGCGGAGCAGAGAAAAAAATAATAGAGATCCAACAAAATAAACATGTCCCTCTCTGAAGTCACATCACACGCTTGAGTTGGTTTCTCCACGTCTGGGCGAAAAGGCACGTTGGCGGATGATACTGGATGCTGCTCACTTGAACATATCCAACAAAAAAAAATCCCCCAAAGACAGAGACATGCTCCACCATCTCTTCTTTACCCCTGATCTCCCCTTTTCTTGATTTGCTTCCATCTCTGTTCCTTGTTACCGTCTGCGAGGCGCGCCAAGATTGCACAAGCATGGACAAAACCAATTGACCCTCCCAAATTCATAGCAAAGGCCGGCAAAAAAAAAAAAAAAAAAGCTTTACCATATCAAAATACATGCATGACGGAGGAAGTGGGATGGTTTAATAGATGTCCCACAGACTGATCCTCTGTTCCTTGCCACCGACTGCGATCCAATGCCTATTAGACCACCGCTGCCGATCTGCCAGTGCATCCTCCAGCTCACTGTCACTGCCACTGTCGCTCCCGCTCTCGTCACTTGACTCGTTGTCGTCGTCGCCTCCGACTCTATCGTCATTATCTCCCGTGGCAATGGAGTCACCTGTGCCGGTTGTGGTACCAGGAATAGTTGTGAAAGAGGCAGCGAAAACACTCTCATTTGACGACGCTAGCAACGATGGTGTCTTGTTCTCCTTCAATTTTTGATCATGCTGCTCCTTAATCTCTGAAAACCCGAGGCAGTAGAGCCCCTCCCGATGGTACTTGAGCACTGCCAACGGTTTGAGAGTCTTTGATGAGAAGAGCCGTATCCTGGGTATTACATAGAAAATAGAAAATTTGGCTCGCATTAGTGTCTTTCTGTTGTGAGGGAAATTGAGATATGCACACATGAAACATACACTTTGGGAGACAAGAAACATGAACACAACGAATGAAAGGTGTGGAAGTGTGAGGAGAAGGAAGGGGAGTCGTCCTTTAGCTTTCGTTACCTTCCATCCCATCCAGCAAGGGCAATAACCTTTTCGTCACTCCGGATCTTGCCATCAGCCATCCCGTTCGCCTTGAGCGCGCTTTTCACGACCTCTGGTGTCCCCTGTAGAGAACTCGACAGGTCATACTTTACAAGCACATTGTCCGACCCGCACGAGATTGCAAACCCTGCCTTGTTCGACACATCGACCGCCAGCACTATATCAATTCATTCAACAACAAAAACGACAGAGAAGAATCGCAAAACAAATTGTTAGTTATAATCCTTTCAAAGATAACGCGGAGATGGAAAAGTATGATGTCAGTCAGGAATGTAGCTCACCTGGCTCACGGTGGTATTTTGTAGACCAGACGGTCTCCATGGTCCGCTTGCTCTTCATTGCAGTATTCGTCGTGTTAGTGATGGCAGGGGTTCCGGCAGTAGAGGCAACAGTTGAATCCCGAAACAGAGTAACCGACCCATCTTCGTAGCCGACCAGCATATTAAGCGTCCCTTCATCCATGGCAGGCGCGATGCCTTGCTCGCCGTTCGTCGCTCCAGACAAGAACAGCTTGATCGACATGGCAGAACCCCACTTCTTGTCCGATCCTGATGGAATTGCGTTGCTGCTGCTTTGGAACTTGGCGCTGGAGGTAGTGTCAACGGGACCGACTGCTGCAAACGTCCGCTCTGGCTTCGTCACATCGTAAACGTCGATCAAGCTTGACGTCGTAGGTGATGGGACAGCGACGTAGATGTGTCGATGTGTCCTCCTCAGCACTCCTGCTCCTATCCTCATCGCTGTCGTCTCTGTAGTCCCTGTTGCTGTGGTTGATGTTGTCAAACTTGCTAGAGGCTCGTCATTGTCGACAGGTAAGATGGCCATCTTGCAAAAATTCAGCGCGTTGACCGGCAGACTCAGGATCGGTACAACAGTTTGAGACCCTTTGCCGCTGTCCGAAAGGTTGACGATTCCGACGCTGCCTGGTCGCCTGACAGACTCTAGGAGGACCGAGTTGATATCCCAGAAATGTATCTCGTTGTCACGACCGTGGCTGACAATGTAGACTCGAGGGTCCTGCTGCGCTTCCATTTCTGCCTTAACTCTCTTCCTTGAGCTACTACTCTTCCCTGAGTCTGACTGCGCTGTAGTTGTAGGCCTGCTGCGCGTTGAAAAATCATCTTGGCGGATGGGTATCACTTTCAGGGCAAGCACAGATCCAGTTTTGTGGGCGTGCCATTTGCAAACCGGACGACGCTTCCAGATATCCCAGACACAGATCCAGCCTGTCTCGTCGCCAGTTGCGAGGAACGTGTTGGACGCAAAGAACTCGAGTGAATGGATCGGTGCATCGTGTCCCCGAAAGATGAATGACGGTGCCGGTGGTGGGGGTGGGGGCGGAGCTGGTTGTTGTTGGCTTGATGCTGATGAGGTCTTTCCTATCCTTGAGTGGTGATCGGTTGTTGTTCTTGATGTGTCGGACATGGCGAAGAAATGAAAGAAGGGTCTTCACAGAAGTGGTGGAGCGTCGTTGGAATCGCAACCAGACGACCGAAAGAAAATGACACAAGCCACGTGCAGGATCCCTCAAGAAGAAATCAAGAACTCAATTCCTCACCACTACACCGCGATAGCCCTTCTCACAAAAGATAGAAAGACTACCACAGCATCCCATACATTTTTCATCATTTTAAGGCCGAACATATGTTCGAGTTTCTTCTTCACTTCGTTTTGACACAGACAAGTAATGGTTGGCATGGCGAGGACGACGACGAGCAAGACCGTTACTCGTTCGCAAACCGTGACTTTGAAATTGGGGACATGTGTTCATTTGAGGAATCCCGGATCGAAATTTCGCGTTCTGGGGGGAAATGTCCTGTTGCAGCTGGAGCGACAACCTGGCGAAGAAGAAACATAAAAAGAATTGTTTTCGTCCAGGAAAAAAAAGGCAAGATAACCACAAGAACGATGAAACTGAGGACAGGTTGTGCTCCACCTGGTTCACAGTGATCACTTTTGTTGACCAGATGACCCTCTATAGGCCCCCGCCCGACTCCTATCCTGGCAGCATTTCCGTGATGGTCGTGAGAGGGTCACCCCGTCAGTGGAAGAGACAGTCGTGTTCCTTGCAGTTCGTCAAATTGGCCCGATAGTCACCTTGTAAAGCTGAACCCATTGGCCAATGGGCGGGGGATTGAACCTTCCTCCTTGCGCTTTTCGTTGACATAAACCGTGTTCTCGACTTCTCCTCGGTCTCGCTGTCAATTATAGAACTCGATTTCGGGCAGACGTCTCAGTGGATATGGTTCGCCCTCAGGACGACGACCGACTAAGCACTTTGAGGGACTAGGGAGCAGGTACCTCATGTTCGCGGAAATTGAATGACAGCGAGACGCGCGGCAGTGGCGACGACAGTTGTTAATGAGTTGTTGGCGATGTTTGTCTCGTCCATCCCTGGCGGTCGATTGAAGTTGCTGATGAGTTGGACATGATGGACAAGAGAAAGAATTGCTTGCGGAAACGAGACGCGTCGAAAAATAATCACCAAAAACCCCACGCGTGTTGTTTTGTTCCCGAATACAAGAAATGAGAATCTCACAACAACTAAGAACAATGCTTTTTTTCGTTTTAATGGCATACTAGGAGAGTTAACGAAACAGAGCGACAGCAGATCAAGTACCTCTACACGGTCATCTTCCGTGCAAGGTCCTCTGCCCGGTCACGAATCGTCTTATCCATAACCTCATACATCTGCTTACAACCCTCGCCTGCCAGTCTAAACACCTCTTCCAGCTTATCCACATGTAACCGTGACTCCATCTGCGCCAATGTGATTTTGCTGCTCTTGGGCAGCATCGCAATTGTGACCTCAGAGGTATCTGACGACTCTTCGATATAGTTGAGATCAATTGCTGCCTCACGTTCGACCCATCCTGCTGTACAAGCACAGACATAGTCTGTCATGGCGATTCCTGCGTCGATCAACGCCAATGTGGTCGCATTGATACATGCCTGGAGGGTGCCTCCGTCGTGCTGGATCACTTGCAGGTAAATGTCGATCTGCGAGCGTGGGTAGAGTGTAGCAATGACCACTGGCTCGAACGTCTGCTTCACAAACGACGCCATCTCCAACAAGCGCCTATTACCGAAGGAAATGTTTTCGTGGTTAGATCAATTACTTAACAACCTAGTTGCCAGTCTCACTTCATCCTTTACAGGCTATAACAGCAACAACAAGAGAACCTACTTGTCGTTCTTGCTTCTCCTCCTTCTCTCTCCTGAACTGAAGGGTGCGACGTTGAGTTCGACATTGAGGATGGCACGATCGTGAAGGACAAGGGCGCGGTGACGGGCTTCACGAGGTCCATAGACAGCTGCGAGGACTTTGGTGTTTCCGTGCTCAAGGTATGCCGATCCGTCTGCCTGCGACAAGACGCACGTTGTGCTGGTGATCTTTCTCAATTCCGCAGGGCGACGACCGTCAATACGGAGTCCTATTTGGTTGTGTGACATATGTATGGGAGGTAGTTAGAGAGACTGCTGCGGTTGTATTGTATTTCCTTTGGTCGAGCCGGCTGTGGCTCTTCTGATGTTGCTTCGTTGTAGCTGGAAGAAAAGAGTGAAGGTGCGGGTTACCTTCGGGAGACAAGAGTTCGGCACGAGACTAATGGCAGTTGTTGTTGGCATGGAGTGAGAGAGTGAGAGTGAGAGAGTGAAGAAAGAAGTTGACATCCAGTTAGTTCCATTGCTGCTGTTGTTCGTTTCTCCTCGGTCATTCTCCGTGAAAACAGCGAGTATCGACTCCTGTTGCTTGTCTGTCCGCTGATCCCGTACCATGGTATGCTGGTTGTGTAAGTTGTTTGTGTGATGCGTAAAAAAACAAAAAAAGGCAAGCTTGTCTTTGTATGCCGTGCAATTGAAGGAGGTCGAATTTTTTTTGTGGTTTGTTTGCTCAAGCCACACAGACTGCCACCAATTTTATCCCTTCTGTTCAGAGGGCACCTCCCAACCACCCAGCCAACCACTGGACACCGACTTTGCTACGCCCATCTCTATTGCTCATCTCTTCCTCTTCGACCATGACCAGCCTACTCAATTCAGACTGCCGCATCAAGTACGGCACACTCATCTTCTTCTTTGAACTCACTGCAACACGAGGAACAGGACACAAAGGCACCACCTCCTAACCGTCTACTTCTTCGCACCTACACTCCTCTCCTCCCTCACCCGAATTGATAGAGTGAGCTCCGTCCTGAACCGCGAGACGACCCTCTATGGCAAGCAGTGCCTCACAGACAACAGCGAAGAAACATGCTGGAACTCTGAAGCTGTAAGTCATCCTCTCACTACGTCATCTACTCGCCATCCTATCTCCCACTTTCGATTTACGCTTCGACCGCCATATTACTCCACGCAGCAGCATACAACAAAAAAAAATACGCGCTTCCTAGACTGAATTCCTAGCAAATAATGGCCAACATTACTCACCACAACCCCCTCCCTCTTCTCACTCTACTCTCACTCCTCCCTTCTCAAAAAAAACATAATAGGGCACCCCACAATTCATAGTGATCGATTTCGGCCGCAAGGTCAACATCGAGACCTTCCAGCTAATGTTCCAAGGCGGTTTCGTCGGCAAGACCTGTCAAGTCCTCGCCTGGACCGACGCCTCCGAATTCGTCGACATGATGCGCTTCTACCCCGAAGACATCAACCCATTACAGATAAGTTCCACCTCCCCCTCCCCTTCATCCTTTTTTTCTTTTTGCCTTCCGTCCCAAGTTGTGGTATAAAGGAGATCGCTTGGGGGGGTTTTTTGGAATTGGTATCAAAAGAGATCGCTTTTGGGTGTTCTAACGTGGAACGTTTTTTTGCGCCGTCTAATACAGCTTCCCGGTGGCAGAATCAGAGCGCCAGACGACGTCGAGGGTCAAGATCGTGTTTGAGTCCAGCACGGATTTCTTCGGTCGTATCACCATATACAAACTGGATATCCTCGGCCAAGACGCTTAAAATCCCCCCCCCCCCCCTCCCCTCCCCACTTATCGCTAAAACATACAGTTAAATAATAGCATCACTCACACGCGCGGAGGTAATTAATTTTGAAGTTTGAGACAACTAGTGGTGGTAGATTTGATTCAAGAAGACTAATGAGAAAAAAACGGAGGCGATCTGCAGACTACTCTTGTTGTTAAAATGGAGGCGATCTACAGACTACTCTTGTTGTTGTTGGTCTTCCAAAGACTTGGCCTGCTGCTGATCCGACACATTCATCGACAACGTCGAGAACAATGGCGAATCCCCTACATGGCTACGACGACTGTGATCAAACTGCTGCGAAGTCCGACGATGATCTTCCTGTTGTTGCTGTCCCTGAAGCTGAAGCTGCTGCTGCTGGGGATGAGACTGTTGGTTCTGATGCTGCAATTGATGCTTCAGATCTTCAATCGACTGCTGCTGCTGCTGCAGTTGGAACTGCAACTTATCCATCATGAACCCCATCTCTGTCTGACGCTCCTTATCCCGCTTCCGTTCGTCCTCCACCTGTCCCAGGTACCGCTGGACGACCTGGAACTCTCCCAAAATCGCGCGGTATAACTGTGTAGCAGGTTGTTGTTGCTGGTCTTGTTGAGCGGATGATATTGAAACTTGTCCGTCCATGAGTTGGTGTCCTGAGGAAGAGTGGGAGTGGGAGTGGTGGAGATTGGATTGGCTGTAGATGTTGTGTTGGTGGTCGTAATGGTACTGCTGTCGGGAGTCTGATTCAGAAGTAGGCGTACGGAAAGCAGAGGAAGAAGACGAACTCTGGAGAACCATCGATCGATCCTGAGAATCCTCGGCCGTGTCGCGCAAGGGGTCTCTGCTACTGGATCGAGTATATTTGGCTGGGCGGTGAGGATCACTCTGCAAAGAAGAGCTCGAGCGAGACGACGGCCGCTGGGGATGTGTCCCGTGGACTATGCGAGAGTACCGCTCTTTGGAGTAAGGATGAGACCCCCAAAGACGCTGAGGCTTAAACTCGGACTCGAATGGATGATGGCGGAGGCTTGTTGGGGGTGTCATGTCCATCTCGTCCAAGGACCGGTCAACAGTACTCCTCTTGTTGCTAGTGGTGTATCTAACGTTGCTCATTGATGACTGGCTGGAATTACGGGGTCGTCTCTTCTGCGCGGACGTTGTGGCTTCGAGTTCGGATGCTGTCGGAGTGGTGGCGACGGTCTGCGGGGACTGGACGAGTGACAGGGCTGGCGATCGGGGAGAGACAGAAACATCCATCGCTGTCGATGACTTGAGAGCATCATGGTGCCTCCGCTCTCTCATACTCTCGTCAACATCGTCATCACCGTTTCCTAGTCCCTTGCCACGACTACCATCACTGCTCTGCCGTGACCGACTCCGGTGGGTCTCCTCCTGGTCGTCCGAGTCTGAGGCCGAATCGTCATCATCGTCCTCGCCATCTTCCAACGACCCACCCTGCCCGGAAGCCTGCATCATCTGAATAACCTGCTTAATAAGCTCATCATTCTCCTCCTTCATGTCATCCGGAATACTCCCATGATACATCCGCTCCCGCAACTGGTATGGCTTGATCATCCGATTCACCCTCCGGATACATTGCCGTGCATGAACCTGCATCTTGAGCGCATCCCGCACATCCTCCCAAGCCTTGGCGACCTGCCCCATCTTTTGCGCAAACGGGTTCAGCCGAATCGTCTCCAGTAACAGCTGTCGATCAGCCTCCTCAGACCGATACCGTTTCTTCTTCTGCATCCTGACCAGAGCTTGGGGTTGGTTCATCATGACAAAGAGCTGGTCCAGCAGCTTCTTCTTGATCGCAATCTGCTCCTCTGTCCCGACGGGTCTTTCTCGTCCTGCGATGCTGGCCTGGATGATGTTATCGTACCGCCGTGCGCACGTCCGCGCCCTGACGCCTTGCTCGCGTGAGATGCATTCCCAGACTTGGGTTGTACGACGGATGGGGCAGTTGAAAGGGTCGTGACGGAGGACGCTCGAAAGGAGACTGATCTGAACGTCCATCGGGAGAGGACCCTTGGGTGTGCCACGAGCTGAGAGGACCTTGCGGTTGTACACACTCTCGGTTGAGGTCCATTTCTTGGGATGTTTCATTGTCTGAGTTGAAGAAGGCGTGTTGTGGTTTCCGTTGTGGTTGTCGTCCTTGGAGGCAATGCTGAGGACCCTCTGCAGTGGGGGAGGGTGCTGGGAGGTTGACTCTGAGGTTGACACACGAGACCGATCACTCGAAGAGCCTTCTACTGCAGCTGAACGATGATGATGGCGTTGTTGAAGAGGAGGGAGGCTCTCGTAAAGGGACTTGTCCGATGTGATAGAATAGCGCGATCGCCCATTGTTGTTGTTGCTACTGCTGTACCCATCCAAGTCGTCGGGAGGAGAGAGGCGATGAAGAGAGAGTCGATCCTCCATCATAGCGGTGGTCAATGAACTGTTCCCAGCAGAGGCGGAGGTCGACGGTTGTTGTTGGGCAGGGTAGAGAGGGTGGAACCGATTATCGTGTCTCTGATTAGAATCTGAACGACTATGATATTGGTTCGATGATTCCGAAGGAAGGTCAGTCGTGTGAGAGAGAGGCGATAATGAAGAGTGAGGACGTATCCTACTGTTGCTGCTGGTGGTTGGGGGGAAGGATTCTTGACGTGACATAAGTGTGGGGGTGGTAGCATAGTGTGATCCAGGAGGCGATGGCCACATGGACGATGATAACGAGCTGCTGAAAGGAGAGATGTGTTTGAAGGCTGCGGCTGCGGCTAGAGCGGCACTTGAAGGGGTATCATAGGGTGAGGAAGGGTAGGACGAGAGAGTGGAGGCTGTGGTGGGAGGGGATAGGGTCGAGGGTGGAGGGAGGTGGATGGAATTGTTGTTGTCGTAGAAGGATGATGGTCGCGTGGAAGAAGAGTCGTGGAGGGAGCGCGACTTTGAGGGGGGCGAGGGAAGAGACCACGTTTGTCGTCTGCGGCTGTCGGCGGAGGAAGAGAAATCCCGAGGGTATGGGCTGTTGTTGTGGGAGTTGAAGGACGTTGGGAAGGGGTAGAGAGAGACCATTGTTGAGGGGGGCATGTGGGGTAATGACCGATAATGAGGGGTAATAAAGGGTGAAGGTGAAATAATAACGAAGGAAGGAAAGAGAAAGAGAGGAGACAAGAGCGAAAATGAGGAAGGTTAACACCTCGTATGAAGACAATCGAGGGGTGTGTCCGTGGAAGAGCAGCATGGTGCTCTAGGAGAGTGGATGCCCATGGAATGGTCGATCCATATGCGGTAAAGCGGATGAATAAGCCCAGTCGACAAAACGAGACGAGTACATACTTATTTATCGCTCTACAAATGGGTACATTTCCTTGGTTACATCCATGGTTAAAGTTTTCTCTCACCCTTACCATACCCAATGCAACAACCCTCTTTTTCTCTCTTCTCTATGCAAAGGTGCTTTCCATCTCTCTGTATTACTCTTTTCTCTGGTTTTACACTTTGTTCTCCTTTCGCATCGGTCACCGATTGCCTTCTTAGGTACGACACCCCCTCCGATCTCCTTCTCGCAAGCTCATTCTACATTACCGCCATGTTTGTTGTTTCTCTTTTGTTAGGCGATACACTTTGCTGCTTTGTTGTTTTGCAGCTGTCATCCTTTCCTTCTACAATGCCTCCCGATCCACACTCCACAATCCCACTTACTGTTCTTGCATATCCGTGTAGTCAGGAACAAATATATGTACTCTATCAACAAACGCGCGCACGCGGTGAGAATCTGACTAAGCGCTTCCCTCTTCCTTCCGGAAGGAACAATCTTTGTTCCCCAGACTATACCAACAAAGCACCAATAACGTCTCATCCAAAATAAACAAAACATAATCATAATCATAAACACAAGGTAGAGAGTCTTTACCTCAGAGAAGACGGAGAAGGATCGATCGAGGATTGCTGTGTGCGACGACTGCCCGTCGTTGTTACATTTTGCTCTCGAAAGGAAGAGGCAGACTCCACGGTATCGGCTTGTGATCCTGGTGTTGTGGAGGGGGCGGAGAGTTCATCACGCGTTGTTCCTGTCGGGGTTGTACTAGTGTCTAGTCCGACGACGGCCTCCTGTGGAGTGTGCAACAGAGACACTGATGCATGGCCGTTGTTGTTGTTGGTATCTTTGTCCTGATGCTGTTGGTACTCCGATTGGTGGTGCGCGTTGTTGTTGGTACTGTTGTTCTTAGTATCGTGGAGTGGCTGTCGTGGTGCCTGATAGTTATGGAGGTCGGTCGAAGTAGAAGCAGACGAGGAAGTCGAGAACGGGAAATGCAAAAGAGGAAGTGACTGCAATGGATGCAATTGTACCGAGTCCCTGGCAGTCGTGTTCTTGTCCCAGTGAGGAGAAAGCATGGTCGAATTAGATGTAGAAGAAGGATCGACGAGGGATCCTGCGAGGGTGGGAGTAGAAGCGAAGGCCGTGTTGATGGCGATTGGGGGGTTTGAGGGAGATAAAGAGGAGGAGTAAAGGGGTGAGAGGGAGAGGAGGGACGTAGGAGATGAGAGAAAATGCGATGAAGAGGGATGTGCTATCGTCGAGGAAGAGGATGAAGATATGGAGGAGGACAGTGATGCGAATGTCGGTAGAGAAGAGGAAGGGAAGGGATTGGCTGCTGCGGCTGCATGAACAAAGATCTCTGACGACGGTCGCTGCTGCTGCTGCTGCAGGGCGATGTTGTTGTATTGAGGAATCATATCAACATCAACATCCGCATCGGGATCATCGCGATCGTTATCACTATCCTCCCCATGGCGATCCTCTCTCGATCCAACACCACGGTCCTGCTTGTTGTTGTTGTTGCTGTCACTATTGTCCGCATCATCGTCAGTTGTGTTGTTACTGCTGATGTTGTTCTGGAGATCGGTCCTGCCAACTCCACCACTCAAGTCAGACTGTTGCTGCTGTTGTTGTTGTTGTTGTTCCTGTCTTGCACCCTCTCGACTGGATAGCCCCTGAACATTGATGTTCTCCATCTTGGATAACCGTCGTTGAGATATGGGCTCGTCTATATGTAACATCGATGACGGATCAGAGGAGTAGGAAGAAATAGGTATCTGGTGTATCGCGCCGTCGTTCTTGTCGTCTTGGCTTTGGCTTTGGTCGTTTTCGATTGGGATGTGGAATGGGTTGGAGTTCAAATTGGCGCTCATCCACGAAGAGAGGGTGTAAGGGGAAGGAGGTATTAGGCGGAGGAGTGGCAGGAAAGGGGGGGAAAGGGCGATTGAAAGAAAACAGACAAAGGAAAGTGAGAAGAAATGAAAGAAAAAAAAAGAACCCTCCAGGGTTGGGATAATAAAGGAAAAGGGCGACGGAGAAATAGAAAGGAAGTCAAAGAACTTCTGCGCGGATATGCGAAAGAGCTTGTCTGTGTTGATGAAAAGATGTAAGAGTGTAGAGATGAAGAGGAAGGCGACGAGGTTGGAGGATGGAGGATGTAAGATGTGGTGGCTCCTTTTGGATGAATGGATGGCCCCAAAATAAGGAGGGGAGAAAGAACGACCGTGTATTATCTTTCTGCGGAAGGAGAAGGGGGTTGATGTTGATGGTGATGGCGATGCACAAGGGTTGTGTCCTGTTGGCTCTGACACTCTTTGGCGTTGTACGACTGGGTGTTAAGGATGATGAAGAGAGGATGCCAAAGGAGGACAAAGGGAGGGCGAACAATCCAAGAATAGGGATGGTGATAGGATAAGATGGAGTTCGACAGACAGACAGAAGGATGGACGGATGCGCTTGGATCAACTCTCTCCCGTTTCAATGGGTTTGCTGCAAGGAGATTCGACTCGAAAGGAGGAAGGGTGCAGGCAGGGAGGGGCGAGAAACGGAAAAATATCCCGAGGAAGAACTAGAGGAGGTGGATGTAGTCGTTATTTGCGTGCTGCGAATTTGCTGCGTGTTGCTTAGTTGACACAGCAAAGGGTTGAAAGCTGCAGCTAAGTCGGTGTTATTTTTTTTGGCACTTTATCGAGGACGGTGGTTTTCAGGCACGAGAGCAAGCGAAATGCCACGTTCAGATGAAAATTAACCACAGAAAAACCAGGATCGGTACGCAGGAAGAGATGATGGCGATGACGGTTGCAGCTGGGTCGCAATCGTGGTCGGGGACGTGGTCGTGGCAGTGATGACGGTGGTGGTGGTGGTAGTGGGTCAAAAGGCCGCGGCAAGGTTGAGAAACTCTTAATGAGAGGGGAGCAGAGAGGACGAGGATTGCTGCAGGGCTGCGGTATGGAGTAAGCGCGATCTTCGGGAGCCAGCCAAAGGACAATGAATGCGCAAGAAATTAAAAGAGAAAAGAAGAGCTAGTGGTTAGAGTCGGGTGTGAATGCGCATGGGGGCCATGAAAAGCTTTTTGTTCGAGGCCAATTGCTATTGTTCTAAAGATGGTGCATAACCACCACCCCTCTTCATCAAAGGAACGACGTGCATGCACAACGACGTTTCTTTCATATAACGAATAACAGGAAAAACAAAAAAAAAAAGCAATTGAAAAACAAAAAGCTGCCGCATCGATGTTAAAAAAAGGGGGGGAGGGGAGAGAGACGCCATTTTAAATAGAGAACAACTCACGAAGACGATATCGTTCAGTTGACCATTAACAGGATGTGGTTATGGGTTTCATAGTAGCAAGAGTGAGAGCATAAAAAAACACACGAATGCACGTTGCTTACTGTATGCTTTCGAGACGGAAAAAAATACACTCCTGGCGACAATGCGATCAGAGGATTTTTGATGAAAATACGGGGGTTGAAAAAAAGGGAGAGAGAGAGAGAGAGAGAGCGAAAGAGGAGCGAGTGCAAGAGGGGTGGAGGAAGCGAGAGGAGGAGGAAGGGAGGTGTAATGTGTTATGAGATCGGAAAAGGGTCCAGGTCCAAGCCGAAATCCAGGGACCAAACGCACAAAGAGATGGACAGATGAAGTCGAAAGGAAGGAGTGAGAGAAAAACAAAGGGAAAATGAAAAAAGCGTATCAAGAATTACAAGAGCGAGAATGAACAAAGAAGTGAAAGGACTAATGAAGGAGAAACAAAGGGAAGAGAAAGGGGATGGATGGGAGGAGAGTAAAGGAAAAGGGAATTAAATGTTCATTCAACGAAGGAAGCAAAAAAGAAAAAAAGAACAAAAGGTGTCAAGAAAGAACACAAAGGCCAAGGTGATACCTTATATACGTTTCCTTCGCCAGCCTGGTAACCAACTAAACGTCCAATGGGACAATGAATAGGTGTCGAGGATGGATCATCCGATTTTTTTTAATGGTCCGGACTTAATTATCCTTGTGAATCACGATGCTGTTTTTTTTTCTTGGTAGAACAGAGCTTTCCATTACATCTTGTTACCCACAGCTGGGCACAACAGCCCTCCAAAACAAAAGAACAATGGTCACCATAAATGACAAACAATGTACTCTCTGCAGCCCTGGATGTGCGTGTGCCCTGTTTTTGTCAGCCAACTACCTACCTCTTCGTGGAAAAAAAATACATGCAAAATGCAACAGCACTAACTCCAGACTTGAACAAAAAAAGTATAACGGACAATCATTCATGGCTGTCATTGTGCAGGCAGGCAACTTGGATCCGTGGGCCAGCTCAAACCTTCGGGGCAGGCGGATAAGCCAATTATCGACTAGATATCAGGCATTTCACGTAAACAAACGGTTTTTGATTACCAGAAAGGGAGAAGGCTTGGCTTAGGTCCAATCATGATTTGCTTGGCAACAGGCAACGGACCCTTTCCTTGGCTGTGTCTGCTTGCATGGCTTGCTAACCCCCTAACTCACAAAAAAACCGATCTCCGGTCTCTATCTTACAAGATTGCCGATTTCCTCTCAAGAAAAAAAAAGAAGGGCTGTAACATTGCACCTTGGCACTCACTCCTCTTTTCTCTCTCTTACGCTCTTCCACGACCAGCTTGTTTCTCACCAAATAATTAATCATATGATAACCATGCAAGTCCAAGTAGACTCCTCGACCTCACTGTTAGAAAATCCCTCCCACCTTCCTCTCACTGTCAAGACAGCCATCAGGGTATTTGTTAACCAGTTATGTTTATCGTTTTCTCCAAAAAAGAACGAAACAATTGTAAAAAAGGCTGTTGTTTTGGTCTTTTTATTTATCGAAGAAGAACATTTGAGTTGGTCGAAATAGAAAGAAGAGTAAAAGTAAAAGAAAAAAGGCTAAACAAAAGACTACTAGGCTACTACGTCAACGTCAACGTCAACTATGTCGATGTGGTGTCGTTTGAATGAAAAGGAAAAAGGTCAATGTTCATTTATTTTTTTTGGTTCTGTGAGTATGTGTGATGAGGAGTGTTTTTTTAGCTCCGCGAAAGTGTGTCCAGACCCTGAAGAGAGAAGAAATCCGTCTGGAGTATCACATCCACGTTATTTCTTTACGGAAAGGTGGTATACGTTGTTGATATTGTCGTGGTTTGATATTACAAAAGAAAGTGAAAGGGTTGAAGAAGGAAGGAAGAACAAAGAGGGAAGAGTGTGTAGAAACGACAAGTGTTTGAAGAAGGGGAGAATGAGCCAAGAGGTGCTGGTTTAGAGGATCAAGCACTTGCCCTTCTTGCCCTTTCGTTCGCGATCCTTGGCACTCTCTTTGCGCTGCTGAATCTTTCTCATCAAAATCGTGTAGACCTCGTCGACGTTGTGCCTGGTCTTGGCAGATGTCTCGTAGTAAGGGCAGTTCCACTCGGCGGCCCTTGCTGCAGCCTCCTCACGGTTTACTTTACGGAGTTGCGTCAAGTCTGCCTTGTTGCCGACAAGAATGAATGGGATCTATAGAAAAAGACCAACAACATGAAATAGGAGTACGTCAGTACCTACCAATATCACCAATGCTGTTGATTTATGAACCCCATAATGGTGGCGTGTTGAGAAATAGAAAAGAGCCGAGGCGAAAATAATTGAGCGATATTAATTCGAACACAACGGACAACGAAAAAGGTATTCGGCAATCAATAATGACATTCTCTTCGTTCTCTTGGACGACGTTGATTCCAGAATGTGCCCCGTCTTTTTCAAATGCAAAGAGCCGTTCTCCAATATTGTCACACATGATGGGATCCCGGGATAGTTCAGGACAAGTCGTTGAATTATAATGCCATTGGGGCCTTGAATAGTTGGATGGTTGGTTGTTGCTGTTGTGTGGAGAAAGAGAGGGAGAGAGACCTGTCCGCGTGTTCTGTCTGTTTGGCTGTGTTGTGTTGACTGAATGTACCTTGTTATCGTCCAAGACGCGTGAAATCTGGTCCTTGAACTCTTGGGTGTGCATAAACGACTCGTACTCGCAGAGGGAGAATACGCAGATAAAGCCCTCTCCAGACCGATAGTAGTTGTCGCGAATCTAGGGGGAGGAGGAAACAAAGCCAAGAATTGTCAATGGGTGCACGTGAATTGCATGGTTGCATTTAGTCCAGCTAGGCTAAGGGTCTTTGCCATTTTTAAATCTTCAGAACAGATGGAACAAAGTGTTCTCTCCTAGCGCAGGGGCATGGCCTCACAGACCCACAGATCCACGTTCCTTCTTCTTTTACTTCTTGAAGCTGTCGATCGACTGAAAGGCTGTTGCACTCAAGCAGCCCCACATCGCCGCCTCCACCCACACTTCATGTCCATAGTATGTTCCGAACATAGACAGCTCTCAAAAAAAACGACAGCCATGATATGGAGGTAAAAGCAAAGCCAATGGTCAAACAAAAAAAAACGACACAGGTCAGGCGGGAGGGATGACAAGGGGTTGCAGGTGAGAGAACGAGCATGGAAAAAAAAAGAAAATAAAAGCACTCGCCCATCCAACCAGCCGCGCCTCATTTTGTTTATCTTGCATTCTTTTCGTTCCAAGCAGGCTTAGGTAGGCGAAGGGAACACAAAGCAAGTTGCATCATCCCCCCTCATTCACTTGTTTCTGTACCCCTCTCCTTCCTTTCCTTCTAATACACACACATACGCACAATCTGCCGGTCTTCTATGGAGGACTTACAGCTGCATATTCCTCCTGACCGGCTGTGTCGAGAATATCAATCTGACAGTCTTGGTTGTCGAGGGTGACCTTTTTGCGGTAAGAGTCGGCCTTGGTAGGATCGTACTCCTCCACAAAGTCGCCGTACATGTACTGGAGCGTCAAAGCCGACTTTCCGACACCTCCTGAGCCGACCATGATGACCTTGTGCAAGGGCAAATCTTGCTTTGCTTTCTTTCCCATTTTGTATGTGTTGGTTTTGTTGTGTGTGTAAGAGTCGAAAAGGAGAGACTGGTGTCAAGGCGAGTGGAGGGAGGAGTGTTTGAAAAGCGAGCAGCTTTTTGTGGCGAGGAGAAAGCGGGAAAGGGTGGTGTTATGTGAATATGCGCTGGTTGAGATGTATCCTTTGTGTCGGCTCGCAGGCTATAAAAGAGTTGTGTCGTCGTTGAAAGTTGAGAGAAAGGAAAAGGGCAGAGTGAGTGAGTGAGTGAGTGAGTGAGCGCAACCCAAGGCAAGCATAAATAGATAGAGAGGTGTGAGGAAGTTGAGCAAAAAAAAAAAAGCGGCTTGAGTGTGAATTGTTGTAGTTATTGAGAGTTCTGTGTTACTGTTGAAGTCAAGAGGAGGATAAGCAAAAGAGGTATGTACAGTGTGTGTGCCTTCCTATGCCTGCTAGGTGTTGCTGTTTCGATATGCTGCCGTTGTTGTTGATGTTTCTTTGGACGAAGCAAATTGTCTTCTTTTCTCCTGTTTGTTGCTGGGGCTGTTGAGCCTTATTGTTGTGTTGTTCCTTGACAGACAGAGAGACTGACTGATTGTGCCTCCTATTGATGAAGTGTGTTTGTTGAGGGTGTGTAAAGTGTGAATGGCAGTGTATTGTTCCGAGTAGCATTACCTGGGTGCAGGCTGATGTAGAGGTAAAAGGAAGAAGGGGGGATGATGACAGGAGAAGAGAGGGGAGGAGAAGGGGGGACAAAGAGAAGAGGAGATGATGGTCCGATGGAGAAACAAAAAAAAGCGATCGTTGCAGTCCAAGGAAAGGAAAATTAGCTCAAGGCAACACTCAGACTGGTAGGAGGATAATTATGCTTAAGGGTGACGGTTTATTAATTTGAAATATTGTACAAAACAGCTTAGTTGTCGCCAGGTGGACAGAAGAGAGAATAAGAACGTAACGAGAGCATTTTAGCGGTACCAGCCGTCCTGGCTGACACCCAAGCACTCGCCTACAGTGACAAGCTCCCAACCACGGTTCTTGGCGTACTCAATTGCCCGTGGGATAAGATCGTTTACAGTCGACTCGAGGGTGTCGTGCTCAAGGGCAATGAAACCTGGTCCACCGGCGTGCTGGTATGCTGAGAAGGAAGAGGCGACGTCGCCAGGGTGAGCCCAGTCGTTGGTGTCGATCATCCACTTGACAATCTTGTAACCCTTGTCGTTAAGGTAGCTATGTGCGGCACCGTTCAAGTATCCGTAGGGAGGACGCATGTAGACGGGGCGCACACCGATGATGCTCTGGAGTGCATCGTCCACTAAGAAGGAAGGTGTGAGGTTACGAGAGGTTGTTGTTATTGTTGAGAATAGTGGCAAAGCAAGGACAAGACAAAGAATAGCAAGGAAAGCGAGTGAGTCGATCGATTGCATAGACGAAACAAAACAAACAAAATAGTGTTTCGCACAACACAATTCACCAAAAAAAATGAACACACACAGAACGGAAGATGGAACCCAAAAACAAAGCAAAGATGCAAAGACGAAAGCGCCGCATTGCACAGCAAATCAACGAACAATCCAAAAAAAGCAAAGAAAACAGGCGCACTGGACACGAAGAATGAGCCACAACCATCAAAACACACGAAAAAGGGAGATCAAGAAAACCATCCAGCCAACAGCAACTTACGCTTGGTCATCTGGCTGTGGATCTGGTCGTACGACAGAGTTGTCAGATCAGCATGTCCCCAGGTATGAGATGCAATCTGGTGGCCCTCATGGTAGGCACGCTTGACAATCCAGTCATACTGGTAGATATTGCCAATGTTGTCACCGTTGACAAAGAAGGTTGCCTTGACACCGGCTTGCTTCAAGAGGTCGAGCAGCTGGTTGGTGAACTTGTATGGACCATCATCAAAGGTCATGGCAACTGTGCCGGGGACTCTGCAAGAGGTGATGACTCCGTATTCGCGCTTCTCGAGGTGCTCAAAGTGGGCATTCTTGGTAAGTTCCGGGTTGGACGACTGGGGGGTCAAGACTGGGGCAGGAATGACAGATGCTTGAGCGATCATGGATACAGCGAACAAGGCTGCTGCAATACTGGCGAGGCGGAAGAATGGTGCCATCGTGATACTTAGTTTCGTTGGGTGGAGTGCGGAAGGTGTTGATAGAATGTTTGGTTGAGGGTGAGGAAGAGCTGGAGGATTGTGATGAAAAGAGAAAAAAAAAAGTGTTAAAAAAAGTGATACTTCTCGGCAGTTTTTAAAGCCATGGATTTTCACGTTGACCGAGATGGAGACAACCATGCAGCACCTTGAACCTAATCAAGTAAAGGCCGGGATGATGTTGCAGGATAAGACACTGGGGAGCAGAAAACGGCGTGCACTCCCCTCTAGTGCTTCGCCCACGGAATAATGATATCTTGTTGTCTGTCTTTGTCTTTTTTTTTTTTTTTTTTTTTTTTTTTTTGGCCGCAAGGCCTGTATGGCTGGCGCTTGGTTCTTGAGCGGGTATCTCGTGGGATAAAGTGAGTGGGACATGAAAGATAGTGTGTTTTGTGACTGAGTGGCATGTGTGCACATACAGCATGGATGTAGTGCGCGCTGTATCCATGTAACCATGCACGACATTATTTTTGTCCCCCAAATTGAGAAACACAAACGGTCTTGGAAGAAGGACGAAGGTTGCATATCTCTTTTGAGTAACATGATGGTCAAGTGGTGTTGCTCACTTCTTTTCTGGAATGTATTGGGAAACCTTTGACTCTTCTCTGAACCCTTCCTGGTGCCCTTGAAGGGACATTTGGAACACTTTTTTTTTGTGCAGTGGGAAAGGGTATACCTCCGATCCTTTTGTTTTATTGGAGACATCTTGGTTTAATTTGAATTTCGCGATCAGCTGGAAATATGAAGTTGGTGGCAACGGAGTCAGCAATATTCACATCCAAGATGAATACAGTGACGTACACACAACAACCAAGAAATTTTTTCTACTAAGTCCAGCTCCTCCCTGAACCTGGGTCAGTTTCCTTCTTCCCATCCCACAGTTCACTCTGTAATCTAAAAGATTCACTCAGTCGACATGTCTGCCATCCAAAAGTCTGCCAAGCCCGGTGTCGAGGAACAGGTCGAGTCCCCTGTCCACCGCATCCGCATCACCTTGACCTCCCGCAACGTCAAGAACCTCGAGAAGGTCTGCACTGATCTCATCCAGCGTGCCAAGGACAAGAACCTCCGTGTCAAGGGACCCGTCCGTCTCCCTACCAAGGTCCTCCGCATCACCACCCGCAAGTCCCCTTGCGGTGAGGGTTCCAAGACCTGGGACCGCTACGAGATGAAGATCCACAAGCGTTTGATCGACCTCCACTCCCCTGCCGAGATCGTCAAGCAGCTCACCTCCATCAACCTCGAGTCTGGTGTTGAGTGCGAGGTCACCCTTGCCCTCTAAATCCGGTTTTCAGGATCAATGCAAGAAACAGGATATCAATGGATTCTCTTTTATGACCGAGGCTTTTATGGCAAACAATAAAAACGATGACATTGGAAACACTCCCAAAAAAAACCAATCTCCATTTTTTATGAATTCAGGATCCGGGATTCGGGATGATTACATGGAAAAAGTGAAGAAAACAGGATTCAATAATGGAAAGGCTTTATTTTGACTTGGGCGTTGATGCTGATCCCTCGTCCTCCAGACGATTCTTGAGAGAGTGCTTGGCAGACCCACGCTCCAATGGTTTGTTTTGTGTGGGTGACGGCTTCCAACCAATCTAGTATCATAACAGCAACAATAGAGTGAGCAACAAGGACATACAGTCGAATCAAAATGCTTGCTCCAGTGCAGGGCGAAGCAACGTACCATGTACAGGATCTGAAAGGTTGCGGGGACGGTTCCGTCCTCGTTGCCGTACATTTCTATAAGGAGAAGGAGAACAGTCGACTCAGTATATGTAAGAAAGGTTGGCTCTCCACAGGTGTGCATGATTCTCCTCAGCGCTAATGGGTGGACCTCGGTTCAAGTAATACCTTTGTAGATAGCAGCGGCGGCCATCATAGTGTCTCTCTTCAAAAGTCCTCTCCTATTAGCCGAACAGAGTAAATATAGTTATGGATCAATAATCGTACTTCAATCGTCGCAGTTCTTGATTCTAGTCCTCCCCAAAGCTCTGACGACGAACATACCTGTTGAGGACCGCGTTGCTCTCGCCCATGGCTCTGAGATCCTCCATCAACTCAATGGCACTGGGATAATTCACAGTGACCTCGTCCACATCGACAGTGGTGAGTGTGAATCCTGCGCGGGAGAGAAGGCTTCCCAGATCGCGACTGTCAGCCATTGGCGACACTCTCGGCGAGATGCCTCCTTCCCGATCCTGCTCTGCCAATTGAAGCGACGTCCTATTTGATAACGTAAAGGTCAACGCGATACAATGTTAGTTGTTATATTTTGATCTGCTTATCCGCAGTTGAGTTCCCAATGATACCAATGCCAGAGAGCGCCATATTCCTTTACCGAAGCTCAAAGAGAGTATCGCCCCCAAAGAGTCCTGCGATGAACACGCCGTCAGGCTTCAAGCTTCGCTGGATTTGGATCATGGCGCCAGGGAGGTCGTTGATCCAATGCATCGACAAACTGCTCACAACACACTCCAAGCTGTTTTCAGGGAAGGGTAGATTTTCCTCGTCCACAATGCGCCTTTCAACCGGGACTAGTATGATCAAGGTGGAAGATTGTTAGTGTCAATGTCTGTATCGTCCAAATCCAATTGAGAGGGGCATGCCTTGGTTGAGACCGCGTACCTTCGTACTCGACATCTCTGTCGCGGTTAAGCATAGTCTCGGACATGTCACACATGATCAGCTTCTTCATCATATCCGTGTCAACGTGCTTGGCGATATGACCGCATCCTGATCCCAGCTCCACCACTTCGTTGAACTCGCGTTTGATGTCCTACAGAGAGTCAAGAGCTTAATTATCAGTATTCGGAAAGGAAGGGTGTGTTGTTTGCCTTGAAAGCGAACAAAGTCATGCAGCTTTTCCGAATGGCGAGGAGGAATGTACCAAGAGACGGTCGACGACACGAAATGCGACCTCGTCCTTGACATAGTCGACTTGTCTGCTTTGCACGGCGTTGCTGGCTGCGCGTTCCTTCTGTAGCCTCTTTGTCTCGCGATTGAAGACTTGGAAGGTGGCAGGGACGGTCTTGCTTCCTGCGGGTGGTGGGGATGGTGCTGTTGAATATAGTAGTCTTGCGGTATGGTTTGTTGAGCTGCGGAGTGGTCTAGAGAGGAGACGGTATCCTGTCCTGAGCATGGCTGTATGTTGCATCGTATGTTGTGAATTAGTGTATGAATGAATAAAAGGAGAAGACCGGAAGTTGATTTGGAGGTGGCGTGAGAGTGTGAAGTTGATCTTCGAGAAGGACTACAGCAAGAACCTTGTTCAGCGTGTATGTCGCCCCTTCCCAGTGGCTTTGATCCGGGCGGATCAACAAATATGGGACTCATTTGGTGCTCCTCCTCCGAGGCAATAATCATTCGAGTGCTCCTTCCTTAGTCCTTACTCACCTCAGCTCACCTTCTGTACCTTTTTTTTATTAGTCTTTCTTCTTAACATTTTCCCACTCGCTTCTTTTGTTCTTTCTTCTTTTTCATTTTCCTCTTTCTCTCGGCGCCACTCAACCAAAGGACCAGCACACACATCACACACACCACCACCACCAACTAACCTCACCCTTCTCATACACATACAAACATGACCTCCAGGGAAACCATTCCTATCGGCACCAGAAAGTCCGCCCTCGCTATCGCCCAGACCGTCCAGGTCCAGAGCGCTCTCGAGAAGCACAACCCCACAAAGTCCTTCCCTCTCCTCCGAATGTCAACCACTGGCGACAACTTCCAGGGTCAACCTCTCTCCTCGATCGGCACAACCGCCGTCTTCACCCGCGAACTCGAGACTGCTCTCGAGATGAAGCAGTGTGATCTGTTGGTCCATTCCTTGAAGGATGTCCCTACCCAGATCAAGCCTGGATTCGTTATTGGTGCGATGTTGAAGCGTGTGGAGCCAAACGATGTGATGGTTATGCGTCCTGGTGAATTCAAAGAACTCAAGGACTTTGGAAAGGGGGATGTTGTGGGAACTAGCAGTGTTCGTCGCGCGAGTCAGATCAGGAGATTGTGCCCGGGAGTTCAAGTCATGGACGTTGTGAGTCTCTCTGTTTTTGTTTTCTTCCAAGCTGGCTCTTGTTGGTAGCTGTCTAGAATTGATTTTATTTGGTTACTTTGCTTCCCTGACCGCTCACGCCTTCTTTAAACTTCTTTTTGTCACTTTGGCTACTTAGAGAGGAAATGTGTAAGTGAGCACTCCCTTGGCTGGGACATGGCCTGGCGAGGAAGATTGCCTGTATTGAATAACCAATGGAGTTATCTTTTCATCAAGAAAACAACAACAACAGACAAGAAACAAGATATCTATCAACCGGCAATAGAGTACTAACCTTCTATTACCATCTCATCTCCTTTTTTTCCATCTTAATTGGATACCTTCTCCCTTCCTCCTTTTCAGCAACACACGTTTGTCCAAGCTGGATGCGGCCGACTCGCCTTATACCTGCCTGTTGTTGGCTGCAGCTGGACTCCTGCGCCTTAACTTTGACGAGCGCATCACTGCCACTCTCCCACCTAGTGTCATGCTCCACGCCGTCGGTCAGGGATCGATTGCGATCGAGTGCCGGTCGGACGACACAGAGATTCTGGAGTTGATTAAGCCATTGGATCATTTGCCCACCCGCCTCCGCTGCGAGGCTGAGCGCAGTGTCATGAGGATCTTGGAGGGAGGTTGCTCAGTACCCATTGGTGTCTGGACCGAGTTTGTTCATTCTTCAGGAACCGAACCTACGGAAGCTGAATCTGTTGGACAGTTGCGTTTGAAGGCTCTGGTGTCCTCGCTGGACGGAACCGAGATTGCCGAGACGGAGGCTGTTGCTGATGTGAACGGAAGCGTAGAATTGGCTGTCGAGTTGGGTCAGACTGTCGCCAACCAATTGCTGGCCAAAGGCGCGGACAGGATCCTGACCAAGGTTCTCAGGGATCGTAACACGACCTTGGTCCCTACTGGTACAGGGGAGGAGAAGACGATCAAGGGATGGGAGGTGTAAAATTTTCCTGAGGCATTGAACATATACACAACACACATACCAAATCTGCATGCCACAATAATAAAAAACGGTCATGTCAAGTTACATTCACTCCATCACTTTAAAAAAATATTCTCCATCACTAACATTCACACCATGGCCCGAGGAAAGTTCATCGTCAGCACGAACTTCAAGGTGCGCAGCTCTTCGTCTTTATTCTGGAATGAGAACCGCCAGTGGGAACAAACAAAATAATTGACAGTCAGCGCGTTCTTTTTCTTCATTTCCATATCGCTTGCAGATGAACGGGTCTAGGGCGTTCCTACAGGACTTGGTTGAGAACCTGAACCGCGCAGACCTTGATAGCAACGTCGGTACGATCACCATCCCATCTCAACTGAGCGTGCTTTCTACTCTTGCGTTTATTATGATACGACAGTCGCTTGTGAACATGCTGCTGAACCTATTCTGTTTCACACTTTTTGTAGAGATATTTATTTCGCCCCCGTCTGTCTATATCAACCATGTCCGCCAGAACTTGCGCAAAGATATCGCCGTTGGTGGTCAGAACTGCTTCTGGAAGTCCTCTGGAGCTTACACCGGCGAGATTTCGTATGTAACCGGGATATCTGTACAAAGCAAATAGAAGACGCGACATGAACCGCACCAATGCTCACTATGCTTCTCCTCATTTTGTAGGGCGGAGATGTTGAAGGATGCGGGTGCAGAGTACGTGATCCTAGGCCACACAGAAAGACGGACGCTATTCAAAGAGTCTGACTCCCTCATCGGCTTCAAAGTGGCCTCTGCCCTCGCTGCCGGCCTAAAAGTGATCGCCTGTATCGGTGAAACCCTGTCCGAACGGGAATCCAACACCACCCTACAGGTCCTCTTCCGTCAACTGCAAGCCATTGTCGACCATGTCCAGGACCTGAACCAGGAGGAAAAGTGGGAAGATGTCGTGATCGCGTATGAGCCAGTATGGGCGATCGGGACTGGACGCGTCGCGACGCCCGAGCAGGCACAGGTAGTCCACGCGGCGATTCGACGGCGCGTGGAGGAGACTGTCGAGGGAAGCGTGGCGGAGGGAATGAGGATTATTTATGGTGGTTCGGTGAATTTGGGGAATGCACGGCAGCTGGCGAGGGAGAAGGATGTGGATGGGTTGTTTGTTGGTGGGGCATCTCTTAAGCCGGAGTTTGTCGAGATTTGTAATGTTTTGCGGCTAGCAGGCGAGGGCAACAGCGATGGCAGTGGCGATGACGACGGCGGACGAAAATAAACACATCATGGCTGCAAAAAAACAAGTATGTACATGGGGACAAGGAATGACTAATGGACTATGGAGCCTCTCATTCAAGGGGTTTCTCTGTATTGGATGTCTGAATCAAGAGGCGGCCAGACTTCGTTTGCTACGGTTGAGGTGAATGGAACGGGGCATTCAGCTTCAAGATATCAATGCTTGAATGTACCATGATCTCACCACCAACGAGAGCAAAGTCTGATATTACCAATGCCGCTGAAGAGTTCTGATAAAGCTGAACGACTGCCTAACCAACATAGCTCTTATAACAAGGCACACATGTACCCATCGATTGTATATTTCCAGCACTATCATCGGCTCATCAGCGTGATCTCACATCCCATATCGCATATTTTCTACATAAAGCAAAGAGGATCCAGGTCCTTCTCGACCCTGACGGACATCATCTACCATTAACAGTCAGCACTACGACCTTCACCTGCAACACCACCACCATTCAAATATTATTTTTTCATTCCGTTTCTTCTCAGTTTGCACAACAACCTGTACCTGCGATTTCTCGTGCGTCTTTCATCCATACATCGAACGATGACCATGACATGGAATTGTACGCGTTGCATTGTATCCTGATGGACAAGGTCCTTCGGAAAGATAATCAGGAAGATATGGCATTGAGGTTGGACGTTGACTTTCTTCTGAGAGAAACTGGAGAAAAGGTGATGGACAAATGAACAACGAAGGATGGTGAAAGCGATGAACACGACAATGATTACCTAAACTATCTCGATCATGAAGCGCATGACACAGATGGTCATTGATTCGTTTGAGCGTGACCAGTAAGTGGAGGGGCACGGATAAGATGATCCTTCTATCGAACATTGACAAATGCATGATGTCGTTTCATACAATGGCTGTTATGCTTGGTACCTGGGAATGTGCGTCTGTGTGCAAGTGAGTGAATGAGTGAATGTGTGTATATATTGATTTTCCTATTGTTCAATCAACGACCCGCAGCGCTTGATTGCATACGATGTTACACGACTGATAAGCAGGAAGCGACGCGTTTGATGCGACAAGAAGGACTGATTTGACCTCTTTGATGCGAACATTCAAAACAGACCCGCTTCTATCACGGATAAGTATAATAACTCCCACGACTTTCTTTTTTTGTTTTTTCTTTCTTCTTTCTTTTCACATTCTCTTTCATCTTTCTTACCTTTTCTTAATGACAACCGCCGCTCTCAACCCTCATCGTTTTTTGCTGACACCATCGCTTTCATTTCATCATGACCACTACCGCCTCATAACGACCACCAATTTCCCACTTCTACTCCCATGCAACAACAAAATAACCTTTCTCTCACAACCAGACCTCTTCTTTTTGGTTGGCGTCACCAGCCGGTGGTGGGACCCTTCTTTTATTCTTTTCTGAGGGGTGCCGTTATTACGGAAGACTAATGCTTGTCAACGGGTGATAGCCTGCTGCAACCGTGTCAAGCAAAGACTCCTCAGAGAAGGCGTTGATCGTTGACAGCGATCTTCTTACCACTTTTATGGACAATATGAAAGTAGCCTTGGCACTCTGAACTCGGGAGAAGAGGTAGCTCGTGGAGGAGGCCAATAAGATCGCTGTCAAGGATCACCACCTTCTCTGAAGTGTGTTGAATGGGAGTCGAAGTGGGGAATTGGTGGTCATTACGAGGCGGTAGTGGTGGTGGTGAAATGAAAGTGATGGTGCCTGTAAAAAGTGATGAGGGTGGTGAGCAGAGATAAAATACGCCACCAAATTTGAATCGGACATGAGCGCGCTCTTCTTTCGCCAGGAAAAGGGCGAAGCTCACAGAAATATCGCTGTGGTAACAAAATACCAAGAGCGTTGACCTTTTCTCTTGAATCTTGGAGAAAACCTTATGTGCACTAAGTGCCCCCCTCCAGCCCTGCCTGGGTAAACCCCACTCTTTCTGTCTCTCAACGCGTCGCGTCACAAAGAGTTCCTCCATGTCCACCTATTTCCTATAGATAGCAGTGCTTCTGCAAGAAAAGACAGATATGTGGAAACTCTATGCAGCTCGTGACAAAGGCTCCTTCAGGCAGACAAGGTAAGTGCTTCACCTTCCAAGTTTTTCCCTCGCTTCATTAAGGATTACTTACTCGCCTCGTCGTTTCACAGGAAAAGCATGCAGCGTAACAATACACCAAATCCCATTCTTGATGACGACAGTCTACTACTGTCAACACAATGGACGAAAGAAAAACAACGGAGGCAAGACAAGAACAGCTTCGAAACAAACTCAAGTGTGCGGATAAACCCTCATAGGAATGTACACTAGCTACAATGGAAAATTCAAACCCTCACATAGCTTTCTGCTCTCTCCCTTCTTTCTCCTTGCTATCTTGCTATCAAATACTCTTGCACTTCACGTCTGGTGTATATGAGGAAATGGATAGGATAATGGTTCGCCTTAAATCGTACGCCTTTTTATTTTCCGTCTAGGGATCGTCGCCCAGAAGCTACCAGCAATGTGCTCACATTCTACGACTCACGAGTTTGTCGGTCGCTTGGCCATTCCGTAGTTCAGCTCAACAGAGACGTAGTTGAACGCCAAAGCAGGTTATAACCATTTTGACGAGTGCTGTATCAAAAGATCAAAGCCGCCAGAGCTTCTACCGCCCTCACGGCCATAGCAGAAAGCCTCTCAGCGCCCTCCATCATCTTCATGACCTCGCCTCCTGAAAAAGCCTTATGAGAATCCATGAAGGAGCCCCAAACTTTCAGTATGAGTACACTAAGCTGTGAGTGTGCCCCCTCGACCTACCCATATTTCCGTTGATGACTGCAGTGAATAGCATCAACGCTACCTGCAGTGGTCTTGTAGCCTCCTCCTTGGACTCTTGTTCCTTATTGAAATTGTAGAATGAATGCAAGGAGAGTGTACTTTCCTTGGTTGCTCCTGAAGGCGACGAAACTGGTGATGGATCTCTTTAGATTAATTAAGGCAGTCCTTGAGAAAGAAGTAAAAGAAAAACAAAGTTCAGTCAAATTGAAAGAGAAAGCCGATAACCATTCCACGCACCCCCCCTCAATGAACATAGACATTACAACCACCTCCAAGAAAATCAAATAAATATGAAGGATCATCACCCAGAGCTACCAGCCGTGTGTACAGCCCTGACGCCGAGTTATCAGTAGCTTGGTCCTTCTGTAGCTGCTCCATTTTGACTAAGCTGGAAAGTCAAGCCGGCTACGTTCCATTGACAAGATGTGCGTCTAATGGATTAAAGAAACCGTCATAGGCACAATACCGCCCTCATAGTCATAACAAACAACCACAAACGCCTTCCTCCTCTAAGGAAAAGAAAGTGAGAGGGCTCTCTGAGAAATTATGAGGGACCTCATATTGGCGAAATGACTGCACCCCACTGAGCCCCAGATGATGCCCACAACACCTTACCCCTGCTTCTGTTGATGATTGCAATGAATATGAAAATTGAAGAATGAATATTTGGATAGTGTACTTTCCTTGGTTTTTTGCAAAAGAGAGGGCATTGGAAGAAGGTGCAAGGGGAAGGAGAGGGTTAGACGGTGAAGAGTGAAGAGAGAGAGAGAAAGTAAAAAGAGAGAAGGGAGTGCTGGCGAGAATAGTGGTAATAAGCCACAAACTGAGAGGGGCAAGGAAAGAACGAGAACAAAAAGACAGGGACAAAAGGACCGTGCAAAATGCCAAGAACATTACCAGGGCACAGGGACACAGGGACAAGTACCCTCCAGGTCGAACGTGAGAAAAAAATGGATAGAGTCAGTTTCAGTTGGCCAAAAAAAAGGGTGGCGAGGAAATATCAGAAGTATCGTTCTCCTTGTCCTGCCCTTGTGCTGAATAAATAAGGTTCAATGGCCAACTATAAAAGAAGAAACGACCCTCTTCCAGCATGTCAACACAAAACTTTCATTCATACTTAATTGGAGACCCCAACTACACGATCAACATGGAAATCGTTCAATACAGCGACAGCACCAACGAGGGCCAGTTCAACAGCAAGAGGGATTCCCGCCATTGGCGATACACCCGCCGTTCCCACCACTCCATCACCCTGCACCATCCCCTCGATGACGTCAATACCGAAGGAATCACCATTCACAGCAGCGTCATCGAGGGTTTCAATGAATTCAATACGGTGTACATTAGTGAGGAACTGGGAGAGTCATATCAACACGAAAGACGGCTAGGCGAGGTAAGCAATCAATTGACACAAGGAAACAGGGAAGGGTCAGTACCATCGAGCACACTTTCAGATGACCAACAATGCTACTGACAATCGAATCTTCAATAGGGTGGGTTTGGATATGTGGACAAAGTGAAGGACCAGGACGGTGTCCGCTACGCCCTTAAAACCTTCAAGATCCAGAAGATGGATCAGAAGGATGTAAGGTTTTTCGGATGAAGGATCATGATAATGGTATCGAAGGAAAAGGTCAAACCTGAGCAATTATCTAACTGCAAATTGATCTACGTCGCATATTTTAGATCGAGAGGGAAGTAGCTGCACTGATGGTGACCGCAGAGAACCCCCATCCGAACATTGTTGTCTTCCTGCGTCGTTTTGAAGGCCCTTCATCGACCTGCCTTCTCTTTGAAATGTGCTCTGGACTGGTAAGAACACCGTTCGACATTCTTCATGGTGAACAACTGTGAACGATAATTATGTTAAAGTCAATTCTAACCTCAATAACGCCTCGCGAACATACTTGCCGATAGGACTTGGGAAGTCTCTTGGATGCCCGCGGCAGTCTGACAGAGCCAGAGGTCCACTACTTTGGAAAACAGGCCACAGCTGCCCTGAAACATCTGCACAAGCTGGGGTTTGCCCACGCAGATGTGAAGCCGCAGAATCTGTTATTAACAGATGCGATGACGATCAAGTTGGGCGACCTGGGTTTCGCCGAGGATGTGGAAAAATTCGACTACTGGTAAAATATGAGAACACGAACTGCAGTGGACGCATACACGTAAGGAACAGATATTAACACATGAACATTCTGCATTTGTTGCGTACATAGGAGGAAGCTGGGTACGGCGGGTTACATGGTCCCTGAGGTCGTGGAGGAGAATGGGTACCACTCCTTTGCATTGGACATTTGGTCGCTGGGCTGTGTCCTTTATAAGATGGCCGAGGGAGAGCTGCCTGGCATAACCGATTGGGATGACGTCGACAGAACTGCAGATCCTGTTCGATACGCAGTTCACCTCCCAAAGGCACTTCGAAAACTCCTCGGTCGCATGCTCCACCTCGTCCCCATTCAGAGATATACTGCCAAGGATATTCAAAAAGACCAGTTCCTTACCACCGGGTACTGTCCTGCCAGTCTTTCTTGGAATATCTTTGCGGAGCCGCCATCATTCATCGAAGAAGGCAAACGGAAACATTAGGAGACGAATAAGAGCCAGGTCATCCAGGATGTGCTCGCCCAGGAGGAACTCACTCAGACGGAAGCCATCCAGGAAGAGGAGTCCATCACCATTGATGACTCAGACCCAAGACTTGAGAGCGAGGACGTCCGAGCTTTTATGGACAATATGAAAGTGGCCTTGGCACTCTGGACTCGGGAGAAGAGGAAGCTCGAGGAGGATGCCAAGAAGATCGCTGTCAAGGATCGCCACCTTCTCTGAGGAGTCTTTGCTTGACACGGTTGCAGCAGGCTGCCATCCGTTGACAAGCATTACCCTTTCACAATAACGGAACCGCTGGAAGAATGGTCCCACCACCGGCTGGTGACACCAACCAAAAAGAAGAGGTCTAGTTGTGAGAGAAAGGCTGATTTATTGTTGAATGGGAGTCGAAGTGGGGAATTGGTGGTCATTATGAGGCGGCAGTGGTGATTGTGAGGAGAAAGTGACGGTGTCTGCAAAAGCGATGAGGATGGTGAGCGGAAAATAATACGCCACCAAATTTGAATCGGACATGAGCGCGCTCTTCTTTCACCAGGAAAAGGGCGAAGCTCACAAAAATATCGCTGTGGTAACAAAATATCAAAAGCGTTGACCTTGCTCTTGCATCTCGGAGAAATCCTCATGTACAGTAAATGTGCCCTCCGGCCCGTCTGGGTAAACCCCGCTCTTTCTGTCTCTTTACGTGTCGCGTCACAAAGAGTTTCCTCCCTGTCTACCTATTTCCTCCAAACAGCAGTGCGTCTGCGAGAAAAGACAGAGATGTAGAAACTATATGCAGGTCGTAACGCAAAGGCTCCTTCAGTAATTGTTTGCCTTCCAAGTTTTCCCTCGCTTCATTAAGGATTGCTCACACTCCTCATCGTGGACAAACATGCGACCTAATAATAAACCAAATCCATTCTTGATGACGATAGTCTACTACTGTTAACATAATGCACGAAAGAAAAACAACGGAGGCAAGACAAGAACAGCTTCGAAACACAACCCAAGTGTGCGGATAAACCCTCATAGGAATGTACACTAGCTACAATGGAAAACTCAAAACCCTCACATAGCTTTATGCTTCTCCCCTCTTTTTCCTTGCTATCTTGCTATCAAATACTCTTACACTTCAAGTCTGGTGAATATGAGGAAATGGATAGGAGAATGGCTCGCCTTAAATCGTTCACCCCTTTATTTCCCCTGGCTCACACATTCATACACCATCTTCTCCCCGTTGTTGGCTCCTTGGCTCCCGCTCGGGCCCTTTCTCTCTGTCGTCTATACACGGTGTGCAAGAACCATGGAAAACTGAAAACAAGAGCTGAGGCACGTTCATTTCTCATAATGATTTGAGTCGTTCATTTCACCACCTCTCTTGTCGATAAGAACGACATGCTCTCCGCATCTGCGCGTGGTGTGAACGAGTTCGGCCAGATGCTTGACCAAGGTCGATCCAACGTGCTCGCTTTATCCTTCGGCATTCGCACCTCCTCTTTCTATTCATCTTCCCCGAGCAAGCGTCTTGTTATTGTTTGTTGACTTCATCCGGTGCCTGATACTACCTCGTCGCAGAAGAGTATCTTTGGATGTAAACAAAGGGCAGCCAGTCCCAGGAAGAGAAGGAAAAACAGAGAACTCCTGGAAGGTAACCCTCGAAGAACCAGCATGGAGAAGAAAACGTTTCGACTCTCTTGCTCTTTCTTTCCCCCTCTACCCTTGGTTGATGTCTGTTGCTTGTAAAAGACACGGGTGGCGGGGTTGAGAAAACGACGGTACAGAAAAGGACAACAATAAAAGGGAATGTATCTTACCGCCTCCTCCTTTTTTCATTCGGGAAAGATGTCGTCTCCAGTTACAGAAAGAAAAAAAAAGCACAAAGGGATAGCTCTCCTTCCTGGCTTCCTCGTCCTGGCTATTGTGGTTAATTGTGGTTCGAAGGTAAGAGACAATCAGATAGCCAGTCGAATAGTTGAAGTGTCTTCGCAATGGTAACCAATTATCCATCGGACAAAATGGGAGGGTAACTCGCTCATGCTTTTTGTTGTTGTGAAGGGGTAGTAGATAACAAGGGACGGAGGGAAGTGATCTAATGTAAGCAAGCGTGAGGCGGGGACCATCGAGTGCAAGTGTGTGAACATGAGTGAAGGTTAACTTGTGTATCGCGCATTTTCTCCTCATACCCTCTCCTTCGTGTTTTTTCTCTTCGACCCCCTTCTCTTGGCTCACCCCCTCTCCTCTAACCCGAGTTCTCCTTGCCCTGGTGGTATTAACTTCCAAGGCGGTCTGGGTGAGTCGAAAAGAAACCCCAAGGAAATAAAGGGTCAAATAATGAGATGAAATTGAGGAGGACTTCTCAGTGTTATTTGTGGTGAGATCCTTCGGGTTCCTCGTGTCCCTACTAGCGTTCATTGTTGAGGAAGAAGCGAAAACGTTTTTGAGTCGTTGGGCTGGAAGAAGGTAACCAGTTGGGCACCACCCCATTCAACAGCAATAACAAGAATAACAAGCACAATCGCTTTTTGCGGTTCGCGACACACTAATACACATACAATAGCGCGATATCTTTTTTTCTTGTCCCTGCAAGTGTCTGTGCCCTGGATGTGATGTGGTCTTTTTTTCCTGTTGGTTGAAATGGGAGAGAGAAAAAGCTACCACCAGTCCAATGCGCTGCATAAATGCATGTGGCGAACAAAAAAAAATAAAAGGGCGAAGAAGAATGCGCGTCGATCGAGAAGCGGAGTTAGCATTGTATGTTGTCTTGATGTCAGGGATACGCAGATGCTTAATGCGCGTTTATCCTATTCGTCCCCTCTTGTCCCTTCCCCTCACCCTTTCGAAATGGCGTCCATGCATCCGTTCAGGACTCCAAAGGATGAAAGGACAGTAAAAAAAAAGAACTATTGTCCGTGCGTACCAAAAAAAACGATGCCAACAAAGGAGACAACGTGTGCCCTTGCGCGACAGATCTCTGACTTTCTTTCGTTATCTCACTCTCTCTGTTCCTCTCTTGTATGGTTTTCACCATTGTGTTCTCATCTCCCTTCCTTTCATCCAGCTTCGTTGTCGCTTTTCTCATCATGCCACAAGTCATTGGTTCACTCTTCTTCGTCAACCTTGGTGTTATTGCTATACCCTCCCGAAGTCAAGGAAAAAAAGAGAGAATCCTGGTCAACTACATCATGAAACTCTCTAGTGCCCGATCACGTAGAAATACGTGTTAGTCCTCAGAAGAAAAGGGTGTGCTCTCTCAGTCCCTTCCTCATTCCTAACATCCTGGAAAGGTGAATGGTAACCATAGGAAATGAAAGGGACGCGGGATCGTGTTAGGAGAGCCAGGGGGTACGAGTTTGAGCCCGATTTGTGTACTCGTTAGTTGTTGCTTTCGCTGTTTTGGTTGTTTTTTTGTGTGCCCATGGAGTTTGTTATTATTTTTCCTTGAGTAAAGGGATAAAGGAGAAGGCGAAAAGTGAAAGGGAATGAAAGAAGGAGAGAAGAGAAAGGATGCAACCACCACCACCACCATCGCTACTTGGTTCATTGTCGTCTTAACGCGAACAAGAACAAGAAAAATAAAGGGAGAGAGGGAGGCATTCTCCTTCCCTCTTCCATTAGGCTACTATCTCAGCACCATGTTCGTGTCCGTGGGGTACCGTATCGCACCACATCCAACAACAAAATCGCTCTGGTTATTTTTTCATCTCTTTTTTTTGTTCTCGTACGCTTTGTTCACTCCCTCGTTGTCCTTCCCCTTACAGGTCCACTTCCTCTTTCTTTTTGATTACCACCCTTACTTTCTTCTCCCCCCTTCTTGCAGGCCCCGTGTTCCTTCACCCAGAGAGGGTACCGCCCTTTTCGTACTCTGTAGTTTTGCCGTCTCACTGATTACAATCTTTTCTTCAACAAACAAGAGATGACCTTAATTTTGTGCACTCGTTCCCTGTGTCCGCATTCAATCGCCTTCTCCTCTCGACTTCTCTCCGTATCCGTCACCCAACTCCTCCCTTTCTCTTCCTCCTCCTCCTCTCCTTTTTTCCTTTTCTCCTCCGTCTCCTTCTCTTCTCCCTCTCAGTCACTGCTATTCTTCAATCGCTAATGCATTTCCCCATCCTACTGCTTTCTTTGGTATTATGGAGACGAGCAAAAAATTGTCCAGGATGAAATTTTGTCGCGACATGATCTGGTATCCATGGAAGTACTACTTGTTGTCTGGACTGGACCAGACTCCCTCCTCCACCCCTCCCCTTCGTTCCTCTCACTCCTTTTACTCCTTCCTCCTCTACTCGTTGAGGCACCGCACTCCCTCTCCCCTCACTTTTTCATCGTTATATGGGGCCCCATAAACTGGCTGCTGGAACATATCTCCCTCTCGTCTCTTCTTTTTTTCGCTTAAATATCAACACGCCATCCTCGACAATTTTTTTTCCCTGTTTTCTTCACCCAAGCTTCTCGCGTTTCCATTTTCTATAATAACATCCTCCTCCTCTAATAAATCCTCCTCTACAGCGTACACAACAAAATGTACTCTAAACATCTAGCAGCACTCGCGCTGGTCGCCCTCACTGCATTCACTTCTTTCACCCACTCTCTTCCCCTTCAAAAACGCAACATCACAGGGACACCCGCCCCCATTATAACAGCCTGCACCGTGCCCAACTCCTTCGCAATCACCTTCGACGACGGCCCTTCCATCTGGACCCACTCCCTCCTCGATTTTCTTGCCATCGTCAACGTCAAAGTCACCTTCTTCGTCAACGGGTTGAACTACAATCTGATCACGGAGCCGGAGATCGCAGCGGTGGTGAAGAGGGCGTATTCGGAGGGCCATCAAATTGCGTCTCATACTTGGGCCCATGCCGATATCTCGGCGCCGGGGGTTGATGTTGCTAGTCAGATGAAGATGCGTGAGTTTTTTTTTGGGGGGTCATTGTTGGTGCTGTGATAGTGTTTCGGTGCATTGGGTTATTCTCGGTTGTAACTGCCTTCTTTTCGTCTAGTCACATGCATTTGTGTGGTTTTCCCGGGAAAACACGATTCACCATCAATTGAAAACTTACCCATCATCCCCCCCACTCTCTTACTACCCTCCCTTCCTCCTCCCTCTACCTGCCAATAGTCGATGACGCACTGCTAAACATTATCGGCGTCCGCCCAGTCTACATGCGCCCACCCTACGGCAACACATCCCCAGACTCCCTCACCTACCTAAACAACGAAGGCTACAAAGTCATCAACTGGCTCGTTGACACCAACGACTGGCGTCACCCCGCAGATTTCAAACAGAATTTCGAAGGCTACCGTGTAGCCCTCCAGGACCCCGCCGCGGTCGGAAAGGGCTTTATTTCATTGCAACATGATGCTCAACAGCAGACCGCCGAGGTCTTTGGAAAATTGGCTGTCGAGTATGTGTTGAGTAAAGGCTTTAATGTCATGCCTGTGGGTTCTTGTCTGGGTGATACTACCGGTTGGTACAGGTTGTAAGATCGCGGTAACTGGGTTCTTCTGGGATTTTTTCCCTCACTCACCTTTTTTGACATTCCACCACGCCCCTAAAAACAGCCTCCTTGCCATATTACCACACCATCTACTGTATCTTTTTCATAATAAAACTAAAGAACCAATACTGTAAAATGGTGTAAAAAGCTTTTAATGAAGAAAGTTAAATAACAAAGTATGCAAAGGGGAAAAGAAGAGCTAGAACAATCAATCAGATGGACCTGTATATCCAGTCCCAGAGGTATCGGCCTATTGCTGCTGCTGCTGGAGAAGATCAGCGCGAGAGCCTTGGCCCTGCACAGTACGAACACGCGGTGCTGTCGCTTCCGAGGACTCTGTCTCTGGTGTCGCGTCAACAGTGGCTTCCGAGGGCGCTCGTTCAGGGTGGTGGTAATACACCTCGTTCAATCCATCAACCGCTGGGTTGGGCTTTGCTGGAGTAGCAGCAGAAGCACTCGAATCCTCGGTACTATCTGCAGGAGCAGTAGTAGTAGGAGAAGTGTTGCTAGAAGAGGAGGTGGTTCCTGCTCCTGCAGTGGGGACAGATGGCGCTGGCTCCGAGACGACGTTAGATACTACTTGAGGTCCACGACTTGGTGCAGGTGCAGGAAGAGATTTGGAGGTAATAGTAGCACTAGAAGAGCCGGTCTGGGCAGAGATGGATTCGTCCTGTCCGCCTCCAACAAGGTTATCACCCTCATCGTAGCTCTGGGGTTCATCCGACGACTTGGTGGGAAGCTTGAATGGCGGCCGCTGCAGCGCAGACTCAACATGGTCGTGAATGTGATGCCCGTCGTCAGAATCAGAGTCCGATCCATGTCCGTCTCCAATCTGTGATTCCTCGTCGCGGTTGGGTTTCTTACCATCGCTGGTCTTCCTCAAAGGTAACCACAATGTAGGCAATGGCCCTGAAATGGCTGGGCTGATGTACAGTCGCATGTTAGAGTTCAGCACACCAGGGTATAAGGTCATGGGTGGTTGTCTGTAGTCCGTGTATCGGTCTGGGATAGCCTGGTAGTCGTCGTCCTCCACTGCACTCTTGGGGATTAAACGTTGACTGCCTCCTGGCGTAATGACCGCTGTAGCTGTCGCAACTGCAATGCCGTTAGCCTGGCCATTGGTGGCGGCGGCGCCGTTGGTTGTTGCCGAAGTCACTTCGGTGGGCTGTCCAACATCGATCAAAACGTGTCCTGGAACTTGATCTGCGGCTCCAATGGCTGAGGGGAGCACTGCTGGCGCAGAAGAGGTCGAGACCAGCTGTGAATCGGGTCCCTCGGGGCGAAGCAACTCCAAGGGTACATACTGTGCCGTCACCTTGTACGCCTTTGTTGTCCAGACCCAGAACCACACGGTACCAAAAGGAAGAGGGACCAAAAGAGCGCCAAAAATATACGACTTCTTCAACATAAGGACACCAACCATGGTCGACTGAAAGATGAGAAGGCCGATCATAATGCGGTTGTAGACCATGGGCCAGATCTCTCCATTCGACTCGTTGGGGCGGAAAAAGATGTAAAGGATCTGGTACTTGTAAACGACGTATCCGAGAGTAAAGTACAGCAGACCAAACAACAGGATGATTGGCTTCATGCAAGAGTATATCAAGACGATGACAAATGCCAGGGTGGCATTAGAGTAGACGACTCCAATGTCCTGCTCTGGAGGGGCACGCGTCTCGGCATATTCGCGAGGTGTCTTGGACAAGAATCCGTGGAAGCTCTGCTTGAAGACGTCGCCAATCAGCAAAAGCTGGATGGGGTACATGGCGATACCCTTCAGAACCAAAAAGTTGACAAAGAAGGGTGCAACGCGCGAAAGCGAGGTAGCTAACAGCAACGTCAGCTCGCCAAGGTTGTGATATACCTTGTTGAATGTCTGGGCCCATGTACCAGCCACCGTGAAGACGAGGACAACGTTGAACAGGATAAAGGTGAAGTACTTGTTGTAGAGCGACCGCGCAATGCCCGAGTGAGACTGGATGCCTTGGCTCTTGCACAAGGCCTCGAGGAGCTTGGGGACGACAGCAAGGAAGATCGAGACACCGGCTGTGGGGAGGAAACCTTGAAGCACCGACTTGATGGCAGGGTTAGATTCAGCAATAACAGTGATACCAGGGAGGAGCTTTTCGAGAGTCTCGAGGTTCAGGAACGAAGAAAAGACAGCAATGGGACCAGCCCAGAAGAAGATGAGGAAGAAGACCGTGGTGTTGACGACAACCGAGCGGATGGTGAGCTCGGATGGTGGCAGGATTAGGTGGTCCCAGTAAACGTCGCGAGGTTCCGGTGCCGTTGATGTCTCGCAGCTGAGCGTCTCCTGTGTGTTCACCGTCTGCGCTAGGGTTTGCTGTGCCGTTGAAAGATGCAAGAGAAATTAAAAGGTTAATAAATTATTGCCTCCGAACACCATGCAAACTAGCAAAAGTATCCAAGAGGGTGAAGCAACTTACGGCGGAGCGCATCTCCTCAAAGGTAACAAAACCGACGGCGGTGGTTGCAAAGATGCGGGACATGCGCATCTTCTGAACAGCCTTGTCAAGTGTAGTAAACACCTCCCGGCAATGGTCAATCTTGTCAACCTTCTTGCCAAAGAGCCCCCAGAGTCCCAGCCGTGTAGTCGGTCGCTTCTTTCCTTTGGGTGCAGGCCGGAGCAACGAGGAGCTCTCGGTCGTCACAGCGTCATGATCTTCCATTTCCTCAACGTGCTCAGTCAGCGCACGTTCATCGTCAGCCATGATCTTATCCGGGTCATATCCAGGGAACTTTGAGGGGTTGCCATAATAGCGTGTGTACACTCGCTCGAGTTGTTTCAAGGCGTGCTCACGTTGTTCAATCAAGCGCTTCAATGTCCTCACATGTCGAACAACATGGGCGCTCTCCACACTTCCTGCTCCGAGTGACTCGTAAAAAGTGGCCAGAGCACGGTCGTTCTGTAAATGGTTGGGCAAGCCTACCACCATCACAGTACGGTTGGTGATTGTCTTGGCGCGCTGCAACATGAACTTGCGACGGATAGAGACGTATCCCTCGTAGGACTTCCAGAGAGTGAACAGGGTGAGGAGCGAGAACACCCAGGTGAAGGTGAACTGAGTAAAGAGGTAGAGCATCGATGTTCCCTGAAATCCTTCTGCTGGTGTGGCTCGGCTGTAAAGCGGGATGTCATCGTCGTCATCGTCTGGTTGTGAAGGATCGCGGCCATCCTTTGTTGAGTAGTAGTTAACTGGCCAAATGATCAACATGCCCGGAATCAAACAGCCGGCAAACAGTTTGATAGCCATAGCAAAGAACCGAAGCAACTAGCGTCAAATAAAAATCATATTGGCCAAGGTTAGTTCCCACACACTGTCAACGGTCGGTTTGTATGTCAGTATGAACACACTTGGCAAGGGGGTGTTTACACTGTGTTGGTGGTAGAAAACACAGCAAAACAGGTTATGCAATATGCAAAACAATTGAGAGTTGCTGGGTGGAGCAGGGGGTGAGAGACGTTGGAAATCGCGTGTGTATGCTGCAGCCCAGTCCTTCTTGTTGAGGGTGTTTCGTCCTTCCCAGTTGTCCCATAGTTTTCAAGATGAACATACCATGACCGCATCAAGACCAACAATATCAAGCATCTCGCCTTCGGGGATGCGCAACAGCTGCGGGATCCATCCAAAGAACGTCGCAGAAAGAATAGGAGGCGTATGTCTAGATAAACCATTCAACAGAAATAAGAAAACGGGAAGAACAGAAACACCGGACGTCAGTTCTTCCTTTCCTTTGTCCATGCTCCTTTGTTCGTCCTGCCCTACAAGCAACAAACTATGGTTGCTTCACGAATCATCCCACGCTCCTCCTTCCAACTCCACCCCATCCACCATCCAATGTAGTACACAGGCAGGGTCGGTTACAATGTCGTCATAGGTCCACTGGAACATTGTTTTTCTTTTCATTGTTCTTCCACCATCATTTTCGTTCCGTGTGTATACCTTCGAAGCTTGGTGCGAGGGGCAAACATAACAATCCACCGTGTGCGCAGGACACAGAACGTCAAGAAGCCAACCAGTCCAAGGGCGACCGAGATAATAATCTGACCCGTCAGACCAGTCGTATTTGTTGCCTTTGGCTTTCCGTCTAACGCCCGTGCAAAAAAAAAGTATATCCGAGTGTTAGTGTGGTGTAGGATACATAACGACGTTTGTAATTTTGAGCTTTTCCTTCTCGCTTTTTGTTGCATCCTGATCAGCTTGTTGAGTGCATGGGAGAAGACTCTTTACCTGGGTCACGACCGAAAATGCCAGCGGTTTCCTCATGACTGAAGGGAGACTGGACCCTGGATGGAGAGAATGTAAAAAAAAGAAGAAGAGGAGGAGGAGGCGAGTGAGTTTAGGGACGGTTCGGAAGTGGAATGGGAGAAGGGTATTTTTTGTTGGTTGCTTACCAGAATGCTGATTGCGGAGGGTCCATGGTGAAGGGATGGGAAGGGAGTTGAGAGGGAGCGGGGTGGTGGGTTGTAAAGGAGAGAGAGTAGAGAAGAAAGAAAGGAAAAACAAGCTTGTGTAAACGTCGGAAGAACATAAACTAGCTGGTCAGGAACAAGGAAGGGCTAGAAGAGACAGCCTGCCCCCACTCTTCTGCAAAATCGCAATCGAACAAAATCTTGTCAGTGTCAGTCAGTCAATAGACCAGAGTGGACTCAGCCCGCCCTCTCCCTTTCTTCTCTCCACAACGTGCACACGCACACCCAACACACTTGACCATTTCACACGAACAACCCTACTCGCTTGCTGCATATTTACAACACTCAGACATCTACAGCATACTCTGCGCACATTCCTTTTAACCTCCTTTTTTTTCTCTTCACTCAAACTCTTCGAATTTTCCGGCCAACAATCATGCCTTCACTGTTGACAGCACAAACGCAGATTTTCCTCTTCCACGATCACTTCACTCTGTCGATGGTTGATATTTCCCGCCATTATCAATGATTCCCCTGATGATCTTCACAAGCTTGAACGCCCCACGTCCGAGAACCTCGAACTGTTACAGATAGAGATGTTGTTTATTCTGCTGATATGCTGATTCTGCGAGGCACAGCAAAACGTCTGTTGCTTGCTGCTGCTGCTGCTGCCGCTGTTGGGTTCGCTCCCACGTCCTCCATGGATGGGTCGATCGTCGTCTAGTTGACGATCTTCTCCAGCTTGAACGCGTCCGAGACCTCAAACTGTGGGTAGTAGTTCTCGCACTTCTCTGTAACCTCGAATCCATGCTTCTTGTAAAACTCTAATGCCTCCTCGTTGTTCGACTGCACATGCAAATACAACTTCACAATCTTGGGCTGTCCTGCCACCACTGGCAAGTTTGCCTGTTCCAAAATGTGCTTCAACATCTCCGATCCTATGTATATTTTTGGGTGTTGATGAGAAGACGAGGTGAATTGAAAAAAAAGAGGTTAGTTATCCGTTGTCGATGCGTGCGTGTATCGTCCTGATGGGTAAGATCGTTGTCGTGCTGTTTTTCCAAGTCTTTTACAGCAAGTCGCTATTGAAGTGTAGATCATCCTGGGAGGTTGTTGTCGGCAGTCCTTGATCCACGACATTGCAATGTCTTGATAACAACACAACTGGAAACCAATCATGTAAGAGGGAGGTGCGTACCCAAACCAAGGCGGCGGTAAGGTGCCAAGACTCCGAGGGTGGCAATGTAAAGGTTCTGCTCCGTGGCCGATCCAGCAGCGGGCTCCTTGCGACAGCACACAGCTCCAACACAGACATCGTTGAAGTAGACTATTCATTCATACAACAGCAGCACAAAAAGCAAAGCAAAATAAAAAAAATGGACGTAAGTAAGATGGATATCAGACGGGATGTTAGGGGGGATCCTCTTTTTTTTTTCTTCCTGGTTTGGTGTGGTGGCTCCTGACATCGGTTTGTGGAAATGTAATGCACGGAGTGATTCTTCTACAAACAACTCTTCTCCTGAATTGTCTCGTCAGCCTCCATGCAAAAAAAAAAACGTAGCGTCCTCCTGCATCGCCGAATCCGCTTTTCGTTTTTTCTATCCACGTTTGTTTTGCTTTCCAACAGCCTCTCGCGCAACAAAGGGTGAAAGGAAACGTACTGATTTTAGCAAACTCGCCGACTTCAAGAACATCTTTATAAAACCCAGGTGCATAAACCACGGGAAAGAGAACCGTGTTCAAACGCTTGAGTTGACCCAAGTTGTTGGGAGTGATATCTCCCAACCCGACACGGAAGCCGACGTTCTTGGGCTTGTCTTCAGTGGTAGTTGCGGTGGTAGTAGAGCTCATGTCGATTGCTGGTGGAGTCATATGGTGGTTTGTGAAAAAAAAGTGTGTGTCCTGTGTCCTCGGGTTGGGGTGGGTCGAGATGGGTAGAAAAAGAAGAGAAGAGAGGAAAGAGGAGTGTGGGGTGACAGGGCTCAAGAACGTCGTTCACATTTCACAGACACACAGTTCCAGGCACACAGTTCAAGAATTGAGTCGCGACTCTGTTTTCTTGTGGCTGATCCGCACTCAATTGTCCAAAACGCAGTCCCGTTCTCTTGCTTTTTTGATCCGTGTCAAAGGATCCAGTTCGCAGACAAAGAACAAAGAGGCCCATTGAACAGTAAGGACAGATACTTTTGCAATGCTAGTTTTTATTATTTTTATTCAATGATGGTACTTGCGGAAGGTCGAAAACCAAGAACTTCTGTTTACTTGGAGATTCTCTCGACATAAGCATTCCATCCAGCCTCCTGGTACCGCTTGGCCTCCTTGGCAGCATCCCGTCCACCTCCATAAATTCCCCTACCAACAATAATAACATCACACCCACGATCAAACACAACCTCCCGAGGATGCTTCCACTGCTGGCCCATCCCATCCGAAGTCTGGTCCATTCCAACTCCAGGAGTCATATAGATAAAATCATCGCCCTCCTTATCAGCATATCTCTCCATCGCAATGAAACCAACAACGAAATCCTTGTACTTGCGAGCAACCTCGACCGTCTTGACAGTGTAGTCGCCCTTGGCGAGCGTGCCAGCGGACGACATCTCGGCGAGGAGGAGCATAGCGCGGTTCAGGGGGAGACCGACCTCGCGAAGTCCCTGAACGATGCCCTCACCGGGGACCATGTGGGCGTTGGTGATGTCGGACCAAGAAGCGATCTTGTAGATTCCTGAACCGTACTGAAGCTTGACCGTGTTTCCTAATTTTTTTTCCAATTGACCGGTACAAACTCGTTCAGCCGAATGGTCTCTTTTGACTCAATTGCCTCAAGGAAGAAAAAACAAGGTCGTGGGAAATGTCCTGATCAACATGGTGGTCCATAGTGTCGATGCCTATCAACTCACCAATGTCGGCAAACTTGCGGTCCTCAAAGATCATAAAGTCGTGCTTCTTAGCCAAGGCAGTAAGCTGGTCAACCAAATCCTGATCGAAATCCTCAACAACATCAATGTGGGTCTATTTCGCCATGGTTTTTCCAAGAAAAATAGTCAAGTATGTGAGTACAACAGTACCTTCGGACTCTTCGCCAATTACACGCTCTCATAAACAGTCAATATAGCGTTCTCCCCAGTAAACCTCCTTGCAACTAGTTGTCCATGAATGAGAAGAAAGTACCTTGAGCAAGCAGATGTAGGGTCCGACCTTGTCGGCCAACTCAATCAAGGCAGCCTTCTTGTTGAGATCAGCAGCGACAGAGAGGTTCGACTTTTTGCGCTCCATCAGCTCGAGGAAGGCCTTGGCTGTGGGGTTCGAGTGGAGCTTGGAACGCTCGAGGTACGACAATGAGGCGGACATGACTTTTGGACTTGCTCGGTTTCTTGGAATGAAGAAGACAAAGGTTAAAGAGATTCACATGATGCGTTACTGGTTCATATACTTTTTCTGAAAGAAAAAAATGTTTTGAGCAGAGTAAGCCACTCGACACTAAAAAATTAGGTTGTCTCCGCGGCAGAAACTCCCTGCTCCGCGGTTCAAAAGGCAAACTTCCAGCGATAGAAAATGATAAAAAGTGAAGTGTAATAATGAAATGAAAAAAAATGCTGCCTCTATCAATGCTTATGTCAAGCTCTCTATTCGCGGTACTTGTTCATAAAGTCGGCGTGGAAGTTCTTAATTCCCGAGCAGAAGTCGTCAAACAACTCGGGTTGGGGCAAGAACGTGCTGCGGAAGTGAGCAGTGCCCTCAACTTGACCGAATCCAGATCCTGCAACCATGCACACACCAGTCGACTCGAGCATAGCCATGCAGTAAAAGTGGTCGGGCTCCTTGCCAACGGCCTTGGCGGCCTCAATAGCTTTCTTGGGCAGGCGGATCTGGGGGAAGAGGTACATGGCACCGTCAGCGCTGTTGCAAGTGCATCCCTCAAGGCTGTTGAAAGTCTTCTCGAGGATCGCGGCACGCTCAATCAAAGAGTTGTAGATGGCGTCGTACTCCTTCTTGTAAAGAGGGTAAGAGGGGTCGCCCTTCTTGGGAGGGCTGACCATCAAGTCAACCATGATCTGACCCTGGACGTTAGGGCACAAGCTGATGGACGAAATCTTGTAGATCTGCTCCATGACCTCAGCATCCAAGCCCTCGCACTCAAAGTAACCGCCACGACGACCGCACTCGCCAATCATGCCCTTGGAGATCGAGTGGTACGAAATCATCTCAAAGCCCTCGTACTTGGGGCCCATCGACTTCAACACCTTCTTGAACGAGTGGAAGGGGCGGTCCTCGGGGCGGTAGATGTTGGTCTGGTAAACCTCATCGGCCAAGAGGATGACCTTGTTCTTGCTGCAGAACTCGATAATCTCCTTCATGTTGTCCTCAGCCAAGCACTGTCCAGTAGGGTTACCGGGGTTGATGATGACCAAAGCGCGAGTCTCAATGCCCATCTTTTCCGACTCGTCGTATGCACGCTGAAGCTCTTTGCTCTATTAAAATAAAAAAAATTGGTGGCGTGAATGTTAAATGCTGAAAGGAAATAATACTTTGAAATAAAACGACATGTATCGACATGTAACGAGAAAAAAACTTACGGTGAGACCCCACTGCTTGGACTCGTCCAGATAGTATGGCACGGGGTTGGCATCAAGAACAGCCAGGGTGGCGGTGTAAAGAGGGTACTGGGGAATGGGGATCATGACGCCGACCTTGTTGTGCGAAATAATCATCTCGAGGGTAAGCTGGACACCGGCAGAGGCTCCCTGGGTCAAAAAGATCTTGGAAGGATCGGCTGGGTATCCGTCACGCTCGGAAATGAACTTGGCGACGCTCTCGCGGATGTGAGGGATTCCTTGAGAGTGGGAGTAGGCACCAACAGAGCCAATGTTCTTGAGCAACAACTTTGCGCGGGCAATGGCATCGCTGGGGTAGAACTTGGCAGCAGCTTCAGCGTTCTCATCCTTGAGGAGCTCTGGGTATTCAACAAGAGAAGCAACCTAGACAGGAAAGAGGAGACGAGACATGGCGACATTTTTGTTAACGTTAGAAGGGAATTGGTAGTCCATTTTAGAGATTATCGCGCGGTCATTAAAGTTGATCACAGAACGTTTTCCAAGTCAGCTCTTCAACCCCTGTATGCGCATGCGAGGTTCATTCAGCGCTCCTCCCTTTTGTTTTGTTTTGATTTTCGCGAAAAGAAAAAAAATGGCTGGAGTTGCAAGATGCACATACCTGGCGGAAGAAGGTAATGGGCTTCTGATCCAAAGCCTGAGGGTTTCCAATGTTGCAGCCGACGACACGCTTGAAGGGAAGCTTAGCACCCTTGGCGAGCTCCTATAAAGTAAAGGATGGGATGGGAATATGAGTATGCTGTGCGTGATGGCCACAATGTGGAGTTGAGGGTAGGTGGAGGAGGGTAGAGAATCCGAGGAGTACAACTTGTCTTCGAGGTCCCGGTTTCGGATTGGTCGAATCCATGGCAACATGAGGAATGGTATGTCTCACTTAGTCCCAGCTGTATGTCGAGTCAGGGGGGGTGTTGTTGCCCGACTGTCAATACCTCCTCCAGATCAGACGGGTTTCCAGATCCGGGGTTAAGAACAAGCCATTTGTCAACAAAGTGCTGAGCCGACTATGGCATGAGCCACGATGAGCAATCAAAGAGTAAAAAAGCCCACGGGCTGCCCTGTTTAGAGGATTGATGAGAGTGTTGTGGGGTAGCCGCTGTTCCTGTATGGCGTCAGGTTTTTTTTTGTTTTCCTGTCGGTGGTTGACTCGGTGGAGATCTTTTTTCGCCCTTTTGGTTGTGTATCCAATCTCAGAATGAAATTAGAGAAGGATGTTGGGTGCGTCCAAAAAAAATGTTGGCCTTGATCGTGGGAAGAAAAAAAATTGTCGTGCCGCTGATCCAGAGTACCGTATCCGTGTTCCTTGTTGTCTCCCGATGAGATATGTTCCCCTCTTCCAAGGAAATAAGAGTGCGCGAAAGAGGGAGGGAGTAATTGCTTTGAACGTACAGTCTTGAGTGTCTCTGAGCGGATGGCGAGTTCACCACGGACGGCGTATTCGGCCTTGCGGACCTGGGAGTTCATGTTTCTGCCATTGAGAATCTTTTCTATTATTTTAGCCGACACGTAAATGTGGAGGAAGAGGGAGATTGGATGTAGGATGTGTCAGAAATAACGAAACTAGCTTAGCACGGAAGGGTGGAAGGATTCATATTGGACAAAGCGGGTCTAGTGCCACCCTAAACTTCAGGCCCATGGCTGGTGCATAACTGAACCCAAGCATCGCATTTGCGTGTTATCATTTTTATCGCATAGCGTCAGTGACACCGAAAAAAAAGAGCCGCGCGGCTAGAGCAGGACAGAATGTGTGACATGTCTGTAAGGTGTGGTTTGGTTTACCTGCGGTCATGATGCGGGAGGATGAGGAGAAGGACTTGTGGAGGACAGGGGTGTGGACGGCGGTGATGTTGCGGAAGGTTCTGTGCTGGGTAGACAACTGTCTGATGAAGGTTTTATAGACCGGGGAGCACTGAAGGGACGCCATTGTATTTATACTTGGACAAGGGCTAAACGCTATAGTTGTTGTTGGTAGAAGGTTGTATGGATGGGGCAGAGTTCAGTAATAAGAAGAGGGTGGGGAAAAACTACGAGTCAGCGAGCAGGACGAGAGAGTGGATGGGTGTGAGTGGTCCGGAATGAGAGCCAACGTGTTGTGAATGGGGCGGATGCAAAAGCGGATCACCTACGGAGAGAGAGGGGGAGGAGAGTTGGGGTTTGAGAAGAGAGAGAGGGGAGGAGGGGGATCAAAGGGATACAAAGAGTAAAAAATAACGCGCTGTTCTTGCAACAAAGAAAAAACGGGCACCTGATTGGATGAGCAAGGTGTATGAATTGAACTTCAAACATCCGCCTTCGGTCGATCCCACACTCAACGGCACAATTCTCACGCTTTTCGTTCTCCTTCTTCGTCTTGCAGTCTCAACGGCGACTTTCCCACGGATATAACAAAAGGTTGAGTGAATACCACCTTGGCACTCATTCAGGTACAGGTTAACAACTTTTGCCATTCAATTGATTTTCCCTCTATTCTTCGTCGTCGCCACTCTTGAAAAAACAAGGTAAAAATAAAGAGTCCGGGGACATTTCAGAAAAAAACCAACCTCCACCGCCTCCACCTCCATCACGGTCAACCCATGAACAAAGAACTGGGAACTTTGACGCCATCTTCACTTCCGTAAACCCCCATGCACAACAAGAAAACACTCCCACTCTGACACATTTGAGCAAACATCCCCCATCAACGTTTCTTTCACACTTCATTTTAACAACCCACATGGATCGATCGAGTATTGGTATGGAGCTTAAAAATGGGGACTATGGCACGGTCCTGTCATTTTTCTGCGCTAAACTTTACCCTCGAAAAGACGAACATTCTCTGTTCTTTTCTTTATTTCAGAAAGGGTTGAGCATAGGTGAGGGTATACTGTGCTAATGGGTAGCACTAAATGAAAACTTGGCCTCGGCCGAGGACAGCCAAGAATGGGACAAGGGCGAAACGCGTGGCAAAGTAGAAAAGCATGCCAAAACAGATCGAGATCGGGAGTGCCGGCAACGCCTTCTGGTAAATAGCCAGCAAGAAAATGGTGGCGTTCATTCCCTATTAACATACATCGTTCAAATAAATATCAAAGGTTGAGTCAGTAGTCGTGTCCTTGTCGTCGCCGTCACTGAGACCAGAAAATGAGAAAGGATGATACTCACAGTCAAGACGGCAACCATACAACACATGGTTGTCACCCAGTCAAACATGGCTATTCCAGTTGTAAGACAGATACACTTTGGTTAGTCTCATTGGTCTTGTTCATCATATATCATGTCATTTTTTTTCTCCTGATAAGGACACGATCTGTTACCTGCTCGTGCAACGAGAACACTGTAGAAAACAAAGTCTCCCAGACCAAGTTTCAGTCCGCCGCCTATTCAATTGCATTCAGGTGTACGAGTGTAAATTAGCACACATTGCCGACAACTACGAGAGAAATAAAAGGCATTCACAACAAAGCAACACCTTACCATCGTCATCGTCATCGTCGCCCGAGGTTTCGCGATGTTCTTCTTCATCATCATCAGTCTCCCGCGAATCTCTCCTAGGGTCACGGTTTGGTTCCTGCCTTCCAGATGCAGAATTTGCAACCCGGCCAGCCAAAGGACTGCCCTCGCCACGGCCGCGGGGTGAGCTTCCAGAATCGCCTGATCTAGCACGCTCCCTCAGCTCAATGGCGTCCCGATCTCCAGTTTCACCATTGGGTCCTGGCACCAGCGCCATCGTCGATGATGTCCGAGACATGCCTCCGTGTGCACTGAATGACGCATCCAGACCGCTGTTACGACTGCTGCTGATGCTGGCGCCACCGTCCCTGCCAGTTGCACGAGAGTGTCCGCCGTGAAAGTTAGTCCTGGGACTAGCGTCATTATTCAAAGTAAGATCCTCCGATTCTGAACTTTCTTTGGAATTCAAGGTTTCCCGATTCAGGATAGCATCAGGAGGCGAAGCCATGAACCACACTGCGTTGACGGTGTACAACAATGCAGGAACCTCCTGATTCTGATTCCTAGAGCTCTCCACCAGAATTTTAAGTGGACCAAAAGGGCACAGCACCGCAATCAGGTCTAATAGAGAGTAGATAAAAGCAAAGACATATCAGCCCTTGAACGTTTTGTTCGAAGTGAAGTCGAAAAGCCGAGAACGAGCGCATAAACGTACCCCAGACTACCAAAAGTGCCAATAACATCCACGTAGTCCACTCTGCCAATCCAGTCAAAGAGAATGCCTATCAAAGTTGAAAAGCGAGAACAGGTTAATGACATGTCCTTAGCATATAAGTATGACTGCGTCAAATGATATGTGCCATAGGTAACACAACGTACCATCAAACTACTCATGACGGTCAAGTACATCTGTTGCACCCACATAGGACCTTTCCAGAAGACCGATATCAGACCAGTGACCGAAAAGTTCCATAGTGCAAACGCCATTGTCAGATAGTCGAGGGGAATCCTGAGGACTTGAATCAAGTTAAGGATCAAGATGTATCCCATGAATCCTAATAGCATGGCAACCACCACCATGAAGAAACCGATCAAGACCTAGTAGGGTGGAAGTGAATAGGTCAATTGCTGTCCAAATCAGAAATGCGCCCCTGTAGTAGTAACACATGCAATCACCGTTGTACCTTGATGTGTCCCCGTTTGAACAAGACGACGATGATGATGGTGACAATGACAATTTGTCCAATGATGATTCCTGCGTTCGCCAACGAGCCCAGAAAGTTTTGAGACGCCGATGAGTTGGGTGATTCCTTGTAGACAGTGTAGGACGATTGTGTAGGCCTACCATGCAAACGCAGCGAACAAGCAATGTAATTAGGTAAATATCTCGGAAAATAATGTGGGGTCATCCATTGCTAAAAGGCATCCTTTCGTTCATAAACGATCCCAATTACCTGTAATCGCTTCCAGCCATGGAGATTTTGACCCAGAGGATACTGAGACAGATGCAGACAACAACGGGCTTGATGATTTTGTAGATCTGAAGCATATAGAACTTCATGTCGGCGATCCTCTCTGCCTCTTCATATGCTGCTCTTTGTTCTGGTGTCAACCGAGGTCTCCTCCGTGGTTCCCGTGGACGTCTTCGAGGTCGATTCGCTGTCGCCCTGATATTGTCTCCTTCGCCGCCCAGTGGTTCGCCTATGAAGAGTCGCAATATTCCCAGCAAGTTCAGTAATACAACAAACAAGTGCGGTGCGTGCACACTAAGGTTAGTCAAGCAACAAAGACCTCCAACCATGTGGGACAGACGCACACAACCAAAAACACTACAAAGTAGCAAAAAAAAAGCTACCTGCAACGCCTGAGCGCGAGGGACTTGCGGCAGCCCTACTTGTCATCTCCATATCATTTGAGTATCTGTCGCCAGGCACACCCGTTTCCCTTGCACCATTCGCGCCAGATCGGGGTCTGCCAGGATCCTGTTGGGACTCGGTCTGTTCTTCCTTCTGTGCAGCCACAATCTCTGCGCACTCTCGATAGTGAATCTTCCAGTCGGACGCCTGACATTCCTGAGAACAATATCGAACACTCTGACAGGCCGAACATTGGAATCTGGCAGGGAAGACACCGCAAGCCTGACATGGTTGGTCCTCGCCGCCTTCGTCGTCGCCTTGTCCATTATCACCGCCTCCTGCAGTAGCAGCAACGACGATGGGCGTATCCTGCTGACCACGAGTAGAGGCGCGGGAGTCAGCACCAGCCCTGGAAGACAATGCCTGTGTGTTGACGGTGGTTCCGTCGGAGGGTTGAGTCGAGGATGAGGGGAAGGACGATGTCTGGCCTGATGGGGTCGTTACCCCTCTAGCGGCCGGTGATGACATTCAAGTTTAAAAAAGAGTGGTGCTCTGGGGTCTTCCTGAATGATGTTGATGACTGTATGAATGCAAGAAGGAAGGGGTTGTGAGGGTGCAAGGCTTGGTCGATGAAAGTGGCTGCAATGGTGTGAAGAAGTTGCGTAATGGAGAAGGGAGTGTGAGAGCGAGATGCAAACTTGGTAGAAGGAGTGAGAAGGCTGTAACAGGGGTTTCAAAGAGGAGGATACCCTGGCAGAAGCAGGGGAGCAGAGAGATGAGAGACGAACGTGGGTGGGTGAGGAGAAATAGAGTGAGAGAGAGAGAAATCCAATACGATAAATGAGAGCGCCTTGAAAGCAAAAGCAAAAGTAATTTTAGACACTTGTGCGACTGAACAAGCAGGAAAGGACCGACCCTTTCTCCACGAAGAGAAAGTACAAATTACCCGCTCGTCATTATTGTCGCTATGGTAGTTCCGTAATAAGTAGCTTTATGCTAATGACCCCCAAATATCCACCTCGGTGGTACATGGTATTACTACTGTAATGGTTGTAGGATGTGCAGGGACCTGTTCTGCTAGGACACAACTGACGTTTGTCTTGCAAGGGCCTTCAGCCCCTTGCAGGCTGTGCTTCTCTTTCTACTCGATCGCAGTCCCATGTGTGTGGCTTTGTTAATTTTGCACTGTTTGCTTAGGCGGAAATGAAAAAAACAAAAGTTGCCACCATCTCTTTATTGTTCATTCACCAAGAAGACACTGCTACTCATCCATCAAAGTCCAAACAACCTCAAGACAACACTGTACCAAAGCAAACTCGGACAGGGAATTATCTGGAACCATTCAAATCTGATACAACTGTGAATACAGGACACCACACCACAACACCACACCACAACACCAATTACAACAAACAAATTATGCCACCATACAAGAAGAAGGCGCCCTCAGCCTCCAGCTCCAGGAACGCCAATGCAACTGCCAAGGCCAAGAGCAACCCATACAACAGAAACGCCAAGGACACTACTACAGGAGCCAAGAAGGCACACAGCGCCCTGGCCAGCAAGCCCACACAGGCCAGGAATAAGCACAAGAACATGAACCTTACCTCCGAACTCGATTCCTTGCTGGGAGACCTCAACACTCAACTCCAACGGAAAAAGACCAAGCGCGACGTCCGATCTGTAAGTTGGGAGCGATTGGACTGGATACCATTGCATGAAGCTTTCATTTCGCTGCGAAGGGAACAAATGCTAATACCAGTGGCTGTTGCTTCCTTATTTGCTTAGACTGATCCTATTGGTGTCTCCGAGTCAGAGAAGAAGTTGAACGAGGCGCAGGCGAAGCATGAGTCGCTCCAGCAGGATATGATGAGCGCCCTTGACGGCATCTCCTCCCTCGGCAATTAAACGGCAACACACCGACCTCTTAATGACCTCGCACCACAGCACAGCACAGCCAGCATATGCAACAAATCACACAGCACAACCAGCATCAACATGTACAATAATAAAACTAGCCTTATTCTATACGTCACTATTTCTCACGCCAGGTTTTTCCTGGTCCACTAGCAACTTGTGAGGCTGCAATGCAAGGGCTTCCGTTCGCTCTTTAGAGCAAGGTGGCGCCAGGTGAGTGGCGGTGTCTCTAGTACTTTGATTTGGAACCTTGGGCGGAAATTTTTGTTTGCGAGATGTAAGTCTGACGATGGACAGGCTCATGGTGCATAAAAATGAATGCAGCTCCCCACATTTTTGTTTTGAATTTTTTCTTTGCATTCCTCACTTGTACATATCATCTATCATTGTCATTCAAAACTATCAGCAATCCGATTTTACTAGCATCTTACCCCTTTTTGCAATCATGCACACCCACTCGAGGGACCAGAGAAAGTGGTTGAAGGCAGCACTGACGATGGGTGCCGCCTTAGCACTGCTCAGCAGTACTCTGAACAGATGCATGGCCTCACCTACGCCTCAACTCGTCTTTCATGACAACCATGCTGCTCACAACGGACAGCAGCAATCGGTCATCCACCTTGCAGGAAACACCGTCCTTGATATCCTTGGAGAGCGACCAGAGTTCTCGAAGCTCTTGGGGCTGATCCAGAAGGATAATGGTAGGCATCCATGCAACTGCCGAGCCTGGCCCCTTTCGGACATGTTCTGAGTTATAAAACAACTCACCCTTCCCAATATTATGTGCATAGATCTGAGAAACCTTCTCGGAGACCCAGCTACCCAGCCCACTCTGTTTGCACCAACCAACGAGGCGTTCGACTCTGTCGACGACATTGACTACCCTACACACGATGTACTCATGTACCACATCGCCGCCCAGCCCTACAACTCCTCAAGACTACACGACGAGTTTGTCATCAGCACCCTCTTTGACTCTGATGGTCTCGACAACTCCCCTCAGCGTTTGCGTATCACTCTTTCCGAGCCTGGCATCCCTTCCACCTCAGTGGAGGGTGTTCGAAACTCGTTGTGGAAAGAGGAGCCCGAGGTCTGGATCTCAGAGAAGTCCCACGACACGAAGGCTAGTTTGTATGTCAACCGCGCCAAGGTCATTTTGCCAGATCTACTTGCCCAGTCTGGTGGTATGGTCCACGGTGTCAACTGCATCATTCGCCCTCCTGGTGAGACCATTCTCGATGAAGTTATGCGTCATGGCATGCATTTTACGTACCTCACCAAGGCCTGGACTGAGACCGGTGTTGACGGCCATATCCGCGACGGCAAGAGCATGACCCTCTTTGCCGCCCACGACAAGGCCTGGAAAGGTACTTTGTTTTCTGTTTGCTTTTATTTATAAGGATGGTTGTTCGTTGAGACAAGAAATGTCAGCTAACTACCTCACCTGTCTTGATTCGTAGCCTTACCAAAGAAGTTGTTTAAATGGCTCTTCTCAGACATGGGTCGCGAGCACTTGAAGATCTTGTCAATGTACCAGATCGCAAACAAGGTCGTCTACACCCCCGAAATCTTGAACAAGACCAACAAAGATGGCAAGTCGACCTACCCTCGGCTTGACCTTCACACCCTCCTGAACTCTCCCGCCTTTGAGCTCCATGTGCAGGGCAAGGTTAGAAAGTCGAACGAAAAGGATGAAAGCAGCCACAAGATGATTGAGTACAAGCCCTTGGGTCTGACTGACCTGATCGAGACCTTCAAGTTCCGTAAGCTGTTTGGACTGGGTGATCCCACTACTCCCACTCCTTGCGAGCCTGATCACCACTTCCCTCACAAGGATCTTGATCATCCTCACAAGGGCGGAAAGCACCACAGCCACCGCCATCACGGCCACCACCGAAAGCCCAAGCACCCCGGTTCAGCAGCCCCCCGTCGCGACGATATCGTTGTCAACGGCAACGCCGAGGTCATCCATGGACTCGAGAACTGGATCGCTGGTAACGGTGTGATCCATGTTGTCGACAAGGTCTTGATGCCACCTCGCAGAAAAGGATGCGAGAAGATGACGGCTTTGGAATGTTCTGCCTGGGAGACGATCTGGGATCTTGGCAACGTTGGTTTGGGATCTGTTGTTGAGGATTCTGTTGACTGTATTGACGACATGACGTTGTTTGACGACATTGAAGGTGTCCTTGGGAAGATTAAGAACCCCTTCCAGCCCCTCTGGAGTGCTGACGAGGATGTTGCTGAGATGGCATTTAAGGAGGAGGAGGACGACTATGGGGAATACTAGTTGAACTAGCGAGGAAGGAGACAATAGCGCGGCGCCCCGCCCCTTGTACATATTTTCGTTGTGCTATTTTTCGCTTTGCAGTAGAAAGCATAGCCTTTTAAGTAAACCCTTAAGGCTCAATTGGCAATGTAATATCATTTAGTGCTGTTCGTCCAATCACGGCGTCCCACAGAGCAAACCAAGGGGCCACCTCCTCACACCCCCTCCCTTTGCTTCTTTTGTAAAGGTTCAAAGTTCAAACTGCCCTCTTCTTTCATTTCCTTCTTTTCCTTTTCTTCAACAACCACATCAACTCCAGCCGCCCTAACATACCCACCACAATGACAGAAAAGTGGGAGCCATCACCCGAAGTGCTCGAGCAGGGACTCTACGTCGCATACGCCGCCATCAGCACAATGGCCGTCGTGCCCATTTACTTTGGATCCTTTTCATCTCTCAAGAAGTGGAAGGTAACGTACATGGGACTCATCGTCACTCTTAGAAGAACTGATCAGCCTTGTGTGCTGAGCGAACCAGCGCTGATGCTGCCGATTGCTTCTTCAATTGCTCGTGCTAGTATACCGAGAAGCAACACACATAACTTTCACTGACAGACGTTTCCTCGTTCAATTGTTCCTCAAACTACGATCTGCTAACTTTCTCACAATAGAACCCCAAGCAGAAGAAAAAGAGCAAGAAGGACAGCGAGGATTCAGACGACTCCGATGACGAAGACGACGTAACAGAGTCCATGTCGCTCGAGGATGCCTACATGTTCCCCATCTTTGGATCGATGACCCTTTTCGGTCTCTATCTTGTATTCAGATTCGTCGATAAGACCTATGTCAACTACCTTCTCACCGCATACTTTGGACTCTTGGGCGTCATGGCCACCACCCAGGTCGGCGTCAACTGTGTTGCACCTATTGTCAAGCTCCTTGGAATCAAACTCGATAGGTGGCACTTGAACCTTACCAAGAAGAAGAAGGGTATGTTTTCTATTGCGCCTCTGTTGTTGTGTTGTCGCCTCTTTTGCTCTTACTTTTTTGTTTATGCTCTTGTTACTTTTTTGCTGTTGGAATTAACCTTGATCCTCATACATTTCTATTTATTATTATCAATGTAGAGCTCTACGCTGCGAAGTTCACGATCCTTCACCTGATCATGATGGTTGCCTCGGTTCTCCTCTCGGGTTACTACGTCGCAACAAAGAACTGGATCGCCTCCAACCTTTTCGGCATCTGCTTCGCCCTCAATGCCATCCAACTCCTCGCCCTCGACTCCTTCAAGACCGGTATGATCCTCCTCTCAGGTCTCTTCCTCTACGACATCTTTTGGGTCTTTGGAACCGAGGTCATGGTCTCGGTCGCCAAGAACTTTGATGCCCCTGTCAAGGTCATCTTCCCCCGCATCTTCTTTGGACTCCCCGCCGGTCAGGCCTACCAGTTTGCCATGTTGGGTTTGGGAGATATTGTTATCCCTGGAGTCTTTGTCGCCCTCTGCCTCAGGTTCGATCAACACTTGGCTGGTACCAAGAACCCTAACCTTGGTCGGTCGACTCGTTTCTCGAAGCCTTACTTCACGGCTTGCTTTATCGCCTATGCCCTCGGATTGGGCACCACCATCTATGTCATGCACACCTTCAAGGCAGCCCAGCCCGCTCTCTTGTACCTCTCTCCCGCTTGTATCCTGAGCGTTCTCTTTATGGGTCTTGTCCGTGGCGAGATCAAGGAGGTCTTTGCTTATACTTCGGAGGATGGCATTGAGGCTGCCAAGGCCAAGGAGGAAGAGGAGAAGAAGAAGCAGGAGGAGAAGAAGAAGGCTGCTGAGGATAAGAAGGTCCCTGCTTTGGTCAAGACTGAGTCTGCTGTGAGCGAAAAGGCATCGTCGGCCAGTGATTCGGAGCAGGAGAAGAGCAGCACGCCCAAGCTGCGTAAGCGTAAGGGCGGCAAGGCCCAGAAGAATAAGAAGTAGAGTTCGATCATTTGCCACTTTTTTTTTACTACGCAAATATATCTTTTTTCAACAACGAGATCTTTATTTTCGATGAAAGGGAGCAGCAAAAAAAATATTCTCGCTGTCAAACATCCTTTCACTTTTCTCATCTTCTTTCTCACGGATGCTTGATTTAGGTGCAAACAAGCAAAACACATTAGCATATACGAGCTCGATATTGCATTTTGTTGCGAACGAGCATTTTGAAAACAAATGATATTTGTTGCCGATTCTCGGTCCCGCGATCATGGTTGCTCTGAAGGCTGTAGACCGTAGATTTTTTTTTTCAGAGATGAGGGCCAGGTGCACGACAAACATTCCATGTAGAATTGGGTCCATCCTTTCGCGACATTTTCCTCGGCCAGGCTGATTTTTTTTTGAGCTGCACTCTTGAGCGCTGCCGACTTTTCTGGATTCGTTGTTCCAAGGTACCCGGATTGAACTGCTCGCCAGTATCTCGACCCTATCCAAAGGTATTTTCGAAAGAGAAACGGGGGGGGTCAGCACGCAAGGAAACACGTATTTTATTTTTCTTTTCTTACTTGAACAATGTCAGGGCGAGCGAAGAACGTTTCGTGTTCAGTTCATTTATTTTCTTGCGACAAACGCGTCAAATATCATTAAGGAGTCGTGCAAACAAACAGGGACGTGTTAGAACCTCTTTTTTGTATTCGATTAGTGCGCCCGAGGTGTCTTCCGAGTTTGTCATTTCCTTCAGAGTCGCTCAAACAAAGATTATCCGTCTGGGAAGTAGAGGGGGGTGGCGAGATGAGTGCTCGTTTATCAAGAGGAATAGCGAAAGGGATGATCGGTAGTTCAGCAGGTAGATATATGAGTCAAATCGATGTTTAAAGGAGAAAAAGGAAGGTGAGAGGCGAAGAAGAATGAGGGATGAGAGATGAGAACATGAGAGAGAGAACGGTAGGTCAGTTGGACTACCAGGTCCGAAAGCGGACTGTGAGCTTTAAGGAAAGAAAACAGGTAGACGAAAGAGACGAAAGACTCCAACAAAGCGATTATGGATGGGCGAGGAAGGTCAATGCGGATACGAAATGGCATGTGCGTGTCCGCGCGTTGATCGTGAACAAAAGAGCCTTTGCTCTAAACTGAGCACAAACCGAGTTAACAGATATCCAATGTGACATGCCCAAAAGCATCTGTTCTTTGACGGGAAGAAAAATATACCATCCAGCTCGTAATTACTGGTAACGGAATCAGGGGGGTAAAGACGTCAGAGAAAGAGAGAGAAAAAAAAACGGCATGATTTGAATAGCATGAATGCAGGGAAGGACGGAAAAGAAAGAAGAAAAGCAGGAAAGGGACGGAATGGTACGTGCCCGGGTGGTACAAAGAGATCAACGTTACCACCACCCGAGACAACCCCCTTCCAACCTTCCCTTTTTTCCTTCTTTTACTTTTGGAGCCGGACCGAACGCTGGCGCAGACCATTCTCTTGAACTTGTTTCTACGACAACTCATTCGTTTTGTACTTCTTTTTTTTCTCCTCCTCCAATTCCATCGACGCCCTCTCTTCTCACCCTTTCCTCTTTCTCTACCTTCATGTCCCACTCATTCCTATCTCTCTTTCTTCTTGCTCACTTCCATCCATATGTTTCTGCGATCAACCCTACTCGTAAGGAAAACGCCAACTCTACCCAAGAACACCAGCGAACCATTCAGATCGGCTAAATGGATATTAGGTCGGAGAAGGGAGTACAGGATGGAGGCTAAAGGAAGGACAAAAAAAGTAAGCTCCTTGCTCGATCACATCCTTCATTGGCTTAACTACGATTTCTTTTTGCTCTTTCTACCTTCAGTTTTTTGACCCCTAAACTTATTTCCATGCTCGTTTGTAGCATCTCAATTCCTTGTGGAAATTGCTAATGGGAGTTCAAGGGGAGAGGAACAAAGACGAGGAGGCATCGTGTTTCTGTGATCCGAAGTGACAACATCGATAATAACCGACACAACCACTGCCTCAAACACTGCTACCGCCGCTGCCCTCAATACCATGAAAATAATACAACCGTGGTTGCGCAAGGAAGGTATGTGGTTACAAACACCCAGCAAGAATGTGCCAACCTCTCCCCCTTACCCCCAACCCCTACCATTGATCCATTGACAACGTAAAGCATTAAAAAAAGGAGTGTGAGAGAAAACAACTTGCAAAAAGCCCACAAAAACGGCATTGTTGAACAAAAAAAATTAAGCATCCTGCAAAAAACCGACAAAAACGCAAATGTCAAGAGCGAGTGTAACAAAACCACAAAGATGGGAAATGGGACAACGCATACCAAAGGCCAAGGGGGACAAACGGAAAAAAAAGGACTGTTGAAGATTGGAAGTGTGGGGGGTAGGGTAAACAAAAAAAAACCACACTTATGATAAGGGGTGAAGGTGGACAACATTTCTTGTCCGATGGATGGGTGTCCCTATTCGGTCTATAGGTCCAAGCATGCGCATGGATTATCGGTACTCTAACGAGGGGGGCTATTCAGCATGCCTTCACCATATCAACAAGCCTGGGCGGTGGATCCTTGTACAAGGGAATGTATTTTGCTTCTTCCATGGCTCACATTCTTCCCGTCCATTTCCAAGGTAGTCAAAGTAAACCACCTCTAATGAATCATGGTGTGCTGCATGCACATGTACAGTACGCGTTCGTGCTCCTTCGGTAACCGTCCATCCGTCGTCCGTCGGCTTCCTGGGTAAGACCCCCTTGCTTTCAAGTCGCCTCCTAACTTGTCAGCAACTTGAGCAAAAAATTCCCGATCGAATCATCGTTGTACAAAGGAGGAAGGAGCTCCAGGAGAAGTAAGCCGTTGAGGACGTTCAGCGCGAACGCGCAGAACCGGGATCATTTTCGTTTACTTTTACTATTGACTGGTTAATAGACTCGGTGGTGTCGGGAGATGGTTGGCTGCTGCAAAAAAAAAAGAAAAAAAGACAGGACAATGCGAATGGTGGTCTCCAAACCCCTTTGGAGTTTTTTTTTGCGCTACTTTTTCCTCAGTGTAGAAGGGCAATTTACTTCCAACCCCCCATTCCTCCTTTGTGTCTCCTTTTTGCGCGTCTTTTCGCCTTTTTAGCCCCCAGTGTCAGAATGCTACAAAAGAACAGAAATATGAGGAGAGAGGGTGCGGAGGCGGTGTTGTGCTGAAGAAAACAAGGACAAATAGAAGAGCCAGAGAGAGAACTATCACCATCTGTATGATAATGATAATGTATATGTAGTAAATGATGAGACCAAACTCATTGACCGATACATGCTACTTGGATAGGCTCTATGCTGACTCCCCCCCTTTCTTTTCCATTTCCTTTTTCTTCTTTCGTTTCTTTTTTCCTTTCTTCTTTCCCTTTCCTTCTGCCTATTTCAAACTACCCTCTTACGACACCAGACAACTCTCCATCCTTACTTCTCTTCTCTTTCATTCTCGTTCTCTCCGCGTTCTCCACGAACGGTACCTTCTCACGTCCATCCCTGCCCGATCAGATTCAAGTTCAACACGTAACCTACCTACCAAGACCTCACTCTCGTCCTCATCAAGCAAGCACAAAGCCTTTAGAAGCCATGATGCACCACGCCCGTCGAGCTAGCTATCCATCGCTCAACTACAACCAGGACAACACTTCCCCGCCTCCTCAGCCTCAGTCGGGTCACCGCCAGCAAGCAAGTCATTCCGGGATGCCTCAGCATCAGTCCTTCCAAACCCTTCACCAACAGCAACAGCAGCAGCAACAACAGCTTCACCAGCACATTCAGTATCAGCATCAGCAACAGCCTCCACCACTGCCGAACTCACAACAGCAGCCGAAACAGCAGCAACTTCCATTGATGCACGAGCACCTCCAATATCCCACACACCCACACCATCCGACCCATGCACCTCATCCCACAAAAGGAAACAGTGGCGCTGCCTTTGGAGACCGACTACCTCCTCCTTCTTCCACTTTGGGAAACAAACTCATCCGATCGCACTCGCATACCTTGAGCCATCCGCACCTCCAACTGCCTCCCCACCACAACTATGCCTCTCCACCTCCGCCTCATCCCAGCCAGCAACAAAAGATCCAAAAGCAACAGCAACAGCAACAGCAACAGCAGTCGTCGTCATCGATGTTGCCTTATCATGGACAGCCGATGCACCCCTCAATGTCCTTGCCAATCCATCCAATGTCTTCTTCGCCAACGTCTATGCGCGATGATTACCATCAGCAACAACAGCAACAACAAACAGAGGCAACCATGGAGTCTGATGACTCTGCGTCTGACAGCGAAGCTTGTGTCGGAGGCATCCAATGGACGCGTCAAGAGGTAACATAAAAACGACGAACTAGTTGACGTATGAGCCGACAGAGTGGTGTGGATATGAGACATAACAAACGGCTGGGAAGAACACAATGGACAAGAGGTGTGGAAATGGGTTTCGGAACGTGGTTGTTTAGTCATACGCCCTACACCTCCGTCGGCGTAGTCGTGTAGTCCTTATGTATCACCATCGGCAGTTGTTTTTGTTGATGATATTGCTTCTGTTTGTTATCCATGTTTTCCCCTCCTTTTCTTCAGGTTCTTTTTAATTCCCAAACCCCCTACGTTTTTCTCTCTTTTTCGCATCCATTGACCCAGCTCAAGGAGCCAGCGATGGGGCACTTTTGTTCTCATTTTTCTTTTGCTTTGTTACCTGGGTTGTGTGTGACATGGCCGTTGCAACCACATTCTTTTTCTTATCGCCTTCATCCAGCACTGCCTTTTTCTTCACCAATTGTTTACCAGCTGGGGGGATAGAGTGTGTTCTTGAAAGTCATCCAGATCGGTCTATTCCATCTCCAACCCTCCACGTTGGGGGGGGGGGGATATTTTGCTTAGCTTGCGTTCTTTTTTGGGTGCAAGGATGATCTGATGTTGACTCAATGTGCGAAGCGAAAGAGGGGCTGGTGAAAGAGGGGGTAGGGATGAGGAGGGAGGGAGTGAAGCAGGGAGGGAGTGGGAGGGATGAAGGGATGAACAGAGAGACGAGAAGGGGGTCAATGGAGAGACACAGAGACAAGAGGAAGAACAATGCCAGAAATAAGGAGTGCATGGTTGGCATGTCCGCCTGTCTACCTTACAGCCAGTTGTTATTGTTATCGACCCATGGCTCTCATTATCGACGTGTGTGTGTGTGTCGCCCCAACGTCCAGCCCTTTTTTATTTCCCTCCTCCGTGTATGTGCCAAAACAATGGTCGATGCTTACCCTTGTTCGGTCCCTGAATTCGTGGCGCGTTCCCAGGACAGAAGAACTGCGCGTTAAATGAGCGTGTTCGTGGATATTAATATTATCCCACGGTGAATGGAACATGGTCAACGGGTTGTAAACATCTCCATCTCAAAGGATGAGGAAGAACGATGCATGCTATAGAGTGATATACAAATATCAACATACACACTACGGTGCGATGACGACGTTTGTATGCCCCTCTTCTCGTAATGGTGTTGATGACCTACTTTCATGGGGGTCGCTGCATCTTTCAACCCCCCTCTTCTTCTCTCTCTCTTTCTCTATCCCTTTCCCTTTTTCTCTCTTTTGACAATGCCTTTGCGAGAAAGAGATATCACGAACAAGAGTGGTATTGCATTGAGCCATGACATATTTATTTTTTTGCTATATTTGCTTGCCACCAATGGTTCCAAGCACCTTGTGTTCAATTGAACAACAATCTCTATGATTTCCTAACAGTCGACTGCCAGCTGAGTGTATGGTTCTGTTGCTTGCGGTCACTGTCCTTCCATACCCTCCAAGCCCCTCACTCACTTCTTTTGAATTGTATCAGGAGCCATACTATTCTCTCGTGTACGAGTGTGTGTGCGTTTGCTCCCTCTCCTCCTCTTTCTTTTTCGCCTCTTGCTCTCATTGATTATTCAATGACCCAGGGCATTCCTTGCAGTCCTCCTCTCTTTTCCTTCTTTTCTCTCCTCTCATAGTTCCTCCTCTTCCTCCTCCTCTTTTCTTTGAAAACACTCTCGTTTTTTACTCTTCGTCTTCTACCCACAGTTTTTACCCCTTTTCGCTCTTTCCTCCCCTTGACCATTCACCTGTCCTCTCTCTCTCTCTCTTTTCTTTTCTTTTCTTTCTTTTGAACTGTCCCACAGTCCCCCTTTCCTTATTATCGTTGCCCTCATTTTTCTTTTCACTCTTCTTGCCTACTTTCCCCCAGCCCTCACACCAGCCTAATCCCTTCGCCACACTCACGTTCCGCGCATACACACACCACCCTCGCAACGGTGATCGTCATTTTTCACAACCCCCAGCACACCAATACCAACCATCCAATCAACCGACACAGAACAGCCGCTGATTGGTTTACAGCAGTATCCACGCGCCTCCGGAACTCTTCTTATCTCTACTTTCTACTTTTCTTACCCTTTATCCACAACCCTACTCTTCTAAAGAAAGGCACAGCCCTCGCCTTTTTTGCGTTCTTCTTATCGTTAATTGTAAATAATACTATTCAGCATTGTACTTTCCATGGCATTGTCCACTGGGAGACAGAAGAGAAGAGAGGACTTGGGTTTTGTACAGGAGTGAGGAATGAGTGTGAAGGAAACAAATAACAGGGGTCGACTGCGCATAATACCCTATTACCCGCTGCTGTGTTCAACCCGAAAGGCGACCGTTAACTAATGCATACATTTTCTTGTCTCTTTTGTTCCATCTCTCCCACTTACTCTTTCATTGTCGACTGTTTTTTTGTATCGTCTTACTGTCGCCTTCCCTGCTCGTCATGCACATACATACCACTCCATCTAGGACAACTTGCTACGAGAGGCAGCGGCAAAGTTCAGCGGCAAGGCCTGGAAGAGAATAGCTGAGTACTGCTTCCCAGACGGATCTCGAGACAAGGATCAGTGCCTACAACGTTGGCGAATGATCTCCAAGCCCAGATCGATCAAAGGTCCATGGACCCCAGAGGTAAAAGAACAGGCCTTTTCCTTGTTTCCAATGTCTCTCCTTTTTTCAATTCTCTTTGCACAATCGTGCCTTGTACTTGCTTATTCTTGCTATTGTTCTCGTTTGTTCTCCCTCCCTCTATCTCTCTGTCAATCAGTCCATCCCTTCCACCAATCCCTCCATCGATATCATCGGCATGCCTTTCGCCTCTTTTTCTTTAGTTAAGCCGCATTGACCCTCCTTCCCCACTAACAGCTCTCATTTTTGTTTTTGTATTGCATCACCATAGGAGGATCGACAACTCCGGAACCTTGTGAAGGAATTGGGAGCAGAGAAATGGGTCCTTATTGCAAGCCGATTGGGCTCGCGCACTGGAAAGCAGTGCCGTGAACGGTGGCATAACCATCTCGATCCCAGCAGTAAGTTGTTGAACCTATTCACCCATTCATCGCCCTTTTACACAAAATTCGAAGGGGCAGGTCTTGTCTTTGTAGTGGGGAGGGGGTTTAGGAGTTTGGAGCAGACTCACTAAATTATCCTCCGAACTGTCCCCCTTGTTCTTGTTTCTGAACAATAGTTGACAAGTCACCCTTCACAGCGAAAGAAGACGAACTCATATTCAAGTTGTTTGAGCAGTTTGGATCCAAGTGGGCGGAAATGTCTAAGCTGATGCCAGGTCGTCCCGATAACGCCATCAAAAACCACTTCAACACATCCATGCAGCGAAAGCGAAGGCGCCTCAGTCTTCAGGATCCCTCAGGTATGGCCCTTTAGCGTTATTTTAGCGTAGCTCAAGAATGGGATTGTTTGAGAGTCGAACCCAGACAGAGTTGCCATTAACCTGCCTAAACATTTTTTTCCCTACTCCTTTACTATCATGTAGAACTCCAGATGAAACTTCATGACATCAGCTCAGGGTCCACAACAGGCAACATCTCACCGCTCGCCTCACCGACCTCTGCTACCTCGCCCACTGCGCTCTCTCGCAACCATCGCTTCGATCCATATGGTAAACTATCATAATTTCCTTGACCAAATATGCCAACATTCTTTTGCGCATTAACATGCATGCTAACCACACATTTTTATATATATATACATTTACAATTTACAGAGAGGCGACACTCCATGCCGTCACTGGAGTTGGCGGCAAAGGCTCACGCAGGGTTCCAGGCAGCTCACGCACATGGCGCACAGGAGAACCAACACGAAGGTCCCCAGACGCCTCGCAGCATTCTCACACCTCCTATCACCCCCGACACCAAGGGCAAAATCCAGTTCTCTCCCAACATGTCGCGCTCCATCTCTATGGGGTCCAGCGTCCGGTCAGCCTCTGGAAACTACCCTTCACATAACAAGTCCCTCCAAGGCCCTAGTCCTGGACAAACAAGGCCAAACTTGCCTGGCAACCCTTCGATCCACAAGTCCAATGGTTCATATTATGCATCTACTTCGGCAGCCATGGTGACGTCTGTCTCATCGCCCAACACCTCCCTTGGAAACAATATGCAAAGCAAGATGATCCGGTCGTCCTCTGCCATGGCAGTATCGGGCTCAAGCGGTGCAGTGCCACCCCATAACAGTCATCCCGTTGAGCATGGACATGGTTACTACCATCAAGAGCATCAATTGAACCACTCGCTTCCGCGCCCCGACATGACCCGACACGAGTCTTTGGGACATCACCCTAGTCGACAGAGTCAACACGAGCATCACCGGTCATTGGATATTGACCCATTCTCGGCACTGGCAGAGTTGGCTAACTTGGCTGAGCAGCATCGCGAGATGCCCGTTCGAGATCGACCCACCACCGTTGTTGTCCAGAGCAAGGAGGAGCCAACAGAGTATGGCCATGAAAGCGAGTACGGAGGACCAAGGAGGGCGTCCATGTCTGTGATTTTGGACCGCAACAACGACATCGAGGATACTGTGATGAGCACCAAGATCGCCAAACCGACCAACCTCGCTCGCCGATTCTCGACCTCTTTAAGTCACCTAAAGGAAGAGGACCATACCGAGGAACATCAGGGATACTCTCAGTACAACTCCCAGCAAGGGCACCGCTCGTACCATATCGACCAACGACCTGGACCTGACGGTTTTCAAGCTGGTCGCCGACACTCGCTATCTCCGACTTCAGGATTGTCGCCACCAGCCTACTTTCGGTCTGAGCGGTCGTCTGTGGACTATTCCAACTCTGAGCACGGATCTGACCGCGATCAGGATGACATGGATATGGATCATGATGTGCAAAAGCAGAAGCAGGCTTCGCCCAAGCCTAGTGCCTCCTACCTTGCGATACGTCGTGGCTCGGTCCGAGAACTCATGGCCATCGACAACCTCTGCCTAAGTTCTGAGGAGATGGAACGCCGATAAAAACCTTGGCTACTCTTTCATTTTCACTATTGAATCAAATCCTTCTTTCTACTGAGGCAAGATACTCACTTTGTACATAACACATTCTTTTAATCATCTCAGTATGCAATACCCTATTTCCCTTTTAATATCCATTCCGCACTTTCGTTTCTTTACCTACCTCATTTTACCTTTGAATTCTCCCCCTTTGCACACTTCTAACAACTCGTTTAGATCAGTAGTTTTCTCTTTTTTTCTTTCTTTCTTTTACTTGCGCGTTTTTGTATTCTGTAGATAGCGTTCTTTTCCTTCATTTCTTTTGCGTTTGTTCCATTAAAGGGGAGTTTTCTTCATACATGTACATGCTATTTTTTAATCCGCAGCCAAGTGTGGGCGCGTTCTTTGGAGAGTTGATCCAAGGTTTACTTCCGCGCAAATGAATTTTAGCAAGTCGCGACTCTAATCAATTCGTGTCCCAGAGGGAACAGTCACCCTCCTCAGCGCGCTTTTAAATAGAAGAGCTGATCCCAACACCATCATCTCCACCCAACGACATCCTCGTTCTCTTCCTCTTTTTCACCCTACCAACAACTCACTTCTCTCTCTCTCTCTCCCCTTCATTTCAACGACTTTATACCCCACCATGTCAACCCAACCAACAACATACCAGATCCCAGTGGAGGACATCGACTTTTCGCCCAACATCAGTTCAGAGGCCGAGAACTTTTTCCAGACTGATGCCGACATTGCGAGGATGGAGGCAAGAAAGGGGATGGTCAACTTTGATAAGGGACAAGCCATCAAGGTCTCATCCAAGGTCCTTGATATGTGTCTCGGTCTGCGTCGGTCCGCCTTTGCTTCTTCTGCTGCTGCTGCTGCTTCTGCGAATACGACTGAGGAGGTTTCACCAGCGGGCGAAGAATCAAACACGATGAAGGCGATTGTTGTGGAGGATAAGGCGTTGGTGGGTGCGACGCTGTTTACGGCCGAGAGCGGGCATGTTGCGCGCAAGATCAACCTTGAGGTATATTGTGGTGATTGAACCCCCCCCCCCCTGCTGGTTGTTGATCGTGTGTTTTTTTTTTTTTTTGCCTGAATTTCTTTCAGGGTTGGCACACTCTTACAAATTCGACGTTCTAATTATTCCTTTCCTTCCGTCGTGGCAAAAAAACAATAACAAACAACGCGATCAGACAGGAAAGACGATGAAGCTGTTCCATGGACACACAGGACCAGTCACCAGAGTAGTTGTCTACCAAACCCACCAGGGCCAGGAGCGACTCATTACAGGATCATGGGACAAGACCATCCGCGTCTGGGACACAGAGTCCAAGACCTGTCTCGCCACCCTCAAGGGCCATACCGATTTCGTCAAAGCCCTTGCAGTCCGGACCATCATTGTTGATAACCCCGAAGGTGGCGAGAAGAGGAAGAAGATTGCACATGAGTTGTTCTCGGCTTCGTACGACGGGACGATCATGCATTGGGATCTGGAGAAGTTCGAAGAGTTCCGTGGAGGTGCTGGTGGGCCTTGGAAGGGACATGCGCGTGGGATCAATGATCTCTGTCTGACTATCGAGGAGGATAATGAGCAGAAGGATGATGATGCAGAGGAGAAAGAGGATCATGGAAAGGAGTACTTGTATTCGGCAGGAAGTGACGGAACGATCCGGAAATGGGATATTGAACGTGGGCAGGGGAGGGGTGGACACTGTGTGCATGTATTTAAACACCATGAGACAACTGTTTACAGGGTCGTTGTTGAAGCTGGAGTCGAGATCTGGTCTACATCTGCCGATAAGACTGCACAGCGACTTGACCTTGAGGTAAAAATTTATTTTCGTGGAGTATTTGCCCTGTTTTTTGAGAATTTGGACCTGGACAGCGATATCGAATATTGTTCTCTAACTTTTTCTTTTATTTTTGTATTTGTGGGAAATTGTAGACGAAGAAGGTGGACACGTCGTTGTGGCATCCGGATTTTGTAAAGTCGATCGCGCTTGCAGGGCCTTATATTGTTACAGGAGGACGCCAGGAATCTGTGCGCGTCTGGTCTGTCGCCGTAAGTGGATCGTGCAGCGACAACAATGCATTACGACTATGGCGTTCTTAAACCCATTGCAAACATGAAGGTATGTCAGCAACTGGAGGCAAGCAACTAATTCACAACTCTATTCGTATACATGAATAATATAGACGGGAAAGCTGATTACGGAGATTAAGGGACACTTTGACGAGGTGTCGAGTATGGTTTCATTGGGGACGACACTGATTACGGGATCGCTGGATAACACGGTCCGTCGGTGGTCGTTGAAAGAACAGGATCTGGTCCCTCCAGTTCCCAAAGAGGACGATCCTTCTGTTGCTGCGCTTTCCTTGGGAGGCGCTTCGGAGACAGTGGTGACGAAAGTGGAGGAGAAGAAGGCTGAGGAGGAGCGCAAGCCGGGGATGATGACTGAGGAGGAGGAGAGAGAGCTTGCGGAGCTCATGGGAAGCGATGATGACGATTAGACAGGCTTGCCACACTATGAATGTTATGTTATTAAGAATGCTCTTATTTCCTGTCATATTTTTTTGTTTTTCGTGTGGGTGGTCTGCACAGGCTATTGTTGAGAAGGGTCCAGGCTTTTTTATCGACTCTATCCCCCATCTGATTCCCCTCTCCATGGGGGGAGGAGGGGAGGGGGTTCGCACCCACAGAAAAAAAGGGTGTCGATGAGCAAGCACGAACCTTCCCTTCGCTCACCTGCTGTTGTTAGCTCGGGTTTTTTTTCGAGCCAAGGGATGGAGAAGGAAAGCCCAGGCACTCAGTAGGTCAGGACAAAAAAATAACTCAAGCATACCCAATCATTGCCCACGAATTGTATTACGAGATCTGGTCATTTCCCGATCGTTAACCCATGCATAGTCCTCTCTCACTAGCCACTTGTCTACTCTTGCCCTCTTGGCTCACAAGCCCATAACATCGACTCCTTCTTCTTGCTTATGTTTTTCAGTCGCAGGCAAACACCAACCACATTTTCGAATAAGCAGGGTCCAGTGAAGAGACCGAGGATAGAGGTGGAGTTTTTTTCATTTTAGTTGCGCTCGCAGTCTCGTGGTCATGTTTCTCATGGGGAGGGTGGTAATGGAATTGGAAACGCAATTGTTAGGTTTCTTGTCACCTCCTCTTGTCTTTTCGTTTCGCGTTTCTTTCTTTTCTGTTGCGTTGTATGTTCGTGTTTGGTTTGAATTTTCCTTCCTTCACCCCTGAACCATATCCATTATCCATTATCCGCAGACCACAAAAAATGTGTATGAAAATAGACAATGCAGAAATGAGATTGCATGCATAGCATGTCCACGGTGTTTGGCCTAGACATGAGAGAGAGAGAGAGAGAGAGAGAGAGAAAAAAAAAAAAGATCTTGCTTTGCGATGCTGCATACATGCATGCGTTTTTGCTCTTATTTTTTTTAATCGCTAGTATTCCTTATTGTTGCGCCAAGTAAGTAGTTCCTGTTCACCCGAGCCGAGCAATGTCTCCCTTCTTTTCTTCTTGAATGAAAAAAAAAGACATTCGAGATGCATGATTCAGAGATATTAACATCTGGATCTTTCTTTCCAAGCCAGAGCCCCCCTCTTCTCTAGTAAAGTGAAAGTACACACAGCCTTTTGCTAGGAGCTTTTTTTTTTTTTTGACAGAGCAGGGGACGTGTCGACCTGTGGAGGATGAGGTGAGCTCGACTAATGAGGATTGAAAAATGAGCTCGACATGTCGTTGATAGCTCGCAAACGATTATAGAAAGAAAAAAAAAAAAGACAACGTTGGACACCCTCACACGGGAGGCACTTGGGTACGAGAATTGATTATTACGTTTGATAAAGACTCTGTGTGCCCTTTGTGTTTGTTGTTTTTCTGTTGATTTTGTGTTCAAGTGTCTACAAAAATGTTAGAGTTCATTGTCCGGGAATAAAAAAAGTGCGATTCGGCTGGGCATTTCTTTTTGTTTCGTATGATCTTCGCCGTTTCTTTGTGCGTGTTTTTTTTTTTTTTTTTTTTTTTTTACAATACTGCTGTGGGTTTAGGTTTTGAGTCAGGTCCAAAAACATACAATGACATGGCACGAAGGAGAAAGGGGAGGCACGTTGTAGTGTCGAAGGGGTGTGTGGTCAATGAATGTGTGAAGTGAAGAAAGTTTATTTCTTTAGTGGAGAAATAAAGAGTGGACAATACCGCACGGTTGGATGATCATCTCCTTCCTCCCTTTCCTCCGTCGCTTTTGCCCTTTCTCGATCAAAAAATATAAAATAAAATTCAGGGACTAAGTTGTTTGTTGTTCCTTGTTCCTGAAAAATAGTACCCAACAGCACCTCCCTAGCCCTCTTCGCGTCCTCAGTCTGTATTTTTTTTTGGTTGCTGACATACTCTTCTCTCCCCCCAAAAAACATCCACCGTGGTATACTGTGAGAATCATTAGACAAAACCACCAATGGGACCTATGTTTGATAGATGGTAGTAATGGGAGCAATATCCCTCAACTAGGACGGGTTCCCACTTATGGGAGGCGATGCAGGTCAATGCGAATGATGGAGTTCTTGTCATCCGCAAATTCAGGGGCAAACACTAATCATTCGACAAACACAGTTCACTACTAATCAAAGTAGAGCCCTTGTACTACGAAAAGCCACTTCCTCCTCTTTCTTCTCTCTCTCTCTGTGTGCGTGTAGTAGGTGTACATGTCACAATGATGGATAAGCAATGGACATGAGCAATGGTTGGAAATGTGGCGAGTTTGCGCCCAATTCTGTAATTAGTGACTTGCAGGAGAAGAACGAACGGAAAGAGGTAGAATGAAAGGAGTAAGAAAAAGAGGAGTGAGATGGGTACAAGGAGAGGATGATCCTCTTTCCTTTGTTTTTTCTTTCTTGACATGCACCTCTATGTACGCTTGAAAGCCAACTCAAGAATCAATGGTAATGGTGCGATGGTTAGTGAGGGTACAAATGGTTGTATTAGAAAACATAAATTCTGCACTGCACC